CCCGCTAGACGAAAGGGTTTTCCGTTTTGGAGGCGCTTCGCAAAACGAATTTCCCTATGGGCTTGCTTCGCAAGACGACAGCCCATAGGAAATCTCAGGGACAGCGGGGAAGCGCAGCGCGTCTTCCCCACTGTCCTCGGACCTCCTCCGAAGCCTGGCGGCGGGGCGGGGACACCTCCTCCCGCCGCCGCCGGGCTCGGAGGCTCCTCCGAAGCCGGGCGGGGGAGGGAACACCTGCCGCCGCCGCCCGGCCGGGCGGTGCTCCGAGCCGGGCGGGGGAGGGAACACCTGCCGCCGCTGCCCGGCCCGGAGCGGTGCTCCGAGCCGGGCGGTGGGGAGGGAGACCTCCCCCGCCGCCCGGCCCGGGCGGTGCTCCGAAGCCGGGCGGTGGGGAGGGAGACCTCCCGCCGCCGCCCGGCTCGGAGCGGTGCTCCGAAGCCGGGCGGGGGAGGGAAGACCTCCCGCCGCCGCCCGGCTCGGAGCGGTGCTCCGAAGCCGGGCGGGGGAGGGAAGACCTTCTGAAGGCGGGCGGGGCGAAAGTCTTTGCTCCCCCTGCCTGCCTGTCCCGGAGGGCTTTTGAAGGCGGGGGAGCAAGACTTTCGCCCCCGCCCGCCTTCAGAAGAGGTCCAGGACCTCTTCTGAAGGCTGGCGGGGACAAAGACTTTTGCCCCCCTGCCTGCCTTCCCAGGGGCTTTTAAATTGCCCCGGACAGCGGAGAAGTCCTCCGCTGTCCCGGGGTGATTTTAAAATGCCGCCCGCCAGCATTTTAAGATCGCCCGGACAGCGGAGAAGTCCTCCGCTGTCCCGGGGTATTTTAATATGCTGGGGGGTGGGAAGAAAAGCCCTTGCCCCCCAGCCTTCAGAAGAGGTCCGGGGACAGACTGTCCCCGGACCTGAGTCTGAAGGCGGTTTCCCTAGGAACGCATTAATTGATTTTCAATGCATTCCTATGGGAAACCGTGCATCGCAAGACGAAAAACTCGCAAGACGAAGAGACTTGCGGAACGAATTAATTTCGTCTTGCGAGGCACCACTGTATAGGGTTGTGCTTCATAATGCTGGTGTTCAACAAAAGAGGTTTAAAAACTGTCTCAGGGCAATTTTTAAAAAATGTAGTATAAACACCGACAACTGGGAAACACTGGTCTGCGAGTGCTCCAGTTGGAGAACAGCCTTTACCAAAGGTGTCATGGGCTTTGAAGACACTCAAACTCAAGACGCAAGGGAGAAATATGCTAAGAGAAAGGCACGCTTGGCAAATCCACTCCGTGATCAACTCCCGTCCAGAAACCAATGTCCCCACTGTGGCAGGATGTGTGGATCCAGAATTGGCCTCCACAGTCACTTACGGACTCATTGTTAAAACTGTGCTTATGGAAGACAATCTTACTCGGCTACGAGGGATCGCCAAAGAAGAAGAAGATGAACAAGAAGCATCTCATTCTCCAAGCAGTGGCGAAGCTGTATGCTCCGCTACCGGGGGTGGAGAGCAGGTGGGGGCATGGCTGGCGCCCCCGGGGCCGTGACACACTGTCCGGGGGGATGTGGCGCGCATCTGGGGGGCGTGCTATGTCGCCTGCAAGGGCGTGGTGTGCTGCCTGTGGGGGTGTGGTGCCAGGGGTGCGTGGGGCATGTCTGGGGGGGCCGTTGCGATGGCACCCTACCAGAATAGTGGTGCCGGTGGCAGTCCACTCCCTGCGCACACCCATTCCTCTGCCAGTGTCTCATACAGTGTGCATGCAAAAACATTCAGCAGCTCTCAAGGACGTCTGTGCGTCCTTTCTGGAGTGCAATTTTTATAGCCCCAATTCAGCAAAGGAAAGCAGACATCAACATGTACCCTGCGTGTGGCTGCTACTCCTTATCTTCATTGCAAAGAACTTGAACTCGCGAGATCAGTCCTCAGATATGGATGGAGAGGTGCGTGCCTGCGTGCGTGAGTGCGCGTGCGCGCGCACACACACCCCTTGACGAAGACCTATGCGACGATATCAGAAAAACCCAGGGAAAATAGATTGCAGCAACACAATTGACACTTGATGAGGAAAGTAGCCCTGGGATTTATTGGAGAAAACTCTTGCAGCTAAGACCTTCGCCCTGAACTCAACAAAGGGAGGAGGAGGGAAAAGGCCTGCTCAAATCATCTTGTGGATTTTTTCCCCGGGTAGCACCTCCTCTTTCCAAGAACACGAAGTGGAGTCCTGAGGTAGTGGTCTAAAAAAAAAAGGAAAGGAGTAAAGAGACCAAACTAGGCAACTTATGAGACTGCTTAATGTGTTAATTTGACACAGGCTTTCCTCTGAGGGTTAATAAACAACCCACCAAAATGGCAAACATGTATTTAGCATGACCTCACACAGTATTTAACACTAAGCCCTTTATCCCAACGACTTAGGTTATCAAGCTTGTTGCATCTTTATGGCTGGGCTGTTCCTGTGTAAACTTTGTTCTTTTCGCTTTTCAAATTAGTCGGATTGTTTTTTAACCAGATAAGGTCTCTATCCAATTGACTGACGTGGGTTCTAAAGGTCCCTTTCCCCATGATGTAGCAAAAAAAAAAAAAAGCGCGGGGGGGGGGGAGGATGTATATGGCAAAAAAAAGACAAGGTACCCATCTGTTTCAACACCACATTACACAAAAAATGCTTGTAACGAAGTCCCAACTTCTTTTCTCAATGAACACCAAACTCCACACAGACACACACACACACTGTAGACCTTCCAAGTGTCCCTATTTTCCAGGGACAGTCCTGGTTTCTGATTTGATCCCAGAATGTCCCTTTTTTCATCGGAGAAAAGTTGGAGGATAGGGAGTTATCCGACCCCTGAGCCAAGGAGAAAAGTAACTATACAATCTGTAGAAGACATATGAAGGCAGCCCTGTATAGGGAAGGTGGTTTTTTTTTAAATGTTTTCTGTTTTTATATATGTTGGAAGCTGCCCAGAGTGGCTGGGCTGGGGCAACCCAGTCAGATGGGTGAGGTATAAATACAGTCATACCTCAGGCTACAGACACTTCGGGTTGCACGATTTCGGGGTGTGCACCGCGCCGAACCCGGAAGCACTGGAACGGGTTACTTTCGGGTTTTGGCGCATGCGCAGAAGCGCTAAATCACGCTTTGCGCATGCACCGAATTGCGACCCGCATGTGCGCAGGTTGCGGGCGCTGCAGGTTGCGAACGTGCTTTCCGCATGGATCACGTTCACAACCCAAGCATCCACTGCAATAACATTATTGTGTATCTGAAGAAGTGTGCATGCACACGAAAGCTTATACCCAGAACAAACTTAGTTGGTCTCTAAGGTGCTACTGGACAATTTTTTAATTTATTTCAACTGTGAAGGACCAACACGGCTATCTACCTGAACATTATTATGCTGATGGAAAAGGACATCCCTATTTTCACCCGAGAAATGTTGGAGGGTCTGACACTGAAAGTTTATAATTGGGGAGGAGAAAAGCCTAGGGAGGGACGATATTGAGCAGAAAAATTGGATTTGACAGGAGGCTGCCAAGGCAACCAAGAGGATTTTCTGAGTCAATGATGTACTCTCTTAAAGTATGGCGCAAATATGACCTCTGTGTCTTCTAAGTCTGCCTTTAGTATGTGAGTGTGTGTTCACACACACATCTGGATTTCCCTCCCCTCTAGCCAGAAGGTTGGGCAAAGGGGACTGATCTGATCTGATCCTCAGCCAGTCATTTTAACTCCCATGGAAACCAATCACCAGAACAGAGAAGGTGGCCAAGAGGAAATATTGCTAATTGTGCTTACCTCGGGACTTCTTATTTTTCATTAAAAGCTATCGCACATAGTGGTAGGAATTCAGGCTGGATCCATGCAGGCGATAGCTTCCATTAGGAAGTGGTGTGGTGTTGGGGGTGGGAAAATGGAATGTAGCACATCAAACTGTAGGGGGATATCCCACCACATTCCCAAATACTCTGCCACATCTTCTGTCTACATGTCTGTCTGTCTGTTCACTGTGGGTTTGGCCACCACTTGAGATAGGGTGGCCATTTTTCAAAAAGTGAAAATCCGGACACAAAACCTGAGATTTTTTTGGCCAAAGTTGTTCAGATTTTTTTTTTTTGCAAAATCTGAAAACAAAATGAAGTTTCTGAGCTATTTTTAAGGAGATTTGCCAAAATCTACACTTCCGACATGGGTTGCCATACGTCTGAATTTCCCCAGACATTTCAGTGATTTCTGCCTGGACACTGTTTCCGATGGCCGAATCCCACCTATGTCCAGGAAATTCCGGACATATGGCAGCCTTACTTGAGATAACTTCTCCAAATGCAGCACAAAGGTTCCCAAGGTGGTGTGGTGGATATTGTTAATATTTGGACCCCGGGTGCCATTTTGAACCAAGAGGGCAGACCAAAACATCACTTTAGTGTGCCTTCACCTGTTTTTGGAATCGGTTGGTCCGCTGCTCAAGATATGATCACCAAACTCAGCACAGGGTTCCTGCATGCCAGGTACCATTTTGAATCAAGATAGTGCACCAAAATCTGACTTAGGCATGACTTTGTGGCCCCCTTCCCCGCCCAATTGATTCAGGACCAGGTCAGGTTGAAGCCCTTGTTTGTGTGTCCACAACCCTCAAAGCCACACAAATGACACCATCCATTTAAATATCATAAAATATTTTGTTTTCTCCAAATTGCTGGGCAGCGCTGGGTACTTCCTCCTAGCTAAGAAAATACTTCCCTGGAAGTAAGAACACATGGAAGAATGTGCATGGGTATAGAAGAAGAAGAAGAAGAGTTTGGACTTGATATCCCACCTTTCACTCCCCTTAAGGAGTCTCAAAGCAGCTAACAATCTCTTTCCCTTCCTCCCCCACAACACTCTGTGAGGTGAGTGAGACTGAGAGACTTCAGAGAAGAGTGACTAGCCCAAGGTCACCCAGCAGCTGCATGTGGAGGAGCGGAGACACGAACCCGGTTCACCAGATTACGAGTCCACCACTGTTAACCATTACACCACGCTGGCTCTCTAGCTCAGTTGGTAGTGTGTGGTGCTGATAACGCCAAGGTTGCAGGTTTGATCCACGTATGGGACAGCTGCATATTCCTGCATTGCAGGGGGTTGGACTAAGATGATCCTCAGGGTCCCTTCCAACTCTACAATTCTATTATTCGAATGCCCCGGACACTGCTGTTCTCGGTTGCTTGAGTCCCCCCGCAAAGCTGTGGAATTATATTTAACACGAGGGAGCATTTTCTTTTTTAAAATGTGACTCTACATCTGAAGTGTCACTTCAAGCTTTTACCCACTTATTTTATTTTGCATGTGAACATTCAGCTTCAGGACTAAGCTGGACATTATTACCCTGAGAAGCAGGACATCTTATCAGCCCTTCTTTTAACAGGGAAAAATGCTGCCCAGGGGGCAATCGGAAAAATGGTGGGAAGGAGCATTTGCTGCCACCTGAAGGTCCAAACTAGACACTACACAGAGATGCGTGCAACACTGTCCTTACAGACTTTCCTTCTTCCTAACGTTTTCTGGAGTGGCAAATGGCGCTGGACCAGTGCCGGATTTACGTATAAGCTAAACAAGCTACAGCTTAGGGCCCCACTCTCTTGGGGGCCCCCCAAAAAATTGAAAGGAAAAAACCCACTGGATGTACATTTTCAAAATATAAGATAAAAAACAAATAAAACCAAACCTACATACAGCAACAGTGTTTTGTGTTGTGTAGGCTCCTATGATGTAAGTAATGGGCCCCGCCTGCTAGCCTGCTCCATAAAATATCACTGGTTTGCTCATTTCTATATCAATTACTTTGATAAAATACATACAGTGGTACCTCGGGTTACAGATGCTTCAGGTTACAGACTCTTCTAACCCAGAAAAAGTACCTCAGGTTAAGAACTTTGCTTCAGGATGAGAACAGAAATCGCACAGTGGCAGCACGGTGGCAGCGGGAGGCCCCATTAGCTAAAGTGGTGTCTCAGGTTAAGAACAGTTTCAGGTTAAGAACAGACCTCCAGAACGAATTAAGTTCTTAACCCGAGGTACCACTGTGTTTTGTTATATGCAAATGGCTTTAGATACCTATTAGGTCCATAAATTACCATATAGCATATATTCAACACAAAAAACAGTGACAATTTGTTGTTGACAAAGGACAGCTGGACATATAAATGGCCCCGTTACCTTCAGTAGCTTACGGCCTCATCAAACCTAAATCTGGCCCTGGCGTTGGACAAGGGAAAACTAAAAGATGCTTCACTCTTTTGCCCAGCTACCATTTCCTAGCTCTAAATCATCCATCCCTAAGTATTTCCCTCTTTCAGAGTTTTCAAATTCAACACTCATTCGGGAAAAAATATCACCAGGGCATGGCAGGGAGCCACGGATGAGGTTTTAAGTGAGGAAATGGGAAATCAGGAAAAGATAGAGGGTTAGGGTTAGGAGGGTTAAGCTCCTCCAAACAACCTGTTTAGTGAACATTCGTCCTGATTTGCTTACATGAAACTCTCGGCCGAGCATTTGTTCTGATTTATGGGGCGGTTATATGACAAATGCTATTCATTCCGATTCGCTTGGTGTTTACATGTCTTCCCATTCAACACTCATCATCTCACACTTTTCAATGCATTTAATCTGACATTTTCCATACTGCAAAAAAATAAAAAACAAATCCCTTTTACGTGGATCTGTTGCACTACGGTGACAGTGTCCTTCAATCCACTTAATTGCACAAACCTAAAGTTATTGAGGGGATGCAGGTGGCCCTGTGGTGTAAACCACTGAGCCTTCGGCTTGCCAATCGGGAGGTCTGTAGTTTGAATCCCCACGACGGGGTGAGCTCCTGTTGCTCAGTCCCTGCTCCTGCCAACCTAGCAGTCCGAAAGCATGCAGTGCAAGTAGATAAATAGGTACCGCTCTGGCGGGAAGGTAAACGGCATTTCCGTGCGCTGCTCTGGTTCGCCAGAAGTGGCTTAGTCATGCTGGCCACATGATGCGGAAAAACTGTCCGCAGACAAACACCGGCTCTCTTGGCCTGTAAAGTGAGATGAACGCCGTAACCCCAGGGTTGTTCGCGACTGGACTTAACTGTCAGGGGTCCTTTACCTTTAAAGTTATTGAATCCCTCTCCCAAAATACTGACAAATCCAGAGGCAGCCTAAGCACTGCCCCCATTGCCACTTCTAGGTACTCAGTAGCCCAGGGGTAGTCAAACTTTTTATACCTACTGCCCACTAATGCATCTTTCTTGATGGTAAAATTTCCTTACCGCCAACCAGTGCTCGATGGAAGGAGGATTCAGCTTGAGCCATAGAACCCCCTACCGCCCACTGAGAATCCTGAAATGCCCACCAGTGGGAGGTAGGGACCAGGTTGACAACTCCTGGAGTAGCCCCTTCAGAATAACATTTCCCCATTTTACAAGGATGGCTGGGGAATACAGTGGTACCTCGGCTTACAGACGCTTCAGGTTACAGACTCCACTAACCCAGAAATAGTACCTCGGGTTAAGAACTTTGCTTCAGGATGAGAACAGAAATCGCGCGGCGGCCACGCGGCAGCAGCGGGAGGTCCCATTATCTAAAGTACCTCAGGTTAAGAACAGTTTCAGGTTAAGAACGGACCTCCAGAACAAATAAAGTTCTTAACCCAAGGTACCACTGTACTAAATGCATTTGTGCAGAACGTCCAGTTTGGCCCTCCGATCACAGAAAAGTCAAGGTACACATTTTTTAAAAAATAAACTCACAGAAAACCGTAACAGACCCCCTCATGTAGAAGATGGGCACAAATAATGTTTATTATGTAGATAAGTCTCTCTGATCTGAGCACATCTCTGTTTTCAGACACAGAGGACTTGAGTCCTGTATGTGAAGGGCTGTGCAGTCCAAGTCTAGTAAGTTTAAAGGTAAGAAACCATATCCTGCTGTTTGAATTTGGTTAGAAAAATGGTGTCCATATCTGGATGAGCTTATTCATGAGGTTGGCTGGTTTCCATTCCACACAGCTAAATTTAGTGCCTTCCATTGTACTAATTTCCAGAGGGGTAGCCAGGGAGGTCTCTCAAAACTGCTTTCACAAATTTTACAAGCCTCTTTAAATGTTCACGATTTATTATGATGATGTAGAACATTTTAGTACAAAAATGGGAGTTCCGGCATTAAAAAAAAGTCAAATCATTAGAATTCCCAAGCCTCAAACTGACGGATGAGTCACTCTGATTGATACCTGGAAGAAAAAGTCAGGCTTTTAGCAAAACTGGGCTTCTTTCCTTTTTTGTACATAAGGCTGCTGACAGCTTTTAAATGGCGTTCTTATAATTGCACTACTTCTACACGTCAGAAGCCATGACATTTAGATCGACAAAGCTCTTCAAATGTGACATAGTATTACGCTTGCCGTGTTCGTATTAACACGGGGAACAGAACAAAGGCTAAGCCCAAACTGACGTCCTTGGAAGACAATTGTTTCTTTGATCCAGTGGAGCAGGTCGAGAGCCTGTGTATGTTGCCAGATTTAAAGAAGATGAAACCCTACCTATCAGCTGCTTGGCAAGGAAAGCAGAGTTGCGTCTCTCAGTCCTGCTCCCTGAACTATGGCTGGGCACATTCAAAACACATTATTTCCCTCAAAGAATTATGGGCACTGTAGTTGACCCATCACAGACTTACAATTCCCAGCAACGCTGAACAAACTCCAGTTCCCAGAATCCTTTGAGGGAAAGAATGAGCTTTGATATCCTTGAAGGTCTAGTGCATATGAAGCCTAAATTAGGGGGATTCCAGCTTTGCATACAAATAGGGTGGCCATATTTTGAAGAGCAAAAAAACAGGACACTATGACAACTCTCATTTTAAATACGCCTACTATATGTAGAAGGGACACGGGTGGCACTGTGGGTTAAACCACAGAGCCTAGGACTTGCTCATCAGAAGGTCGGCGGTTCGAATCCCTGTGACGGGGTGAGCTCCCGTTGCTCGGTCCCTGCTCCTGCCCACCTAGCAGTTCGAAAGCACGTCAAAGTGCAAGTAGATAAATAGGTACCACTCTGGCGGGAAGGTAAACGGTGTTTCCGTGTGCTGCTCTGGTTCACCAGAAGCAGCTTAGTCATGCTGGCCACATGACCCGGAAGCTGTATGCTGGCTCCCTCGGCCAATAAAGCGAGATGAGCGCCGCAATCCCAGAGTCGGCCACGACTGGACCTAATGGTCAGGGGTCCCTTTACCTTTACTATATGTAAGCTACAGAAGCTGTGATATATTGCTGAGGGGGGGCAGAAGAAGGGAAGAGGAAAGCAAGTCTTCAACCGCCAGTCATTCAGAAAGTATAACCAGAGACATTTCGGCAAATTAAAAAAAAAAATCCAACCGGACATAAATTTTACCCCTGAAAAAGAGGACATGTCCTGGAAAAAGAGGACACATGGCAACCCTAATACAAATGTATGGATCCAGTGGGGGGGGGCAGCAGGGGCACCCACCCGCATTTGGGATTCCCCAGCCATTCAGGGATATAACTGCTGGCTAGATCGAGGTAGTAAAGTCTAAATCACTGCTACCATGTGAAGAGTCTTCTGCACCACTAACACACATTCCTGATGAGAATCTTCTCCCCAGGCCAGAGGTGGAGAACCTGAGGCCCTGATGTTCTGATGTTGGTCGTGAACTCACAACAGCCTCAGTCAACGGTCAGGGATTATGGGAACTGAGTGTTAGGGGAGGGGTAGTACCCCTTGTGGGGGACACACTGGGCTCCTTCCAGGGCAGTTTGTCCACCTTTGGTCTCCACCCTGCACTAAGCTCTCACCTGTGGCTCCTAGAATCTGTCATCCTGCCACAATGGCCACACCCCAGAAAACAGCTTCAACTGGCCAGCTAAACCATGTAAGGAAAGCCAATGGGTATCAATGTGTTTTACAAGTTTAATCTGCCCATGTTACTTAAGTAAGCAGCACCAAGTGAGTGAGGAACAGAGCTTTGGAATATAAATTTTGTAACTGGGAACAGTTGGAAATTAGGCAGCGTTTTATCCTTCAAAAACAATAGAATCCTCCTACCCTTTTTTTCACTCAATTTATTTTTGGAATAAAACTTTACGTGATTATGGAACTGCGAAGAGACTCCAACAGTCCATGTAAATATGTTTTGTATTGTTTTGGTTTTTTTGCACAAGGCATTTAGAGGAGCATTGTATGCGATTGCGAGTAGCTAGGGCTGTGGCCAGTGGGGTACAGATGTCCTGGGCCCTGAGACAGTTGGGAGCCCAGACTCTTAGATTTCTTTCCTTTTTTAAAGAAAACTGACCAGACATTTCTGAAGGAAAAGCATAGAACCCAAAGGCAACTCTAAGGCTGCAGCACTCGGCCAATGGCACCATTGCTCCCAGGTCCCGGTCCAACACTCTAACCACTCCACCTAGCTGACTATGTAGAATACAAATTAAATGACTTCATCAGACAATATTTGTGTTGATAAATTCCTATAGCATTGTTGCTGTGTTGTAGTGGGACTGGACTTCACAGCTGGCTAGTAAAAACGAACTCTTGGCTTCCAAAGCCCACCCTATAATTCAGACCCCGTGTGTGTGTGTGTGTATCGTATTGATTTCAAAATATTTAAAAATAAGCATCAAAGGCAGAAGACAATGCCTCATACTTGCTGGTGAACAGCTAAAGCTGATATCTGAAGCAATTTTATACATACGTTTATCTTCAAGTGTAAGTGAAAAAGCTGGGATCAGATTGTGGGTGATGATCACATTCTGTCCTCTAACATTTTATTATTTCGGTCTTCACTCCATGAGAAACACACTGGTGCCTCTTAGCAGGAAGAGAAATCGATTCATTTACATTCTAAGTGGTCTCATTAGGTTTTAAAGTGCTCAGAGGTGAACAAGAGAAATCTATACATCATCTTTTAGCAACATCTGTTTCAAGTGGCCCGCAGACAGCATCCATAATTATATTATTGCGTTTATTGATTTCTTAGGCTATTTAAGATGAGAGCCGCTTGTTTTGCTGCGTAGCTGCGATCGTGTTACAAATTGCAGAATTTCGTTCCGCTGCAGCTTATGTTCATCAATCAGCTATCTAACTCCCCTTTGAAAAGACAGAGCATCCATTTGTCAAGCGATAGTGGACCATGATGTTCCTATAACCGTGTCATCAGCCAGTCATCTGTAGTGCCTTGCCAAATCGTGGAGAGAATCTTTGCTGGACTTCTGACTGACAATCTCACCACATTTCTGCAACTTGTTGACCCAATGAGCCCTTTAAGTGTTCCTGAGGCCCTGCTTTTCTGCAGTCAGTTTGAACCAGAATTAAAACTGTAATAATAAAAATAAAAATAAAAATAAAATTGTACCCCGCCCATCTGGCTGGGTTTTCCCAGCCACTCTGGGAGGCTTCCAACAAAGATGAAAAATACATTAAAACGTCACACATTAAAAACTTCCCTGAACAGGGCTGCCTTCAGATGTCTTCTAAATGTTAGGTACTTGTTTATCTCTTTGACATCTGATGGGAGGGCGTTCCACAGGGTGGGCGCCACTACCGAGAAGGCCTGGTTCCCTGTAGCTTTGCTTCTCGCAATGAGGGAACCGCCAGAAGGCCCTCAGCCCTGGACCTCAGCGTCCAGGCAGAACAATGGGGGTGGAGATGCTCCTTCAGGTATACTGGACTGAGGCCATTTAGGGCTTTAAAGGTCAACACCAACACTTTGAATTGTGCTCGGAAACGTATTGGGAGCTAATGTAGGTCTTTCAAGACTGATGTTATGTGGTCTCGGCGGCCGCCCCCAGTCACCAGTCTAGCTGCCGCATTCTGGATTAGTTGTAGTTTCCGGGTCACCTTCATAGGTAGCCCCACGTAGAGCACATTGCAGTAGTCCAAGCGGGAGATAACTGTAGTTCTGAATGACAACATGCTATCTAATATAGCACTCTATTCCCAACAAGTGTTGGTGCTATCTGGCTCAGAGGTAAGTCCTTCTTCTTGTCAGCCCCTTTAATTAGTAGCTTCCTGCCTGACCCTCTTTTCAAGCTGCTTTTGCACTTGCAATTCATTCCTTACTATTCATTTAGTATGATCACAGACTCCCCAAACTGACTTACCTAGTTCACTTGGGAAATTGGAGATGGGGGTTAATGACTGGTTTACTCCTTGCAGCCAGATAATTGCTCTTTATTTCCCTTTTGTCTTGCAGTTGCAAAATACAGGAGCATTAGTCCCTTGAAGAGAAAGGGGGCAAGGAGGGAGCTACTTGTTAAACTTCTGTGCGCCCTGAAAGGCTGCAGAGAACACCCAGGCAAGGCTAGGGCTACAGTTACACTTTAAGATTCAGTAACAACAACAAAAGCCCCACCACAAACCAGGTCTGTCTGAAAAATAATGGGAGAATAACAAAGAGAGCAGGGAAGGCAATTATTTGGCACCCATGTCATCGGGATTGTCATTGGAAAGGGTGAACGAATGATGTCCTCTTGCTTGAGGCTTAATATGTAAGACCTTTACTTTTAATAGCTCTCTGGTGAATAGACAAAGCAGCATTGCAGTATAATTGCCACTGCAATGCACAGCTGAAGAATTATTTGCCATAAAAGCGCACCTATAAAACTCCATGCCCTTTTCTGGAAACACACAAGGGGACAGAATTGGCACAGGAGGAACTGCAGAACAGTCCGGTAGTGCTTTTGCAAAACTACAGTATCCAAGGAGCAATCTGAAAGTAGTTTTCCTGGAATTAGTAGTTTTCACACCAGTTTTCCTGGTGTGAGCAGAAAACAGGCCCAGATTCTTGCACTGAACCAGTGGTCCAAACCAGAGACCCACCTCTGACTCCCAAGCTGCAACACGGGAGCCAGTGTGGTGTAGTGGTTAAGAGCGGTAGACTCGTAATCTGGGGAACCAGGTTCGCTTCCCCGCTCCTCCACCTGCAGCTGCTGGGTGACCTTGGGCTAGTCACACTTCTCTGAAATCTCTCAGCCTCACTCACCTCACAGAGTGTTTGTTGTGGGGGAGGAAGGGAAAGGAAATTGTTAGCCTCTTTGAGACTCCTTCGGGTAGTGATAAAGTGGGATATCAAATCCAAACTCCTCCTCCTCTTCAATTTTTCTGTTTTGACTTATACTTAATAGCACTAATAAGGTACATAAATTCCCTCATTTTTCCCCCATTCGCAAGATGTCTATGACAAAAGTGTCTCTCACTACATGTAAACAAATTGTGGGAAAGACTCTATGTGGTTGGCCAGAAATATGTATTGTTATAGGTTTTGTGGGGAGATGCTCCTAAACCCTGCAAATTAATAAATGGTAGAATTTTGATTATTTGGCGTATTGAAGGGAAGATTGCAAGCCGGTGGAAAAATACGGGCTAAGCTCTCTTTCCAAGCCAGCACCTCACCTGGGATAGAGGCGTTAACATGACCAAAGGTGTTGATGGTCTGTCTAAGACAGGCATAGGCAAACTCCGCCCTTCAGATGTTTTGGGACTACAACTCCCATCACCCCTGACCACGGGTCCTGTTAGCTAGGGATGATGGGAGTTGTAGTCCCAAAACATCTGGAGGGCCGAGTTTGCCGATGCCTGATCTAAGAGGAATCTTGGGCCTGGGCAGACAGAGGTTGCCAAGGTGATGATGGGGATTGTGAGAAGAAGTGGCCTCCGCCACATCTTAAATTCTCCAGAGCAGCACAGACCCTGGTTAAGGGCCAAGATCCCTGGAATCCTGTGCATAATCTTGGCAGGGATTGGGGTGGCCGGGGAAGTTCATCCACAGGAAGCAGTCGTTTGTTGTCATTGACATCTGTCGAGTTGTGCCTTGCATTTTCTATAAATTCCTTATTATTTCATTCTTAGTACCAAGCACCTTGTTGCATCCTTTTGCTGGGGGAGCTTTGCTAAGATCTCACACCTTCTCCTGCTCTGTTAGGAGACTCAAAAAGAGTTGCCAGCTATCACGCAGCTGCGGATCTCTCCCCCATCCCTTTGTCCCTCTGAACTCCCAACCAAATCCTGATATCAAAGGCGCAGCCCAGCTGTAAAAATAACATTTCGGCAGAGATGAAACAATTTCTGGGCAATATGCAAATGTTCAAACAAACACCACCAGGTTTGTGTGGAGCATAAAAGAAGCACATTTCTGAGCAGAATCAATTTTGCAGGAATCAAGGGGCTTTCCTCGCCTTCAGAGCAGCAACACACTCAGCGTGTTAAGAGATAACCAGCTATCAAAGAGAAGCAAGACAAGCAAAATAAAGGAAAATGCACAGCTAATATTGCAGTATGTTTTCTTTGAGACAATGGAATCAAAACAGTGTGAGTTCAAAGGGAAAGCTAGATTGAAGAATGGGCAATAAAGAGGACTTTCTTTTCTTTTCTTTCTTTCTTTCTTTAATGTTTAAATGCATTTATTAAATCACAGATAATTGTGCCCTCTACAGGCATAGTATTAGTATATTCCAATAAAAGCTCCAGCAAACCCATGGCTGCTCCCAACTTTTCAGCAGAGGGTTTAACCCAGCATCTCTACTCCTCTCTCCATTCTTTTGGGGTAATTCGACCAACCGGAGACAAATTCCATTCTATCCCTGTTTGTGTCACAACATAGCTCCAAATGGAGACACAAAACAGAGCCCCACCAAGCAAAATCAAGTTGCCATATTTGCCATGAAAATCAGGCCCATGTTTGCTGTGAACTTGTCTTGCCGCAGTACGCTGCACGCCACGAGCCGCGAAGCCCAGAGCTCCCCTCGCCAAAGGAAAAAACATCTCTTCGCCTCAGGATCGGACTCAGCCCCTCCGACTTTGTTTTCTATTGAGAGAATAACAACTGGGCTTCAGTGTGGCTTCTAAACGAGGTAAAGTACAAGATTCAAGTTCTCGAGATATGAGAAAGGAGGTGCAAACAACACATTTGGAAAATCAGGAGCCACAAAAGCTGAGAGCTTCCTCTCAGCCCCGTACATAGTGTCTGAGGGCCAAAGCTGAACACCAGAGGAGCACCATCTGAATTCACAGATCTAGCAGTACCATTTCTGCTGTAACTTTGTGTTTCCCTTACATCCACCTCTCCCCTCATCTGAACGCCTCTGTTCAAGTCATTTCCTCCACTTCTTCAGTCAATTAGTTCTCCATCTCTGCTAACTTTCTCCCACAGTTTCTGTGTCCTATCCGCCGCACCACTACCAAAGACTGATTCACCCCATGCATGCATTTCTTGGTACAGAATGATTCTCTTAAATGAAGGTAGCTTGCATGCTCAAGTCCACAACTGCATTCGTAGCAAAAGGCTGCTTTGCCTGCGGTTTGGTCTGGGATAGCAACTTACAGGAGTAAAATTGTGTGCCATGGAACAACTCCCACTCGCCAACCTTTCTTTTGGGGGGGGGGGGAATGTTACAAGCTATCCTGGAAAGGGTGAAAATGTAGTACAGACCTTTCTAGTTTAAGTTGTATTCGGGTCCCTGCCCAAATAATAGTTATCTGCATGATGGTTGCTGCTAACACAGCGCTTTGACTTCACCCCCAGAGGCTCATGCCATTGTCTCTCCAGACAGATGGATGCCAACCAAACACACAAACACACAGAATGAATCTACAAAGGGGGGGGGGCAGGAGAACCATGGGTAATTAAATTGTTATAACAAAAGAAAAAAACCGCTATGTAAAAATTGCATAGAAATTTCTTTTGCTCTCTGGCGCCATCTGGTGTTGCATGTTTATAATGCACTCAGAACGTTTTTGGGGTTTTTTACTGATATAGCCGAGTCCACACACACATATATTTGCATATGAACACACACAAGATACTTAGTGAGTGGGATGAACTGGCTAGTGATTCTGGCTATCAAAACAAGAATGGAACTGTAAGGAACACTGGCACAGGATATTTCAAGCCTGCTGGCTTTTTAACTGCGCTTTTGCTTCCAAGTAAAATGCACTGTTAATTAACCCTGCATCCATTTAAACAACCAGACGTGTTTCAGTACCTACCTTGCTTTCTGAAGGTTGTGTCCGGCTAAGTTCTTCTTACAGCTGACCCCTAAAAATAGGAGCCAAGTTGGTAATTTCTATCCATTTCCATGGGTCTACTAACACTGAATACAACTCTGAGAAAGCTACAGTGATGCAGAGAGTACACTTTGGGGTAGAGGGGGGAAAAGGGACTTCATATAATGATTTTAAAGCAGATTTACTTTACAGAATTCATACACTGCTTATGAAGCATAAAAACCCTCTAAAACTGACATAAACCCCTTTCAACTAATGAAAGTGGCATTATTCTAAGAAAGGTAATTGGCCTTCAAGAGCAATTTGATTTCTGTGCCCTGCACTAGAGGAATGAAACCATGCTATCTATAGCACCATGGCAAAACGAAGACAGTAGAATGGCACAACTAGGAAAGGAGGAAGAGATCTTTCATAGCTTCTCCTTCTCTGCCATACTGAGATTAGAGCACCGCACTTCCATTCCCACCCTACCGCTCTGGAAGACCCTGCATTCAAACCCCCTGATTCTACAGTTCCCAGCACACTTGTGTACACATAGAAAACAGCAATAAAGAACTGCTATATATTTCAAAAAACAACCACCATGTGTACGCATTTACTTACCACAAACCACTACTGGCCTTCTGTTCCAAAGTTGTGCTCCCCCACCATTTTAAAACCAGGGTCAAGCCTTTGTACTTGCACCTGAAACCTCATTAGCTATCACTTCAGGTTTTTCCAATCACTGGATTAAACCTGTTTTGCAGGAGTGCAGCTGAGTGTTACTAACATTTAGTTTGCTTCCTTCCAGAGCAAGCATATTAGCTCTTGTGCAGCCCAGTCATATATACATTCAGTGCTTTTTTTCTGGGGGGATGCATACCCCTAAACATTTTGTGAATCTAACAGAATAAACTTTTTTTTTTTACTTTTTAATTTCTTCTCTAGCACAGTGAATCGTCAGTTCTGTTGTAGAAGACTTTACAGTCGTTCATTCACCTAGATTTTAAGATCAGAAGTCATTCAGCTACACCACTCACGTTAAGCAGTCCTGACCTTACATTTGGGATAATGTCATCAAGAGCGTGTAAAATCTTGGCTTGTAGACTTTGCTCTCTTCTCCAGGTGCCAAACTGTCTTGCAACAGACCACCTTAGAGCATATTTAGCTTAGCAAACCACTGCCATCATAAGGAAGTATATAACAAAAGCTGCAGTCAGGAGTCTTAGTACCTTCTTCTTATAGACCTCAAGCTTGCAGTAAAACATCAGGGTACTTCTGATATACCTACAAATGTCCAGTGTGAGAACTTGAGTGGGGAAACTCATAGCTTCATCCAGAGAGGATGGTCAGGTGAAAAGGAGTGAACTCCTGCAACCACGCATGCTTACCTGGAAACACCTGTCACAGGTGGAAATCACAAGCGAAGCCCAGATGAGTCTCCTAATTCTTTTCAGACTTACAGGTGCTTCAAGGTAGCTTCTCTTTTATAATCCTCTTGCCCAATCCTCCAGCGTCTAAATGGCTGACAACAAGGGACAAACCAAGTTGCATGGGGTCTCTTCTCCAATTGCAGAGTTAGACTGTACCTCCAATCCAGTCTGAATGGCAGTAGCTGTTTGATACGTCTGCAGGATCATTTTTCACCATAAACTGAGCAACCCTGGGCATGCACAAGGCTAAGCAGAGCATACTCCATTGATATTGCCCATCTGCAGATGACTGAGTGTAGCCTTATTGGAGTTCACCGATTGGGTCTGCGTTGCTCCGGGACAGGAGGAAGGAAGTCAAAATGACACCGAGTTGGTTCAAAGAAAGAGTTTATTCTGCTCTCCGGATAGCAGAAGGCATTTGCATGATGAGTCCACAGCAAGTCCAAAGAAATGACAAGTTTCATGCAGTATATATATCCTCTAGGCATCCTCTCCCCCTTCCCTAGCTACGTCAGCTTGTATATGCAGGTTGACATCACATATGTTCCTGCTCTGGTACTCTCAACCATAAAAGGATCTTCCTTCCTGTCCTGACCATAAAAGGATCTTCCTCTTCCTACTCTTTATCTGGGAAGGGGTCATGATCTCCGGGAACACACTTTTGGCATTTTCCCCAGACATTGGTGTTGCGCGTATTTTGTGGTCAGCACATAAGATAAAGTTCTGACGTGTCTTCTCTCTGTTCTGTTCTACTACTGGTACAGTGAAGGCCATAGTTGCCGTCACAACTGATAAAGGAGAGGGCTCTGAGCACTTGTCTATACAGCCGGGCTTTTGTTTATGCATTGAGCTCAGAGCTCAAGTTAATGGATTTTAGCTAAGGAAAAATAGGGATTTTGGTGCAGTTTCAAACTGCCTGCACAGTCAGTTTTGGGTTTTGGAAACCCATTCCTTCATGAGCAGGAATAAATAGGGTAGTGTGGTTAGCTGCCTTTGGGCTGATAGCGGAACACTTGAATTTATATAATGCTTTTCCTAAGGGTCTGGATGATTTCAGCATATACCGGTAACCCCCCAAAACTTACCACAAATGTGTTTGCTGGCTAGTATCCTCACCATAAAAAGGTAAAGGGACTCCTGACCGTTAGGTCCAGTCGCAGACTCCTCTGGGGTTGCGGCGCTCATCTTGCTTTATTGGCTGAGGGAGCCGGCGTACAGCTTCTGGGTCATATGGCCAGCATGACTAAGCCGCTTTCTGGCGAACCAGAGCAGCACACGGAAACGCCATTTACCTTCCCGCCGGAGAGGTGCCTATTTATCTACTTGCACTTTGACATGCTTTCAAACTGCTGGGTTGGCAGGAGCAGGGACCGAGCAACGGGAGCTCACCCTGTTGCGGGGATTCGAACCGCCGACCTTCTGATCAGCAAACCCTAGGCTCTGTGGTTTAACCCACAGCGCCACCCATGTCCCATATTGACCTCACCATATTGACCACTATATTTCTGCACGTGCTGTAGAGGGAAGTGAGGGGCAGATGGGGCTCGTCAACCTGGGAAGGGAGCTTATCCAGAAGGAAAACACTCATTCTAAACTTCTGCTGCCTTGTGGGATATCTTCGGGAGAAGGAAAAGCTAAGGAATTAACCTCACACAAATCTGTAGTGGAGTCCTGACGATGGCTGGATGGTGCCTCCTTCTGGCAACTCCTGCAGCCAAGCTGCATTGCTCAAACATATTGCTCTGCTTTCCTTTGGATTACATCAGCAAGGCTAAGAGGGAAGGGGGTCTTGTTGTCTGGCTAGCCCAGTGCCTCCATACACACTGCCCAGGATTGCACCCTGAGATCACTTCGGTGCAGCTAATGCAGTGGTTTGATTTCACCCCTGGAGGCACACTTGTCTCTCGAGACAGACAGATGTTAACAACAACAATTACATATGAGTGTTTCAAGTTGCAAGATCAGGGCTTGGCTTAAACCACCTAGTGATTTTACCACCAATGTAAACCATGGAATTCCAAGCCACAGCTCATGCTCTTAACCAGTTTGCTGCACCAGATCACTTATTCATGAAGCTGCAGGACAGTGAAGTCATCATTAACTACCTCACTTATTGATTCGCGTGGGAGCAATTTTTGCACTCAAACATGAAATGAGGCATTTATTCCCTGTCTAGGACATGCAACAACTATTCATTGATTTGGGCCCAATTCATACAGCCAGCCACATGGTAGGTTACTCAAGTTACTGTTTAGTGGTGGTCCCACAATGTTAATCATCTGAGTAGATTGGTTAGACCAAAAGGTTTTCACTATGCAAAATTTTCAGTAGTTTAGCAATGTGATAAGTACGAGCAGAATGACATGAAGAGCTATTGCACTCAGTAACTTTCCAGCAGGGCCAGCTTTGTAGCTGAAATCATGCCTTTGTGCCTTTTTGGCAGCTCAGATACTTTCCACTTACTCTAGATTGTAAGGTACAGTAGCTATTGCTGTTTGGATGCTCCTAAGCTGCTTTAATAACATCATCATCATTATTTATACCCCACCCATCTGGCTGGGGAAACCCAGCCACTCTGTGTGGCTTACACAGTATCTAAAAACATAACAATATCAAACATTTATTTAAAAAAATGCAACTCCCAGCCACCTGTGGTTAAGGTATACTGTATGATTGTATTACCACAGCAGTGATTAAATTATCAATTAATGAGTAACTGGAGTGGATAATAAGAAAATGTGAGAAAAACTGCATAACTATTACTAGGAATAGTGTGGAAGTAAGTCCTAAGTAACTAACGCATCAATAATTGTAACCTGTAAGTGTGACTTAGCCCTTTGAACAGTGAGCCACAATATATTTTTCCAGCATCTCAGTCTGATTTGAACCAGCTTTGAGTTGAGTTATGCAGTGATTTGTACCCAGCCTCTATCAGTTAAGTGTGTAACTTCTATTCAAGCTTAAGATCTTTGGAGCCTGCTAAAACAATCAACTCTCTAAACTTCAATGTAGGATATGGGTAAGACAATTCATTGCCTTGAATAAAAGTACAGTATTTTCAAACATGATTTTTTTCTCTTTTTATTGCTGTTAATTCAAGGAAAGATGCTGCATAAAATCCAATTTGTTCTAGAAATATAAGTGAGCTTTCCCATACATAACATTTCAAATATCAAAGTATATGGTAAACATACAAATAAAGAGAAGGCAACATACCTCCCATTTACAGTACAGTATCTGAAATCATAAAGTTCCATAAAGTAAACTGGCAGATAATTGAGAATGAAGTCCACTGGTGCTTTCAACACCCTCACTAAACTCGAAAGCAATTATTTCATTTTAATATGGTCCAACATACCCAGAGCAAATAAAAGTACTTTTTATAACGGAGATAATTTCCTATGCTAATTTTCTTTTTTAAATTAAAGCTCTCATCTACCCCTTTACTCCCTCACTTTCAAAATATATTGGTGCTATAAATATAAATGCTATCTATGAAGAAATGTAGTAAATCAAGCTTCTTCAAGTTTCTTGTTTAGCAATTAGAAATGAAATGAAAACTGTTTTGACTGCTTCCCACCTGCTGCATATAATCTTCTTTTTTTAAAGCAAAATCTACATTTCTTCTATGAATTGTGATACCTATGGGTACACAAAGGATGGTAGTTCAGTGTTGATTTCAACAGTCAAAAGCTTTCTTCCAGATAAAACTCAGTGCACTTAAGAAATCAAATATTATCTGGAAGCAATTTAGTACATCTTGGCTTTTAGAAATAAAATACAGCAGTGTTAAACTTTGTGATATAACATGATCAATCTTTATACTCATCAGAGCCTTTCACATTATATCGTGATCACACAGTGGTAAAATTGTCATAAGAAAGTGACATTGCTATTTGGTAGACTGGTTCTAGTATACAAATACCCGACGGTTCTGTAGAATACATAGATTTTTGACCAGATTGAAATAAACCAGTTACATTCTAACACAACACTGTAACAGTCTAAAGGGGAAGATGTTAAAAATCAAGTCATTTTTGTATCAACAATGTAGTGTATATGTTTAATAAAGGTATTTGCTGCCAACTGTCATTACAAATGCAGACACACAAACTAAGGCATTCATACCAGTTACACAATTTGAACCAACAGGCTTAAAAAAAAAATACTACAACAGAAGTAAAATTGTTCAATGTATTTCTATTTCAGAAATCAGTTAAAGGTCCACACACAGCTTTAAGCCTTCCCCATCCTATGTTTTATTTGTGTCTTTTAGGCACATATAAGCTCTTTATTTTTGTCCGTTTTTGCACATGTACTATTGTGAATTTCCAAGCTCTCAAAAAAAGCAAGCAATGCCCCCATCAGATCAAAAGAATAGGAATTTACTAGTGTTACGGGCCAGAAATAAACGGCTGAACATCAATCCAGTCCCATGGAGAGATAATGACCCAGCAAAAGGTGGGATAGAACAATAGCAGCACAAGAAAATGAGGGCAAGGGGAAGGTGGCTTGTGAGAGCATGCGCCAATTACCCCTTTCAACCTTATGGCTGTTCAACCAGTGTAGTCAGAGGTTAAATGACCTTTTCTTTAAAAAAAAAAATGCAGTAAACATTGCATATCTTCAGTGCAAAAGTCTATTCATTCAAATACTCTTTTGATTGATTGGCCGAGATAGCAACATGCTTTATGCAAGTCGGACCAGGAGCAAAACCGCTTTCTTCCTTTGTATTACAACAGACATTCACGAGCAATGAAAAAATGCAAAAGGAAAAGAAAAAGATAAACACACACAAGGAATCTCTCAAATCCAAAGAACTCCCCAGACTTCCCAACCTTCATTTTGGTATGTAGGCAATGTTTACTTGGTTTCAGTCAGCAGAATCCAACGTATCATTAGAAGGGGGTGGGGGAGGTGCATATCTCAATCTGTAAGTGCCTAGAACAGGAAAAAGAACTTACTAAGTCACTGCTTACACTTAATAATAAAGTTATAAGAAAACCTACAAAACCCCCAAATGAACATACCCTTCCTCAAATCCTATTCTTCCATCCAAATGGAAGCTACATCTATATAACCTGCCTAGAAGACAGATTTTAGATAAAAGGAAAGTCTTAAGACAGTTTCTTCCAAACAAACAAGCAAGCATACAGTATACTGGACTTAACAACTGTAGAGCAATTCCACCTATTTCAATGGGACTACTCTAGAACACATAGCTTCAGCCTACCAAACTGATCTTCTCTGTTCAAGTTTTACCAGATATAAACACACACACACAAAAAAAACAACAACACAAAAAACCCCAAGGGGTGGAAATGGATAAATTACAGTTACAAATATTAAAAAGAATACTGCTATAAAACAGATGGCACCCTACATTTTAATGGTTTATCCACACATTTTGAAATGTCTAATCAGTCACATTAACAGGGAGAGGGAGATTTGTTTTTTTTAGTTATGCATAGGGGTAAGTGAGTGGTTGGTTTTAAGTTCATAACATGTAAAGCATGTGTAAATTACCAAAACCATGTTTTGTTTTGTAACTGCTTTGGGACGTGCTACTAAAGAGATACAGAGTCACATTTTAGCAGTGCAAAAATCTAATAAACCAGGGAAGTGCACTGCGAGTTTCATTTGCTATTCCCTTACTGGTGCCGTGTGACCCATTTTTTTGCTTGGTTATCTGTGAATGCCATTATGACGAAGTAACTTATTTGGGCCCAATTACAAGCTCTTAGATGACATTACTGACAATCATGCATGCACACGCACACACACGCACACAAAGTGTCATACAACCCACAGATAGCAGGATGGGAGCAGCAGGGTCAAGAATAGAAGCTAAGTGAATTCAGAAGCAACCGTGTTGGGAGTTAGGATTACCTTGTTGACTGGCCTCCAAAGATGACTGCTTACAGTCCTGTGCATAGTGCCCACTAACACCACAATTATAACAGGACACATTCCCATTCTTCTTGGGCCCTGATCCATTAGTATTGGCAACTACATTTGAAGCTTGGTACACAGGGAACAACCTCCCATAGCCTGCCATTTGCTGCATACTGTAGTTGGTTTGGCTCCCCATTACGGGGTCATGCATCAGATGCCCGTTTGCATATGAGGCCCGAGGCACGAAAAAAGGAATCTGTGCTCCATTGGTTTGATGCGGTTGGTTGAGGTAGCTACCACTGCAAAGTGATGGCAGAGGGATGAAAGATGGAACTCGGTAGAACTGTCCGTGAAGAGGATTGGTATAAATGTAACTGTTAATCTGAAGACTTCCGTTGGTCCCACAGCTGCATCTGCGACCACAAGACCCACACGGCCCGCAAGGCCCAGACCCCAACTGCGGTGGAGACAAGAGAGTCCCACTGGCGTTAGTGTTTCCAACAGCGCTAATGTAGGATGTGCTGTCACTCTGGGCGGTGCTGTGGGTTAAAGCAGGGCTCGGACTGGGTGCAGGACCTGGCGTGTGGGTAGGAATTGCAGGAGGAACAGTAGGCTGGACCTGACTAGCGCACAGACCAGATGAGGGAGGTGGTGGTGGTGTTGATGCCACAGTGTTCAGCACAGTCGTACTCTGATTGGGCAACACACTGGTAGCATGAAGAGTCACTGGAACAGGAAACGGAGCTGGTGGAAGTGCTGTGGAGAGGCCAGCTGCAGGAACAACTACTTTTAGACTGGGAGGTTGAGGGATCACTCCTGCGTTCCCCTCAACGTGAGGCACCATTTGATTTAAGCCCATCACATGGGGTGAAGGTTTTGAGATTGGGTCTGTAGTAGGAACTGTGGGTCCGTGGAAGTTACCTGGGTTGTGGACTGGGATAAAGGCAGTGTTTGGTGATCCAATACTTAAGTTTCCAGTTTGTTGCTGTGGTCCACTAACTGCACAATTTTCAGACGGCGCCTGCGGCGAAGGTATCTTCATTCTGTGTATTGCTAGATGCAATGCAGGGCTACCAGACTGGACTGCGGGCGGGAGGAAAGTGGTAGACAAAGGCGAAGACAGAAGTTCAACATGTTTCTCAGATTCACCAGCGGAGCCCATTCCAACAGGAGCTGCATTTGTGACCACCATTCCCAAAGTTTTCCCATCAGCAGATATGGGTGGTGGGACTACAGTCTCAGGCTTCTGTGCACCATTGTGCACCACGTAGTGCAGGGCAGGTATAAAGGAAATGTGCTGAAACTGTGGATTCAAAGGATCCTCTACGATATTTCCATTGTCTGATCTCACCGAAATCTGTGCAGGTGACTTATTGAGGTCCGTAGCACCATAACCAGCAAATCTCATCACATTTTGGTTCCCAGAATCTTCAGAATTGCTATCTGTGTCTGCGGGGAAACAGGGTATAATTAAGCACTTAAACATTAAGGGTTCTATAAGAAATATTTTCCAGACCTAGTCACTTCAAATAGCTTTAAAAGGACTAATAATACAATATTTTTTTGGGGGGGGGGGAGAGACAGACAGGTAGATTAAAGTTGCCATTTATAGTGATGATTGCACCTTGCCATTTTTCAGTTTCCCATTTCTTGCTCACAGGAAGCATCCAACTTTGTACCACAATTGAAAGCTACAAAAATCACCGTATGGCATATTATGTCATCATTTGAGCACCTTTAAAAATACGCTTGCCCTGGAAAGGCACTTATGCTCACAATTATTCAACTGCACTGTGAAAGCAGTATCTCTTATTTAGTTTATGTTAATGAGAAGTGGGTAGTCCTTTTATCTGTGAAACAGTCATGGCATTTGTTAATAAAATTTGAGTATCTTGAATAGACACATCAAGTGGTATTAAGCTAAATAACTGTATGAGCAGAATGACTTCCTCTTGTTTACTGGTTTATTCCTATCCTCCATCACACCACTCCAAAATCTGTCCAGAACAGATTTAGGGGGCACATGGAGGAGGGAGAAGTCCTGTTGTACAAGGGAAGTTGTTCCGCTCACACAATGAGGTACTTAGCACTATACTGAATACAACCCAAGAAATACATGTTGGTTAGAGCATGGTGCTGATAATGCCAAGGTTGCAGGTTTGATCCCTATATGGGACAGCTATGTATTCCTGAATAGCAGGGTATTGGACTAAATGATCTGCAGGCTCCATTCCAATTCTACAATTCTATTAAATACATTATTTTCTCAGTTACATTACTAAAGTGGGAAAGTAGTTATGTAAAAACATTTTAAATGACTGAAAATAAAGTCAGTGAGTTTAAGTGATTTTGAAAAGCAAATTATATATTTAAGGTTGTAATACATAATGTGCAAGTTTGGAAAATTACATCAATTCAAGAACAGATAAGGCAATTCAGATTTTGTGGGGCTTGAGTAAAGCTTGAAGCCCAGCTCTGACTAAGCCTATATTTCTTTTCAAGCCTTTTCTCTCAGGAACCCACAATACATACAGGCAAAGATTACTGCATTGCAGGGGGTTGGACTAGATGGCCCTTGGGGCCACTTCCAACTCTACGATTCTGCTTAAATTAAGTCTATTTTTAATGACCAATATAAAGCAAGAGTTGTCGATGACACTAATAGAGAGTAGAGATTTGTTAGTATATGAGGCAGATAGAATGGATGTGCAGAATAGTCACCTCTTCATCCATGGGTTCAGAAGAGGCATTTAAAGCCAATCTGAACATAGTCACAGAGGTATGAAAAAGAAGTTATTTCACAAGATTAGGTGCAGGTTACATTGTGGTATGATGTTCTGAACCTTTGCAAAGATGTCCTGCAGTTTTCACAAATACATTTATGGTTTAGTTAGACAAGTGCTCCCAAACAGGGAGGGAGAAAAAATCTAAGAGGAAGGCTGTCCCCCTCTGTGCAGAGGAATCCAGATTTTAAAACTTCAGTTAGAATGTAGAATATACCGTATTTTTCTCTCTATAACACGCAGATTTTTTCTCCTAAAAAGGAAGGGGAAATGTCTGTGCGTGTTATTGAGCGAATGTGTGGTCCCTGGAGCCAACTGGCACGAGTGGAGGCAAAAACCAGGCAAAAATCAAATCGCGCGTCTCGGAGAAGGGAAACCTGAAAAAAGGAAGCTGCTGCTTTCCTGTATTCTGCCTCAGGGTCTTACTGCCCACCCTCCTCTGTTTCGTTGCTGTGTTTGCTCAAACGGAACAAAGAACAGGGAAAGCCTCTCCCCTCCAGGCAAGCAGAGGGGAAAGCAGAGCGTCCTTCCTTCTAATTCCTCTCCGTACTCCAGGCAGCCGGAAAACATGCAGGTGGGAGAGTGGGAGAGAGAGAGCTGGCTGGCTTGGGTGGGTGGGGGGAAACTTTTGCCTTCCTTTCCTTCCTAACCCGTTAAACCCCTCTCCTGCATTCTTAGCCAGCTGCTTCTCTGCACACCCCTCTCGTGCTCCTTGTCCCTTCTGTGTTTTTCCTTCCCTCCCCACTTAAAATGTGGTTACAAAGCATGGATCCACATGGATCCTCAGGATCTTTGCATTGGGTCACCCCAAATTCACCATCAGATCACATAGCATGTCCATGGCTACAGCCTGCCCCCCAAAAATCATGCACCCACTGTTGCCTGGGGCTGCAATGGTGCAAAAACGTGGTTAAAAAGCATGGATCCACATGGATCCTCAGGATCTTTGCATTGCGTCACCCCAAATTCACCATCAGATCACATAGCATGTCCATGGCTACAGCCTACCCCCAAAAAATCACACACCCACTGTTTGCCTGGGGCTGCAATGGTGCAAAAACGTGGTTACAAAGCATGGATCCACATGGATCCTCAGGATCTTTGCATTGGGTCACCCCAAATTCACCATCAGATCACATGTCTGTGGCCACAGCATGAAGCACAAAAATGATACATCCACTGTTTCATTCAGAATTCCCCCCCCTTGTTTTCCTCCTCTAAAAACGATGTGCGTGTTATGGTCAGGTGCGTGTTATAGAACGAAAAATACGGTAATACCTAGTTATCAGTGGAGCTGATAAGGCTATTTCTGGTGTCCTTGACCTAGGCACACCAATCCAAATGAAAGGAGAAGCACACTAAAGGAATTATATATATACTCTTATTATTTTAAAAGTACAGATATACAACCTCTGTCTTTTTCGTCTTCACTTTCAAAGCTTTCCCTTCCATCATGCCGTGGACTAGAAGGAGAACTGTAACTCTCTGAAGAGGTTTCTCCACATGTGTCATGTCCCATTGTAATGTCTAAATTTGAATCTAGAAGAGATTTCATTTCAGCAAAGGTTACCACTAGACATGGTCAGTTAATTAATATGCATATTAACTTGCCATTTTCTGCAACGTTCACCTGCTACCTAGTCAATAGCTCCCTGAAGTCAAGTCCATAGTAAGGATCTTTTGTTTGTTATCCAATAGTAAAAGACAAGAACCTTTACACAACCGCACAATGCCACTGCCATGATATACCAGAATCTATGGCTGAATTTCAAAGAGCTACTTTAGACACAATGGCCATGGGCATGAACAGTGGGAGCTTTTTACTTCCTCTATTTGAACAGTTAATCTTCCCACCATGTAAGAGTGCTGCTCAAAGTCCTCTGATTCAAAAGTAAGCAACAGAGGGCTGGTGTTCAATTATTTGAATTCTAGCTCATGTAATTTTGGAAGAAATACATGACCAATTCAACTTTGCAAAATAAATAATAATAATAATAATAATCCTGAGCATTCCCACGATACATCCTGTCCTATCTATACATGGGATTGCCATTGTTTTAGTAATTATCTGGGCAGTTCCAAGCAGGGTTCTGCACCAATGCAGGGCCAACTCTGGGAATATTCTACAACTTTAGGCCAGGTTGCTAACACTTACGTTTCCTCCTCTTTAGAGGACCTTATCATATGCATGTGTCTTAAGCTGTACCTATGGCAACCTGAAGAACACAACTGGCTTGCTGACCCCTGTAAGAGGATGCAGGTGGCTTTAGGTCCAAAAACAGGCTATGAAAAACATGCTCTGTCAAATGCTACATCAGCTTTTGCAAGTATGCAGCGGCATTAAAGAGGTATTTCTATCCAACACACACACACACACACACACACACACACACACACACTATAGCCATTCTCCAGATACTATAATGCCCAAGTCTAGGCAGAATCTATTACTTGGTAGCTAGCCATCAAGAGAATTGGAGGTTGGTTGGAATCACAGACATCTTAAGAGTGACGTAACAAATAAAACAGATATCCTTCCAGAACTATGACTCTTACAAAGGGGGGAAGACCAGAGTGATTCACAGATATGCAAGACTTTCCTGCAAACAGAAAAGTTAACCAATCAAAACCTGCGACAAATTTAAGTTGGAGATCTTTTTTGAAAGGCAAGGGCTAAGTCAGATTGCGTACAGATACAGAGGATGCAGAGTTTACTGGGCAGACTAGCAGATATAAAATTGTCACTAGGAAAAAAATACGTGCCCTGCTCCATCCAGAGGTTTTGGCATTGGAGAAGAATGAATTAGTGCCAAATATGGTAAGAATGTTGTCACTGAAAATCTGGAGATGTTGGGACCAAGGAAGTGGTCACTATGGCTGAACCTATTCCACTGAACAGAATCAGAGAGGAAGATGATGGAACTGCTGTATCAAGTATCCAAACTACAAGAAAGAAGATTCCACCTAAACATTAGGAAGAACTTCCTGACAGTAAGAGCTGTTCGACAGTGGAATTTGCTGCCAAGGAGTGTGGTGGAGTCTCCTTCTTTGGAGGTCTTTAAGCAGAGGCTTGACAACCACATGTCAGGAGTGCTCTGATGGTGTTTCCTGCTTGGCAGGGGGTTGGACTCGATGGCCCTTGTGGTCTCTTCCAACTCTATGATTCTATGATTCTAAGTGGAGTTTTATTGCTTGTTTTCTGAGTGCATATCAAGACTGATCCTCCTTTTGCTCCAGGATGCCACAGAGGCAACTGTTCCAACTGGCTCAGCAGAATTTCAGATTTCTGAATATCAGTAAGATCAATAATTTCATGTAGATACTCAATAAAGAGAAAACATAGAAGTGCTTTCCCCATACCTATCTAGTCACTTGAGAAGAAAAGGGGTATCGAGACCCCAAATCATTAATGAACATTCAAACTAGATCCATACTCTTAGTTTTGGAAAAATTAAAAAGAATATTCCATAGCTCCTCTGCTACAGATATTTCTTAGTGAGTTAAGTGGGAAAGGAAGGAAATGGTTAATTGTAACAAGTGCATGCTTGTAACAAGTGAATCTCACAGAGTATGCTGGCTCCACATTAGAAAGGCTTGTGGTACCAAATATTTAATTCTCAGCGCAGAGTTGGAAGCAGCATGCATAAGTACTGGTTCCAGTTGTAGATCGCACTATGGTACCAATATATGGCTACCATTTAGGGTTTTGAAGCATCAACAGTTTTATATGTGGGAAAGTAAGATGGTTGGCTTCTCAAGCAAGTGTGATTTCAGTTTTTTCTGTGCTCTTGGGATTTATGGTCTCAATGGTAGGACAAAATACAAAAGTGAAGGCAATCTTCAAGAACATCTGTCTAAAAAGAAACACTATGCACAAGGAGGACTGCATGACCTGAACATCTGATCCAACACTGCATCCAGGAGTGTGTGTTCTAAGGAGATGCAGCAGATTTTATCAAGGATCAGTTCTGGAAGGCTGGGCTTTGATGAAACAATTACTGGGGCAGAAATCAATTTCTGCTCGGAGGACACTAAGACTACAGACTAGGAACCAAGTCTTGTCAGTGAATCTACTCAATTAGATTGGAAGAAGAGAAAGCTGGTAGAGGAGGATCAATGCAGTAACTTGACATGGCCACATTATCCTTTTGGGCAGGCACCCCCAAACTCAGCCTGCCAGATGTTTTGGGACAATTCCCATCATCCCTGACCATTGGTCCTGTTAGCTAGGGATGATGGGAGTTGTAGTCTCAAAACATCTGGAGGGCCGGGTTTGGGGATGCCTGCTTTTGGGACTCTTATTAAGAGGATCAAAAGAAGCAGTTTGCCATTTCAGATCTTCATCTAGACCTTACACAGGTGCCATGTATTCAAGTATCACCTTGGAGTCAGGTGACTCGAGTTGGGGATGGGGGAGAGATGAAACACAGTTCCTTTACAGTACTTGCAGCCATTTCCCCACGGCAGTATCTAAAGTGGAAGAGTGACCATGTCAGGATCATTTTTATCTGTTAGCATAGGGAACAGCCTACCACATGCCATTCACTGACACAAACCAAAGCACTGGTGGTTCCCATCCAGAATGGGTACTCTCTACTAACACCTTGATAGCCACAGCACCTTTTGAACACCACACTCCCAATTGTGCCATAGACACGCGGGACAACTAGATTAAACCACAGATTGAAAGAAAAATGAGTTCTATCTCTTAGCTAGAATAAAGGGAAAAAGCTTCTCTAATTTAATAAAAGTGAAGAACAGTCGAAAAGAGCATTCACAGTGATCAGAGAAATGGGAGGACTCATTTTACCCTTCAAGTTCCACAGACAGTATAAGATGTTCTCTCAAGTAGTGGGGCACAAGCCTAGTTAAAGTTCTAGAATGATTCCAGAATTGACTCTGTGTAAGTGCAGTATCCATACACAGAACTAACAATGGGAAAGACCATGAAGAAGACTTCTGGCAATTTTAAGAGAATCTTAATATTTTCCTGCCCTATCAGCTCATCTTGCCATACAATCATCCGTATGCAGTATGCATAAATGGATTAATGTATAAATCAAACAATTTAAGACTTGAGTGGGGAGCCTCAGGCCCAGTAGCAAATCATGATCCTCAAGGCCTGTGTCTAGCACTTGAGACTCTCCTCTCCCAGGTCACAACCCTCAATGTCCATGCTATGCACTCTTCCGAGTGTACTCCTTTACTGTGATGCTGTTGCTTGATTTCCTGGCTCGAGAGATATGCGTGTATAGAAACCTCTGGAATGTAGACTACTGTACAAAGGTAAGAGCCACATCCACTGCTCCACCAGCTTTTGTCCCTGGCCCTGCCCATAGCTGACAGAGAAGCTCCTCCAATGAACTTGAAAAGTCTCCAATCACATTTCCTACCTTTTACTGTTCCTGGGTGGAGGTGAGCATCGGCGACTCTCATACAGCTAGTTCTGATGGTAAACCTGGTGTCAGTTCTCTTTATTTTATCTCTGTGTGAGAATACAAACATAGTTCATTTTTCAAAATAAGTGGTCATAAAGTCTCTCATAGGACCTCGAGGTTAGTATTTTCAATTCAACTTCAAAATTATTCAAGGATATGGATTGCGCTATACAAAACTCAAAAGTTTTTAAACTTTTGGTTTAACATGACCGTAGTTACTGGTACACATGCATATATTAATATATGTTAATACATTGCATTATATTAACAAATTGTATTTTGTATGTCTAGGCAAATCTCTGATTAGGCTATTAGATAGTAAGTCAACATCTGCATGAAAGACCTTGTGTGCATATCATGATAAGCCACCGTAAGGTCACATACACACCATACACAAAGAACCTTAGGCACTGCAGTTTGTTGAAGAAGCGAGAAGCAGTTGAGAGGGGTGTATTACAATCCCCAGGATTCTTTGGGGTAAACCATGACTGTTGAAGTGGTATAAATGTGCTTTAAATATATGGTGTGGATGTGACCTAAGAAACAATCAATGACGTACTGTGAATGAGCATCGTGCTATTGCATGCTGCTCAATTGCTGCTAATTTATTCTACCTTGCCTGGAGTTGGAAGAAACACACCATAAACTTGGCTAAATGTGTGTGAACACCAGTGATCGTGATCTGTTTCTCTCCCAACAAACCTGCAAGCGGAAGCCATGGTTTGTACTCTGTTTACCACTCATAGTAAACAACAACAAAAAAACTCATAGCAAATTCTGAAAAAGATCAGCTTTCCTCTAACAGAAGCCAATAAATTTGAATGCTATACTTAATGGCTATATTTTGATAAATGCATAAGCAATATTCTGTTTCTTTTTAATGTGTAGTACTTACTTTTCCGGTTGAAGCTTTCCTTTCTTCTTGCTCATTACAGGCAAAATCCTCTTCTCCCCTGTATACTGGAGAACGAAATAGCAGATCAAAAGCCTCCCACTTCAGAGACCGACAAATGCTACAACTGCACTTAGACCAAAGGAACAATGTTGACACAAAGTTATTTTCCTCCCACGTAACAGCTCATCATTTGGAATGAGATGTACAAGTTCTCACAATTTTCTATGCTTATGCTCTGCTGGTGTTCCAGCACACTCAAGGAACCTCTCTGTCTTAACTGAGTCAAATAAATATTTGCGTATGATTTCCTCTTTGAAAGTCCTATCGAAGCTTAAACATGCAGCATTTCCATTGCTTAGAAATGGGAATGACATACAAGGCTTTCACTGCTTAAAATTGTGGCGAGTCAACTGGTGGCTTCTGGGCAGTACCTTGCCTGGAAGATGGGATGCAGATCATCTAACTGTCTAACACTCATCTTAAAGTGACCCAGGGAGTGGCACAATTCAATTCAAAAGCAGAAGACTATAGATAGTGGTTTCAGCTCTTTTTGCTTTTCACCCACATTCAGATGAGGAAGAGCATTACCTAAGTTGTTTTTTTTTTTAAATGCACACATGGTATTTATGAACTGGCACGTTCCCTTCCATGAACCTTGCAAATTATGCAAAAGCCTCTGGGTCATGTTTCTGCTCTCTGTAGCTTGCCCCACCCTGCCCACTGCTCTACTCTTTCCATCCCTTTGAAATGCTACTGCTGGCACCTGCCACTCAGCCTATGGGGAGTAAGAGGTTTGTGAAAAGTGGTGTAATTCATCACCAGTACTAACTGTCACTCCAGAGAGGTTTCATTAAAAATAAAACATGTGAATTCAATGGGGTTCTGCTGCCACTTAAGAAATATGTGCTTTTAAGAAACATCAAATAAATACCTGATCAAGTAATGTGCAATGCTCTGGATGCTGCTGAACAGCACAGCCTTTTCTTCTCCAGTCTGCCACACCGTTATGCTCAGAATTTATGTTGAAGCCATCCAGTGAAGAACATTTAGTATTAACTGTGCTGTTATAAGAAATACATGAGTTTATGTCACTGAAAGTACCTCTAACATTTCAATTCATACAGGAAAATGTCCACCCATGCACAACCCACAAGGCTAGTTCTTTTTACTAAATTTCAGAGACCAGATTTCTGTAGATAAACACTAATCTGCACACTTGGGACAAAGTAGCAACTGCATTTGTTAATTCACTGATTTCACCTCCTTTAAAATTGTGGCGAGTCAACTGGTGGCTTCTGGGCAGTACCTTGCCTGGAAGATGGGATGCAGATCATCTAACTGTCTAACACGCATCTTAAAGTGACCCAGCCTTAGATCCATTTCAGTCCGGTTTCCGTCCTGGTTTTGGGACCGAGACGGCTCTGGTTGCCCTAACAGATGATCTCCGTAGACAACTGGATCGAGGCGGGTCAGGACTGCTGATCCTTTTAGATTTGTCAGCAGCCTTTGACATGGTCGATCATGATCTTCTGGACCACCGCCTCGCAGGCGTGGGGATACAGGGCATAGCCCGTAACTGGCTATGCTCTTTTATCTCTGGTCGGGGACAGAGGGTGGCACTAGGGAGGGAAATGTCGTCGCGCCATCCCTTGGTGTGTGGAGTGCCGCAGGGCGCAATTCTCTCCCCGGTGCTTTTTAACATATTTATGCGTCCCCTTGCCCAGATTATCCGGAGCTTTGGGCTGGGCTGTCACCAATATGCTGATGACACTCAGTTCTATCTGCTGATGGATGGCCACACCGACTCGGCCCCGAACACACTGACCTTGGAAGCTGTGGCTGGATGGTTTCATGGGAGCCGATTGAAACTAAATCCTTCGAAGACAGAGGTCCTATGGCTGGGTCGGGATAGCATGGGGATGAGAGACCAACTCCCTTCTGTTGCGGGGGCCCAATTAGTGCCATTGCCTTCCGTTAAGAGTTTGGGTGTAATCCTTGACGCCTCCCTTTCCATGGAGGCGCAAGTTACAGCAACAGCCAAGGCGACATTTTTCCACCTTCGCCGCATCAAGCAGTTGGTCCCTTACCTTTCCCGTCCCGACCTGGCCACAGTGATCCATGTGACGGTCATCTCCAGGCTTGACTACTCTAATTCACTCTACGCGGGGCTGCCCTTGAAGCTGACCCAGAAACTCCAGAGGGTGCAGAATGCTGCAGCGAGGCTCCTCACGGGGTCTCTGCCATGGGAGCATATTCACCCAGTGCTTTTCAAACTGCACTGGCTCCCAGTAGAGTACAGGGTCAGATTTAAGGTGCTGCTTTTGACCTTTAAAGCCCTTCATGGCCTAGGACCCTTGTACCTATGGGACCGCCTCTCCCGGTATGCCCCACGGAGAGCCTCAAGGTCCATAAATAGCAACACCCTAGTGGTCCCGGGCCCTAAGGAAGTTAGATTGGCTTCAACCAGAGCCAGGGCCTTTTCAACTCTGGCTCCGGCCTGGTGGAACGCTCTGCCTCCTGAGACCAGGGCCCTGCGGGATCTGATTTCTTTCTGCAGGGCCTATAAGACAGAGTTGTTCCGCCTGGCTTTTGGCTTGGAGCCAATTTGATTCCCTCCCTCTCTTTTTTTTTTCTTTCCTTCTCCTCCTGCGATGAGGCTACATTTTAATATTTTAATGTTTCAATATTTTAATGTTGTATTTTAATTTTGTTTTTAAGTTGTAATCATTCAACTTGTTTTTATTATTGCTTGTAAGCTGCTCTGAGCCTGGCCTTGGCTGGGGAGGGCGGGGTATAAATAAAAAATTATTATTATTAGCACTGGTATGTCTGAGCCTTTTAAAACTGAGATACTTAATCCTCTGCCTGCTATTTGTTGTCTTATTTTATATGTTTTTCTTTTTATATTGTATTGCACCACTGAAAACCTTAATACAAATTATTAGAGGGGATTTCTAGGAAGCCAGAGAAATTATTATCTTCTGAAAGCTGCAAGGATGTGTATTAGGTATAACAAGGAAAAGAAGGAAGGGTCAACAACTTTCAACAGTTATTGAAAGTTTTGGACGTCAAAATAAGGTAAGGAAGACAGGATGGTAGCATATTTATGGAAAAGTGGAACCGGTTATGTTATAGAATTTGAAAGTATGGAGTAATTTACAACCCTGTAAATATGATTACTTTCACAACACTATTCATGTTGACACAAACATTTCTCATTTTTATAATAATAATATGCACAAACTATTTTATTGTAATTATTGTAAATATTAATTTATTGTAATATTGTAAATATTTAAAAAGTGTGTTGCTCATTAACCTGTTGAAAGTTGAGCACTGCAGCAAAAAAGAATATGAAGAAGAGAACAATACGGCCCAGAACTGAATCAAAGGATTCAAACTATTAAAGTATTGGCTTAGTTAGGAAAACAACCCAGAGCAGGTATAAGCTGGATGCATTTATTTCTGTTACTTACTCAAACTGTAAATATATGGTTTTTTGTCCATGGCTTACAAAAATCTTAAGGGAAAGTACAGTTTGTTTTTGAAAAACTTCATCTAAAACCTTGTTATTCACCCCACAACCAAATGGTTTGCCACTCTATCCAGTGTTGGGAGTAGGCTGGTTGAATTAAAGTCCAAAACTCTAAAGGATTTCTCTGTGGAAGGCAGTAAGGGAAAATAAAGATATCCACTTGGTGGCAGCAGTGAATAATAAAAAAGGGGGTGGGTGGGTTGGCTTAACTGGTTTGTCTCCCTTCCCATGGTACATGATTTAGCCTTTGTCTTCACAGATGCTGTTTCCTTGAATTATATGTAGAAAGAAAACTGTACCGTAGCAAAGTTTTCCTAATACTAAACATAAGATTTACAGTTTGCCACAAGAGGTTCCCTAGCAATTTCTTAACAATAATATGACAGATATTTCTCCCCTCAAAAAAACCAAGCATCAAATGGATTAGTTTAAGTGAGAAAATAACAAGGACCTACTTCGTAATAGGACATTTCCCATTATGTTTCTTGTGAATCACTGTGTGCTGTATCATTTCTGGATAGGAAAGAATAGTAAAAACATTATTGATCAAGTTCATTTTAATTAACCAGAGTGGCTGGGGCAACCCAGTCAAATGGGTGGGGTATAAATAATAAAATTTCATCCTTGGCCCTCTGCATTTTCACAAGAGCAAAAATACTACTATAGTAGGAGTAAGTGGGGGCAGGATAATGAACTGCAAGTTCATTTTGAACTGCATGCTTACCTTCCTCCTGACTTGAAGCTTCTGAGCTGTCCTCCTTGAAATGTTCCGGTAGCTTAGATGTCTTCAGAGAAGATTGGAGATTATCTGGAAGGTAAGCATCATTGAACAACTTCAAAAGGTATTACTCAAAAGGTTAATTTTAACAGCTACCTAGTTTTACAAAGGGCTGTAGAAAATTTGCAGTTATGGGGAGTATACCTTGCAGCTACTTGCATTAATTTGCTTCAAGACTCCATGGCAGCTTAACCAGTCTAACATTAGGAACATTTAGAGAACTCCTGTACTGGTTTGGTGTGAGGGATAAAATTATGTATTCAAAGCCTCTCACACATACACTCTCCTCCTCTTGGTTTAGAAGTCCTTGTCTGCCAATACTGCAGCAAGTTAATTTTATTGTAAAACAGTAAATTGATAATTTTAGCTGATTATCTGTTCTTAATATGCTAATCTCTAAAACTGCTAAGGACCTGACAGGATGGCTCTGCTTATGGCATCTGTTTTCAGTCTTCATTAAATTTCATATCTTCTTTTTTACTGGCCAGCTTTCAAGATACAGTATATCATTAGATAGCTTATGCCAACCATCCATTCATTTTTTGGGGAGAAATGGATCTATACTCGAAAGAGCATGCTAAATAACATACAAAGGCCCTTCTCCATGAGCTCCCTCCACAAGTGGTCAAGAGGATGGCAACCTGAGAATGGCCTTTTCAGGAGTGGCTCCCCTGGGAAGTTTGCCTGGTGCCATCATTACATATTGTGAGGTACCACGCAAAAACAGTTCTTTTCTACCAACCCTTTGGCTTTTAACTATCTGCAGCTTCCTTTATTGAGTTGGATGTTTTAATTCTGCCCCTTAAATACACAAAATGTCTTTTAGATTTTTCTGTGATGGTTATAATGTGTGTTATTTGTTTTAAGTCGCTTTGGGTTGCACTGGCAAAAAAGCTACTTAATAATAATAATAATAATAATAATAATAATACCAAATTCTTGTAAATCTATCACCCAGCAGCAGTACATCTACTTAAGATTTTAAATTAAAAATGCAACAATGAACCTGTTTAAAGGCTAGCATTATTTTGTTCTTCTGAACCCTTACAGCTGGCTGCCTTAAATGAGAAGTCCACTGTACAAAAGTTATACAATTTTCAGCATACTTGGAAATAGTGTTTTCCAGGGGTTATTATCTGAAAGCCAGAACTCTAGTAAGAAATTCTAAGAACGCAATAGATAGGATCAGTCGACAATGTTGATAAAGTACGTGATGGCATTTCTGGAGCCTGGAATCAGATGACATCAGTTTTACAATGTTTAAAGGCTTAGGAGAGTTTATAGCTTTCTACTGAGTGTATGTCTGGACCTCAAAAGTTAAAAGGGGCAGGGGGCGGACAGACTGTAGCATTCAAAATTTAGTGGCTATTATCAAATCTTGATACACCAGTCTGAGACTGCACACTGTCTCAGTTGCATCTATTAATCCTACTGAAGTCAATGTAAGTGTATCTTAAATATAAGTGTGTAAGCTTATCTGATACAAACACTTTGTATTAATCTGTAAATCAATCAGAAGTGTGTTTAGAAATTTCTTACTGTGCACGTGCAAAGACTCCGAGGACAGAGATTGAAAGAAGCTGTTTACTCTTTGATTCTGCAGAAAAGCTTGAGATGTTGTTGAAAACAGCTGCCTAAAAATAAATAGAAAGTAGACAATCCAATCAAGGTTAACTTAACCTATATATTACTTTTTCATTCATTCAACTTAGCTTTTATTTAAACCCAAACCAAATACCCAGAATTGGAATGTGAACTAGCCCCCCCAGGGAAAAATGAGGGGCTGAGAGGACATATATTATTCTGATTGCTCCCTTGCTTTTATCTGTTAACATTTGTGATTTAAAAACCGAATTTAAGAATACGATTCTACCCATTTCTAACAGTTTATTTCAGGTGTCTGGTACAAGACAGATGATGTACCTATGCAACTTGGCCAGTTTGCGTTGCTAAGGTCTTATGTGATAGGAAGAAAGGCTCATACCCAGTTACTAACCATGCTTCTCCTGCCCAACAGGGTAAAATGATAAAGCAAGTAGGTAAGAACTACTTAAAAAGTCAGAAACAAGAGTGGTGGCTCAGTAGAATGCATAGTAATTCTCATGTCCATATCTTATGTGTTGGATGCAACACTTGAATAGGTCCTGTACTCTTATGGTCAGCAATGCACATAAGAACTAATAGCACTGGATTTCATTCATATTGGCACTCTACAAATTTATTGTTCTGTTCTGCCTTTAAGAGCCAGATCTCCCAGGGCAGCTTAAAATTACAATCAATGAAGTAAAAAATGCAATTCAGAACCCTAAAAACCAGTATTTAGAATAGGTCAAAGGCCTAACAGGATATAAACATTTTTAGCGCTCTCTCAAAAAAGTCAGAAGAGGCGAAACAAAATTATTTGCAGAGGATATTCCAAAGATGCAGGAACACAAATGTTCTCTCCAAGTGAGGAATGGAAGTTATGCTCTCCTTCCTTCCTCCTTCTACAAAAGTAACGAACTCGGCATTCTTAGGATTCTGGGGACACCAGTTTGAATATGCAGTTTAACTACAGCTATGCAGACTCAGCAATGCCTTGTTTTTCGGATTCTGAAGTTGCAGAACTATAGTTCCATAGGTGCAGATTAAGGGAAAGGAGTGAAGATCAGTGATACAGCACATGTTTTGCATGCAAAGTGGCCCAGATTCAATTCCTAGCACCTCCGTTCCTCCATTTCCTGGCTTGGAAAAGATTGTCTAAAAACCTGAAGAGCCACTGCCAGTCAGTGTAAACAATACTGAGCTAGATATAACAATGCTCTGATTTGGTATCAGGTGTCTTCCTATGTGAATCTCTAGTTTAAAAAGATTAACCACATGCATAATATGGAAGGTGAGAGCACCACATCCAAATTAATATAGTAAACACCATATTAATTTCCTCAAACGATTACCTTATCATGGGTTCAAAGTCTAGGTGTCGCCTTTCTTCTTGCTTCTGGAACCCTTGATTTAATGCTCCTAAAATAGTATTGTCAAATGCTTCAGAAGAAAGTTCCTTTGGAAGCTGGTGAGAGGGATAATGTTAATTATTGGCAGATAACAGCAATTTGTATCAAAGTAGTCATGCAAATCATCATAAGGCAGCAACAGCTCCTTTTACACTCCATCAGCAGTGGCTTATATCCAATGCAGCACTAAGCAAGCATCCCATCAGCACAAGGATTCCTACTTATACAATGTGCCCCCCAATCTCTACACAGCCGTACACCCTCCTCAAATCTGCTCTGAAGAGCTGAACCCCCAAACTAGAACAGCAAGGGGGGGTACTGTGCAAGCAGGAAATATTGTGCTGATAGGATGTTTACTTAGCACTACATTTGAACTTCCCCCTCCCAATAATAGACAGACCATTAATTTTGGGGTGTTTTTTTAAAACACAACCAGTCCCTTCAGACTAGAAATAAAAGCAGGTTAATGTTAATTAAGGCTTAATCCCTTCTTTAATTAGAACTACAACTTCTTCCAGGCATGAAAAAAGATATTACATTGTGCCTATTTTGCAGTAGTCAATTTTACTTTGGTATCCACAGGTTTCATGGCAAATGGGATAAATAATTTGGAAGCCAACTTGTAAAATCTTTCAGTATCTAGTATTTAGAAGTTCCCAAGCAGTTGAGGACAAATAAACTCCTTTCAGTGTCTGGGCTAAAATTCTATGTATTTTACAATAGAATAACCATAAACAGCTTTAACATGTTGAAGATGCTGGAAAACATTTTGCTATTTTTTCTTCTTAACAGCCACCATTATACTTCCCCCAACTATAAACTGACCATCAACAAGATATTAATTTTTAAATTACACTTGACTTAAGACATTATTTCAAATGATAGTATAGACATGACAGGTTCTTTTAAGAGAACATCAGAGCTCGTGTCTTAATACAAGTCAGCCATACTGCAGTGATGATTGTAAGTCAATAGACATTTTGTAGCAATCACCATCTTGCTGTCCCTAGTTCAGACATGAAAAAGAGCTCTCACAAGGATTGTGATCCCTGCATCATAGGAAGATCCACTTCCACCCTGCATGCCTAATACTGAGATCCTCTCTTCTATTACATTCCTATGCCCGCCGATTCCCAATGCTACAATCCCTTCCTGCAAATCCTAAAGCACTGTTATATAGATATGTCCTCCTGGAGACAAACTCTCTAAAGCTCTAAAGGTTTAGGACATGGGAGCAACCTGCCTGGAAATGTTCCTCACTCGGCCGTGGAAGTGGCAGTTTAGCTAATCTGATATCTGCCTCTTTAGATGTAGAGATTACAGAGAGAGGACCTCAAATGGTCCCACCAAATTAACTCTAATATTAGACAGTATTGATATAGATATGTATGTATGTATGTAGGTACTGCTGAAACAAGCAGTCCCTACTTGTTAAGTTACTTGCAGCTAACAACTTGAAATTGTTGCTTCCTGCGACTGGACCTAACGGTCAGGGGTCCCTTTATCTTTAACCAATTTAAACTGTCAACATTCTGTAATAAGCACAAACTCCAATTGCATATAACATCTGAACATGTTCACCGTGTGTGTGTGTGTTTTAAAGTCACTGGTAAAATAGTAGCTTTTCAGTTCCACCTTGAAGATCAAATACATAAATCTCAAGCTAGCTTTGTACCTTTGAATATAATACAATCCCTTTCAAATACGTACTTTTAGTAGAAATTCCTGTAAATCTTGATGTGTTTTTGTTACACAGGATATAGAATGATCAGACCAGATTACCTGATGAAAAAGAAAATGTAATAAATAACCACACATTGCTTTTACAGGGTACCATGACAGATTTGATACCAATGTTCCATGTAATCAAGGTAGCCTTTCCCATCCTGGTGCCTTCCAGACTAAGTTCAATCAGCCTGCTAGGGAAGCCACTTTTAGAAACAGAAGGTATTAATGATAATAAGACAGATACAAGCATGATTTCATTTAGTGTAATATCCAACCTCTAAACCATTGCCCTGACATATTACAGTAAGTTCACTGAACATGTATCAAGTACTCTTTATATATAGTACTTGATTCATGATTTCTCTATCCTCCAAATTAATAGAGGAGAGATAAATCTTTTTATCCAAATTAGCATTTTAGTTGGGAAATATCAACTTCACATATACTAAAATATATTACGGTGCCCCAATTAGCCCATTTCAAACTACACATTCAATTTGACGGTAACCATTTCTGTTTTAATATAACAAGGCAACAGTGTTTTCATAACGAATTACAATACTCATACAACAAACTGCCATAAAAAACTGTGTGAATCAGTGAATAGGTAAGTGTTGCTCGATTAAGCAAGAACATTCATCTGACATTTTAACCCTTTTCTAATGTATTCTTATATTTTTAGACCACCCTTCAATCAAGCTTCTTAAGGCAGTGCACAAACATTGTAATGAAATACAATAGCAAAATCTCGTTATTTTAACTCTGAACTGCAATCAATGCAAGTATTTGTAGCCCACAGATTGATCACTTACTTTGAAAGTATACTCCAGATGTTTGTCAGCTCTTTTCCTTGGTACTCCTTTCAGCATTATCTTTTCAATATGAACAGCTGAAAAACACGAACTGGAAATGTAAAAATGTTCAACAGTACACAAGTACTTTTCATGATTTAACCTCTCTGTATTAGGTACTTGCCTATGTTGCTAAAACACTAGAAGGCTGGACCTGGAATTAGATATTTGGAAACAGCACATCACTGCTTCCTTCTAACTATATGGTTTTTCAAAGTCTTCAATTTACTACCCATCAGTACCACTATGCCATGGGGGCTAGTCCTCTGTTGCCCAGTGTATGCTGATCCAACTATACCTGCATAGGCTACACAGCAATACCTGCCAAAATGAATTGTTAAAGGCCTATTTGCACTAATTCACTGTTTGACTTCAAACTGTACTACAGCTCAGCAACCCAAGAAACCAGCAAGCTAGAATTAATTAAATCATGAGTTATCTCTCAATAACCTTGAAGAAGTTCCAGGTATTTCTGGAGAATTAGTGTAAAAAGAACAATTCCACAATTTTAGACAACTACGTCTGTCCTCCTACACAATGAAGATATTGACTGGGACATCTTTTATCAAATGTAACAGCTCTCAATTCCCCTTACTCATTATGAAATGAAGAACAGCAAGGAGAAGAGAGGACAGAACAGAAGCAAGGTAGTTACCACAACGTGGGAACACTATTTATTTATTTATAAACAGCTATAAACCACCTAATATTTTAATACCTCTAAGCAGTGTAAAACATAAAACACAGTTTGAAACATAAATACAACTTAAAAAAGTAAAATTGCAATATACCTGGCTGGACTGCACTGCAAAAGGGGCAATGAACCTTTAAAACCAAATCCAGCCATTCCTCTTTTAAATAGTGTTTTAAGTTATTTGTAGCATTACAATCCTCCTACTTAAGGAACACCACAGGCTTAGTCCCAAGACAAGAAAAAGTCAGACTTCATTAATTTTTGAACCACAGTTCCTTTTAACTTAAACAGATGCAAACACAACTACATTTATTTATTTTTTAAATATGTGCACACTTATCCCACTTTGTGTTTAAACACTAGTCTAGCAGCAACAGGAAACAAGGAATTACATACAGGCAAGACTTAAGGCCAGTAGAAAAGGGCCTGAGTTCTTTTTCCATCCTCTGCATGCAGCACATACATAAACTGGACTACCAGGAGGAAAGCCCTCTTTTCTACACCCTGTACAGAAATGTAGTGGGATGCCGCCGAAGGGTTCTGTCCCTCCTCTGTTAGTTCCCAGAAATTTCTAATCCATTAGCTGTACTTAAGAACTATCTTAATTAGCTCCTATTAAAAAGCTTTGCAATAGCAAAAATGGATATTCCTAGTTTGTGAATTTCATCAACTCGAATTACCAATGAAAGCTGGGGGGCGGGCGGGAAATGATTCTTTTTATTTTCCACTGCCAGAGACGTGATGTAGCATATCTGTTTGATTTATATAACATAAGCAAATATACAAAAGCAGTCAAAGTAAAGTATTATCGGAAAAAAATGAATCAATGGAGGCATACTCAGTGTACCTTAAATGTTATAATCAAACAAATTCAAAGCTTTAGGTGGAAATTATGTTATTGGTTTATAAATATTCAAATACATGGCAACTTATTAACACACATTGCCCATAGTAGCAATTTAAGAAAAAATGGAAGACACGGAAAATACACGCATTTGAGCATACCTGAGGAGCTGTGCACGTAAATTTGTTTCTAAGGAATAGCCTTTTGAAAGTTAATTGTAACTTGGTTTTTACATTTGATTGATACTCTATTACAATTGCCCAATTTGACTTTGATTCATTTTTTATTATACCAATTGATATTACAAAAGCTACATATTTCCAAAAATGGGATGCTTTTAATCGAACAACGTAACAGTGGAAACATTTCCACTTCACCACTAACTGAGAGCAAAAGACATAAAATGGGGATAAAACTTTGCTAATCTGTTAGCTACTCAAAATATGAGATTTTGATCTACATACCTTCTTGTTGTGGTCTGTGGGAGGCTACCATATGTTTATCATGAAGTGCTGCCCTTTGTTCAAGTAAACCGCTCTCATTCCTTGCCATGCAGTTATGAGAAAAGTTCTAAATTGAGGAAAAGAAATAAAAATATTAAATATAAACCTGATTACATTTAGTGATATAAAAGTATGACAGTAGAAAGACAACAGGAAACAACATGCATGTGAAAAATAATGCAAAATGCATTATATATGCAACTTAGGGTCTCTAATTAAAAATCTGTTCCTTTTCTAAATGTATGTAGCATTATCAAATAAGTTATTTTAAATTGGAGCAGTCATTTCAAAATTTTAAACCAAGTCCTATAGTTGGAGCGAGAAACCTCTAGCTAGGGGTCCAATTGGGCCTTTTAGGCTATTTCTCCAAACCACATTCACCAACTGACATAACAAAGCAAAGCAAGAGTCCACCTCTCACCAAGTTTAAAAGGCCATAGATTGTTTAATTAGCCAAAGGCCTGGGAGAAGAGGAATATATTTGCTTGGCTCCTAAAAATATGTAACGAAGGTGCTAGGTGAGTCTACCTGGTGAAAGCATTCCACAAGCAGGAAGCCAACGCAGAAATGTTGCTACCCTCCGGACCTCTCAAGATGATGATTGCAGAGTCTAGGTTGGTTCATATGAGAGGTAGTCCTTGAGATATTGCGGTCCTGCGCCATTTAAGGCTTTATAGGTCAAAACCAGCACTCTGAATTGGGCTCAGAAACTAACTGGCGGCCAGTGCAGCTGGGTCAGGATTGGAATTGTATGCTCAGTCTTACTCTGGTGAGCAAATTGGCCACTTAATTCTGCAACAGATGAAGTTTCCAAACCGCCTACAGAGGCAGCCCCACATACAATGCATTGCATTAATCTAATCTAGAGGTTACTAGAGCATAGACAACAGAAGTGAGGCTATCCCTGTCCAGACAGGGACACAGCTGGGCCACCAGTCAAAGCTGATGGAAGGAACTCCACGGGACTGAGACTACTTAAGCCTAACAGATCCTGTGTACTCGCTCCTTTGGTGGGACTGTAACCCAATGAAAAGCAGGCAACCTCCCATCCATCTGGTCTAGGGAACCACTAACAGTGCCTCAGTCTTATCTGGATTAAGATTCAGTAATGGCTCTCATCCAGTCCATTACTGAGGCAAGACACCAGTCCATCATATCCACTATAAAGAAGATGTAAAGGTGCAGTAGAGCTGTGTGTCATCAGTAGACTGCTGATAATGCACTCCAAAACTCTGGATGACCCAACCCAACTCCGCAGTTTCATGTAGATGTTGAACAGTATGGGAGATAAAACTGAACCTTGAGGAACCCCACAATTTAACCTCTGGTTCTGCCTGAGAAGTCCATTTCAAACATGAGGGTACCTCCCCAATTCCACTTCCCCTCTGTTTTCTCTGGAATTGTCACTCCCCTCATCCACCATTGCAACCTTCCCCAACCTAGAGCTACTCAAGATGTTCAATTCCAAAATCAACAGCACCATGTACTTCTGTGTATATAAGCCAAAGTACGTGTAATGGAACCATATTCTTCCTCTGTCTAACCTGCCTCAATTTCCCTCCCCTTCTATGTGCCTGTAAGCCCCTGGGCTAGGAACCTGTCACATCTGTTCTTTGGAAAACAGACAGATGATGCTATATCAATGAAATAATTATTTTTAAAAAATTTAAAAATGCATGGAGTGAAGACAAATATTTTATTTTCTCTCAAAATACTAAAATGTAGGGTCCTATGTTCAGAAACTGCATAGTGAACTAATAGTTTTACAGGGCCACACACTTCAGTTGTGAAGAACACACTTAACATTTATCTTCCTCCTCCTCACTTATTCCATGGATTATAACTATTTTGACATTCATAATGTATAACAGAAAACAACAATAGCAAAAATATACCCCGAGCAGATGCAGTTTCACATCTGAAACTTGCTTAAACTGTAACACAATTAAGAGGAAAGAAATGGTGTTCGCTTTTGCTGCCCTGATGCTAAACATACTTGGGAATAGAAAAGGATAATTTATATATAAAATAAATGCACATCTGTAACCATGTATGTGTAATCACCCCAGTGTGTGTGTGGATATTGTTTCTATGGCAACTAGCATCAAACTTGGTGAGACCCAGCATGCCCAACACCAGTCCAGGTACTGACAGCAGCCTTGTTTACCATTAAACTTCATCCCAAGCCACTCTCTGCATGGTTTTTTTTTTTGCCTCCTTCCTCTTAGTGTGGTGTCCTTGACTTTGGCCCTGAGGCCCAGACCTAGATGTAGCACTGTATCATATGCTCAGAACAAATGTGGGAAAATATATTGCCATCATCATTTGCTGAGGCATTTTGGCTCTTTCACCACTGGCAACAGGAAATCCCATTTCAACTGCGCAAGGGCTTTTAAGTTACACCTGCAAATCCTTTTGCTTGTATGTTGATGCAAACTAAAAAAAGGCACCATCGTTGTGGCCTTTCTATGCCCTCATGCAAATAGCAGGCTTGCTTTAGAAATAGAAAATGAAGTTCTAAATGGGAGTTAGTACCTCAAGCCTCCTGCAAATATGCCTCAACTTCCGATTTTCATGCTCTTCTAATTCTGTGCCACCAGGTCTATCTAAACCACAGCCGTTACCAGTTGCACGGTCACATAACCAGCAACGTTTATTTAAACTAATCCCCCCCCATATCCTGCCTTTCTGTGCAACGCACATCCGCGGCAGCTTGTACCAAAATATTTTGTGGAAAAGCAGCGGTGAGGCAATGGGAAACTCCCTTACTTCCAGGAGCAGAGGGATAAACTGGGTCAGCTCATCCTGCTGAGGACAAGAGGACCTATTGCAGCAGACACATACACTGCAGCTCACCCCCAAGGACTGAGCTCTCCCCCCGCCCACCAGATTCCTCCTCCGCCACTAAAGGGCCACTTTGAGGAAGGGATGGAGCGCGGAGGGCCTCTAACAGCTCATCCTCTAACTCTAGACACTGTTATGTCACAAGGAGAAGTTCTTCCGGGCGCCTGTGCAGCAGGCGAGAGCACCGGGGGGTGGGGGGTGGCGGAGGCTCGGGAAGACTCCATTCATGACGCGTGGGAGGGGTGATTAGCAAAAGGCGGGGGCGGGCTATGCGAGAGACGTGTGTTTCTCCCTCTCTCTTTTTCGCTCCGCGCGTTCAAAGCGGCGCCCTTACCCGACCCCCGCGGCAGGTGAGCCCGCCCGCGTCCTCCGCGCCGTCGCGGCAAAGGGCCCTCCGCAGCCGCTCCAGGTGCTCCCGGAGGGTGACCCTCTGGTGGAAGGAGAAAGCGGGGTGCAGGGATGCCATGGTGAAGAGCAGCAGCAGCTCCTCCTGGGCCACCGGACCCAGGCCCTCTTCCGACGACGCCTTTTCCTCGCCTCTCCCCGCCGCCGCCGCTTCCTCCTCTTCCTCGCCGCCGCCGCCGGGCCGGCAGCTCTGCAGGATGGCGTCCACGCGAGGCAGCAGCCGGTGTAGCCGGCTGGCCGCCTCTCGGTTCTCGGAGCCCAGCAGCGCCAAGTACACGATGAGCTTGGAGCGCACGGCCGGGTCGCGGAAGTCGCTGCCCCCCGGCGGCGGGGCAGGCGCGGCCGGAGGCGGGGAAGCGGCAGCGGCTGCAGCGGCGCCCGGGGGGGAAGGCGGCGTCGGCGTGAGGGGTTGCGGCGGCTGTTGCGCCTGGGCGGCGGGGTTGCCGGTGGCCGCCGGGGCGGCGTCTCCTCCGTTGGCCTTGGCCTCGGAGTCCCTCAGGCAGTGGTAGTCCTTTCGGGCCAGCTCCTCCAGGCAAGAGCCCAGGAAGCGCAGCTCGAGCGGGTTGAGCAGGTCCAGCAGCCCCACGGCGAACTCCAGCCGCTGAGAGGAGCCCAGCGCCAGGCCGAACCACTCGTAGACCGCCTCGCGGGCGCCGCCGGCCGAGCAGCCGCAGAGGCACCGCAGAGGCGGGCCGCCTCCGGGGCCAGGGGAAGCCGCCGCCCCTGAGGAGCCGCTTCGGCGCGGGTGGCAGGCCAGGCCGCCAACCGCCGCTCCCTCGCCGCCGCCGTCGTCCGCCTCCTGGTGGCTCATCGTCTGCCGTTGCTGCTGCTGCTGCTGCTGCTTCACCGGCAGCTTCATCTTCAGCATCCTCGGCGCGAAGGGAGGAGGAGGAGGAGGAGCGAGCGAGGCGGGCTCAGCGGCGCCGCCGTCAGGAGCCGCCGCTGCCGCTCATGGCCCTCCGTCACCGAGCAGGAAACCTGAGGCGCTCGCTGAGGAGCCTGCGATGGCGGCGGCCTGAGGGAGTGCGTGAGGGCCTGCGTGCCCGCGGAGGGCGGGGGGAGGGAGGAAGAGAAAGTCTCTACTGCGCAGGTCAAGACACGACGCTCCTCCCCCTCTGACTGGCGCGAACGGAAAGGAGAAGAGACGGGGGAGGGGAGGAGCGTGTGTGGTGGGAGGAGCAAGAGGAGTAGGGCGGGCTGGCTCCGGAATAGAAGCATAACCTTCCCCACCCCGCGGCCAATCGGAGGGCCGCCTCGCGAATCGCGTCCCCTCGCGCCGTGACGATTCCGTCTGACCCCGCCCCGTCTGCTGGGTCCTAAGAGGAGACCTCGCTATCGAACCAGCGCTTGCATGGCTTCCGTAGGGGCGGACAGAGATGGCAGGGTGTTGTTGCACAAAAATGTCGAACCTGGTATGTGTGTAAGTGGGTGGGTAATCCGGGCCGGCCCACCCATGAGACAAAGTGAGGCAACTGCCTCAGGCAGCAGGAGTCACAGGGGCAGCAGATTCAGCCTTTAACACTACTAATAATAACTTTTATTTATACCCTGCCCTCACCCGCCAGAGCCGGGCTCAGGGCGGCTAACACCAATAACATTTCAATAAAAGCATAAGGGGAAAAAATAAAAAAATAAAAAGGCAGGTTAAAATGCAATTTAAAATGCAGCCTCATTTTAAAAGTCAAAACCATTGTAGCCTTATGAGGCTTTGCCCTCGGGTGGGAAAAATATTGCGCCCGGGAAAGGGAAGTGGGAGTCAACAGACCCTCAAGGAATAGTTTCGGAGAAAAAGGTTTTTATTTGTGGACTGTTGGCAGGAAAGGGGGGTGAGAGCCTTGCGTTCAGCATGTTCAGATGTGTTGCAACTAGAATGAGATAAGATTCATTTCCCAGGCCTGCTATGAACAGAGCCTATTCATTAGCCTTTAAAAGTAAGATTTTGCCTATGCACAGCATCTTGTGAGAATAAGCAGAGACAAGCAGAGAAAAGCTGCTTTGGATTTTTAGAAGACAAAAGGAGTTTTGGACAGTTTTGAGGCCTGGTTGATTATTGAAGCCTGGGGTGATTTCAGACAGGATTTGGGTATATTGTCCCTTCATTCCCCCCTGTTTGTTTTTGGACAGCCGCCAGGGGAGGGAAACATAAGGGTCAGACTGAGTCCAAACCAAAGTCCAGGTGGAACAGCTCTGTCTCACAGGCCCCACGGAAAGATGTCAAGTCCCACAGGGACCTAGTCTCTTGTGACACCAAGTTGGGGCCAGTACTGAACAGGCCCTGGCAAGGGATGCTGCTGCTGCTGCTACTGTCATGGTGGTGGTGACAGCTGTGACTTGCTCCTTAGAGCCAGATCTGCTGTCCCCTCAGCATCCTCTCCTTTTAATTTACTTATTTGTTTATTTGATTTATATGCCACTGTTCATCACAGAATAATACTGCCTCTCAATGAATATGAGGTGCTGCTGGTCTTCTCACACCCTTAGGCAGATATTTATCTCCTCACCCCCCACTTGTTCCTGATGTAGAACTTCACTTTCCCCTTCTTCCCAGGTGGGATGGGGGGGGGACCCCATTTGTGGTTCGCCTTGGGTGCCAAAATGTATTGGGCGTGTACAGGAGTTCGCTGCAAGGGTGTTTATTCCACATCATTTTAAGAAACACAGAACGGATCAGGTCACGCCTAATAATTGCAGCAATCAGCGCCTGTGTTTTATGAAAACTGTTATCAGATTTCAGCACTAAACTCTGTGCATTGGATCTCGACAAAAAAAACCTTCCACTTAAAAGTCTGATCCTGTTTATGCTTCCCCAGATGTTTGTTAGCTTCCCATGTCCAATCCTGCTTCCTGTTTCCCTTCCTGCCCTCTGCTGGTTTCCTGTGTCTTATATTTAGATTGTAAGCCTCTTTTGGAAGGGACTTGTTGAACCTGTTCTTTGTGGGGAAAACAAGGGCAATATGGATGGTGCTTATAAGGATATTAACAAATTCCATCAGGCTTTTCCCTATCTAAATCCACAGGATTACACACCCCAAGAAGTGTATCTTCGGTTTCTAACAACCAAGGTGGTCCTATCTCGTTAAGCAAATGGCTCATGATGACAAACGAATAAATGCACGACCTCATAAGGGGATGTTGTGTTTTCTTGTGGAAATGTTCTCTCAGTGGTGCAGTCCTATATCGGCCTGTCTACCCAGAAATAAGATCTGGTGAGTTTAATAGGGCTTATTCCCCATGTAGGAAAAGAATAGACTGCCAATATTATAATGCCATTTGGAATACTGTGTCCAGTTCTGGTCACCTCAACTGAAGAGAAAAGGGTGGAGATTGATAGGGAATCAATAAGGGAAAGACGGGAGGAGCCTACACAGTGAAAGAGAAATGAAACTTAAAACTAAACTGCTGTGGTAAATGTGAAATGAAAGTGAAACTCAGAGCTCAGTGCTTAGTTTGAAGTCCACAGCCAAAATCTCAGCCAACAAAAGCAAGGGAGGGGGGAGTGGATCTTTGTGACTGCAGTCCTGAATATCTTCCCTTGGAAATAACTTCCATATGGGTCAACAGGACTTGTATGTTCAGTTATGTATATTCCTTTACAGTGCAAGCCTGTGTATGTTTGCTGAGTAGTTGAAGTCTCATTGTGTTTAGTAGCACTTGCTACTAAGTAAGTAAGTGTGCTTAGAATTGCACTCCAATGATCATGGTGCAAATAGAAGCCAAAATGCACCCGCCCACCCATCACTACTCCCAAGTAAATGTGATGCGATTTTATCCAAATAGTCTGCATATTTTCTCGGAAAACAAGCCTTACTAACAGGAAAAAGGGGTTTGCATCTGAGTAAGTGGGTACCTGACACGTGTGTGACTTCATGTGTGTTGTGCGCATGATGTCACATGGTGTGATGGGCCGTTTTTGGAGGGCGTGATGGGCCCCGTCACACTCTCCTGTGGCTGTGATGAGCCCAGTCAGGCTTTGGCACGCCATATGACATTTTGCGTGCACCATATTGGGTCGTCCAGCTGGGCACTCACAGTGAAATATTTGTGGGTACCTTGGCACCCAGGGCCCCCCAGAGATGATGCCTATGGCTCTGAGAAGTGTGAAAAGTCAGTTTAGTTTCTTCATGGTATTGGAAAGTGTGGATCAGGTAGTTTTTCATTAAAATTTGAACCAGATTTCTCCCTCATGCCTAACAGGGGAATGCCAAGAGTGCAATTGTATTTTATTTACTAGGGGAAAGCAGTGGAAGGGGAAAGAGCGCCCACCTTTTGCATGATCCAATGATGGTTTGCAACTCTCCGCATTATCAGCGGTGCTGCCCTGAGAAAGGTCTCTTCCCACCGCCACAGAGATGTTGATTGTTTACTCCTGGTGGTGGTCATGGGATTATTTGCGCAACACTGAATTGCAGTTATGTGTGACTGAAGGAAAGACACTCTGTACATACTTAGAGGCACTCACAGAGGCTTAAAGGTAACTTCAAGTACACAACAAATAAAAGGTATAATTCAATAACAGCGAGGTGCTCAACGTGACGGGACTCTTTCTCACAGTTGTCTGAGTGCTTGAAACTATTTGCAAAAGCGCACACCTTTTGCTCCCATGGGTGTAATTTTGTTCCAAATTCATTTGTGAAATTCATACTTGGTTTTTGAAGAGAATCGGGCGTAGGTGCTAGAAACCAGGCAGATAAGCTCTGCTAGGAAAAAGTTGAGGCAGTTCAGGCCAGTTGCAGTATCCAGCCGAAGGTTGTGGAGTGCAGAAAAGGCGTCTCAGCTCTGCAGCAGATGAAAGATACGGCAGATGTTCCACTAACATACATGGTTTTAAATGGTGCATGCCGCGGCCGCATTCCTGAGGTAACTGGGACACAGATGTAATCCCAGTGAGGTACCAAACTCCAGCTCATCGTTATAGCTTTTGGCATGTTAGTCATTTGCATTCATCCAGATGTCCGTGGAAATTGTATAAGTGCTTTTCATTTCTTCTCCCCAACTTAAAGAACGCTTCGAAAGATTCATGAAGTCATCTGCTTTATTAAAATGCATTTGCTCGTGAGTGATTTATTTGCTCACTGTACAGCAAACATGAGAGAAGTGTATAAAATTATGAATAGTGTAGAAAAGTGTGTAGAGGGAAGTTTTTCCTCCTCCAAATAGTAGAACCTAGGGTCGGGGCTTTTTTCCCAGCTAGAACTCACAGGAACTCCGTTCCGTCACACCTCAGGTGGGTGCCATTGCCATTAAAAGAGAACAAGGGAGACGTTCATGGTGAGTTCAGGCACCCCTTTTTCTAGAAAAATAGCACTGCGTAGGGTCATCCAATGCAGCTGGATGTTGAAAGAACCAAGGCAGACAAAAGAAAGTGCTTATTCTCACAGTGCATCACTAAAAAAAAAAAAGTACCGTATTTTTTGCTCTATAAGACTCACTTTTTCCCTCCTAAAAAGTGAGGGGAAATGTGTGTGTGTCTTATGGAGCGAATGCAGGCTGCGCAGCTATCCCAGAAGCCAGAACAGCAAGAGGGGTTGCTGCTTTCACTGCGCAGCGATCCCTCTTGCTGTTCTGGCTTCTGAGATTCAGAATATTTTTTTTCTTGTTTTCCTCCTCCAAAAACTAGGTGCATCTTGTGGTCTGGTGCGTCTTATAAAGCAAAAAATACGGTAATTCTCTCCCACAAGGTGTAGTTGTTATTGTTGGCATCTGTCTGTCTTGGGAGACAATGGAGGATTGTGCTCAGTGCATAGCACCCGCTAATCTGGATGGCTTTAAAACGGGGTTAGGCAAAGAGGATTATAGTGGCTAATGCCTATATGTTCCCTCCGGGATCTTAGGCAGTGTGCTGGGAATCACAAGAGTGGAAAGTGCTGTTGTGCTTGCATTCTTATTTGTATATTTCCCATAGGCATCTGGTTGGCTGTGTTAGAACAGGATTCTGGACTAGGCAGGGGGAGGGCAATGCTTGCAGGTTTTGTTTATTACAACCAAGCAATATATAATGCAAATTTTGTGAAATAAAATTTAAAAACAGATGGGTCTTTGGTTCAATCTAGCAGGGCTCTTCTTATGTTTACAGGGATTGGATGAGAAATAAAGGTGATCCACTACTGTGCACCGTTCCTGCATCAAGTGATAATTAAAACAACAACAACAACGTTTGCTTTTCTTCTGCTGCTGAGGAGTAGATGAGCTCATACCATCTGGTGTTAAAGACAGATGAGCGCTTAGGGCTGCCTTTCTGTTTTTACAGCCTTTTTCACAGAGATTTTTTCCAGAGAGAGGTCTTAAGGTGTTTTTGTGCGTGCAGTAAATGTGGACCAGGAACTTCTAAAAGAAAACCCATGCCAGCCTGTCTCAGCAAAGCAAATCAAAGCACTGCTTTGCATAACCACTGAGTTCGATGCTAAACAAATCTAGCCCCCCCATCCAGTTCTAAGCGACTTCCATTTGTTAAAAGCAAAAGGTTGTAAACTGAGCAGGCAGAGACACTGTTTTCTGCACTGTGCTTTGTCCCAACCTTTCCCATAATGTTCAGATAGAGATCCCAATCTGAGCATCAATTGAGCCCAACTTCTTTGACGACGATAGTTTTAAAAAAAGGGTGGGGTCTGTTTTTGGACACTTTTTAATTCCATTTTTTAACATAAAGTTTCAAAGATGCAAATTGAGAAAATTTATCAGCATCTTAGTGTGAATTTCTCCTCATATACACATTTTTGTACGCAATCTTCCCCAATATATGCATTTTTACGAAGTATGCAGTTTGCGTGTTCTTTCCTGTAATATATGCAACTATACACAGACTTTAGCCCTAGTATATGTATTCTTGTGCCCGGAGCGTTGCATTGCAAAATTCGGATAAGCCTGAATTTCAAAGGATGGCTGTGTCTTGATTCACAGATTCTTTTAGAAAGTGAAAAGTAGGGAAGTAGGCTTTTAAATTCAAACTGAATTTAATTCCACCCCGCCCCACCCCCCCATCCATGGCAGTTTACATCTGCTAAATTTAAACATGGAGCATGAAAGGAGCTGACATTCAAAGGCAGCGCTCCCATATGCTTGGAAGTTTCATGTGGCACAAGTTTCCTGAGACAGAAAAAAACATAGCGGTTGAGGCCCCATCTCTGCAGGTATCACTAGCTATTACTCGTTTCTGCCTCCATGCTTGTGAGTAAGATGAAGAACAGGGAAAGAAACTAGGTGGTGCTTACTTTTTCCCATTTTTAATGAAGAAGAAGAAGAGACAATGTTTTTGGCCGTGTCCTTGTTGTTGTTGTTTAGTCATTTAGTCGTGTCCAACTCTTCGTGACCCCATGGACCAGAGCACGCCAGGCACTCCTGTCTTCCACTGCCTCCCGCAGCTTGGTCAAACTCATGCTGGTAGCTTCGAGAACACTGTCCAACCATCTCATCCTCTGTCGTCCTCTTCTCCTTGTGCCCTCCATCTTTCCCAACATCAGGGTCTTTTCCAGGGAGTCTTCTCTTCTCATGAGGTGGCCAAAGTATTGGAGCCTCAGCTTCACGATCTGTCCTTCCAGTGAGCACTCAGGGCTGATTTCCTTAAGAATGGATGCATTTGATCTTCTTGCAGTCCATGGGACTCTCAAGAGTCTCCTCCAACACCATAATTCAAAAGCATCAATTCTTAGAAAACTGAAAATCCTTAGAATTTCACCTTCTCCCCCCCACCAGAAGTCCCCAAATACACCATCTCCATCTTTTGCAGGGAAAAAGTAGGTTAACGAAAACACACGGGCGATTCAGCATGCTTTTTGCATGGCACAATGGGTCAGTGCCTCTGGCTGTTAACCAGAAGGTTGGTGATTCAAGCCCCCCTAGGGAGGATTCCTGCATTTCAGAGGGTTGTTCTAGATGACCCTTGGTGTCCCTGCCAGCTCTATGATTCTAAGAAAACAGTATTATAAACTCCTCTTCTTGAAATGTTGTGAAGCAAGGCATAGTTTCCTCTCTAACAATTATTGATAGGCTAACTATTTCCCTTCACCCATCACCTCTTTTCTATGAAATGCTTCTTGCACTGAGATCCATAAGGGTATCATCATATATAACCTAGGTTTTATATCTATTCCAGACTCTCAAAACTCCAAATATAACCTTGTCATACCACTGATACCCGTGCCCTCAGCAAGGCATATTTTCCTTCTTCAGTACCTAATGCCGCTGCCTCATATTCACATGAATAGGAGGGAGGGATGGAGAGAGGCCAATGTCCTCCCTTTTTTTAGGGCATTAAAGTGCATGGTGATGAGTCATCTGCATCAGCTGAGAAGAAGAAGGCCAGCAGAGGGCAATGTGAGTAGTCTTGTGAGCATTTTTGCTCCTGACTGATGAGAGTCTGCAATGGAAGGGTTTACTTTACACAGCCAGTGGAAGGCAACCCAGTCTTGGCAGAAAACTCTTCCTTCTCCCTGTTAAGGTCAGGGCAATTTGAGTCCTGTAATATGGGCAGTTTCTTTAGGCCTGTAGGTTGAAGTTCTTGCACAGGGACTTAAGAGGCTCCTCTGAATAATAGACCTTCCAAGTTTCCCTATTTCCCAGGGACAGTCCTGGATTTAAATAATAATAATAATAATAATAATAATAATAATAAATTTTATTTATATCCCGCCCTCCCCAGCCGAAGCCGGGCTCAGGGCGGCTAACAACACTAAAATAGTGCAACATTATAAAAACATTATAAAAATTAATTAAAAATAAGCCATTCCGGTTTCTGATTTGATCCCGTAATCTCCTGCTTAGGACATCCCTGTTTTCATCGGTGAAATGTTGGAGGGTATGGAGTTATGTGACCCACAAGCCAAGGAGATAAGTAACTATACAACTTTTAGAAGACATCTGAAGGCAGCCCTGTATAAGGAGGTTTTTAAATGTTTAATGTTTCATTATGTTTTTATATATGTTGGAAGCCACCTGGTCTAACAGGATAGTGGTGGGGATTTGATGAGTGTTGGGTGGTTTGCTAGCAGGTGAGGCTGTACGTAAGGCTGCTGAGCACCATGGAACAGCCGTGTGTGTGTGTCTGAAAGGAAGCAGGGATAATACCTGAAGAAGCATTTCCACACTCAACATTTAGCCTAGACACTGAGAGCTAACTCCAAGGGCCTTCTGGTAGCTACCTCACTGCGAGAAGTGAAGCTACAGGGAGCCAGGCACAGAGCCTTCTCAGTAGTGGCACCCGCCCTGTGGAACACCCTCCCATCAGATGTCAAGGAGATGACATCTTTAGGAGACATTTGAAGGCAGCTCTGTATACGGAAGCCTTTTAATGGGCAATGTTTTATTATTATAGCTGTCAACCTTCCCTTTTCTTGCGGGAAATTCCCTTATTCCGGCGCCGTTTCCTGCTGCTTCCCGCTGCTATCCCGGATTGTTAGATATCCCGTAGACTGTCCCTGCGACAGGTGAGGCTGCTGATCCCTTATTTTCGAGGCTCCCCAGGACAGGTGAGGCTGCTGATCCCTTATTTTCAAATCTGAAAGTTGACAGCTATGTTTATTATGTTTTTATATATGTTGGAAGCCACCCAGAGTGGCTGGGGCAACCCAGTCAGATGAGCAGAATATTAACAACAACAACAACAACAACAACAACAACAACAGTTATTATTATTATTATTATTACTATTATTATGGAACAGGACATCCCTATCTTGGAGTGTATGGAATAAATCTCTTTTTATAAAATGTTTCCTCATTCTTGTTGATTGTTACTGGACCCAGCAACACGACACCCACAGGCATTCAGAAAAGAACTGGGGCAAGGAAAAGGCTAGTGGGAATTTAAAAATAACCAAGGCTTAGGAAGAGGAGGAGTCAGAGTCAAATGCAGCTGGTAGCCCCCTTCCTTGGTTATTTGGCACCCCACCCATCAAACTTGATGGAACGATATTAGCTACAAATAAACTATGGCTGACAGTCTGTGCTAAAACGATGTTTAAAATATTAAAATTCAGAATCCGAGGCTATGCAGCATATGAAATATTGAGCAGTGGAGCTGTTTTTTTGGGGGGAAAACCCATTATGTTCTGCTCAAACAAACCAGTCTTCTCCAAGGCTGAGCTCATGGTTTTGTAAGTTTGCACCAGAAACCAGCTGAACAGAGCAGTGATTGGCAGGAGCCTGCAATAGCCCAAAGCCAACCAAGCCTAGACCCAGAGTATCTCTTGCAAACCCCTTTAAAAACTGGATTTGCTTTTAAAGGACAAGGTGGTGAATGGACATTTAAATAAGAAAACCTGTCTGAAGCATGGGGACAACTAAACCAGTGGCATCTTTTCCATAGCTAAGGTTAACCTCAAGCCTTAGCAAATGGGAAAAAAACATGACTCCTGTTTAAGAGACGGAAGGGTCTGTCAGTTGCGGTTCTCTGAGGTCATCATTTCTCCAGTCTTAAGTTCAGTTCTCCACATTTATGCAGCAATTCGTGATTTTACCAAAAAAAAAACCCTATAAAGATTCTTCAGCATTTTAGTGCAATCTTCTCCTAATAAACACATTTTTCTCTGCCGTTTTGACTAATCTGCCCATTTTTGCAAGCTGTTTCTCCTGATATTGTGCATTTTTATATGTTTCCGCACAAAGCTATTTATTTCTGTACACATTCTCTGCTAAGATATGCATTTTTGTAAACATTTGGTTGGAGAAATGAAGTGCACCATTTAGGTAAGAGCGGGTTTTGAAAGACGGCTGTGTTTTGGTTCTCCTATTGTTCCGGAAAGTGCAAATTTGATTAATTCAACTTTAAAAGCAAACTGAACCGAGTTTCTCCCTAACAGCCGGTCTGCCATTCTAACAAAATGCAAGACTAGAAACGTTTGGCAATATGTACAAGATGCTCGGGAGCTTATTTCCCAAGGCATTGGGGACATTTGGAACAGCAGCAATGCCTCTTGCGCCTGAATCCTGAAATATTCAGCTTGTTGTGAGAGACGTACCCTATAGCACCAAAGCGTACTGAAGTTTCCTGCTTCCTTTTATAGCAGAGGGATCGTCATCCAGAAAAGACCCTGCTTCTCATCTGTCAGCCGCAGCGTTCTGACGACGACAACGAATAGAAGATTGCTACCCAGGTGCTGTTTGCTAGAACACATTCAGTCACCGTGTCCTTTTGACCAAACGCCAGAAACCAGCAATTCAGACCTTGGTTCCATCAGTGCAATGGTTGCTTTAGAAACTGCCCTGGCTTTCCCTCCTCTTGCACGGGCGGCGAGGCCTCACTATAGAAAAGTTTCGTGTTCTGACTCTCATGCATCTCTTCTTGAGCTATAGGCCCAGCAGTTCTCTTGTACTCTCCCACCATGCTTGGCGGTTCATCACCCACACTGTGATATGAATTCATCTCAGCACATTTTTCCTTATATTGGCGAGCGTTGCCCGCAAAGGTCTCGCAGCGGTCCAGATTTTCCTCTTGCACTGGGCTGCCCAGGCTGTCGTCACTCGATCCGGGAGACATAGACCCTTCTTGGGAATTCTGACTCACGTAGACGACGATGATTTCACCTTTGAAATTCATCACTTGCCCGCTTGAAATGAATGTAGAGTTGCCATTTCCAGTCACATTTCCTAGAGAGGGTGTTGGAACAGGAGGAGGAGGAGAGAGAGACACACACGTTTTCCCATTAATATATGGGCACTGTAAGGAATTTACAGTGCAGGAGTTTACAATCGCAGGCAATCAATGAAGATCCCTTTACCTTTAAAGCCTTATACATACCTACGGGACCGCCTCTCCTGGTATGTCCCACAGAGGAACTTACGGTCTTCAAACAAAAACGTCTTGAAGATCCCAGGCCACAGAGAGGTTAGGCTGGCCTCAACTAGAGCCAGGGCTTTTTCGGCTGTGACTCCGATCTGGTGGAACGCTCTGTCACAAGAGACTAAGGCCCTGTGGGACTTGACATCTTTCCGCAGGGCCTGCAAGACAGAGCTGTTCCACCAGGCCTTTGGCTAGGGCACAGCCTGACTCCCTCCTTTGGCAATCTTCACAGAACTCTAGCCCAATGGTTGCCATCAATTTGATTTGAATTAATTTTATAATGAAATGATTTTAGAATGTTGTATTATTTTATTGTTGTTAGCCACCCTGAGCCCGGCTTCGGCTGGGGAGGGCGGGATATAAATAATTATTATTATTATTATTATTATTATTATTATTATCCAAAGTAACAGATGCAGAAGGAGAATGCTATGGACAGGCCAATGCAGCTTGAGCTAAAATGCTGTTTTCATAAGGGAATACTCAAGTTTCTGGAAAACCTCTAATTCAGATGCAACTGTACAGCTCCCACAGATCAATGATAACAGCCTTTGCAACTGATACTGACAAAGTGGTTTATGCTGCACCAGAACAAGCAGCGACCTGTACTATTGAAACCAAAAGTTTCCATTTAGTGTTGATCTATTAGACCAGATGTTTATATAGCAAGTGATAAGTTTAAAGGGCAGTGATAAATGTCTGATACAGAAAAAAATCAAGAGGAAGGGGGAAGCTTTGGGCACCCCACTCCTGGTCTAGAGGCTTCAGACTTCTGCAATCTTCACTTTGTTTACTTAAGGCAGGGGTGGAAAAGCTGTGGCTTTTTCCAGATGTTATTGGACTACAACTCCCATCATCCTCAGCCAGTGTAATCTATGGTCAGTAATGATAGGAGCTATAGTCTGGTGACATCTGGTGCGCCACAGGGTTCCCACCCCTGATTTAGAGGAACAGAGGGGGCAGAGAGGCTACAGGTTCCTATGAGCCATGCTCCTGTACAGAGCATCTTTAAGATGCTAAGGATCATGGGAGATGTCAATCAAGTTTACCAGGTGCATCACACATGTGTAGAGGGATCCAAGGTCAGGTCCCCAGAAGCCTGGATGCTTCATGCCACAAATGAGGTCCTTCCAGCTGTTCCTTTCTAGCCTTTGATAAACAACACAAAGTGGTAGAAGAACTAACTAAAACGAATCTTGCACCAGACGTGAGCTACAGATTGCAGTACCTGATCAGAAATGAATCCATGGATAATTTCTGTCTCTAATAGTTAGGGTAAGAGTTTATGAAGAGATTTGTACTAAAGGTACAGGACCCCTGGATGGTTAAGTCCAGTCAAAGGCGGCTATGGGGTTGTGGTGTTCATTTCGCTTTCAGGCCAAAGGAGCTGGTGTTTGTCCACAGACAGCTTTCTGGGTCAGGTGGCCAGCATGACTAAACCGCTTCTGGCGCAACGGGACACAGTGACGGAAACCAGAGTGCATACATTTACCTTCCCGTTGCAGTGGTACCTATTTATCTACTTGCACTGGCATGCTTTCGAACTGCTAGGTTGGCAGGAGCTGGAACAGAGCACCCCGTCGTGGGGATTTGAACCACCAGCAGGGCAAAATTTTTAAAGCTACAACCTCTGAAAGCAGTGAGACTTACTTCCAGGTAAATGTGTGTAAACTGTTTTGGATCCTAGAACTCATTTTTAATCCATTGCATCATAGGATAACTGTCAAGACATATAATGTACCAAACGATGTTATGGTTGTTTTTCAAGAGTTCACATACAGAACAAAAAAAAACCAACAACTGTGACTAATGCTTTCATCTGGTGAGCTGAAAATCTCAGTTTGTAATTGGTAAAAGGATTTTCTTTTTATTCCTTCTCCACCACCACCACCACCATAACATTTGGCCTGCCAGCTAGCTAGCCAGGGCTGCAGAGTGCCAGAAAATGGGTGGAGAGAAACCACTGGAACCAGCATGTGACCGTGCTGGGTCTAGACCATTTCCAGAATCTCAGGAAAAAACAAAAGTTCCTGGCTCATTCATATCATCCTTAAATTAACTGCAAGATTAATAAGCAGGGCAAGCCTTACTCTAGGCCCCTCCAGACTGTCAATGTTTTTGTAGGAGGGATTCAAGTGTGTATCGGAACTTTAGATTTGCACCATTAAAGTGGATTAAAGGGCTCTGTCACCCTAGGGCAACAAATCAAACAAAACAAAAGCCGGATGCTTTTCATCTTGGAAAGCGATAGGGAAACACACTGAAAAGTGTGGAACAAATGAATGATGAACAGGAAGCCCTGTAAACACCCTGCAAGCAAATCAGAACAAATTCTCATTGTCATATAACCACCCTGTAAACAAACTGGAACAAATGCTCAATAAAGGCCTGACATGATCTAACTATTGCATAAGCTTTGTGTAAGCAAATCAAGATGAATAAATGAACAGCCCCTCTGTAGGAGCCTTGTGAAGCATCAATAAAGGTATTTGCACTGGATGACATATCCCAGTTGGGGTTCCATTTTGTTGCTTCCATTTCTGTACGGCATTTAAACAAAAAAATAGAGCCAAGGACAAGCGCCATTTTGAAACTTCAGAGTTGATCATATCTAAGGCTCCTACTGCACAGCCTTCATGTGATTTGTCTCCCTCCTGTTATGCACTGAATTTCACATTTATCAACAAACTAAGTTAGGAGCAGGAGTGAGAGAAAATGTATGTGAGCATAGCATCTGGGTAAAAGTCAGATCCCATAGAATTAAAATGGATCCCTCTGATTTTGTATGTAATAGCCTGAGTCTCAGAAAGTGGGGTCTCAGAAAACAACACAATAATATAATCAGTTAAAATATTACATTGGTAAACTGCATAAAATCACAGATCTGGTGCTTGCTAGAACCACAAAATCATCAACCTGTACTATCGATACTCATGGGATCTTATGAGATTTACATAGGAATGGCAATTAAACCCACCAGCAATTCACAGATCTGGGCACTCAGAGAGGAAACCTATCATTTGATGGTGGCTTTGAATGGTTCTCTTGTAAAAATCATCAGAATCCCTAAGAATCTATATCAGATCCATGTTTTTTCCCCCACTATGGCAACACTGAAAGACACCAGAGCTTTGATTTTTACAGTTCAGTCAGTAAAGAAAAATACGATCTCTGATCTGATGAGAGTTGGGCAGAAACCTGCCCTGTGAAATAAAACTGCAGTTTCAATAGGATCCATTTTACTGGATCTGATGTGTGTTTGTGTGCATACGTGCATATATTCTCTCTCTCTGGCACTCCATTCTTGCTCTCTCTTGACCTTTATGGCATCCCAGATTGCTCTGCTTTCCCTCTCACCCTCCCCATTCCTCTTCCCTTTCTGTTTGGTTGTTCAGGTGCTGATCTCAGTCTTGAAAAGCACATTGCGCTGAAAAAGGAAGTGAGGCACTCTTCCCATTTCCTCTTTCCTCTTTATGTGCCTTTCAAAGCTCAGATCAATAGCCTCGAAAAGCACATAATGGTGAAAGAGGAAGTGAGAAACATGTTGCTCTTTCCAACTTCCTCCTTTGCTCTACGTACTTTTTCAAGAGGAAAAATGGTAACGCACATATCTAAAGGGGCAGTGAGGTTGGCACAAAGGCTCTGGGGGTGCCAGGGGAAGTTCCCAAGGATGCCAATATGTTCATGGGCACAATGCTGGCCACTCCTGTTTTCAATTTTCTTTACACCAGAAAAAGAGGAAGATTTTACCCTTCAGTCAAGGGACTGCTGGGGGGCAGGAATTCTAATAATAATGGTATGCAGGACTTTTATGGACAGGATCACTCCATACATTAATTCCCATTGCTCATCTGGAGCCTGCTTTCAAATGAATACCGTATTTTTCGCTCTATAACACGCACCCAACCATAACACGCACATAGTTTTTAGAGGAGGAAAATCTGTAGGCATGCCACCCGTAGGCATTCCCTTCATAACACGCACAAACATTTCCCCTTACTTTTTAGGAGGAAAAAAGTGAGCGTTATGGTGCAAAAAATACGGTATTTTTTTAAAAAAGAGTGTCTGTCTTAAATGGTCCCCCCAATTCATGATTCTTGTTTAGTTGCCATAAATATGATCTGTGCAGAAAATTTTGAGAAACATTTGGGAGGAAAAACCAAGAGCAGATTAGCTGCCTGGGGCCTAAGGGGATTTACTAATATTTGGATGTTACTTTCCAGTAGCCTACACATATTTCAAAGCTGCCCCTGTGTCCGTCATGAGTAAGAACACAATGATGTCTTTGCCTGGTCACATTAAACATCTGTCTAGCCTGCCACATGTCTCCTACAGAGCTTTGAAAGTTGATGACCCAGGTAGGTACATGACAGAGATGGCTACTGTGATGGCCTGGGATTCGGACTCAGATGCTGAACCTGAGGGATCCCAGCCTGCACAGAATTCCCCGCCTCCAGAACCAGCTGAGCCGGGGCTGGGGCATGAGCCTGAAGGGTCCTCACCTGTGCTGGATCCTCAGGTGCAGGCAATCAGCTGAGTCTGCTCTGGCTCCTGAGGTGATGGAGGACCCATTGCCTGCAGGTGCTCCACTCTCAGCCCCGTCAGAGGAAGCTGAGGTTGCCTCTGGGTCCGGTAACCCTCCAGCCTCTCCTGAGCTACAGAGGCTCAGGGCAGAGAGGCGGAGGGAACTAAGTTCCCGCAGGAGGAGTGCTTGACTTCAGGCCAGGAGAGGCGAGTCACCAGAGGATCGGGGCCGCCCTATGCCTCGGGGCAGATAAAAGCCGGCCAGCCCCAGTCCCAAGTTGCGGGAGCAACATTGTTGGTTGGTAGTTCCTGTCTGAACACTGTCCTGTTTTTCTGCCAGAGCTCCTGACCCGCCCTGGCTCCCAGCTTGCACGCCTGTTCCTGACTACACCTGACTCCCTGCCCTGCACCCAGCTCCAGCTACTATGGACTGCCTCCACGTTGCACCTTGACCACGGACCGGACTTGGACCTCGCCCCTTGGGTAACCCACAGGACCAGCACAGCCACTTTCCTTTGTACACCTGATTTCACAGATGAGATTGAAATGCTGATGCTACATGATGCACACCCAGCCTAAAGATTGCCATGCAAGCAACATGCATGTTGTTGTAGGCTTACCAGATGCTGCTGGGGGATCTGAAGTGCTGCCGTTTGACGACTCAGGAGCTCGTTTTGCATTATGGTCCTTTGTGCCGTTTCCGTCAGATGGATCACTTCTGACACCATTGTTGCTTGCCGAACCACACTGATCCACAGAGGGAGAGTCCAAGCAACAGGTGCACAGTGGAGAAGGCCCACTTTCTTTTAAAGAATGCATGGTGTTGCCAGCTTTGCTGGAAGATTCTCTGCAGGACACACAACAGGCAGCACACCTGACTATGCCTCGGTTATCGGCATCTCCCATGCTACTGCAGGCGGATTGATGAAAAGAGTTCTGCAGGCATTGGTGTGAGGGGGCATGAGCAGGGTCCATTCCACATGAAGTGTCTGAGCAGCAGCAGTTTGCCGAGTCTATCAAACTCTCGGTCCCCGTGAAGCACTGACTCAAGCTGTCGTTCTCTCCTACTTCCAGTGGCTCTGAGAACGGCGACACAGGCTTGCTTTCAGGTCTACTCAGTAAAGGAAAATAGCAAGGCCCCTGGGTCGTTCTGTCTGTATACTCATCTTCTGTGGGTATCTGCCTAAACTGGTCATCTTCAGGCACAGCTGCGGGAGGCAGCGTTGGGAAATCGTCTCCCAATTCACAGCGGATTGCATCAGGGCTTGCTTTCCTGTTCAGGATGTCTCCATGTGGGTAACATGCATCCTCCGAAAAAGAATATTCGTCAAGGTCCAGCAAATATGTGCCCCCCAATAGCCGAAGTCCAGCCGGGCTTGCCACGCTTCTGTTCACAAATGTACCATGAGGAGAGTCCTGTGTAGAATCCAAAGGGAAAAAGCACTTAAAAAATAGGAAGTTTTACAATGCAACCATAACTATTCTGGCCTCTCCTCCAACAGCTGAGGAGCCTTAACATGCGTCCTCAACAAGGGAGGGGGACAGGTTCTCTCGCCCAACACCGGGTAGGTGAATTCAGAGCAGTACAAAAGGACCTTCTCTGAATCTAAAGATATCTGTGCTTCCATAAACACTGAGGTCCCCGGCAAGCCTGCTGTTTTGGCCACATAAGCAGCAGCACGAGAACATTGGAAATGAACAGCAAAGCAGTACGAGATAACTACATTTGAACAAAGAAATACAACTTAAAGGTAAAGGTAAAGGGACCCCTGACCATTAGGTCCGGTCATGACCGACTCTGGGGTTGCGGCGCTCATCTCGCTTTATTGGCCGAGGGAGCCGGCGTACAGCTTCCAGGTCATGTGGCCAGCATGACTAAGCAGCTTCTGGCGAACCAGAGCAGCGCATGGAAACGCCGTTTACCTTCCCACCGGAGTGGTACCTATTTATCTACTTGCACTTTGATGTGCTTTCGAAATGCTAGGTTGGCAGGAGCAGGGACTGAGTAACGGGAGCTCACCCCGTTGCAGGGTTTCGAACCGCTGACCTTCTGATCGGCAAAGTCCTAGGCTCTGTGGTTTAACCCACAGCGCCACCCGCGTCCCTGCAACTTAAAATAGATAGCATGTAATAATCACTGGGTCACAGAGGTTTTGGACTGTGTATGGACTGTGAGCCCAAGGAAACCATTGAGAAATCCACAGTAATAAGACCGTTAGTAATAGTGATCTTTTGCTTGTGTGGAAGCCTCAGAGCCGTTGCCCAGGGCTAATCTCTGACTATCCGCGACTAAATGCCAGGCGACCCTCTTTGTGGTTCTTTGTTCCTTGCAATCTCGCCACCCCCCTCTTGCCCTTCCTTATGCGGCCTGGCAGCTGCCAAATAGCTGCTGACAAACCTATGTCCTTAATTCACCACTTGGGTTCCCCAGCTGCCAAGGAAAGCAAGGAGGCGGCGGCGAAGCGTAACACAGTATGTACAGCCTTAAGACTTCACCTTTGTCCCTTTCATTTGCTTGCACATGTCATTAGCCCAGTACTGTAGATTTGCTGGAGGGGGAAACAAAGAAAAGAATGAATTAGATTTTTGCACGCTGTAAGTGAGTCACAGATAGAACCACATACCCAAAAGCCAGCAATTCAAGCTGGTTTTGCTGAGATGCTTAACCCTTTAGCATGCCGGACTCCTACCAAGTTGAGGGGGACGGTTGTATCTGTGTCATTGACTCCAACCGTTTATTGATTAAACTATCACTTGAATGGTGTGGGAAGAGTCCAGGACCTCTCACACTCAGAGTTGCAGAAATGGAGGTACAGAGGGTACACATGTAGCAGAACCCATGCTAGCAGGGGCCACAGACTCTGAGCTTTCATTTAAAAAAAAAAGTTAAGTCAATCGTACATTTCTACAAAAAAAAAAAAGGTTGTAAACCAAAACACAGAGACAGCACTAAGGCTTTGGAGCTCAGCAGGTTACAGTACCATTGCTAAAGACACTTAATCACAGTTGCTAAGCCGTCAGAGGAAGAAATGTTGACTTGTGGCATATATCTGCATTTTGCTTTTTCAGACAGGAGCTCAGGTTTGTGTACATTATCTTCCCCTTCCCCATTTTATATCTTCAACAGCCCTGTGAGGTAGGCTAGGCTAAGTTAATATATGTACATACTGTAAGCAGAAGTTCTTGTCAATAGATAGGTGGTGGTGGTGGTGGTGGTGGTGTAGGGGCCCCAATCCACATACAATGTACATGGGGAAATTCTGTTGGTATCCCTGCCCATACTATCACCAGTTATCTATCTATCTATCTATCTATCTATCTATCTATCTATCTATCTATCCTAACTAATCTCAAGTTCAAGTACTTTAGTCCAAACTGATTGATTTTTAGACTGTCTAGTCAATATCTATCGCAAGAGTTGGGTGCACATCAGGCAGCTGATTTCAGTAGACTGGTGCATTTAATACTGGTCAGTGTCCTTAATAGGTTAAACATTAAAAAAAATACAAGGCAGCAAGTATAGGGCTGGATCCAGACCCAGTTAGTTTAAGTTTTTAAAATTAATGGGACTTAATAGTCCTGACTAACTCAAATCTCATTGGATTTCAGTGGGTCTACTACAAGACTGACAATGTCTGGCTACACGCCACAATATTCAATTCACTAAACTAAAGTGGGATGAAGTTGTTTAATTTTAAACCAACTTTTCTCAAAAACTGAAAAAAAGGGTGTTAAAACAATCATTGCAAGCTCTCTCTCTCTCTCTCTCTCTCTCTCTCTCTCTCTCTCTCTTTCTCTCTCCAAATGGAATGTGTGTCTATTTGGACCATCTGTGCCAAAAATAGAACATTCTACATCCACTGTGTCTTTGTTCCATCTCATGTTCCTATGACTGACTTGTTAATGATCTAACTGGGTGCAAATGATTGGTTGGATCGTCTGTTGCAAGATATATCACATGAAATGACAAAGGAACAATTATATATAGCTCTGGGGAGACTTGAAAGACACACACACACAAAATCCATTAAAATAGTCTCGTTGGCTCCATTGAAAGAAATGGTGTTTCCATGAGTTATGTGCATTGCTTGGGGTCTGAGGATCAAGGATGACAGTGAAATAAACCTCCTAGAGTAGTAGCAACTTCTTGCTTCTTATGAAGAACAGACTATCTGTTCACAACAGTCCCTTAAGGTCTGCTATGTATATGTTTAATTATTGTCTAAATATTCTGCACCTTGAGTCTCAGATAGCAAAAAAATGCAAGAAAACAAGGTAAAATATCTGTAAAATGGGTCTCAAATGCTAACTGGCAGGTATAGAGAGGTTGAATCCAGACCATGACCTGACCAACGTTTTAAAGAGTTCGTTATGCAGCGGGGGTCATTGTTATTTTCCAATCCATCCGAAGGATTCTTCCTGGAGCGTAGTACAAATTTACAGGGCTGGCCACAAAACCACTTTAACCAGTCTGACATGCTTTTAAGTTGACTCAGCAGCCGCACCCTCAAGTCACAACCCAGTAAAGTTGAAGCGCTTGGATTTAGGCCCATTTAGACCGAAGTTCATGGAATCAAACCAGCTCAGATTTCAGCTTATGAATTATACACCAATACGCAAGTTCCATGGAAGCTAATAGTCCTGATCCAGCAACCGCTATCAAATGCACAAGCCATGATGCACAAAGGGAGTTCAAATATATATTAAAAAAAAAAGTCCAGTAGAACCTTAGAGGCCTGCTAAGTTTGTTTTTGGTATAAGCTTTCGTGTGCATGGACACTTCTTCAGATACCCTTGGTATAAGAAGAAGAAGAAGAGTTTGGATTTGATATCCCGCTTTATCACTACCCAAAGGAGTCTCAAAGCGGCTAACATTCTCCTTTCCCTTCCTCCCCCACAACAAACACTCTGTGAGGTGAGTGGGGCTGAGAGACTTCAGAGAAGTGTGACTAGCCCAGGGTCACCCAGCAGCTGCATGTGGAGGAGCGGAGACGCGAACCCGGTTCACCAGATTACGAAACTACCGCTCTTAACCACTACACCACACTGGCTCCCATAAGCTTTCGTGTGCATGCACACTTCTTCAGTTAAGGTCATCTCATTCTTTTCAGTGGAGGAAGCAGACCTAGGTGTACAAAGGAACGTACAGGCCAGTGTGCTCCCTCCTTAGAAATAGGCAGAGATGCTCGTGTGCATGGCAATTTCTTGTGTACAATTGAGTGCTCAGGATCTAGGATGAAAATTGTATGAGTAGCAGCTCTTACATGAAAGTGCCGTTCCACAACTCCAGGTAATTTCATTGGGTTTACACAGGGTAACTTCCAGAGGGATTGTGCCCATGGTGTATGAGCACATTTTGCATTCTGAGTATGTCTAAATAAATAGGTGGTATTTCATGTATGAGAGTTCTGTGTTTCAGATCCAAAATGTATTATTTGCAAAAGTTGCAACGTATTCGCTAAAACAAAAAGCGCACTAAAGGTCAGTTTAAAAGATTAATGTGGGGATTTATATACTAGCTTTTACGAAGGCAAATTAGGAGGCTGAAATAGGAAGTGCACAGAGAACTCATGGCTTTCGCAACGGATAGAGAAAGACATAATTAAATGCTACGTACCTGTCAGTGCTTTCCCTTTATTGCGATAGAGTATCGCAAAGACCGCAATGCCAACCAAGGCAATGAGGAGTGGAATAATCAGTATATAAAATAATGTGTTGGTTTCTGGAAAATAAAAGGACAGATAGGTGTCAGAGCATTTTGTATATTCAGGTAGGAATATATTCCTGGAAGTTGCCAGTTTTGTTATTCAAAATATCCCTTTAAAGCACCGATTGTGTTATGACAGAAATCCAGCAACACGGAAGAATAACTGGAACATTTATTCCAATTATTCCTGTTAATTTCCACGGTCTTTCAGTGACCTGGTTCATGTGGCAAAGTGTGAACACATGAGCATGCAGGTACAGTGGTACCTCGGGTTACATACGCTTCAGGTTACAGACTCCACTAACCCAGAAATAGTACCTCGGGTTAAGACCTTTGCTTCAGGATGAGAACAGAAATCGTGCGGCGGCAGCGGCAGGCCCCATTAGCTAAAGTGGTGCTTCAGGTTAAGAACAGTTTCAGGTTAAGAACGGACCTCGGGAACGAATTAAGTACTTAACCCGAGGTACCACTGTACTTGGAATTGCCGTTGCTTTCATCCCCCCATTCCTGCTGCTCCTGTGCTGCCCGCAGCTAAACCATGGTTTGGCTTTGTCTTACGTTTGACCCCAGATTCATGGTTTGTCTCCCAGAGAGAAAGCATGAGTGGTAAACCAAGAAATAGCATTGGCTATGGCTTGTGGTTTGTCTGGAGCCTTGATTAAGATGCAATGCTAAACCAAACCATAGCTGAGCTCTGGGTAGCACAGCAGCAGCAGCACCAAGGGGAGAGCAACAGTCATGATTTCCACGGCAGCCATAATCCATGTTTTTAATGGTTGATGTCATCTTATGTTTTCATATGTGCTGGAAGCTGGCCAGAGGGGCTGGAGCAACCCAACCAAATGGGTGGGGTATAAATAGTGCGATGATGATGATGATGAATTTCCATCCTTTAAAAGTGTCTTACTAGAAGAATGATGGGAAACTAGTTGGGATTTGGAGATGGCACTCTCCCCGAAGAGCCCTTTTGGGCCTACAGAATGACTGTGAGCTCTGGAAGACCTGATCCCTGTCCTGCGTGCCTTTTCCGATCTGGCCTGGGAGGGTAGAGCCCTCACTATAATAATAATAATACTTTATTATTTATACCCTGCCCATCTTGATGGGCTTTCACAGCCACTCTGGGCAGCTTCCAACAAAATATTAAAATACAGTAATGCATCAAACATTAAAAGCTTCCCTAAACAAGGGATTAGGGACGCGGATGGCGCTGTGGGTTAAACCACAGAGCCTAGGACTTGCCGATCAGAAGGTCGGTGGTTTGAATCCCCGCGATGGGGTGAGCGCCCGTTGTTCGGTCCCTCCTCCTGCCCACCCAGCCATAGCTGTCAACTTACAGATTTGAAAATAAGGGACCAGCAGCCTTGAAAATAAGGGACCAGCAGCCAAAATAAGGGACCTGAAGCCTCACCTGTTCCAGGCACTCCAGTCTTCCTGTCCTCCTGCAGTTTGGTCAAACTCATGCTGGTAGCTTTGAGAACACTGTCCAACCAACTTTGTAACCAGAGGTTCAACTGACTAGAATCTGAATCACATGCACCACAAGGCCTATGCAGCCTCAACTTAAGATGGCTCCCCGGCCTGGCTTTGCACTGCAAAGTTTGCAGCCGCACGTGCAACAAAATGGCGTCCAACATTCAAAACCCCTCAGCTTGCATTAACTAGCCACACACAAGGCATGCAAGCTCCACCCCCCAGTCGTTCTTAGACTTCTTATTGGGTGAGCAACACAGCCAAGCAACACAGTTGGAGCCTCCCTCCTCCCTGGCCAGCAGGGAGGGAGGGAGAGGAGCTGCTTCCTTTGAAATTTAAGGGACATCCTTTAAGGGACATCCATCAATAAGGGACAGCCGTGGGACATGGCGCTGGAATAAGGGACACTTGACAGCTATGCACCCAGCAGTTCGAAAGCATGTCAAAGTGAAAGTAGATAAATAGGTACCTCTCCAGCGGGAAGGTAAACGGCATTTCTGTGCGCTGCTCTGGTTCACCAGAAGCGGTTTAGTCATGCTAGCCACATGACCCGGAAGCTGTACGCCGGCTTCCTTGGCCAATAAAGCGAGATGAGCGCCGCAACCCCAGAGTCGGTCACGACTGCACCAAATGGTCAGGGGTCCCTTTAACTTTACCTTTAAACAAGGGAACTGACTCCAGCTACAAAAGCTGAGGTTGCTAAAGAGCCAAATGCCTTGGCTGTTTCTTACTGCAGATCCAGGACATTGAGCCTGAGCTTCCACAGCAACTGCCCTCCATGAACCACCATTGACAGCAACAGCAGTAGCAATGTTCTATGCTTATAATAACATTTTATTCTCTTGCTTACAATGCTGTTTAAAATGCACATTTTATATCTGACTTCCTTTAGTAATGTTTTCTTTTAAAATGTTTTAGATCATTTTTTGGGGTAACTTTGCAGTGTTAAATGTGCATTCTGTAGCTGACCTCCTTTGCAATGTTTTATTCTGAAATCTTAAAGATAATATTTTAGTTTCCTGTTAATTATGTTGCTTTGAATGTATACTATATATTAGACTTTCTTCGGTAATGTTTTATTCTGAATTGTTTTCTTTGATGTCTTAATGTGTTGTAAACTGCTTTGAGGTTTTTTCTTAAAAATATAAAGTGGTATAGAAATGATAATAATAATAATAATAATAATAATGCATTTTTACATTTAGCTATTATTTGGCATGGCATTACATGTGAAGAAGGACACTGGTATTGGATACTTCACTGGAAAGTGCACAGAGCACAGTTGAAAACTGCAGTTACTGTTTAGGGTCTGTGCAAAGCAAATTTTAGGTAAAGGTAAAGGGACCCCTGACCGTTAGGTCCAGTCACGGATGACTCTGGGGTTGTGGCGCTCATCTCGCTTTATTGGCTGAGGGAGCTGGTGTACAGCTTCCGGGTCATGTGGCCAGCATGACTAAGCCACTTCTGGTGAACCAGAGCAGCGCACAGAAACACTGTTTACCTTCCCGCCGGAGCGGTACCTATTTATCTACTTGCACTGTGTGCTTTCGAACTGCTAGGTTGGCAGGAGCAGGGACCAAGCAATGGGAGCTCACCCCGTCGCGGGGATTCGAACTGCCGACCTTCCGATTGGCAAGCCCTAGGCTCTATGGTTTAACCCACAGTGCCACCCGCGTCCCTTAAGCAAATTTTAATTCTGGATAAATCCATTCTTGCACGAATCTTGTTTAATTATATTTGGAAAATAAAATATTAATCAATGAGATTAGCCTTTGGCCCATCAATTTTCATGTTGTGAAAATCTTGTTGAGGATAACATTTAATAAAGCCCTCAGGATCTGAGGAACTTAAGCCTGCCTCCACTTAAGCCAAAATGAATGTCAACTTAAGTCCTACAAATAATACACAACTTTTCTTTAAACAATTGCAACCCTTTGTGGTCCCATCATTGTTTGTCATGTTATGAGCTTTTTTGTATGCCTGAGCCCCCTTCTAATTCCTTGATCCAACACAGATTCAATTCCTGGAATAGCCAGGCTAGCTTGCTGGTGAGGTAATGGCCCTCTAAATTTGGGCCATTAAGGTAACAAAGGAAGTGGTTCATAGTAAAGACACCACAGTCTCCCTGGCCCTTATTCTGAAGAAACACGAAACCTGGTTAAGTGCCTGAAGCCCCCCAGCATCTTACGACTTCTTGGAGTTTGGGGTGGCAAGCAACCGTATATTTTTGCATTTACCATCTTGCGGCTGTTTCAGTTGCTTCTTACAAACGACATCAGCCAATCTGTTCCCAGGATTTTTTTCCTCAGTTCCTAGAGCTGTGCAGCTAAGGAAAGGAAGGAAGGAATATATTAACCCTTGTAATATACATCTAGGGTAAACAGAAACAGAGAATCATAGAACTGTAGACTTGGAAGAGACCGAGGGGGTAATCTATTCCAACCCTCTGCAATGCAGAAATCTTTTGGCCAATGTAAGGCTTGAAACCACGACCCTGAAATTATGATTGGAGAGGATGTCAGGAAACAGGGAATTATGTTCACATGTGGTGGGGCGGGGGTGTAAATACGTACAATTTTTTTTGGCAAAGGGTGTTTAAGGAGATAACAGAAATCACTGGGTTAAAGCTGACCAAAAGTCCAGAGGTAGAATTATTACCAATTTACGATAGGATGGAAGGTTTGCAGGCTACGAAGGGCTTGCTCACAAATTTATTGACAGCTGCACAAATTATTATCGCTAGGAAGTGGAAGGGCCAAGCAGTATATAAAATGGAAGAATGGTATAAAGAGGTGTGGGATATAGCTATTAATGATAAATTAACATGTGCCACTAAGGTAAGATGGGGAATATGCAGGAGGAATGGTTTTGAGGAGATATGGAGGGTGCTTGTAGAATTTATACTGTTAAAATGGAAAGGGGTCAGACCATCGCAAGAGGTGTTGAAATTTTGGGAGGTTGGATAGTTACAATGGAATGGTCTCGGTGGTGGGGTGCACATTTTCATTCTTATTCATTTATTTTTATTACTTTGCCAAAACAAAACAAACAAATAAATAAATAAAAAAGAATGTATAAAATGTAAATATATGTATAAAATATAAATAAAAGAATGGAAAAGAATAAATTGTGAGTCTCATGCTCATTTCATGAGATATTTGATATTTTTTAATTGATTTTTTTTACTATTATTTTACTGCTATAGATTCGTGGCACTTACTTGGTCCACGTTTTGCATGCATCAGTTGCGGAAGAGACGTTAGAGAAGGATCCTCTTGGGCACGGCATGCACACTGTGTCCTTATTTTGTTGTACTGTGGGAAACATAACCAGTAAAAGCACCGAGAATAGAGCATCACTTCATACATGAAGACTTGTTGCTAACAAACCTATTTTGCCAATCTTAGGAGCAGGCATTTGGTGCAAGCCAACGATGAAAACCATTGACGAAAAGGCTGAGGGACGGTGGGCCGCTTCCCACATGTTGCAGAATCAAACCAACTTCTAGAAAAAATAAATAAAAGCCAAGCTGTGCCCTTCCGTGGTAGCAGGACCCGAAACAGAAGCTGCAGCGAAACCTGTGGTTCTGCACAACGGGATTTGCTGTGCTTGCATGCTTCAACATGGGATTACAGCTATGATAGACAAACACAGTGGATTTTGAAGGCTTTGAAGCATCCACATATGTGTGTATGGAAACACACAAACCCTATCCACCATACACATAGCAGAGGGACAGAGGGACGTTTTTGCCTGGTGGCCCAGATCGTTAAATGCCGCACCAAATTTGATGGGTGGGCAGGACTACCCACCTGTTGTTTATCTCATGCCAAAGGTAAAGGTAAAGGGACCCCTGACCATTAGGTCCGGTTGTGGACAACTTTGGGGTTGCAGCGCTCATCTCGCTTTATTGGCTAAGGGAGCTGGAGTACAGCTTCCGGGTCATGTGGCCAGCATGACTAAGCTGCTTCTGACAAACCAGAGCAGTGCACGGAAACGCCATTTACCTTCCTACCAGAGCGGTACCTATTTATCTACTTGCACTTCGACGTGCTTTCAAACTGCTAGGTTGGCAGGAGCTGGGACCCAGCAATGGGAGCTCACCATGTCATGGGGATTCGAACCGCTGATCTTCTGATCGGCAAGCCCTAGGCTCTGTGGTTTAGCCCACAGCACCACCCGCATCCCATCTCATGCCAAACACACACTCAAATCAAACAGGATTTACTTCCTCACACACCAGCTGATAGGCAGGGGTGGTGCTGCCCGTTCCGGCTTTCTGCAGAGTTTGGGTGTGTGAGGCAGCTTCCCTGTGGGAAATTCTCTAGTGCTGCCCCTGAACCAAGCAGGACTGAACTCCCCACGCATCCGCTGATGGACAGGAGGAAGATCAATATTTCTCTCTGCAAGGATTCATGCTCTGTAGGGAAAACAGACCTCTATCTGCCCCACACATTAAATCACATGTGGTGTCACTGGAAAGGCAGGCAAGCGTGGTTTGGTGGAAACAGGCCGGTAGGCCAAATTTGGCCCTCGAGCCGGAGGTGCCACACTAAGGTTACCAGTCATCCCTGTTTCCTGGGGACAGTCCCCGGATTTACAAATCAGTCCCCATACAAAATCCATTGAAGATGAAAAGTGTCCCCGGATTCATTGAAAAAAATCTGGTAACCTCATGCCACACTCTTGACATGGCGTAAAGTATGAGACAGGTGCCTCCCCATACAGTGGTACCTCGGGTTACATACGCTTCAGGTTACATACGCTTCAGGTTACAGACTCCGCTAACCCAGAAATATTACCTCGGGTTAAGAACTTTGCTTCAGGATGAGAACAGAAATTGTGCTCTGGCGGTGCAGCAGGAGGCCCCATTAGCTAAAGTGGTGCTTCAGGTTAAGAACAGTTTCAGGTTAAGAACGGACCTCTGGAACGAATCAAGTTCTTAACCCAAGATCCCACTGTATAGCGAATTGATTTATACTTTTTAAAAAATGAGGAGGAGAGATGATGTGAGCAATTCAGGCCACCTCTTGGAGTGCTTTCCCACGTGTCACCTGAAGCTGGGAGGGGATCAAGTGGATCACTAGCCCAGTGAGCATCTAAAACAGGCCACTGGCATTTGCAAAAGGCTCCGTGCACAAACTGGACCAAAAGTTCCCAGGGTGGCTCAGCGAAATCAGAAATCTTACTGGGATGCTTGACTCCAGAGCCAGGGGGACATTTCTTGTTCCGCCGGCAGCAGTCGCAGTCTTCATTCCAGTGGTAGCCTGCTATGCAGGCACACTGCCGCTGGTTCGTACTGTTTCCTGGGTTCACTTCTATCAAAGCTCTTCCTTCGAACAGAACAAAGTGGGGAAGCAGATGGAGGTTAAAGTCGTGCCTTCACAGCTTCCTTCGGAGTCCTTAGCCTGACCTCGACCCCAAGAACCCCTTCCTGGTTGGCAAGAGTGGCTTACGCCAGACTGCAAATCACACTCCCTTGTGACTCCTGGTGGGGCGCAGAAAGGGTACAACTGCCTGTTGTGCCCGTGAGTAAGGAACAGGGGAAACCCCAAGCTCTGAATCGGCAGAAGAGGAAAATTCAGGGAAAGAAGTACAAATGTCAGGGGAGGGGAGTTAGTGTGGGGTGGGGTGTGTGGATAATCAGAAGGATGGTTGTGGGAGTTTAGCAGAATGCAGTTTGTTCATGGTCGGTTGCATAAGGGAAGTCCCCCCAGAGTCCAAGTCCCAGTTTGGCACGCCATCTCTCAGCCTGCTGTGGGAGACTGTGGTGGTTGCCAATTAAGTTTCACAAGCAGGTTTAAAGGGGTATTTGCATCCCTTCTCCACACACACACACACAGAGATTATCTTGCTTTCTCTCTCTCTCTCTCTCTCTCTCTCTCTCTCTCTCTCGTCTCCCTCTACCCTTCCAAAAGTCAGTTCCCTCACAGATTTTAAAGGGCCTACATGGTTAAGCACCACATATACCATATTGGCCTGAATATAAGCCTCACTCCCCCCCCCCCAATTTCGACCGCGAAAAGTTAAAGTGCGGCTTAAATTCGCAACCTTACAAAAATGGGCTTTTACGATATCGCTGCTGAATCAGACATACAGTAAAACGGAATGGGTGTGAGTGCCTGCTGAATTTTAAAGGTGTGGCTTATATTCAGGTGCAGATTATATTCAGGCCAATACGGTAAGTAAACAAGGTGAGTCGTCTCTACAAGCTTTGGGTCTCTTTTCAGGACATGCTCAGAACCAACTGAGTTGGTGGTCCTTGGGGAAAGGTGCCCTCACCAGGGCCCCTTCCTGGCTGGGCTCCCTTCCTTCTTCTCAGTATCACTGGTGCCCATTAATCTTAGGGAAGTAGGAAGTTGCCTTATGCTAAGTCAGACCATAGCACCAACCAGTTCAGTATTGAAAACACGGATTGGCAGCAACTCTCCTGGGTTTCAGGTTGGGGACATTCCCAGTCCTACTTAGAGATTGCAGAGATCGGACCTAGAACCTTATGCATGCAAATTACATGCTCTACCACTGAACTATGGGCCTTTCAGTTTACAATCTAGTACGGTACAGTATGCTTAACTGTACGGCAAGGTAAGTAGCACCTACAGTTAACAATCTAGTATTCTTCTCCTACTAATATGATAACGCAAGTCAAGGACTCAGATCAGAGGCACAGCAATGCCTTAGCTACTTTCCCTTACCTTGGTCACATATTTTATGAAGCGCGCACTTTTCTTCTTCATTCCAGATGTCCATATACTCATTTGGGCCACAGGGCTGGCATATGGTCTCTGAAGTGCGAGTGCATTTGGCAGACATGTACTTTCCTTAACAGGGCAGGAGAAAAGGCTGGTTACACCTCAGGTTCTGCAATGCTGACAGGCTAGCACTAACAAAGGCTTTTAACTCTGGTGTGAGAATTATTTTCCTCTTCCAGGTTAAGGTATTGCTCATCAAAATACTGGAATGAGGGTTGTCAAAATCTGTTTCGAAAGGACAGCTAAGTTCTACAGCCACGGTGACCCAGGTAGAACCTGCTGAATCAGGATCGGCAATTGACAGTATGGGGTCAATCATGAGTGGTCAACACGCACAAGTGGATTCTGCATGATCTACAGGGAGCCATTTCCACAGAAGCAAATTTTTGCCGGTCACTTCTGAAGCTTACTGGCTTTGCGGATTCTATTATTATACAAATTCATAGACCGCTTCCCAGTGATAAGTCATCCAAGCTGTGTTTGATTTAAAAAACCAAAAACAAAGTAAAAACAGAAACACAAGCTCTAAAAACAATAGAATCAATTCAACAATCTCTTTAAAAAAATCCATACTCATCAGAATGTCATTTAAAAATAGCACTTGATAATGTAAACTGATATATATTGTTGACTCTTGGGCTCTGCTTTGATGTCCTGGCTACTGGGCCAGCCCTGCCGTTAGGCAGACAGCAGCAGCTAGCTCAGGCAACAGATGCTGGGGGAACGAGAGTCCTGGCATGGTGCCAGAGAACAAAACTGCATGCGCCTGTCCTATGCTCTCTAATCTAGCCTGCTGTCCTCAGTGGTGGCAGAGAATGCTAGCTAAAGCGTTGCCAGTGTTGAAGTATGATTCGATTGCCAGTCCAATAATGGACCAATCTCCACTGTTCAACCAGTTAATTTCAACTCCCAGATATCAAGTTGCAACTTGTGGCTGAAATTTTTTGGTCCTGGTCTCTGATGTTCAAGAAGAACATGCCACTAAGCTTAGCGCAAATCAAGATGATGGTTTTACAAAATGGAAAGACCTGGTTAGCTGTGGGGACTTAGGCCTGTCATTTCCTGTGAACCACCCTGTGAGTATAGGGCAGTATAAAAACAAACAAACAACGAACCAATAAACAATAAACAATAAACAACAACAACAAAGAAACTGGCACCTTCCAAAGTTTTCTTGCATGCCACATAAACCTCAAAACTAAAAGCACTGGGAGGGACATTTTGTGTGAACAAGTGGCCATCTTGGTGGGACTGTGGGGAACTCGGCTCCAACTCTTCACCTCTTCCTTTCTCCATCCCTCCATTCCTTTCACATCACAACCCACCTCCCTCCTCTCCTATTGCTCAGCTTTCAACATCACCCTTTCCCACCGCCCTTTCTGTATATTACAAACCCCTCTGTTTCCTTTCTCTCCCCGATCTCTATTTTGGCAAGGGAGGGAGTCTCTCAGTGCTATCATTCCTCTGAGAGATTTCTGGGCAGTTATGGGCACCTAAGAGGAAAATCCTGACACACGTATATGAGCCCAGCTTCATTCCACCCAAACAAAATTTCCGGGACAGGCATAAAAATGTAGTCTGTATCAAATTGGAGCACCCCTCAACAGAAACTAAAAAGGAGCATCTGACATGTTTTTCTTACACGAGTACTCAATTTTTTTCATATTTTTTTTTGGGGGGGGGGGAACAGCCACCTTAATACTAGGTCGGATCATCAGTCAATGCAGCTCATATTCTACACTGACTAGCAGTGCCACACAAACACACACTGGGGTTTCAGACAGGGCAGGAGTCTTCCTCAGCTTCACCAGATTGAATGTGGGATCTTTTGCATGCAGAGCATGTGCTGAGAGATGGGCCCCTCCCCATTTCCTGGAAGAAGCACGTCCTAGGTATGCTTACCTGGCTCACATTTGGTGCAGCACCGTCCAAAATATTCATAATGCTGTTCGCTGCTACAGGGAGGGGTGATTTGTAAGGAGAGCTGGAGAACGGGGAAAGAGAGAAATTAGGACACCGTCAGTTAAAGCCCTCATAGTTATGAAATATTTCAAGGCAATCCCAAAGTTTCGCATCTGAATGTGGATTCAGTTGGCTGTGACTACGGTTGTGATGTCTCACAGTGATACCATCAGGCAGTAAGATTTAACCTGCCTGAAAAGTTAAGGGGAGGAAATAACAGCTCAAAACAAGCAAATAAATGAATAAAACTTCATTAACATAGACAATATATCTACAATGTATTTATTATTATTATTATTATTAGTAGTAGTAGTAGTAGTATGCCACCAGTCCTCCGTAGATCTCAAGGCAGTTCACAAGACCCATTGCTCATCTTCAGTCACTAAAACTGAGACATAATTAAGATCTTCTACCGCTATGCAAGGGTGCTAACTTGAATAAAAGGGCTGGCACAGTGCAGCCACAGTGGCAGAGCCAAGTGTGTGGTGTTGGGAAGCCAGGAGAGCAGCCCTACCCAGCCCTACCCAGGCAGCCCTGCTGGCCACTACTGGTGAATTGTCAGGAGTCCAGGTTCCCAGCTTGATAACACAGTAAGCGTAGCTAATTAAAAAGGTGGATTTATTGCAAAAACAAACAGATAGCTCTGGACAGCTCTAACAAAGCCTCTGGCACCATTGCTTAAGACGACCCTTCTGAAGACTCCTTCTGGCGTCAACAGAAGATGTTGAACTTACAAACCTTATGTCTCTTGTTTTGCTTCCTATCTAGCAGCCCTCCCATTTGCCGACTCTTCGGACTTAGTTGATCAGCTCCCACCTCTTCCTTTTCTGAGAGGCTCTCTCTGAGTTCATTCGCGCCTGTTTGTGCTTCCGGTGAGCTTTGGCTGCATTCTAGCCTGCTCTCAGCTACAGCCTTATCAGCCTGCCTGTCAAGGTCAGGAAGAGCCGAAGTCTGCACCTGCCGGCTCTCCCCTGCCTGACTAACATCAAGCTTCTCTGTTCCTGGCTGCTTTCTGCAGTTGGCTGCAAACCTTCGCTTGGAGCTGGCTCATTCCTGACACCAATTTATTAAATTTGATAGCCGCTTTATTTTAGTCATACTGTAGCCCAATATTATGAAGTGTCAGTGGAATGTATTGTCATACGGTTTTTTGGAGGGGGGCAGTGTTAGGATATTTCCGTTCCACCTTAAAAGGAAGCAGGCTTTGTGAGTCAGAGTCTGCGTATTTCCTGTTCACAGGATGTTTATGTTTTCTGTTGCTTTCGTTTTCTCTCTGTGTCGCAGACACTAAATCAGCAGGCAGTCATGTTTTTCTGTGTTCTGATCAACGCTGAATAAACTTGTAAATAATGCTCTCCTGATTGCAACTTTTGGCTGTGCTATCTGCTGATAAGAGTGTGCATGAGCTCTGGAATGTGGCAAGAAATCTTCGAGAAACTCATGTCGCTAATTGTTGATACTGCGTGACTACGGGAGGTCGATGGATCGTCCGGCAGACGGCTTGGGGGCCTTGATGGACTTTATCTCCCTGGCAGTATCCCAACAACAGGTTTCGGGCCCAGATTCACAGCACTTACAGGAGAGTAAGACTGCGACAGACTGCTGAAAGGTATGTGGAAGAAAAGCGAAAGTGAGGCTTTTCTGTTTGCCGAGGCAAGGGCCTTTGAACTCCGGCAGATTAATGGATCTGGGAGATGCGCCAAAGGCTTCGTGATTAATGAGCTGCCGAGATAAGACATCTCTGAAGTGAATAAGAACTTTTTAAAGACTCACGGCTCAAATAAAAAGCTGGAATGGAGTTTTTCCAGGCTTCTGAGGCTGAGTGCCCAAAGTTAAATCGGCACAATTATGGGACCTGGGCTGTGTGGTGTGAGAGCTTGCTGCGTCAGTTTGGAGTGTGGCATACTGTGTGTGAGGCCCCTCCAGTTCCCCTGACAGATAAATGGGAGGCCGAAAATTTGAGGGCGATAGACGTAATCGTCTTGTCCGTCTCTCTGGAGGAAATAAAAACGCTAGCTGGCAATGTGACTGCACGTAATATGTGGCATGCTTTGAAGATAGCCCATCTGCCAGTCATCCCAGCCCAGAGTTTGACTGCATCGGAGGTCCTGGCTGTTTCCCAGAATGCGAGTGAGTGCAGGGATGCTGAGGGCACCGGTTGCAAGCTGCAGGGGGAGCTGACTGTCACGTTATCCCAGGCAGCATTCCAGCCTCCAGGGGGAGCCAAGGAGTCGGCAGCTGAGAGCTCTGTTTCTCATGGGAGCCAAGGTCATCGCCTTTGCAGAGCCCGGAAGGGCAAAGGTAAACAGAGGCAGACGCCTGCAGATGGCCAGAAGCAGAGGGAGGGTGAAGAGCCCACGCCAGAGGAAAACAAGGTTTTGTTTGCTGGCAAAGCTTCACCAAAGGCTAAAGGCAAGTCTGATGGCCAGGAGCAGGGGGGCAAGCTGCAAAAGCCCACGCCGGTGGAAAACAAGGTTTTGCTTGCTGCAAAAGCTGCTCCAAAGGCCAAGGCCAGGTTTGTTGTTGATTCCGGCTGTACCCGCCATGTCTCAAAGGACCGCCACCTATTTATCTCCTTCAAGCCTCAAGAAGGTGAGATCCACCTGGCTGACGGAAAGACGTTGCGAATTGCGGGAGAAGGGACTGTGAAACTGGCAAGTCTGCACACGACCATCAAAGATGTACTGTATGTTCCAGGCGCTGCAGACAATTTGCTCAGTGTCCCACAGTTGACTGGGCGTGGTTTTGAGATTTCCTTCAAGAGGAGCGTCTGTGTCATCAGAAAAGGCAAAGAGGACATTTTGCATGCAAAGTTTATGGATGGCTTGTTCTGTATAACTTATGATGACAGTGCTGCTGTTGTGTCTAATGTTGATTCTTGTTGTGTTGCACAAACTAACAAAGTTCTTCATGCAGGATGCATTCACGATGCACATCGAAGGTTTTGCCATCTCTCTTGGAAGGCACTGGCCAAGATGCCAGAGATGGTTGAGGGTTTGAACATCAAACCCTGTAAGTTTCACATGAAATGTGTATCTTGTGCAGAGAACAAGGTGAAGGTTGCTCCAAAAGGCAAGGAGTCTAGCAGGCAGGCTTCCAAACCCTACCAGCTAGTGCACGCAGACCTGGTTGGTCCACTTGCGCCCTCTTTGGGTGGAGCAAGGTACTTCATGGTTCTAATTGATTCTTTTTCCAGGTACATTCATGTGTTTATGCTCGAGCAGAAATCGCAAGCGTTTCCTAAGTTCAAGGCATTCTGTGCTTGGTTGGACAATGTTCATGGTAAACGCATTGGCTGTCTGTTTACTGATCGAGGCGGGGGTTCACTTCTCAGCAGTTTGAAGCTTTCCTGACTGAGAAGGGAATCCAGCATAGCCTCTCAAGTCCTGGATCTCCATGGGAGATTTGTGAGCAAGCAAAGCAAACGTTGCTGCAAGGACTGAAAACATTGTTGCATGATGCCAATCTCCCTGAGAAGTTTTGGGGGGAGTCTTTGAACTCGTTTGTTTACACTTTTAATCGCAGGTTGTCATCACCTATTGGTTGTACCCCTATGAGAAGATGTTTGGTAAGAAACCCAACATCAAGCACATGAGAATCTTTGGTTCTGACATGTGGGTACACACCCCACAGAGCAACAAGCTTGGGAAGCGTGGGGCACATGGTTTGTTCATGGGGTACGAAAAGGTGCATACAGGGTATGGATGACCAACTCTAAGTCCATTAAGTTCACAAGGAGTGTTGAGTACAATCCTAAGTGGGGGGAAAATGTGGGAATTTTCCAGAGTTACCCAGAGGAGGATGAAGGTGATGTCAAAGAAGCAGCTAAAGCTGAGGAAGCTGCTGAGGATGATGATGACGATGATGATCAGAGTTCGGATTCCAGTTCAGTGGGTGGCGCTGCTGCTGGTGTCAGTGACAGTGATGACACAGCAGACTACAAGAGCGCAAAGGCCTCAGTCAGACCATCTGATACGTCTGACAATGAACTGGAAGAACCACTGTTCACCATTGGTCACTTTTCTCCTAAGAAGGAGGAGATGAGTCCAGAAGACTTGCGTCTAGTACGCAGATCTGAGAGAGCCACAAAGGGCAGACCTCCAAAGAGATTTGCTGATGAGTTTGCTAAGACAGCAACTGCTGTTCTTAGTAGCTCAGAGAAGGTATGGGAACCTTCAAGCTTCAAAGAGGTTCAGGAGTTAACCTCTAAAGATGCTGAGCCTTGGCTTAATGCCATGAAGGCTGAAGTTGATTCCTTGAACAGGAACCAAACTTGGGAGTTGGTACCGGTAGTCCCAGGAATGAGACTGGTTGGCAGCAAATGGGTTTTCAAGGCCAAGACAGACCAGAATGGCAAGGTTGTCAGACACAAAGCCAGATTGGTTGCCAGAGGTTTTTCACAGGTACCAGGACAGGATTACCACGAGACCTACTCACCCACCGTCAAATATGAGAGCATTCGGCTGATGCTCAAGATAGCTGCAGAGGAGAAACTGCATGTTTCCCATCATGACATTAATACAGCTTTTTGTACGGGCTTCTGGGGGAGGAGCTGTTTATGCTTCCACCTGATGGGATGCAGATACAGAAGGGAATGGTCTGTAAACTGCGGAAATCCTTATATGGTCTCAAGCAGAGTGCCAGGTGTTGGAACACAAAACTCACTGAGACATTGCTTTCTCTAGGTTTTCACCAGGGCAAAGCTGATCCATGTGTGTTTGTCAAGGAGGAGGGGCAAAACAAACTGTATTGTTTATGTTTTGTTGATGATCTTCTGATGTTTTGGAAGAATCAGGCTTTTTATCAAAGCACCCTAGCTCAGCTGAAGGAGCACTTTGACATGAAGGATCTTGGTGAGGTATCCAACTATCTTTCTCTGCAGGTGGAGAGGGACCAAGCAGGTAATTTTCTGGTACACCAAACACAGAAAATTGCTGATGTATTAACCAGGTTGAATTTGGTTGATGCAAACCCAGCAGACACACCGATGGTGACAGGTTACCAGGTAGACAGTACTGCTGAAGCGTTTTCTGACACAACGCTGTACAGATGCATTCTAGGCAAGTTGAATTTCATTGCTAGATGCTCAAGACCTGACATAGCTGTAAGCTGTAACCTGCTTAGCAGACATGCCAACAATCCTACTGTTCAGGATTGGAAAGCTCTGAAGCGCATAGCCCGCTATCTGAAAGGGACTATGCACTACAGGCTGAGGTTCACCAGTCAAAAGACTGGAGGTCTTGAAATCTTTGCAGATGCAAGTTTTGGAAGTGACACCACGGATGGTACGAGCACTTCTGGAGTATGCTACATGTACAACCACTGCCTGTTTGACTGGTTGTGCAAAAAAGCAGACGACAGTGAGCCTAAGTTCCTGTGAAGCAGAACTCAATGCTCTGTCATTTTCACTCATGGATTGTGAATGGTTGATGCAACTGTTTAAGGACATCAGAGTTTCTGTGAAATGTCCTGTACAAGTGTATCAAGACAATAGATCGTGTTTGGCTTTGCTGAACTCGGAGAGTTGCAAGCAAAGGACCAAGTACTTGCAGATTAAGCTACATCGTGCAAGAGAGTGTATTCAGAAAGGACTCATTCAGGTGTCCTACATGCCAGGAAATGAAATTCCTGCTGATCTGTTGTCTAAGGTTGTTAACAGAGAACAACTTAAGGTTTATGTACAAAGGTTGCAATTGGGTTGAACCACAGGTACTACAGGTTACACGGAAAGGGGGAGGATGTTAGGATATTTCCGTTCCACCTTAAAAGGAAGCAGGCTTTGTGAGTCAGAGTCTGCGTATTTCCTGTTCACAGGATGTTTATGTTTTCTGTTGCTTTCGTTTTCTCTCTGTGTCGCAGACACTAAATCAGCAGGCAGTCATGTTTTTCTGTGTTCTGATCAACGCTGAATAAACTTGTAAATAATGCTCTCCTGATTGCAACTTTTGGCTGTGCTATCTGCTGATAAGAGTGTGCATGAGCTCTGGAATGTGGCAAGAAATCTTCGAGAAACTCATGTCGCTAATTGTTGATACTGCGTGACTACGGGAGGTCGATGGATCGTCCGGCAGACGGCTTGGGGGCCTTGATAGACTTTATCTCCCTGGCAGTATCCCAACAGGCAGAACCCCATAATATCTACATTCAGTTAAGGGTCAGAATTTGAGCAAACTCATAAATGCATGGAATGTGTATACCATCAATGTTCCCAGCTTAAAACGTTCTCCCCTTCCCCAGCTCATCAGGCTGAGTGGGAAGTCTGGGGCTGTGTGTTAAAGGATGAAGAGGTGGCTTGGCCAACGGTATTGCAAGACCTTGAGCAGCACTAGTTGGGAAAGGAGGGGCAACAAGCCTAGCAGCTAGGGAGTTAACACTCCCACCCACTCATTGCTGCCTTCAGTTTTACAAACACACCCTGGTTGGCAGTGGTGGAGCCTGAGAGAATCGCAGCCAGTCTGCCTTTGCTTGCAGAAGGGTCTTCGCTTGCAAGCAAGGGAGGAGAAGTTTCAGAGACATCCCATTTCACTCCAGGGACTTTTGACGCCACATCTGCTTTGTTTTGAGCTTCCCAAACGACTCAACTGCTAGATATGAAACTAAATTATATATATAATTTTAAAAACCCTGGGACATGCACATCAACAAAAAAAAGAAATCCAGGTTCAGCTTTCTGATGGTGTGCAAGTTCCACACAGAAAGAAAGAAAGAAAGAAAGAAAGAAAGAAAGAAAGAAAGAAAGAAAGATTGAAATTCCAGGCACTGCAAGATTGCCATTTCCTTTCTCTCACCACCAAAGCAAAAGCAATTACGGTACCTTCGCAAGGGTTGTTCCTGGGAGTAAAATAGCACAGATGTTCCCAGCTGTGCCAAACCAGAACTTAGGAGGCAGGGCGGTAGAGTACCCCACACACACACACCAAGAAAGGTTTCATTATAAGATGCCAGAAACAAACTGCCTTCAAAAAATGGAGTAGCTCTGCTTTGAAACAGCCACTGGTGTTTTCGTATTACTACCGGCCTTAGCAGTGCTACTTGGTTTCCACCCCCTGGTATGGGAAAATCAGCATTAACAAGCGGCAACAGGGAGATTGGGATGCATACAAGACAAGCACACCATGTGGCTGCCCCCCTTCAAATAATGTCTAGGGACACTGCAAATTATGTCGTAAATTACTGGCGCAGAACTGCCCTTAATCCCATTGAATAAAACGGGGCTCACTTTTGAGTAGACATGTGTAAGCTTGTCCTGTTGATCATGTGAGTTACTGTTAAATCAGGTTACATTTGAGATAATGCTATCTGTCATATCTAGAGATAACATTAGAGATAAATTTGGTTCCAAGTCCTATTCTCCTGGGTCCCTTGCAACTAAGTATTCATGTTTACCTATAGATATCACACCTATTTCCCTTTAATATTCTGAGAAGGAAGCCATTGCAGCAAAACCTGCTCCTTAAAGATTGACAAATACCTTACGGTAAAACTTTCTGCGGACAAAGTCCATTTCATCAGATGCATCTGATGACGTGGACCCAACCCCATAAAAACTTCTACTGTAATAAAGTTTGTTAGCAAGTTTAAGGTGCCGCAAGTTTTTCCTTGAAATTATAACCTCAGTGCAGGAGTCCAGCAGTGAAAAGGGCACAGAGAGTGAGTTGTTGCCCATGCATAACTCAATGGAAATCTCATCATGTACTCAGGACATTGATCAATGACCCCATTTACCAAGTGGTGACTTATCACTCTATGCATCTTTAAGCTGTTCATCTCTAGTTCCCGGACAGTACCAGATTTATGTATAAGCTAAACATGCTATAGCTTAGGGCCCCACTCTCTTGGGCCCCCCAAAAAAATTTAAAGGAAAAAACACCTGGATGTACATTTCCAATATATAAGACAAAAACCAAATAAAATAAAGCCTACATACAGCAACAGTGTTTTGTGTTGTGTAGGCTCCTATGATGTAATTAATGGGCCCTGCCTGCTAGCCTGCTTCCTAAAATTTGCTCATTTCTATATATAGCTTGCCTACATTCTGCATGGACTGGTTGCATGGCAGCATGTAGCAGGCAGCTGAAGACTGCAGTGCAGCACAGTTGAATGTAGGTCAAGCTGTTGTACCTGTTATCTAATATTAAAGAGTGCTTGTAGACTGATGATCAGGCAGCATAGACTAAGGGTATGAGTCTTATGCCTACTGATTGATTTCATGTACAGTGGTACCTCGGGTTACATACGCTTCAGGTTGCATACGCTTCAGGTTACAGACTCCACTAACCCAGAAATAGTACCTCGGGTTAAGAACTTTGCTTCAGGATGAGAACAGAAATTGTGCTCCGGCAGTGCGGCAGCAGCAGGAGGCCCCATTAGCTAAAGTGGTGCTTCAGGTTAAGAACAGTTTCAGGTTAAGAACGGACCTCCAGAACGAATTAAGTACTTAACCCGAGGTACCACTGTAATACATAATTTGTTTATTTTGATCCCATTACAGCATGGGTAGGCAAACTAAGGCCTGGGGGCCAGATCCGGCCCAATTGCCTTCTAAATCTGGCCTGTGGACGGTCCAAGAATCAGCGTGTTTTTACATAAGTAGAATGTGTGCTTTTATTTAAAATGCATCTCTTGGTTATTTGTGGGGCATAGGAATTCGTTCATTTTTTCCCTTCAAAATATAGTCCGGCCCCCCACAAGGTCTGAGGGACAGTGGACCGGCCCCCTGCTGAAAAAGTTTGCTGATCCCTGCATTACGACTTTAGTTACTTATTAGGTCCATAAATTACCATATAGCATATATTCAACACAGAAAATAGTGACAATTTGTTGTCGACAGAGGACAGCTGGACATATAAAGGGCCCCATTACCTTCAGTAGCTTAGGGCCTCCTCAAACCTAAATCCGGCCCTGATCCCGGACATGTAATGAGAGGAGAATCGTTCCACATTTGCATCCCTGGATTTAGTGGCGCTGTGGGTTAAACCACAGAGCCTAGGACTTGCCGATCAGAAGGTCGGCGGTTCGAATCCCTGCAATGGGGTGAGCTCCCGTTGCTCGGTCCCTGCTCCTGCCAACCTAGCAGTTTGAAAGCACGTCAAAGTGCAAGTAAATAGGTACCGCTCAGGCGGGAAGGTAAACGGTATTTCCGTGTGCTGCTCTGGTTCGCCAGAAGTGGCTTAGTCATGCTGGCCACATGACCTGGAAGCTGTACACCGGCTCCCTCGGCCAATAAAGCGAGATAAGTGCCGCAACCCCAGAGTCGGTCACGACTGGATCTAATGGCCAGGGGTCCCTTTACCTTTACAAATTGTGTTATGGCAATACAGATGAGCCACTTATCAAGTAACCACTTCATAAATTATATGGACCCAAAGACTCGTCAGAAAGTGCATACACAACATGATCATAAAAAGAGTTAGTTTCTTCCTTTTCAGCCTCCGCCTGCAGGTTCCTCTTTATGTGAGGCACTTTAACGGTGACTTAGATGGAGTTTGACAGGGGCAAAGTCCCCAGCTTTAAGGAACAGCATGCAAATCTACAAAAGCACACAGAGCCAAACTTGTAGAGAATAGCAGGAAACCTCTGCATTGTATCCGAAGGTACTTCCTCTTTTTTGAAAAAAAAAGAGAAAGTAATAGTAACTCACAATACTCTAACCTTTATAACAGAAGGTTGTTTGTGGCCCTGTTTCAGCCACCCCTGCACTTTGAAGCACAGAGGTTGAGGACAATGGGAGTGCTTTGTTTAGTCCTATCATTCACCTCACTGATAAGGAGCCAACAGTAAAGAAATAAAAAGCCAATTCCTTCTTTGTACAGTTATGCACAGAAAAGAAAAGTAAACATTCAGCACTTTCTTATATTGGCATGGTTCCCATCTAGACTCAGTGCTTTACAGTGCAATTCTGAGGTGCCTCCTGAGTAAGCCTCGCTGAGTTCAGTGCAATTTACAGCACAATCTTCTATGGGTGGTATTCAGGGCTTTTTTCAGCTGGAACTCAGTTCCAATGGCACCTCTGAGATGGGCGCCATTGTCATTACAGTGGTATCTCGGGTTACAGATGCTTCAGGTTACAGACACTTCAGGTTACAGACTCCGCTAACCCAGAAATAGTACCTCGGGTTAAGAACTTTGCTTCAGGATGAGAACAGAAATCATGTGGCGGCAGCGGAAGGCCCCATTAGCTAAAGCGGTACCTCAGGTTAAGAACAGTTTCAGGTTAAGAACGGACCTCCAGAACGAATTAAGTTCTTAACCCGAAGTACCACTGTATAAGAGAAGAAGAAGAAGAGTTTGGACTTGATATCCCACCTTTCACTCCCCTTAAGGAGTCTCAAAGCGGCTAACAATCTCCTTTCCCTTCCTCCCCCACAACAAACACTCTGTGAGGTGAGTGAGTCTGAGAGACTTCAGAGAAGTGTGACTAGCCCAAGGTCACCCAGCAGCTGCATGTGGAGGAGCGGGGAAGCGAACCCAGTTCACCAGATTACAAGACTACCGCTCTTAACCACTACACCATGCTGGCAGAACAAGGAAGGTGTTCATGGTGAGTTCTGGCACCTCTTTTTCTAGAAAAAATAGCACTGGTGGTATTCAATTAGATTTTACTCAGGGCAGACCTGCAGAAATGAAAGAACATGACTCAGTTCATCTTAGTCAATTTTTGCTTGCCTCAGTTTCTAACCCCCACATCTTAAATGTAGTACTTCACATTTCCACATCGGGGAGGGTGATGGTTGGGGAGCGTTGTTTAGCCCCACGTATCCTTCAATGAGAGCTTCCTCAGGGTCTGATTCTATCCCCCATGCTGTTCTACATCTACAGGAAAACACTGAGTGGCGTCATCTGGAGTACGTTGCTGTTAATATGCTGATGACACCTGGCTCTACTTCTCCTTTTCATCTGCCGGTGAGGCGGTGGATGTGCTGGCCAGATGTCTTGCCTTGGTAACAGACTGGATGAGAGCCAACCAACTGAAGCTAAATCCAGATAAGATTGAGGCCCTGTCAATGGGTGGTTCCCTAGACCAGATGGATGGGAGGTTGCCTGCTCTTGGTCTGAAGAAGCAGGTCTATAGCTTGAGGATACTTCTGGATCCATTACTAATGTTTGAGGCTGAGGTGGTCTTTGTGGCTCGGAGTGCCTTCCCTCAGCTTTGGCTGGTGGCCCAGCTGTGCTCCTATCTCTACAGGGATAGTCTCACTTTGGTTGTCTATGCTTTGGTAACCTCTAGCTTAGGTTACTGCAACACACTATTCATGGGGCTGCCTTTGAAGACAGTTCAGAAACTTCAGCTGGCGCAAAATTCAATGGCCAGGTTGCTCACTGGGGCAAGACAGCTTAAGCATATCGCAACAATCTGGCCTGACTGCACTGGCTACCAATTTGTTTCTGGGCCCAGTCCAAAGTGCTGGTTTTGACCACAATACCTCAAGGACTGTCTCACTCCATATGAACCTACCCAGACCCTGAGATCATAATCTGAGGCCCTTCTTTGTGTGCCTCCTCCACGAGAAATCCGGAGGGTGGCAACATGAGAACGGGTCTTTTCTGTGGTTGCTCCGTTTGTGGAGTACTTTCCCAAGGGAGGCTCACTTGGCACCTTCATTACATATCTTTAGGTGGCAGGCAAAAACTTTCCCCTTTAAACCAGGCCTTTTGCCTTTAACTATCTGTAACCTTTTGGAAGTAGGTGGGATGTTTTTAATATATCCCCTCACTGTGGTTTTAATGTGGGGTTTTGTTTTTGTTGTAAGTTGCTTTGAGTTTCCTTGGGCAAGGTGAAGCGACTAACATGTTTAATAAATAATAATATATATTTTGTACGACTTCATGAACATTCACCAGCATTTCAGTGCAAATTTCTCCTAATAAGTACATTTTTGCTGAATATGCACATTTTTGCAGAGGAAATTCCCTGAACATATGCTATTTTCACTCATCTATGCAGTTATTTTTGCCCATTTTATCCCAGTGCACACACTTTTATACATTACTTGGCTTGAGAGCTGCATTAAGAAATTTGAAGAAGTGCAAATTTCAAAGGATAGCTTTGTTTCAATTCCTGTACAGTGGTACCTCAGGTTACATATTCTTCAGGTTACAGACTCTTCTAACCCAGAAATATTACCTCGGGTTAAGAACTTTGCTTCAGGATGAGAACAGAAATCGTGCTCCGGCGGTGCGGCGGCAGCAGGAGGCCCCATTAGCTAAAGTGGTGCTTCAGGTTAAGAACAGTTTCAGGTTAAGAACAGACCTCCAGAACAAATTAAGTTCTTAACCCGAGGTACCACTGCGCTGTTTAACAATGTGTGTGGGTAGGTTCACCTTTAAATGTGAACTGAATTGAATTCCCCCCCATACCTAGTTCCATATGAGTCACAGTCACACGTGCACATGAATAAAGCATGCAGGAGACCCAAAAGGCACATGAATGTGCAACATTATCCCAAGCAGTTTGTGCATATCTTTGCCCTTTGCACAATTGCAAAGAATACTGCCATCGTCTTCAATGAGATCGCTCATGTGCATTCACACACTGCCTATGTGTTTGCAACAGGTTGAGCTAAGAATCCTTGCAAGTCTCAGTCACAGCAAGACAAAGAACAACATTGGTCATATTACATCCCTGTCCTCTCCTCTTTATGCACACTCTCTACACACTCTCCATATGTAGTAGAGAAACACATATCCACTCCAAACAAATAGAAATAGAAGAAATGGACAGAATCGGCAAAAGTCATTTAGCTACCCTTAGAGCGGCTTATTTATAATGTTATTGAGCAATCTGATTACAGAAGAAATTGTGTGTCATGGCTTGCTAAAATTGCTTTTCGCTCAAATGACTGTTCGGAGAGAAAGACACATCCCTGGCAGAGGATATAATTGCAAGGGGCCCTTTCTTCTTTTTAGAGACAATGAAACCTGGAAGAGCAACCTAGGGGGTTTCCATGGGCCTTATGACACACAAATTCTGGCCAATAACACGAGATTATTCTATAGCGATAATCTCATTGTTTTGAAAGCTAACGTTTATTTAAAGTGCACCCACTGTGTGAAGCTAACCAAAACCATCTGGGATTAGGGGTCATGGCCTGCGCTCAACAGGTGTAACTTAGCTCAAAAACCTGGAACTTTCCCCCCTTTTTTTGCAATTAATCATTCAACAGGACAAATGAGAACCAAAGTTTTCAGTTTAGCACTCTAGATGCAAAGTCCTTACAGCGACCCTCACTATTTTATTTTATTTTAAATTATATTGAAAACTGGTTATTGCAAGGGCACTTTGACGAAGTCATACGGGGTGCGTAGAGATCAGTTGTCATTCAAGATACTCAGCCAAATAATTAGTTCAGAGCACAAGAAAGGGTAGTGTTACTGGTCATTTGTCTTCTTCTGAAAGATTACTATGCAAGTGTATTCGTGCCTGTGCCCATATACCTTTTAAAAATGTCCCCCACCCCTGCCAGATGTCAGGAGTGTGTGCAGGAGCCAGGCCCTGTGACCAGTAGGGCTTCGCAGGACTGGGGCCTTCCTAAGTTTGTTCTGGAGAGGCAAGGTGCGGCCGCACAGGTGAGGCTGCTTGGTAACTCACTGTACCGGGTGGCAAGAGCCAGGAAGGGATATAAGGTCAGCATTTCCCTTCTGCTCTTTGCCACAGCAACACGTTCCCTGCCCTGTTGTGTTTGGTTCCTTGCTTCTTGATCCTCGGACCCCTGACTTTGTGGCTCCTTGCTTCTTGATCCTCGGACCCCTGACTTTGTGACTCCTTGCTTCTTGATCCTCGGACCCCTGACTTTGTGACTCCTTGCTTCTTGATCCTCGGACCCCTGACTTTGTGACTCCTTGCTTCTTGATCCTCGGACCCCTGACTTTGTGACTCCTTGCTTCTTGATCCTCGAACCCTTGATTTCATGACTCTTTGCTTCCTGACCCTCAGATCCCTGGCTTCTGGACTCTCGTTCCTGCTCCCCCCCCCCGCCATCTTGCCCCCGATCCTGATGTCCTCAGCCGGGACTTCAATCACCCATAGACCAGACCGTGACACCAGGAAGGGTACAACAGCAAATGTTACCAGCCTTGGTTCTCATAATCAACCAATGGAGGTTGTGTTTTTGGGTGAGGGGAGAGCCATCTCCATTTGTTTGTTTGTTTGGATTTTTAATACAGTACTGAGATCTTGCACAAGAATGCTATTTACCTGATTAATGCTTGCACAAGTGATAGAAGCCTTGCACAATACCCCCCTCTCTTTTAAGTCTGATTTATGCGCCACAATTACAGTCTCCAAGGTGGGATAGACCTTGAATGACCAACTCTTCCAAACCAGATTGTTGGATTTGAACATGGCTTCAGCATGCAACAATCTGTGGAAACAGACACGCTCATATAATTTGGACCACCAGAAACCAAATGGCTAGATTGTGCTAAGATAAGGAGTGAGTGGAAGTAGGGGTGTAACATTAGATGAAATGTCACCATATATCTATCCTATTAGATTAAATCCCCATGTTCAGGTGTTATGTGTTCAGGGGTCTGTGTTTGCCTGAGCTTGAGTCTGGATTATGAGCCCCTGTGTTCTGATTCGATACATGATATCCAATCACATAGTATTTCAGGATTTGGGCCACTGCCATTGGCCCTTAAACTCTGAGCTATGATTCGCAGCTTGGGAGTTTAGACAGCCAATCACGTTGAGACTGAGAGTGGCCCAGGTCTTCAGAAATGTGTATAAGCAGTTGCTTTGCCCCTGTTGTCCAGTTTTGTTAGTTCGATAAAGGTTCTTGTTGTTATCACTGTGTCTTGCTTCGTGGGAACCCACCTACACTGCAAGGGGATTTTTTTTTAAAAAGTATGAGCTGGCATTTTGATGACAACAGTATTGTGTGGACACTACCAAAAAAGAAAAGAAAAAACTTAACATGCATAAGGTGTTCAGATTCCATAATCAATCCTGATCTGGAAGTATCCTAAGACTACAAATAGGGCTGTCATCTATGCAAAGTCAGAGAAAGACCACTTAAAAAGATTAGGAGCCAGTTTGTTATAAACAGTATCTTGAGCATGGGTAGGCAAACTAAGGCCCGTGGGCAGGATCCGGCCCAATTGCCTTCTAAATCTGGCCCACGGACGGTCCGGGAATCAGCATGTTTTTACATGAGTAGAATGTGTCCTTTTATTTAAAATGCATCTCTGGATTATTTGTGGGGCATAGGAATTCGTTCATATTTCCCCCCCAAAATATAGTCTGGTCCCCCACAAGGTCTGAGGGACAGTGGACCGGCCCCCTGCTGGAAAAGTTTGCTGCCCCCTGATCTTAAGTGTTCTCAAACAGGGCACAGCAGAGCCTCTGTAGCTCCAGAAGTTCACTTCCAGGTCTTTAATTGAAAACAACTCCTAAACCGTGAAGGAAATGGTTTTCGTGATGTCGACTTTCCAATGAGACTTGTAAAAACCACATCACAAAGTTTCCATCCCATAAAGCAAATATACGGTCAGGAAATGCAAAGAGCTGAAGCAAAATGAAGGGAAAACAATATTTCTGTCTGAAAAAAAACACAAATCTTAACACTGAAGAGCTTTCTGTACGCTGAAGACTGAAATACAAAATGGGATAAAAATAAAAGATGCTCAGATCCTGTGAATAGTTCCTGGAAAAGGAGAGAGTGGTGTGAGAAAAGACATTCTATTTCTTCTCTGACTGCTGTGCTTCACAATAATACTTGGCTGACTTTTAAAAAGGAAGAGGTGGCCAAACTACTGGTTGGAGAATTTGCCTGATATCAGCAAACATACGAACAAGAAATATAAATCCACAGAGTCCTTCCTGTTGGACTGGAGATTTGAAGTAGTTAAGATGGCGTCATGCTACTGGCCAATCACTGCCCATAGAGGCAGTTGTTTTACATCTAGAGAAAGGGCCATAGCTCAGTGGTAGAGACAGTACATGTACAAAGTCTGCAACATCTCCAGTTAAAAAGGATATTGGTAGGAGGGCTAGGAATGCAGCTACCTGAAGCCTTTGAGGATCACTTGTAAATTTGCAGAAACTGAACCAGACAAAGAAGATCAGGAGTCTGACTCAGTATAAGGGAGTGCCATGTATTCATGCAAAGAGTGGCACAGTTAACTAATTTTAGACTCTGGATGTAGTGGTTTTATGGGAAATTTTTTCACATAAAGGCACATTATGCAGTTAAGCCTGCTGCATTTGGGGGATCCATCTGCTCATTCCTCTGAGTGTGGCCCTGGACACGCGCCCCCAAAGACCTACCCTGATGATGCTACTGAATCCAAAGCCAATGGAAAAGAACACATGAGAAAGCCAACTTAAAACTTCTGCCTTAAGTGGAAATAAAATGGCTGGTCATAATGGAGTCCTTCCAATTTCCATTGATTTAGCAAGAGTTAAGCATATCCCTCTTGGAAGTTCAGTAAGATGCATTTATTACCACAGAAGTTACTGGGACTTAAGGCATACTACACACTCGAGGAAGCTCCACTAAAGACAGTGGGGCTTACTTACAAGTAAAAAAATGCATGGGGTTGCTCAGCTTTGCTTGCATTGTGCCTGTTATGATGAAGATTTTCGTAGTATCTGTAGCTTCTTCCAACAGCGGAGGATAACAACCTCAGATATGCAGATGACACAACCTTGATGGCAGAAAGTGAGGAGGAATTAAAGAACCTTTTAATGAGGGTGAAAGAGGAGAGCGCAAAATATGGTCTGAAGCTCAACATCAAAAAAACGAAGATCATGGCCACTGGGCCCATCACCTCCTGGCAAATGGAAGGGGAAGAAATGGAGGCAGTGAGAGATTTTACTCTCTTGGGTTCCATGATCACTGCAGATGGTGACAGCAGCCACGAAATTAAAAGACGCCTGCTTCTTGGGAGAAAAGCAATGACAAACCTAGACAGCATCTTAAAAAGCAGAGACATCACCTTGCCAACAAAGGTCCGTATGGTTAAAGCTATGGTTTTCCCGGTAGTGATGTATGAAAGTGAAAGCTGGACCATAAAGAAGGCTGATCGCCGAAAAATTTATGCTTTTGAATTATGGTGCTGGAGGAGACTCTTGAGAGTCCCATGGACTGCAAGAAGATCAAACCTATCCATTCTGAAGGAGATCAGCCCTGAGTGCTCACTGGAAGGACAGATCCTGAAGCTGAGGGGCTCCAATACTTTGGCCACCTCATGAGAAGAGAAGACTCCCTGGAAAAGACCCTGATGTTGGGAAAGATGGAGGGCACAAGGAGAAGAGGGCGAGATGGTTGGACAGTGTTCTCAAAGCTACCAGCATGAGTTTGACCAAACTGCGGGAAGCAGTGGAAGACAGGAGTGCCTGGCGTGCTCTGGTCCATGGGGTCACGAAGAGTCGGACACGACTAAACAACAACAACATAGCATAAGCTTGTTGCCAGTTCATCATGGAATTAAAACTGTGCCCACAGATAACAGGAATATGCATCCAGTCCATATTTGAGGAACCACTACCATCAATGGTTCTAGATGGCACTTGTTATTTCAACAGATTTCCTTCTCTCCCATTGCATTATGAAGTAGATTTAACCGTAGATTCTTTTGTAAAAAAAAGTGACTTTGTTTAAAACCAATAGGACTTGCGTACAGATTCCCCGCCACCCCCACACGAACCATTTTAGGGCACGGGATGGAAGATAATATTCTTCATATTCTTCGCAAAATTAGAATGAGGAACTTGTTGCCAGGATGTGGTTGAGGCTAAGGATTTCGCAAGATTCAGAGAGGAAGCAGTGATTTATAGAGCTGATAGAATTATATGCAACTTTAAATGACTAATCCTAATTTGGGGACGGGATGGATTTTTGGCCTTTCATACATACCGTACCAAAAAATAAAAAATTAAATTAAACTAGCTCACCTGGAAACCCCGGTTCTGTATGCAGCACGAGCCAATTCAATATGCAAAATAAATTCTACAGTGCAGCTTTCGCGTATGCCTATCACACATTTATTCTGAACCAGCTACAGGCCTGTTTGGCAGGAAGGGGAGAAAGATGGTTGCATACCACAACCACTTCCCAATGGAAGAATAAAAGCAGATCTGCTCCTTGCTCCATCTTCTACCACAAACTCCATGATTCTTTTGAAGAGGTGGTTCTGAAGAGCTCTTCAACCCATCCCCTCTTCTGCCAACCAACGTTGAGGCCACTGACTTGGGCAAGCCCCAGGAAAAAGGAAGGCAGGAGCCTTCCAGAGGTACAAGAGAACATTCCGCTGGACGATGAAAAGTTGTACTGTGCATTTAAGATCTCCTTATTTGCTTTCCCCTCCCACATTTATTTTCACAGGCAAAGCCAGGCCAGCTTTAGCACAACTGCCCCCTGCCACTCCAACACAACCACGGCCTCTAGTCCTGAGAAGCAAGGAGTAGTCCCCAAGGCCCAGAAACCATTCAACATGGATTCCCTCCTCCATTTGGCTTCTGCATTTTGTGGGGTGGAGAACCTTCAGGAACATACAGCCTTATCTTCACAAGCCTAAAGGAGAAAGGATATGGCCTGCCTCAATGATGTCCTGGTCCAGGAGTACCAGCTTGAATTAAAAAAATGGAGGGGGGGGAGGTAAGCTCTGTCTCACAAGACGCAGTGCACGCACACTATTTGAATGACAATGCCCATCAACGTGCCCCCCCTCAAATATTGTATTGGGGGGCCCAAAGGACCACAGCCCCTAGAAGTTCTTCGTCTTGCAGCAAGACAATATAAATCTCTTAATTTTCATGGTGTTTCAGAATGGCCTTTAACCCTTAATCTCACATTAAGGCTCAACCACACTTCCTTTTGTCATGCTGCTTTCCCCTAGGGAAAAACTGCTCTTTAGTGTTCAATCAGAGCAAATGGCAGTATGGGTTTTCTCTGCAATGATGTTTGCTCCGATTTAGCAGTAAAGAATGGGTTTTCCCTGGGAAAGGAGCAGCGCAAGAGGGAAACTGCTCAGACCCATGCCTAGAAAGTATGGGTCAAGCAGAAAACTGCTCAGACCTGTAGTTTCTAAGCACGGTACAAGCAGAAGTGTGGACAAGGTATCAGTTTCATGCAACAAACAGGCTGCTAAGAACTCGCACTAGGTCCAGGCAGCATTCAACCCATGTGTAATTTATAACAGAACAGTCTGCATTAAACTGTTATACTATATTAGATATTATGTTACCTTTATTACCTTTTTTTTTTTGTATTCACTTGTTTTATGTACTCCAGCTGGCTTCCAATAAATATATATTATTGGATTGTAAACAAGGAAACAGCCACACTAAATGGCTGTGTTCAGACACAATGCTCAACCATGATATAGCTGCATTATGAAGGCCAGTAAAAATAGGGTTGCCATATTACCAAAAATGAAAAATCCAGACAAAGTTGTTGAGCTTTTTTGGGGAACATCTCCCCCCAAAACCAATTCACCCCCCTTGCCATATGTCTGGGTTTTCCGGGACCGCCTCTCCTGGTATGCCCCACAGAGGAACCTACGGTCTGCAAATAAAAACATCCTGAAGGTTCCAGGCCTCAGAGAGGTTAGGCTGGCCTCAACTAGAGCCAGGGCTTTCTCGGCTGCGGCTCCAATCTGGTGGAACGCTCTGTCACAAGAGACTAGGGCCCTGCGGGACCTGACATCTTTCCGCAGGGCCTGCAAGACAGAGTTGTTCCACCAGGCCTTTGGTCAGGGCGCAGCCTGACTCCCTCCTCTGGCAACCTGCACAGAATTTGCTTAACGGTTGCCATTAATTTGATTTTAATTAATTTTTATAATTAAATGTTTTTAGAATTTTGGATTATTTGATTGTTTGATTATTTGATTGTTGTTAGCCACCCTGAGCCCGGCTTCGGCTGGGGAGGGCGGGATATAAATAAAATTTATTATTATTATTATTATTATTATTATTATTATTATTATCATCATCATCATCATTTTTTTGCCGATCTGGTGAAAATCCGCCTGGATGCCTTCTGCTGTCCGATTCTAGAATAGAATAGCAGCCCTAGAAATGAATCTCAGGCTCACTTGCTTTCCCACTATCCTGATGAAAACAGGAAGGTTACACTTTTGTTTTAGATTATAGTTTAGCGTGCTTTCCGAACCCTAAACTACAATCAATCTTTAGCTCGGTTTATCGAAATTGCACATAACAGTGAAACAAAACCAAAATATTGTGCAAAATCTTAATGTCAATATTGCATAGTTTAGTGTTTTCACACTTCTGAACCAGTTTGGAGAGAGTTGGCTAAGCGCTCTTATCTGCCTCAGTCTCCATTACTGAGCCTGGTGACACCAAGAAGTGCCGGCCCACCTATGAGGCAAGCAGATGTACACAGGTCATTGTTTTATATTTGAATTCTTTTGTAGTTGTGCTGAAGAAGATTCCAGCGAAACAATCAAATTATCTGGGATCACTGTCCTACGTTGTTCTTCACTTACTACTTTGGCACCATGAAATGCCTAAAAAAAGTTTTACCGCTTAGCCCACAGGATAGCATCTATTACTTTGTTTCAACCATAGACTTATTATACTTCTACGGACTTTCAAAGATTGACAGACGTGTGTTCATTCGCTTTCAAATATATTAGAGAATTCACAAGTGTACACATTTTGTTTTTGTTGTACTAAATCATGTATATTATGCAATAAGAATTGCAGCGCTATCTAGTAAACTGGTCTTCATGTTGCCTGTATTGTTTGTTGTGCTAAGTTTGCAATACAGGGGTTTGTTGTTCTGTATTGCTGCAGCTGCAATGGCAACAACAGCTCCTTGGAGGCTAGATCTGCTGTCCCTTCAGCAGCCCCCTCGTATTGCCACCTCTATAACAGCCTCTTGGTGAATAGGAAGCGCTGCTGGCTAATAGGAGGTGCTGCTGGTCACCTCACATCCTTGCTCCCGATGTAGGTCTTTATTCCACCCCCATCCCCTTGTGCCTGATACAGAACCTCACTCAGCCCTTCTTCCCTGGTGGAGAGCAGCCATTTTGTGGTTTACCTCAGGTGCCAAAATGGCTTGTGCCAGCCCTGGTTTCAGGCAGAAATTTCTCCCACCTGGAGATGTCAGGGGTTGAACCCGGCACCTTCTGCATGCAAAGGCCCTTCCTCAATGTAAACAAACGAATAAAGTAGACATGAGGCCTGGCAGTGCTATTTTCCTTTTTTAAAAAAAAGAGGTGGCAGAATTCACCATGAACGCCTTCCTCGTTCTCTTAGAATGGCAATGGTGCCCACCTGAGAGGTGCCGGAACTGAATTCCAGCGAGTTCCGGCTGAAAAAAAGCCCTGTGCATTTATTTGTTCTGTATTGCTGCAGCTGCAATGGCAACAACAGCTCCTTGGAGGCTAGATCTGCTGTCCCTTCAGCAGCCTCCTCGTATTGCCACCTCTATAACAGCCTCTTAGTGAATAGGAAGCGCTGCTGGCTAATAGTTCCTGACTCAAAGCCACTATGCAAGACTAGCTATATATTGGTATGAACTAGTTTCCCTTAAGAGCTAGGCAGTACCGCCTGGCAACAAATGGAGCTGTACTTAATAGGAGAGCTGAATTAATCCTTTGGTTTCCTTCTGATTTTTTTGTTTCTGTTTTGGATTTTGTGTGCATTTTGCACCCAGGGCTGCTCAATATTCACTGGCTAAATATTGAAAATGGAAAAAAACACACACACACACAAACCAACCAACCAACCAACCAAGAAAGATACCCAAGAAAGTATATAATTTGAAGAAGTCAAACATTAGGGAGATTTTTTTTTTTTAACAACACCAACCCTGTTTATAAAAAGCATTTTAATGTTTAAGCACGGAGTATAGCTTACAGGATAGTTTCTCAAGGGAAGTGGTGAAAGCCACATCACTGGAGACGTTTCCAGTTTGGAAGAACACGAGCGAAGGCAGACTTCGATGGAAAACCACCATTGGGTAAAACTCAATGGGTCGGTTCCAAAATGATTGGAAAACACAAAATATGAGAAATCAGATAGCCACCCTTTGCTTGAATTCTGCTGCTGGGGTTTGTTTTTTCAGCATATGCAAATTACATCCCTCGATAGCTTTCCTTGCTGGGCTTGCCTATCTCGACAGGGCTGAGGTGACTTGTTTGCCTCTCTTACCTTTGGAACTCATTGGAATGGGGAAACTGCACTAGGATGATATTTATTTTAGATAAGGAGCTGTAAGAAATGGAAAGTATTAAAAACAAGAACTGCAAGCTGTGCTTTGCTGCTGTATCTTAGAAGAGGGCTGCATCCAAGCCACACATTTAAAGCAGCACCCCCCTCCCTGAAAGAATACTGAGAACTATAGCTTGCTAAGGGCGCTGGGAATTATAGTTCTATAAGGGGTAAAGTACAGTTCCAAGGATTCTTTTGAGGGCGGAAATGTGTTTAAATGTATGGTGTGTATGCAGATGGAGTCTCCTGCCATGTTTTCTTACATAACTTACGATCACCTGAGGAGGCCCACTTAGGGTCTCCCAGTTCATGAGGATGCAAACTGCGGAGGCAGGATCCTGGGTCATATCTGTAGGGGCACCTTCTTCTTAGAAACCCCCTCCCCTTTGAAGGAATCATACTTTTGGGAGCTTCTGTCGATGAGCTGAAGCTTTCCTCTTTTTAAAATTAAATCAGGGTTTATTTTGTGTACACTCCACTTTCAATTTTGCTGCTTTCCTGTAAATGCACTGTAAATTGTGTATTTGTTATTTTTTCCTGATGGTTCCAGAAGAGCAAGATTCTCCTGCTGCATAGACAAGTAGAACCCCCACACCGCAATCACTGTGGCTACCTGTGGCAACTGGAAAACTCAGTCTGCTTACTCAAATGTTAACAATGTCAAAAATCAATCGGATTTGAACGTATTCCAGACGGCAGCACTGTTTTGCAGTAACGAGTGTTCTGCTTTCTCTTCCAGAAATCCAACAACGTATGCAGCAAAGCTCACCCTGCCCCTTCCAAAAATGGACTTTGCCCCTTCTGTGTCCCCTTCAATATTTTTTAGTTGAATAGGGTTTTATGTTTGTGAAATTGCATTGATTTTTTTTTATAGAGTGGGGGAGCTATTGCAGGAGCTTTCAAACAGAACAGCAGAACAAATTAAATTCAAACATACCTTGGGGCTCCAGAGACTGAAGGACCCATGTTATAGCCTTGCATCCCTCCTGCTACCCCACCTTGCAGCCTTACCTGTTGTAGTTCAGTGATGAAAACGGTGAAAACAACAAGCCAGAAGCTTCCTGAGATAGCCATATCCAGGAGTGTTTTGCTTGCTGCTGCTGAGCAGGAATAAAGTCCTCCAAACTAAGCCTCAGACAGAGGCACATTTAAGTGACTGATTCCTCTCCTTCTGCCTTTCAGCCACAAGGGAAGGGAGCTGGCGAGAGAGAAAGAGACAGCGCACAAGTGAGGGAAACAGAAAGTCCCTCCCCTTCTGGCTACAGTTCCCACAGCATTTCCTCAGGACTCAACTTGCAGAGTTGCCACTTTCTCAGGGGTGTGTGTGTGTGTGTGTGTGTGTGTGTGTGTGTGTGTGTGTGTGTGTTAACTCCCTCCTGGTCCGTTCCTTTTCCTCGCTCCTCCTAATTCAAAACGTTTTGTGGCATCTCTGCTGCGAATCGAAGGGTGCCTCGTGAAAGGAAAAGGAATAAGGGGCCCGCCGGAGACATTTTGCACCCAAAACCAAAGCAGCTTAAGGCCTCCTCAACTCACAGAAACGCCACATGTCATAGCACACAAGTCCAGTCCAGGCCTTTTGGTGTTGGTGCAAAGCAGTAATCTTTCGCCCCAGCATCTCGAACCCATGACTCTGAGATTAAGAGTCTCAGAGGTATACCTCAGGGCTCAGTCCATGGCGGGAAATGAGTAGGCTTTCTTTCAGAACACTTTAGCTCCAGTGCTGTCAAGCGTAATTTAGCCATCCTTTCCACTAAAATCAAATCAAAACTGGTAACCTTGCGTTCCCATGCTCTGCTTACAATCTTAATACACTTTGCCTTTTCTAGCTATTGCTACTCCTTTGTCCTGTTCAGGACCATCCCTGAATGTGCCAGATATTGGGATGTTGTTGTTGTTTAGTCGTTTAGTCGTGTCTGACTCTTCGTGACCCCATGGACCAGAGCACGCCAGGCACTTCTGTCTTCCACTGCCTCCTGCAGTTTGATCAAACTCATGCTGGTAGCTTCGAGAACACTATCCAACCATCTTGTCCTCTGTTGCCCCCTTCTCCTTGTGCCCTCAATCTTTCCCATCATTAGGGTCTTTTCCAGGGAGTCTTCTCTTCTCATGAGGTGGGCCCAAGTATTGGAGCCTCAGCTTCTTTTATTAATAAAGGACTGTGTGTTGCCAATTAATTTATTATATTTTTACTACCACAGGGGAGCCATTTGGATTCTCTGCCTCAAGTACACATGTGTACACATAAATATAGCCTACTTCTGGTCCTGATTAATCTTTACTTGGTGGTTACCATAAAGGATTTTCTTAATTCGTCTGCGGCCTCTGAAATACTGTCTGTTGGGTTCAGCTGGCATTTTCCGCAGATGGAGACTGAAGAAGACCCCACCTTGCACATGTAAACATTGCATCCTCTTCACTTGCAACAAGCACTTGGATGCTGATATTCAGGTAAAGGCCTTATGCTTGCTTTGCTTGTATTTCTGGGGTCAACCAGTCTGTTTTGTGCATGGATCTTGAAGGAGGCAAGATCTCTTCCTCCAGTGCTGTTATCGGCACCGCTTACTGCATAGCTGGAACAATGCTAAGTCTCCTCTTCCCCTTTTTAGTAGTGCAGACAATTCTGTAACAGCAAGGACGTTATTTACTCATGCCTGACTCAGACTATAAATTTGTAATTCCGTCTTCAGAATAACCGTGCAGATCCATTCCAGTCGGGTTCCAGGCCCAGTTTGGGCAATGCAACAGCATTAGTCACTCTTGATTGATAAACTCTGTTGGGTGCAAGACACAGGAGAGTGCAGTCCTGCAGGATCTCAACTTCTCAGTGGTTTTTGGCACTATTGACTATGGTGTTCTTCTGGAGTGACTTGGGGAGATAGGAGTTGGAGGTACCGTGGTACTATTCCTATCTGCAGGTTTGCTACCAGAAAGTAGCACCATTGTTGTTTGGTTCCAGTGTGGTGTAGTGGTTAAGAGCGGTAGTCTTGTAATCTGGTGAACCGAGTTTGCTTCCCCACTCCTCCACCTGCAGCTGCTGGGTGACCTTGGGCTAGTCACACTTCTTTGAAGTCTCTCAGCCCCACTCACCTCAGAGTGTTTGTTGTGGGGGAGGAAGGGAAAGGAGAATGTTAGCCGTTTTGAGACTCCTTGGGGTAGTGATAAAGCAGGCTATCAAATACAAACTCTTCTTCTTCTTCCATGGCTTTTGGGCTATTGGGTCTCACAAAGGTCCATTCTATTGCTTATGCTACTTAATATCTACATGAAACTGCTGGGAGCTGCCATCTGGGGATTTGGAGCACGGGAGCATTAGTATGGCAATGACAAGCAGTGCTCTCTCTCTTTGCTCCATCTGAGCCAGGAAGGGTTGTGAAGGTGTCGGGATTGGTGCCTGCTAACTTTGGCAGGGATGCTCAATCTCTTGCAGCCAAGCACTGGCCAGAAAGCCCACACACCATCCTGATAATCTGTCTTGTAAGAAATCAATGTTGCTTCTGCTAGAAAATTATGTTTCCCCCACAATGCTAACAACACACAGGCAGGGTTTTTCAGCTGGAACTCAGTTCCAGCACCTCTCAGGTGGGTGCCATTGCTATTATAAGAGAATAAGGGAGGTGCTCATGGTGAGTTCTGGCTCCTCTTTTTCTAGAAAAATAGCACAGAGTACAGGCAACTCCCCACTTGCGTGCAGTTGACATTTGCATGATTTTTGGCACCGCAAGGGAACAGGGTGGGCTACACGCATGTAAAAGGGGAGTTGCCTGTACTGAATCCTTAAACACACACACACACACAAAATCGCTGCTTAATTTAAAACGACTAGATAATCTTTAATTTCTGCTACAGCTATGGAAAGTTCAGCAGGAAAATGAATGTTAAGAGCATTCTAGAGATGTAAGAATTGTTCTTGCAACTCAGTTACTGAATATTTGCTCTAAGAAAATGGCATAACTCAATATGGCATATGATAGATAACATTCCACTTAGAACACCCAGATTGCAACCTGTTTCTGAACATAAACGTTTAGATTATTAATCATTAACCAGTGCTCGTTAAGACTCTGCTCCAAGTTTCAATATCCTTGGCTTTTGGCCTTTTTAAAAAAGTGGCTTTAATGCTGAGAAAGTTCACTTGTGCTAGCAGGTTTTATTTCTTCCTCCGAGTCAGTATTTTAATTTTCATAGTACTATTTAGTCTATGTAGCTACTCCTTTTTCATAAAAGGAAGCTGCATAAAAGCCAGATTTGGTCCAGTATACAAGCAAACTCCTTTCAATTGCAGCCATTTTCTGGAGCTCAGCAGGAAATGGTATGCTTTGCGTGTTAAGATTCCAGTTTGGCAGATTGATTCTCCTAGGCCCCAGGAAATATTATGACTGAAATCCTGGAGAACTGCTGTCACAAAGTACTGATCTTTGAAAATGATCTTCCACAGCACAAGGCAGTTTCCTAGGTTCTCTTATGTGTGCCATGCCACTGCAAACTTCCAATTATGCACCACCTAATGGTAACTTGGTGATAGCTATTATAGTACTATTCAGTTGCTCCAGACCTTGGACCCACCATTAGCCCCTAATATGAGGCTCACTTTTTTATTGTACATGTCTATCTCCTCTTTGATCTAGGGTGACCAGATGCTAAAGAAGACAGGGCTTATGTCTTATTAATACTTATATAAAATAATACTGGCTGGTGCAATTGGCTAGTCAATTGGGTCTCAAAAAAGCAAATCGACCAAAGTTCTTTCTTCTGCCTAGCTGTTAAGAGTAAAACATCATAACAAATGGTTCAAAGCATACCAGGCCCCACTTCTTGAGCATTATGCCTGCCCAAGACCATCTTCTTGTCTTACCCTTTGCTTGATGACTGCCTGCCACATCTCTATTGAGAAAAAACATTGAAAACAAATGTGTGTGAGGTTATTCACAGCTGTGGGATCTTCCACAAACATCAAGTTGTTCCCTTCAAAAAATGATGGAACGCCAAGAAGCAAAATGTGAAGGCTGGAGAAGAGAGCAGCCAAGATTCTGGAGAAAGAAAGAAAACTACCTATTTTATCCCACTTGAAGACCCCACACCTTGTTTTCTAACTCCAAGAGAATGTCTGCATCTCAACCCCTGGCCATTTTTACTGGGGTATTAGTTGGTAGGACTACAGCTTCATTCCAGGTCACTGTCAGTAAGTTAAGACAATGCAGGAACTACCGGGGAGGAGAATGCGCTTTCTTTTAAAATGAATGAGACTGCATGCATGGGGTGATGCTCTGATGCAAGCTTTATGGGTTTAGTCCACCACCTTTGTAACGCTGCATGTGCTTCACTCTTTACTACCCCTGTTGTTTTCAATCAAGCATTACTTTTGATTTAATTATGCATCCCTGTAAACAGTATGTGCAATTTTCAAGACCTCCCTGACCAGTGTGATAAACTAGGCCATGAGCTGAACGCTAGACACACATATTAAAATGTATATACACAGAGCTCATTTTTCTGCGGTATAAGATCCTGTTTGCCACAATCCTGCCAATTGCTGGAAGACTTTAGGACTGAGAATGTCTGCAATATTTTGCCTAATACAGCAAGCGTTCATCTGACAGCAGAAATATTACTAGCTGACCAAAATTATTTGCAGTGCAGAAGATGCTGCCATGAATGAGCATGATAGTAATCTGTATATGGTTTTTACTGCAGGACAGCAGTTGAACAGTTAAGAGGGCTTTAGTTAACGGGATTGGACAATTAGCGCCCATGAAGGGTGTGTTGCACAAGTTAATTGATCGCATTCATCAAAAATACAGAAGTGGTATCAAGTTCAACGAGCTAAGCTGTATAAAGCACGATACTGTATGTTAGATCAAGTATGAATCACGGAAATTATTTTAACCAAAACTAAACAGGTTACCTGGAAATCCTTAAACAGACATACAAAAGAGGTATGCAAAACATTTTATTTAACTCAAGAAAGGACAAGAGACACAGCCACTTCCAATTCCTCAGGAATGTCTCCAACAATTCATAATCAGGTAGTCTGTTAAGACAACAACTTGCAACAGAATCAGCACACCTGGCAGTAACCGAGATAGGGAATTGTTAAAAATGTCAGTGTATACAATTCAAAAAATGAAAGCTGCGGCGTCTGCAAAACAGGTCCTTTGTTACAGATATGACAGGTATCTGAAAAGATAAACATACTGCGCCCACCCAGTCGGATACAATAGGAGCTCTGGGAGGCCTAAAGCTGGTGCCCCCTTCTCTTTGCCAGTCATCTGAACAGGAATTGCAGTGATTGCTGAAGGTACTGGTCTCACAGATCTTCCACTGGACAGTCTCCACATTTCTTATTGCAGAACATGCAGGGGATGTGACCGGGGCTTGGCAAGGCTTGATCCGTTTGCTAGGCTTAATGCCAGAGTGAGATTCTTGGGCTAGTGACTCCTACATATAGAGTGCTATCAGTACAGCCGCCTCTTTGCAAAGAAATAGCAGAGGAACTGGGCCTGCGCCCACCGACACCAATCAAGTTTAACACCCCTTTCCCATTTCGCAAAAACAGAGTTTACATAACACAGCAATATTTAAACGGAATGTTTACCTCTATCTTTGCAGCTCTGTAAAGAAGCATGCCGGAGCTTTAAGAAGAGAAAGATGCAGTGGCGACAGTTTTGCATTCAGAGCACATCTGCACACAGCCATGAAACCCTGTGAGGCCTCAGACAAATCTGGCTGCTGGCCCAATTTACTACACAAGTATGTTGCAAGGCTGCGGCAACTGTTACATACTCAATGATGAAAACTGTGGTAGAAGTCAGCATTAAAAATTATTGATAACAGTTCTCAAGAAATATACAGGGTTGGATCCCATTGTGTTGACAGAAGGCTCCTTGATCCCATGGAGTGTTTAGTCAGTGAAGAAGGAATCAAGGCAATCGTTGGCAAATCCCCATCCGAAATCTGTGCTAGAAGGGTGGGAGGTCCTCCGGCACGACCAGAGAAATCACCAAAGGTCAGTCTGATTCCCGTTCCAGCTGATGGAAGGCTTTGCTCGATCCACGAACCACTCCTTAGCTACTGGGATAGAAACCACGCCGTACATTGTCTACATTAAATTTACATAATTCAAAAGGCCCTTTAAAGTTACATTGCATCAACAACCTCACAACTTAATTGGTGTCGAAGGCGAAACAAGTTATTGCTTTTAGTCGCTGGAGTGCTGCTATGTAGTACGTCGTGGATCAAATACAATGTGCTCTTTGAATGCTGCCGCCCTGCAAACCCTCAGGCCTGACTTAAACGAGATACTAGCCAAGGGAAAAAGGTCATGTCCATGTAGCCACTCGACACATCTAGCATCCCACTGGAGAAGGTGCTGACCCCATGCCCTGCTCAGCTTATGTCCATAGCACACACGGCATCAGTAGCCAAGGCAGGTGTTGCTCTGGCACATAGACACTGTACATTTGTAGGGTGACACGTAGGGGGGAAGCATAGCACTGCTGTGGGGAGCATCTATGCGGATAAAATGTTTTCGCACAGCAGCATCGCACTTCATGCTGCAATACTATACACACTCTGTGCTGGAAGGAAGCCCCATTGAAATCAGTAAACATGATTAGGACTGCACTGGAATAAAATTTCCCACCCATCCACCCACCTCTGCTCATTGGGATGTGCTGTCTAAAGCAGTGCAGCCAATAACTAAGCTGCTTCACACACATTAAAAAATGCCAATACATGCACAAGATTTATCTCAAAAATTTGGTTTATCCATCAGTTCTAGAATAATCTGGACCTCTTTTGAGACTTGTAGTGCAAGCAGTTCTGTTATACATTATAATCTCTAACTCTTTAATTCAAATATACAATAACTTACAAAAACAATCCAGGAATCAGACTTGTGCTGGTGGCTCTTGCCTTTCATTTTAGAAACATTAAAAAATTCTGCATTATCTTCTTATAACTTAAATACATAAGTAATCTCCACTTTTATTACTTCATGACCGTGACTTCAGATTTACATTATTTTAAGTACCACCATAACAGTTTGATGTATAATACAGATATCAGCCGAGAACCCATCAGGAAATAAAAAAACAACCCCATTATATATATATATATATATAAACCATATATATATATGCTGGAAAGACGAGAACACAGAACAGGGACTTGATACAGACTTAATTTAGTTTTATAATCAACCACATTTAACCCCAAATTAACAGATACGTAGCAATATTCAAGAGCAGTGCAAATATCTTTGTTGGTTAGAGTAAAATTATGCTACAAGAACGTAAGACGGGGAAATAAAAAGGCAAGTACTTCAAGTACAAGGAACCAGTCTTAAATGAGGTCTCTTCAGTGTTTACAAGGACTTCCTTTTCTCATTTATTTCTTCCTCTGGAATACGTTGGCCAGCATGGCACCTGAAGTGGTCAACTGGCCCATTTTGTTCAGAAACTTGGTCTTTGTGTCTTCACTCACGAGGCTTGATGCAATTGACATAGAGCTAAGGGGGAGTGAAAGGAAAAGTGAGTTAACCCATCAGTGAAAACTACCTGAGATGACACAGCTACAGAACCCTACTGTCAAACAGAACAGTATGCGGTTAGAGGGACCAAGAACCTGACCTGGTTTAAGGTAGCTCCATGGGTCCTATAAGTAAGTTCAAGAGGCTGGTGTTAAAAAGTAAAACCATTTAAAACAATGGCTTTCAAAACTCTGAGCAAGTATCAAGCAAAACCCCACCCACCAACTAAACCTCCTCAAAGTTAAGACAGCTGGCAGCCCATGATCTTAAGTGCACCTGCCTGTCCTCGAACCCAGGCTAAGAGAAAAAGGAGGGAAGCAAAAACACGCATGGAGTCAGAAGATTAAAAAAAGAAGAAACAAGTGGTTTGAAGTGCAAATATACTTGGAATTTTTGTTTCCATTCCAAGTGCTATTTAAAAGAATTGGGGGGAAGGTGAAAAACAAAACCTTTCCTTCCATACTGAATATCCCTGTTATGCTAGTGGTAGTTAAAATTTAAATTGAACCATTGATTTTTATTTCCAGCTACCTAAATTTTAAGTGTCGCAGCCCCATTAACGTAATAATGGCAAGGTAATTAGAAATTTAATTAATTTGGTTTGTCGGGGAAAAGGCCATTCAATCCAACAATAAAGCTGTTTGTGTGGAAATATGTTTATATGTATAGATCTTTGCAGGATGCTACAACAGTCAGCTGTTGCCCAATATCATAATCATTTCCACTTATCAAAGAAGCTAGTTGTCTTAGCCTAGGCCTGATTCTTGGGATTTCCCCCGTTTGCCCTTGTGATGGATTCTGAGGAAGGTACAAGTAGCCCTCCTTTTGCTGTCTTCTTACACTAGCCCAGTGAAAAAGGAGAGAAATCATTCACCCCCTTCCCTGCACCCCCAGCTCTCCACAAAGAAAAGATTGGGTCGTCTCTTTCCCTTCAATCAGGATTTTCCAGAAGGCAGAAGCAGCAAAGTAATGAGAAAGGATGGGAGTCACCTGTCCTTCCTTCTCTTATATCTGTAGATGAAAGATATGGGGTTGTAAGATAAAAGGTAAAGGACCCATGGACGGTTAAGTCCAGTCAAAGGCGACTATGGGGTTGCAGCGCTCATCTTGCTTTCAGGCCGAGAGAGCCGGTGTTTGTCCACAGACAACTTTCCGGGTCATGTGGCCAGCATGACTAAATCGCTTCTGGCACAACGGAACACCATGACGGAAGCCAGAACGCACGGAAATGTCATTTACCCTTCCCACCGCAGCGGTACCTATTTATCTACTTGCACTGGTGTGCTTTCAAACTGCTAGGTTGGCAGGAGCTGGGACAGAGCAACGAGAGCTCACCACCGTCGCACGGATTCGAACCACCGACTTTCTGATCGGAAGCCCAAGAGGCTCAGTGGTTTAGACCACAGCGCTAAGTGAACGTTCAGTCAGTACAAGCATTTCTGCTTGCACAATGGAACGTTCGCACCCCCTCCTTGCATGCCCCCTAAATTTGTTATAGAGGTTCCCCCAAGCCTCTGGAGCACATTTGGGTAGGGCGGAAGTCATGTATGCAGGGGGAGGGAAAGGCCTGTTGTGCAAGGAGAAATCTTTGTGCTCATGGGTAGCATTCATTGAATACTGCTCTTGGTTTTGTTCCCATCATGAGTTGAGCTTCAGCAAGAAGTGCCATCTTTGTTTTATTGCTGCCTCCAGCAAGAAAAGCATAACAGTGAAAAAACCTACAGCTTCTTTTCCACATGTAGGACAGAGAATAAAAGAAGTTTCTTCTTGTCACATTCGGCTGCTGCAATAGGAAGCAAGACTCAGGTGACGCTTTCTGCAAAAGCCCCAATTTGGGTGCAAAACCACCTTACCTTTCCTGCCCTGCCCATTTTCAGAGGAGGATTTTTTAGAAAAATAAAAATGAGTTGGGCTTTTGGAGAAAGTGCCCACTGCATTTCCCTGCTGGCTTTTGCAAAAAAACCAAAACAGGAAGGAAAAGGAACTGCCTCTCATTTCCTACATGAAGAAGGAAGCAAGTGTGGTTTCTAATCATTCCTGCTGGACTTTTGCAGAAAGTAGCAGAAGTGCTGTTGGTGCTTTATTTTAAAATAAAAGCAAATTTGCCCAGGCCAAAAATCTGGTATTTCAACCTAGTTACAATTGATTAATGTTGTTTACACAATGAAGGAAGATGCTAACTTGTGATAAACCAATGCCTTACCCTTGCGGTTCTTGGACACTCCTATTTTCCACTTTCTGTTCACACTCCTTTATCATGGAGCTTAAAATAACCTAGGACAAAAGGCAGAACAATGTTGCAGTTTGAACATATACTGTTTTAAATATACTTCTGGGTAATGACTATATATGGTTTGCGAATGAAGAGGAAACCAGATAAGCAATAAAACTTTTACTTACCTCACCTTTCAAGTAATATTTGAAGACTGCAATGTTTGTAGGCACATCAAAGTCAATAATCACTGAAAGAGTGTCTTAATATACCTTTTACTTTGTGATCACAGCTAGTGAGGTTTAACTGCGATACACTATTTCACTTAGAGATACTGTGCCATGGAAACTCTGGCATTAATATGTACACATATATGTATCATTCCATTCTGAGGAAAAACACTAACAGGAATGAATATCCTTCTGTACTAAAGCAGGGAGTGAAAAGCTAGAACAAAGATCTCAGAACCTGGCATGCCTAAAGGAAGCTCAATGTGCATCCTGGTTATTTGGTTTGTATAACTTTAGTTTGCTCACTATACTGTGATATTCCGGCTGATTCCTAATAAAGCTATTGCCCTACTGTATGTTTTTAATTCCAACTCCTATGGAACTACATGGTTATCCGCTACTAATTTTAAGCATTACAGTGGTACCTCGGGTTAAGAACTCAATTTGTTCTGGAGGTCTGTTCTTAACCTGAAACTGTTCTTAACCTGAAGCACCACTTTAGCTAATGGGGCCTCCTGCTGCCGCTGCTGCACGATTTCTGTTCTTATCCTGTAGCAAAGTTTTTAACCTGAGGTAATATTTCTGGTTTAGCGGAGTCTGTAACCTGAAGCGTATGTAACCCGAGGTACCACTGTATTCATTTATTTAAGCTAACAAGCAGGCACTGACTATTTCTGGCTCAAGGCATTGCCCATGCTGTAGCTGAAGGGAGTTAAGTTGCATGTTGTGGAGCTGGTGGGCCGGTCTGAGGCTAGTGTGTTCAACAGGAATTAATCTATGCCACAGGTCGGCAAACTAAGGCCCGTGGGCCAGATCAGGCCAAACTGCCTTCTGGATCTGGCCCACGGACGATCTGAGAATCGCCACGTGGATCGCCAGCACATGCATTCTTTTCCTCTCCCTCCCTCTCCCTCCCATGGCAGTGCCTCCGCCCTCCCTCCTCCTGGCTTCTCCCCGACCTGCCTAGAGAAGGAAGGGGGCTGGGCTTTGTGGGTGCCAGCAGCAGCAACGCTCGAGTGGCCGCCATTTTAAGCAGCCCCTCTCCGGAGCCCTTTCGTGTGCCGCTCATTGTCCCACCGCCGCTCGCAAGACACAGGTAAGAAGCCACTGGAGCTCGTGGTGCTCTTGCATCATTCCCCCTCCCCCAAAAAATAGTCCACCTCCCACAAGGTCTGAGAGACAGTGGACCAGCCCCCTGCTGAAAAAGTTTGCAAACCCCTGATCTATGCCCTATATATCTTTAGATTTGGGGCATATCAAAATGAAAGCAGAACCAGAGAGATAGGAATCTGACAGAAGGGTTACCTACTCCTCTGTGGATCCACAAAGCATCTGAACCTTATTTAGTTCCTTTTAAATGGATAGCTGAAATGCAGAACCTCGTTTTTAAAACAGCCAGCCAAGGTCTTGCCTCCACATACAAGCATGCGCATTTTTTATTTCTGGACTCTTAGTTGAATATATGAATAGAGACACACTAAAGCTGAGGTGAAATGCAAGTTCTATGCAATAATAATAAAAAAGCTCTGGGGCACGGTTTGAAGAAACATATTGTGGCAACGCTGCTAAAGCTACAGAAGTCTGGGTCTTATCCGTGCCTCAGTGGGAGTCCAATGCATGCTTTTTCTACAGTAGCTCTTTTACACAGTCAATCAGCTTTATGTGTATCATTAGCTTTCTGAGAAATATATGTATAAGCTGTGAATATCCGCTACAAAGCCCAGATTGAGTGCATTCACAGAGGCTTTGCACTCTCCAAAATAGGAAGTCCAAGCAACTTTCCTACTGTCAAGTACAGCTCACTGAACTCCTGGAATGTGGGGCTCTCAGAACGCACTATGAGGGAGAGCAATGGATTACTCTTATTTCCCCCTTTTATTGCCTCTTTGCAAAGTGTAAGCTCTGCCTCAGATACGGAACCAGGCTATGGTCTGAGACTAAACCTCTTGTTGTAAATGTATGTGTAATATTAGCACCTACCAAGCTGATTAAAGGCATTTACTGAAATCATTTTTTATTAACAATTTCAGCATAGCAAATTATCAAAACAAATCATCTTCCTTATTCCCCCCCATATTTCCTCTCCCACCTCCCTAACAAACCCTCCCTCCCTCTCTCTGATTTCTCATCCAATGTTAACTTCTGCATATTATAAAACTGTATACACCCTTATATTATCTATCTTTTATGTTATCCCTCAATAAATTTGTGTTTGTTTATTCAAAACCATTTACTGAAATCATTTATCCCACTTTTCTTCCGCTCAGGATCTAATCCTGGCTTAATTCATATTAAGCCAGAGCTCTTTGGTTCAGAAGCAACAGGGGAATCTGACTTAACAGAAGCCAGAAACTAAGCTATGAAGTGGCATGTAAGGGGAGGGGGAAAGGAGGAGCGCTGGGCCCTGATGAAGCCTTGAGTGATCATCCAAACCAGGCCACTGTAGCACTGTAACCAGCACTGAGGACCCTAGTAATTCTGCAATCGTGCATCTTTCTTCTTTTAAAAAGAGAAGAGTGATGGCATATGCTTACATGCTGCAACCGCTCCAAATTTTGTGCCTGATATGTTGCACATGCTATGACGGCTGCTTGAGGGAGTGTGTTCCATTCCCATTTCTCCTCCTCTGCCTGTGGTATTTTGTTTTCCAGAATAATGTGGGTGGCATGTTTTTGGCTGTTGCTATGGAGCAGAGAGAGACTGTTCTGTTGATGGTGAGAGATGTTTTCCTTTCCTGTAGATGTGGCATATACGTTGTGCCCTCACTGGTTTGTTGTGCAGACGGATTTAACTTCTGCGTCATGCCCTTGTGCTCTTTACCAATGGAACTGTGCACCTTTGGTGCCAGATTTGCTAGGTCATGACCAGTACAACTCCAGTTGTGGGATACAACATGCCTAGGCTGCGCTACAAAATGTCAGAAGTATTTAATGGGTGTCCCACCTCATGGTTTCATGTGTTCCTGTGGTCTGATTGCTGACCTCGTGCAGGGACATAGAACCCTTTTTATATCAAGAAACTATTTCCAACTTTGAAACTGTTTCATGGGCAACAGCTCTGTGCATGTGTGTGTAATGAGCCCCCCCACAAAAAAAACTCCCAACACATAGAATGGCATTGTTTGGTCAGATAAAAGTCTATTCAATTAACAAAGAAATCCTTTTGGTTTAACAAGCTGTATTGCCGTATTTACGCGAATCTAATATGCCATCGAATCTAATGTGCACCTCAATTTTCAAAATCTTGAAACCAAAAAAGTATTTGCCGGCGCCTTCAAATCTAATGCACACCCTAATTTTCGCGAAGTAATTTGGCCAAAAAAAGGCGCACATTACATTTGAGTAAATACGGTTAAGTGCTTTCCTTGTTCGCTCAAGCACCAAAAGGCCAGGAAATAAGAGCTGTTGAGGGTCAACTCCCTATGGGTGGTATTTAGACAATACTGATATGGTATTGTATGGTATCCTATCCTGTGGTTAGTTTCAGCTTCAACACTACCTTGGAGCTGGGAGACTATTAGTGGCAGAGTGACGGAACTAAGACTCAGATTTGTATGTTCATTGGAATAGACACATGGTGTCTGTGCAACTGAAGCTGCCATACTGTATTTCAGGTACTTAACTGGCAATCAGTATGCTCCTTAACAGCTCCAATTTCCTGGTATTTTTTCCTTCCAGTAAATATAGGCAACCCCCGATTTGTGCAGGGGTTGCGTTCCTAGCCCCCGTGCGTGTCGATGGAGTACACATACACCCTGTCCTGCCGTATCCCCATTCTGCCCTCTTCCAGGTCCAAAAGGACCTTCACACCGACAGTCACACACCAATTGAATACATGCAAAATGGTCACTACTGCAACATTCTGCAACTACTCAACATTCTGTGGCCACTGAGCATGCTCAGTCCTCATTGCACTGCTTTTGGAGTTTTTTGCCCTCACGGGCTTTTCTCATTAAAAATTTGGTGTACAGTATTTCTCCAAACCTTTGTGTTCTCCCAAGCAATGCTGGTATCTTGTCTTGTTTGTTCAGAGGCTCCCTTTTACTCCATTCATGTTGGCACTGCCTGATTTCACTATTAGAAGGAGTGATTTGTAGATGGCAGCAATTATAAATTAAACGTGAGGAACTTTAGGTATTATCTTTCCTGTTGGCCTTTTGCAACTCTCACTATGGTCCCGACTACGTTGGCCCTGCACAAAAAAGTCTTTGGGTACAGATTTTGTATTGATGGGGAAGGGATAAGAGAAAATATGCAGGTTTTACATCATTAGGTTGGGCCTCCTTGTATTAGAGCATGTAGACTACAGGATGGAAAATATTTTTACTTTTGTTGGCTATTTAATATGGAATGATGAATCACCAGATTTCTTTTGCTATTCAAAACTCAGCTGTGCAAGAATGGCAGCTTCAATTACTCACCTCATGTTCTGGCGAGAGAGATTCCATGTCATTTCGTAAACACCTGAGTCCAGGTAAAAAGTGATTGACCATTAAATCCTCTGAAATAACTAGAAGACAAACAGTTAAGGTCCAACATAAAATTATTGGCTTGCCATCACCTTCCCCAGTCAAAATTAGAAGATAAAGAGTATAATGATTTTTGCACATTAATTTCTGAGTTTTCCTTTCAAAGGGTTAACTCTCTCAATGCCAGTATATTGTCTCCTTGGGGTAAACACAAAGAAAGACTGGAAATGGTTACTGTCAAACACAATGGATTTCCAATATCAAAATAGTTTCAGGAGGACTTGATAACAGGCAAGACACGAGGAGAGCAAGATAACAGTCAAGACACGAGGAGAGAGAAATAGTGACAAGTACAGAAATTTTTCAAACATTTATAAAGACTTCTTTATATCACACCTCATGTTGATGTCTTCCCAGTGCATATTTTTAAATACAGTCGTACCTTGGATCTTGAACGATCGAAACCTGAAAGTGAGTGTTCTGGTTTTTGAACCATTTTCAGAAGCCAAACGTCCGGTTTTTGAACAATTTTCAGAAGCCAAACGTCCGGCTTGTTTCCAATTGGTTTTGGAAGTCGAACGGACTTTCGGAACGGATTCCGTTTGACTTCCAAGGTACGACTGTATTCATTAAAAATATTCTCGTAGTAGAGAAATAATTAATCGCTTGGCACAAAATATATGACAGGGATATCATTACTGCCTAGTCTTCCTACTGCTTCCTATTTGTTCTAGCACCCCAGTTCTTAAGCATTCCTTGTCTCTCCTGCTAAGTGCCCATGTCATATCACTAATTCTTTCCCTTCCTCTACTATGGAGAGCTTCTGTCACTGGTGCTTCCTCTTTCCTTCTCTAGAAAACCTGGTGACCCCCCCAGGGCAGAAGCGGAAAGGAAGAGGAAGAGATTCTGATGAAGTGCTACTGCGAATTTCTACAGGGCTGGATTTTCTAGCTGCAATATTTTCAGAGTTCCGTGCAAATGGATTCATTACCAAAGCACAATGGAGTAGTCTTTTAAATGACTTGTTGCGATATTCAAAACCAAACAAGGATACAACAACAGGAGAGAGCGCTGTAGGCTTCAAAGAGATGAGTAGCAATATCCAATCTTTTTGAATCTGCAGACTGTTGGTTATTGACCAAGGCGAGTTTATGCAAGTGTGGAATAACAACTGGAAAAATAAAATTTCAGCAAGAAATTTATCATCAATACTTCAACTTACAAGAATGAGCTATAATATTTGCAGAACTGCAAGAAAATCAAGGTTTGTTTTCCATCATGACAACTTACATTCATCGCGAAATCTTGGCTCAGCGTTTGGCCCAACTCTTCCAAAGGTTTTTATGATTTCTGTGTGTAAAGAATGTTGGTCTTGGTATTGCGGATCTTCCAGAAAAGAGGCCAACTGCATTTTAACCCTTTCCAACAGCTTAAGAAGAAATGAAACAGAAGTTATGAATACTTTTATGTAAAAGAAAAGCAAAACTAAATAAAACTAAGTAGAAAAAATACTCCCTTGAGGACATCTCTGTATAATATGAGCTCCCCCCACTGCTGCAGGGTTGTCTTTTTCAATTAGTATTTTGATGCCATAAACAATCAATGCTTTCATACAGCCACCTCGGCTTCAAATTTGTGTTCATTTGAATATCCATCCTGACTGATGTCTTAAGCGCTCACTGTTTAATTTCTGCTCTCAAATCACAATACCCATTATAAATGCGAGTATATTAATTAGATTGAACTGAACCGTAGACTGTTCTGAACTTTAGCCTAGTAATTCTAATCTACTTTACTACTACTTACTCAGCTTCTGAATATAAGTATGAGTCAGTACAAAATTCTTAGTTGCATTTCCTCAAATATTTTTCTTTAGAAAATCAGGAACAAGCTAAAATTACAAGAATGCAAACTCTACAAATTTTTTACCACTCAAAACTCAGTTTCAATAATTAGATTGAAAGGTTTTAACAGCGCTTATATATATTATATACATATGGTATCCACCGAAGCGCTCCTGCTGGTGCAAAGATTTCTGCTTGTCCAACAGAATTTCCTCTCCCAAATTGTTTTGGGGTTGGAGGAATTCCCAGAACAAATTTAGGGAGAGGAGAAGGAGGGGAATGATTCCTGAAATTTATCTTTTTAAAAAATTAATGCTTTCAATAGATTAATGCTTTGAATAAACACCTATACCCTCACTATTATTACTTTCTGCCTAGCTGCTTCCATTGAGCTCCAATATATCAAAAGAAATGGGAAACAGTTTTATGGGACATATGCAGGCCTGCTCTGTAGCAGTTCACTGGGTCCATAATCAAAATGAGCAAGAGCTGCCTATCCATTCTAATTAATTAAGGCACGCAACTTCTCAGAACTGGTGCCTAAATTAGCTCAGTCTTGTCCCTCCCTATCCCTCTTCTGTGTTCTGTCTAATAGACTGCAAGCTTGCAGGCAGGGACTGACTTCTGTATTGTTTCTTTTCTCTGTGGTTCACTTTAAAAAGACTTTGAGCATCCTTTATCTACCATTCTAAGACTGTGGGCTCTTTGTTAATCTGAAAAAAGTTAGCCCTTACAGAGTTTAGTGGCCAAAATCTGTGAACAGCTACCCTGGTACATCATGCAGGCATCTTACCTCTCTCTGGGTGACCGTTTCCATGATGGTACCAAAAGCAGGAATTGTGGCTATTCTTACAGAGCTAAGAGGAAACAAAGCAGAAGTGTTCTTCAGCCTTAAGATTAAAGCAGATTTCAATTAAAATGAATGAAATTTCAAAGTTAGTACTTGAAGATGTATTAGTTTCTAGCAATGAGACCAGCAAAATGCTCAAAGTGGGGTGGGGGGGGGGGGAAGGAAGGAACGAGACAGACAGACAGGTCACACTCAGAAACTCACAATTCAGGATCACTGGACAAGGTAACAAGGGCCGGAGCAACCCGCTTGTCAACTAAGGCTTCACTCATGCCTCGGAGAGTCAGCTGTAAACCAGTCAACATGCAATAAAAATGATTTTAAAATGGAAGGATAACTAAGTTAGCTGTGACTGAGGATGGGCAGGCAGACTCACTGGCCTTTCTGAGTTTAGTCACCCACACAGGGCATTAACACTGTTAAGGACTCTGCTCATGCTTCAGCATTTACTGGCAATAATGTGTTAGTGAGAATAGCATCCCTCTTCAGCACGGAAGAAACAAACATCAACAAGGTGGCGCTTGGCACATGAAAGTTGCCTACAGTTGTCTGCACCCAAGAGTGGCGACTTTTAAAGTCGAACCATTTGTTTTCCAATTATTGCAATAATTTCACCAGCCCAAATGAAACTTTATTTTGGAAGGAGATTTTTTCCCCCTAAAGAGCAAGGTAAGTGACCATTTGTTTGTTTGTTTGTTTTGAAATATGTTCTACGGTTTCGTTATCATATATATGCCCTGATGGTTTATTTCTTGACCCGTTGGAAGAGGGACGCTAGTTGTATCAAGACAGTCGGGAAACTTACATTTCAGGGTCACTGGAGAGAGTAATGAGAGCAGGAACAACTCTCTGAGCTACCAGAGTTTCATGTACCCCCTTCACCAACAGCTGAGTGGGTAGAGCAGAGGGGTATCACAGGTGATGCACGGAAAGAGTGAGCACAGTATCATGGGAAGAACAGCACAACCAAGAGGAAGAAAAACACAAAAAGCAAACCAAAATTAGAAGCAAATACCACTAAGCTAAAAGTGCCCTTTAAAATATTTATATACAAATGTGCAGAAGGCATGATGAAAGCGCAAGTGGCCCAAGCAAGGCGGCAGAAACTAGACGAAGTGTGGCGCTGTTGATAAAGGAGCATCTGTTTTGTATCCATGTTAAACTGTTTTGATGTGTGGAATTTTTAAAAAAAATATCTGTATTGCTTTGTTTATAATTGCTTTCTATACTGAACTGTTTTATTTGTTTCATCGTGACATATTTTATTTTTGTAACCTTCCCTGGGCCTTAATAGTAAAGGGTGTGTAAGGGGTCTTATTAATTAATATTTCTGGCAACCTAAAAATAATTCATGAATATGTGGCACTCACTGAGGCACCGACAAGAGTTTTTACAAATTCCAAACTGGAAGCTATTGATCTATTTAATATACTCAATGTTAAAGTGACAAACTAATGGGAAGATCTAACAAAGCCAGCCAGCTTCTCGTGGTTAGCATGGAATGTTCCATGGTTAGTCACAGTGAGAACTAGTGGGCTTCCAAAATTCAGTCTCCAGGAAAGGACATCAAATACGAGTTGATACGGCTGTTTAGAAATGAATAAACAGACCATTGACTTGTTGAAGTATTACTGCAACCCTATGATAATATGATAGATATTGTCTAGACTTTCTATGGGTCGTGTAATATATATTCTCTATTAGAATACAAAGGATGCCTAGATCAATTCAGTTTTAAAATTCCGGGTTCTTTAAAACCCCATCATGGCTTATGACACATGAGCAAATATGAACGAAAAAGAAGCTTGAGATTCACATAGCGAAAAAGATGTAACTTAATCAGATACAACCAAGATTTGAGATCCAGAATTTTCATTTTATATGTATATTTTGATTTTAAAGTGCAGAGGAAAGGCATGTTGACAGAAAGCTAAAATGTTTACTTGCTCTTGCTTGGTTTAAACCAGGGGTGGGCTGACTTCAGTTCTGCATGATGAACACCCCCCCACCACACAGAAACTAGCATCCCTGCAGACCACTGATGTGTATTCAATTTATAAAACTAGAGGGCATTTTTCAGATCCCTAACTGTTAAAGGCATAAATAATTTGTGCCTAGTGATCTTGAGTATGTACTCTTGCTTAAGGACATTGTTAGCGTTTTGCTAGATTAGATCAAGTCTATTTCATCTAGCATTCTCTGAAAGAATCCAAGCAACCAGCAGGCATCAGGTGGTCAAGCACGAGACCACTGCCTACTTTTTGCCCACCCATGGTTTCAACTGATAAAGACTATTATTACATAGATAACAAGTTCATATTCCTGCTGTGTATGGACAGTGTTCAAACCAGAACCAAATGCTGAAGATGCTGAAGATTATTCATACAGTTTAATATGGGCAGTTAACACACAAACATGTACACAAAAAGAGCAAAAAGGGGGGAGTCACATAAAATACAGCATGTTAGTTCATAGTAACCTCAGATGCCACCTTTTATTTGCATTTCAAGTATATACTTGAGTTAAAAAGTGGACCTATGTTAGAAAAATAAATGTTCAAAGAGTTATCTTCTGTATATCAACTTCCATGATGACATTATTTCAGTTGTCCTTAGAAAGAGTGCAATTTTATGGTTAGGAAGCTTATGCAAAAGCAATGGACGCTACGCTGAAGGAAGACATCACTTTCCATTAAAAAACCGAAACAAACATCTGTGTGGTGTAATCTGCATTTGAACACTACTTACTAAGTAGTTTGCTGTATGATTAGACAGTGGCGTGAAGAGCACCTTATACAATCAAAACACATGCCTCAACTCCCCTTTGAACATGTGGTACTACCTTCACAGTTGCTAAAAAGACCCCAGAAACACACACCTGATACTAAGAGAGTGCTCCTAAGAGCATTCAAGTATATTGTTATTAAACTGATAGCCCACCTTTCTATTAGCATTCTCAAAGGAGCTAACAAAGCTAAGCCCAATAAAGTCGATACATTAAACCATTAGGAAAATGGGAAGGCTCTTGAGACAAGAAAATTGAAAGCATGTCTCCCCACGGCTAGTAATTGTTGTAGCATGGCTGAAGCAAACATGGTAAATGGAGGGCAGTTCCTGGCTTCTCCCTCCGCTGCAGAAGTTAATGTTCTATGTGCCAGGAGCAGCAATGGTGGCAAGTAGATCAGAAAAACATGCTGCATTGACTGTTCTCTTCCCCCTACTTAATGTTTACATAGGTTTTATTTTTAAATCAAAATCTAGGCAATTTCAGATCTTATTACTGGAAACAACTTACTGTTGTTACCAGGCAATGCTCAATTCATTATCTGACAAGGTTATTGACAACAAATATCTGGTTTGAACACTGAATTCAGCACTGAAATGGTCTCTCATAGCCAATGGAAGTTTCTAAGCATGCAATGCACCGATCTAATATTCAAGTCAGAAACAGAAGAAACCTAACTGTGCCAGTTACCATGAAAACATCTTGCAAGTAGATGCAAGCCAGCAATACTTAAATAAATGAATGCTAGAAATCTTACAACGCTTTCAAACCCAAATTACACAGTATTAATATTCTGCTCCATCACACAGTGCACAACCTCTTAGAAGTATTTTAAAGCAATACAATGCAACAATAAAACATTCACTTTTTTGGCATCTGGTCAGATTAGACAATACAAAGCCCCAGGCATCAACAAATTCTGGCTGTGGGTCACCTTACATTGACGACAGGGTAATACAATCATTTCCTCAATCATTTCCTTTCCCTGCAGGCTGGAGGTGGAGGCAATTGGGAGGGGGGGTGTACCCAGAATACTATGAATATTTAGAGAGATCTCAAGGGTGCAATCCAATTTTAAGCAAGACAGTGGTGTCTGATCAAAAGGCGGTATGCAAGAGTTGCGTGCCACTTCAAACACAGTTAGAATGCAGACTGCAGTCCCATACTAAAACTGTGTGATGCTAAACCCCTTACTGATTGCCTATTGCTTCTCTTTTCCACAACTCCCCTTGAGAAAGGAAAAAGTGACTACAGCAGGCAGCTGGGGGTGGGGGAGGGATAAAAATCCTTGAGGGTCTGGGTCTCTGGGCCACCAGTTGCCAAATCATGCTACAAGGCACCTTCAAACAGCATCTAAGATGCGTTCAATAAGCACTTACCTCAAACATTCTAGCAGCTGTGCACCGAACAAGTGCTGAAGTATGGACAACTCCATACCACAATACAGTTAGCAGCAACTCATGGTATGCTGGGTTTGCACTGAGGACACAAAACAATCACTATTGAACTATAAATAGTCATTTGCTCTCAAACGACTCCACTCACTGTGCCATCCCACCTTCTCCCCTTAAATCCCACCTTCTCTGTGAAGTCATTGGATAATTTTAGCGATCAATCTATACCTAAACCAGCACTTTGTTCCCACTCAAACTTTCCCTCCCTTCTCTTGGTCTCTCTAGGCAACAAGCTAAATTGAGGCTGTAAGCAGAGACTGGCCCTTTCTTCCATTAAGTTACACACCGAAGAAAGTATGTAAATAATTTCATCACAGGCTTCAGAATTAGTCTCCAGAATATATGGAGCATGTACATCTCACACTGCAGTTCTCCAAGATGTTTCAAATGTTGTTTTTTTGTTGTTTTTTTAAATTAAAGGGATGCTGATTGTTTCGCAATTATTTTGTCAATATGTAACATTTTGGCTTCAAGGTGAGTCACTGCGTTAACGTGTTAATGGCTAATGAACCAACTGTAACAAGCACGGAAAAGATGGACTTCTGTGCTATGGCAGACGCTACACACAATGGTTCCAAACATTTAGAGAAACCTCCAGAAAGGCTGATTGCTGGATAGTGATGGCCAAGATAGAAGCTGGTGATAGGATAACTATATAGAGTGTGCATGAGAATGAGATCCAAGCTCTTACACAGTGGAGGCAAGAGAATATGGGGAAAATATTGAATAAAAAATCTGGACTTCTTTAGCAGTGAGTAGGTGCCACCCTTATTGGGATTGCCTTATCACTATACATGACACCTTGTATTGCTTGCTTTATGTGGATTTTAAACTTGCTGGCCCTTGGATGGTCTCTTTTTCCTTTCCTGATACTACGTTTTTATATATGCTGTAAGCCAGCCAGATGGGTGGGGCATAAATAATAAATATATTATCATTATATATAATAATTATCATTAGGCATTCTGCTGCAAATGTTTTAAGAGAAAAATTCCAGGAACTTTTGATCCCGCTTTATGGTGATTCCAGTTATAAAACATACTTTACCCCAGTTCCACAAAAGATGCTTTCAGGCTATCAAGAGGCGCATGGGATAATGAAAGCATGGTCATTACATCTTCTAAAAATCCAACTAACAGCTTCCGGTCTTCTTCCTGAAAGAAAATTTTAGAAGTTTTTAATCTTAGTTTTACAACATGTATCTTAAAGTGGCTGAAAAGCTAAGAGAGATTCAGTTAAGAGAGATTCAGTTTTGGGACCCAGATGTCAACTGCACTCTTTGTTCTGAAAATACTATGTCTACTCCTCAGCTACTGGCTGCCCCGCTGTCAGCATGTCCCAAGACTCAATGAATAACTAAAGCCATCATTCAGGGATCAGCAATCAGAGAAAAAGCGTTAATTCTGATTACGTCAACAGGAATATTTGTGCTGACTTGAGTCACTATACTCTTACAAACCTCTGAAGACAGTGGCATTACTAAAATGGTAAAAATGCCTCTCATCTCTGTCAACATGTACAAATATTTGCAGGCTACGGAATGCTGTGTTTACTCCTGTGTCAAGTACCACACATATCTTGACTGAGATTTTTATGCAACTCTTGTTACCATGTGCATTCCACAGTGGGGTGGGATGGGGATCTTTCAAACTAGTCTCACTACCAGCAGGAATTTCTAAACACACAAATATAGTAATGTCACATAGTCCTGTTTTGACCTCCATGTTGCCCCCTCAATTAAAATGGCCAAGTGTATCAGGAACAGTTGAACTGATTGGCTGGGCAGGTCCACTTTTGGTCCTCTCCAGCGGCCTCCCATACCTCATCCCACATTGTTCAGCAGGACTCCCTGATCATCTGGAGGTGTTTTTAGGGGTGAGCAACATAAGTCTGCAGGTGGAAGAAGGGTGTGGGAAACTTTCCTTCTAGGAATTTCCTTAATTTACCTTAGGGTCCAAGTCAATGTTCACATGCTGCTATGACTGAATTTGTGATTTATAAAGAAGCTTTATTATAATGGTAATGTAACCATCCTCACTTAGGCTTGAGTGTTTCAAAGACATGTAGTATTCAGTACCAAGCAAAAGCTGCTTACCTGGATATAGCATGTAAGTACACCTGTGGCATAAATAGGAACTGTGGCTTTTGTTAGCACTCCATTTCCTGCTGTAGCATCTGAAACAATGCCGTACAAATAAAGAATAAGAAGCATAAGTATGCCGGTCATTTAAAATAAGTTCGTAGTTGCTTAATACTCTTTCAATATGCCCACTAAAACGAGGGATCCTTTTCTTGGCCCCATGTCCATTGGTGTACAAGTATTCGACGCTGAGGGACACAAATATCTTCCTCAGAACTTCTTATTCTATAAAACCATTGCTTAAATCAGAAAAGAGTCAGTACAATAAATTTACACAGGGAGCTTCCTTATACTAGTTCAGACTATTTCTACAAGTGGCCCAGTGTGGTCTACTTTAACCAAGTACAGTGGTACCTCGGGCTACATACGCTTCCGGTTACAGACTCCGCTAACCCAGAAATATTACCTCGGGTTAAGAACTTTGCTTCAGGATGAGAACAGAAATCGTGCTCCGGCGGCGCAGCAGCAACGGGAGGCCCCATTAGCTAAAGTGGTACTTCAGGATAAGAACAGTTTCAGGTTAAGTACAGACCTCCAGAACGAATTAAGTTCTTAACCCGAGGTACCACTGTAGTAGCTTTCCAGTCTCATGCAGAGCTTTCTCCCATCCCTGCTTCTTAATATAGTGGTACCTCAGGTTAAGTACTTAATTTGTTCCGGAGGTCCGTTCTTAACCTGAAACTATTCTTAACCTGAAGCACCACTTTAGCTAATGGGGCCTCCCACTGCTGCCGTGCCGCCAGAGCACGATTTCTGTTCTCATCCTGAAGCAAAGTTCTTAACCTGAGGTAATATTTCTGGGTTAGCGGAGTCTGTAACCTGAAGCGTATGTAACCTGAAGCGTATGTAACCCGAGGTACCACTGTAGTGTCTCCACAGATACCAGGAATTGAATCTAGGAACTTCTGCTCCACCATCCATTCTCTCCTCCTCTCCCCCGAATCTTCCTAGCTATTTTGAACCTCTTTGTCATTGACTGGAACAAATTGCAACCAGTGTGGCAACAACTGCCCATCCCAAGGGCAGAATGATACACAAATTCCAGAAAATGAACTCTTTGAATATGCATAATTTTGGGACTGGCAAAATCAATATGTACAACTGCTATTTAAAATTATTGTTAAGAGCATTTTTCATTTTCCCCATGGAGAAGTTAAAAAAACAAACAAACCACAGCTGACATGCATGATAACAAAAAACAAAACCCATACAAAAATAAGGAGACAAAATCTATGACAGAAACAGTTATAACTGCAAACAAAGCAAGTTTTGAACCAATGATAGGGCACAGCATAGTGACTTTTCAGATAGTGGAACCAAACTACATAATTAGTTGAAAGGCTGATATTTCAAGGCTTTAATGGGCTGGGCCCATTCAAAGAAGGTACAGGGGTACCTTGGAAGTTGAATGGAATCTGTTCCGGAAGTCTGTTCGACTTCCAAAATGTTCGGAAACCAAGGCGCAGCTTCAGATTGGCTGCAGGAAGCTCCTGCAGCTAATCAGAAAGCTGTGGAAGCCGTGTTGGATGTTTGGGTTCCAAAGAACGTTTGCAAACCGGAACACACACTTCTAGGTTTGTGGCGTTCAGGAGCCAAAACGTTCCGACTCGCAAGGCGTTCAGGATCAAAGGTACGTTCGGGATCCAAGGCATAGGGAGTCAACAGAGGCTCCTGAGGGAAGAAGGGGGTTGGTTTTCACAAATTCCGCCTTTGCCACCCCCAGTTTCACTCTCCATACTTCAGAGCATGGGTAGGCAAACTAAGGCCTGGGGGCCGGATCCGGCCCAATCGCCTTCTAAATCCGGCCTGCGGACGGTCTGGGAATCAGCAAGTTTTTACATGAGTAGAATGTGTCCTTTTATTTAAAATGCATCTCTGGGTTATTTGTGGGGTATAAGAATTCATTCATTCCCCCCCCAATAGTCCGGCCCCCCACAAGGTCTGAAGGACAGTTGACTGGCCCCCTGCTGAAAAGGTTTGCTGGCCCCTGCTTCAGAGAGTTCCATGATCCAACAGAGCAGCTTTTCAGGGGGTATACAGGGCTCTGCAGGGAGCATCCCATGAAAGTTCTGTTTAGTCTGGATCCAAGACAAGATTTGCATTTTTTTCAGGCTGTTATATGTTAATCTTTCAAGACTTTGGGCACACTCGATGAGCCTCAGTAAGCAGAAAGTGGTTTAGCTCTGCCTATTCTGACTTTAACGTGGTACATAATCAGCTGTGAGAAAATCCCATGCCTTGTGAAATTGCTGAGGAACGGAAGCAGAATATGATGCCTTTCACTTATACTTTGCTTTATACAAAGTCCCCTGTCCCAAGACACTGAAAAAAGTCTTTACCAAGCACTGTTTGCAACTAACTAGGTCAGTTCAGGAGTGTGATTCGATAGCTTACTAAGGATTAGCAACATTTGCATTTCCAGTTTGTATGGGAGAACCAAAAGTTGGAAAGTGTTACATTAGCACTGCACGCTCAGGCAATTTATTGTCTATAAGTCTGCCTTCCAGAAATAAGAAACCATCTTCAATGTAAACTGTCTCCCAAACTTCATTTGTAGAGAACTTGGAGTCTCGATTCAGTCTAGGGCAGGCAAACCTGGCCCTCCAGATGTTTTGGGACTACAACTCCCATCATCCCTACCTAACAGGAACAGTGGTCAGGGAAGATGGGAACTGTAGACTCAAAACATCTGGAGGCCTGAGTTTGCCTATGCCTGGTATAGGGTATATTTTGTTTTTTAAAGGCTACAGTAGAAAAAGTAGTAACTCCATGACTCACCAACATTCTCCTCAGACAGCCTTAAGATTTCCTGGAACTGTGGTTTTACCTAAAAAATAGTTATGAAGTAAAAGAAAACCATTAGTTTAAAAACTGAGAAGGATATATTGCTGATGAGTATTTATTAAGATGTTCTTAGTGGGCAAGGTCTCCCTCACGCTCTAAAACATGCATATACACAGGGGGGAAAACCTGCTTAGTAAAGGTAAGCTAGATGCCTGTCAAGTGCTTTCCAGACCTTTAATCTGGCATGTGAGCAACTTTTTGATCCTAACATTCCATTAGAGATATGAAACACATAAATTGTTTCTATTCTGCATTATCCCATCCAGATGTGAATATGTTTACCTTTGTATTTGTGAAGATTTTCCCAAATGTTCTGCAAAGGCGCCAGAAAAATCTTGAGAATTCATGTACACAGGCTGTTGAGGCTACATTGATTTTGCCAACTATTTCTATAAGTTGCGGCAACCTGGAAAATCAGGTTAAAAATAAGTCACTTTTCAGATAATAGGTTTGTAATACTGTAAGCAAGCTGATCCTTTTTCCTGACAAGTCCAATATTTTGGGGAGCTTTGGCACAATACATTTAATAGTGCAAACATGAATCCTTCAGCATTCAGACCTGGGTGGCTCCCAACAGAATATTAAAAACACGATAAAACATCAAACATGAAAAACTTCTAAACAGGGCTGCCTTCAGATGTTTTCTAAAAGTCAGATAGTTATACTGAGAAGGCCCCCTGCCTGGTTCCCTGTAACCTCACTTCTCACGCTGAAGGAACCGCAAGAAGGCCATCAGAGCTGGACTTCAGTGTCTCAGCTGAACAATGGGGGTGCTATAATTATTGATCTATACCATTTAAAGCAAAATTTCTAAAACAATGTATGCTGTCAGTAACTGCAAAATAGTAGCATTAAAGAAAAACGCTAAAGCTGATTAAAAACATTGGGTCCCCCTCACCACACAATTATTCAGAGGAATTAGCAAGTGAAACAAGTCAGAAGGAACTCACAGTTGATTGACAACCCACAGTAAGGTATCCCAGCCTGTGGTACCCTCGTGTTCCAACTGGTAATCATAAAGTTGTAATAGCACAGCCAATTGTTCACGGCTTCCAATTATAGTGGCTACATCCTGAAGAGGCGATGCAGGCCTTGGGAATCTAGTCACTGGCAGCAAATGACAAACCACCATGGTCAAAGTTTTACACTCCTTGTGCATTAACATAATGAAAATTGAGAAGCAATCGACATGCCTAACTATAGGCACTTTCACCTAATAAAGTAAGTAGGGAAAAGACCTACCCATAGTCCATTAAATCATAAGGTAAAAGATGATTTGGGGATTTAGTCCCAGAGATTCTACGAGAACTAAACCAATCTAAATCCTAATTCTGTGGCTCAACTCTTGATACCTAGGAAGTTATGCATCCTTACCTTCAAGATGCGGTTACTGTAATGTGCTGTACATGGATTTCCCTGTGAAGAGTTTTTAGAGGCTATAGCTAGTATACAAGTTGTTGGATCATTCTCTAATAAACTAGAATTCTAGAACTGGGATCCAGAACATGACACCCATGGGTTCCATAGCACCCTTCGGCAGCCCTTCCCCCATTGGCACCCTTTTCATTTTGTTCCCATGAGTTAGTCTTATCATTTTACCTGTTGGGAAAATTGTCTATATTTTGTTTCAGGGCGTGCAGGTGTTTTGCTTGGGGCTCGAGATTACCTATAATGTATGCAAAACAGCTATGAGCCTCAAGTCAGGGGATATATAAGGAGAAGGCATTATGACCACCACCTGCCAAATCAAGGGGTCTGATTCTGCCCTTTACTTCACCAGGAGAAGTACTGGGCCTTTACATGGGTTTTGCAGCTGGCAATGAATACATCAGAAATTGATAGGAATAAACCAATCTCCCTATAGATACTACTCATCTAAAGTGTCAACAATGCTTCCTACATGTAGAATTATAAGTTTTCTTTTGTAGTAGTGAAAAAAAAGAGTTCACATTTCAACAACTTCTTGAACCAGAAGTCTTCAAGCTACATGGAGAGCAAGCTTGCTGCACTGCATTCACCTGCACAGCATTTCTATGGAATATTATTTTAAAGTTGATGTGAAATGAAAATAAATGTGACCCTATTTCAAAATAAACCCTCACAGAGAATGATCAAGAAGTTACCTTCAATCTGTGGAATTTCACCCTGAAGCTTAGCTTTGCTTGTAAAAGGTGCGTTCTGTAGCACTAGTGCAAAAAGCGAAGGAATCAAGGACTGCAAAGCAGAAAGATACATGTGCAGCTTGTGTTCATCAAGTCCATGCTCGCCTTCCTGAAATGCAAACAGGGAATCCAAGTGAAAATCTTGCTCCTTTGTTCTCAAGGTGCTTATCCATTCAAAATGAGCTTCTGAATAATTAAAAAGCCATTAACGAGAATCTATCAGAGAGAGACTAGAAAGGGGACGACAGATAAAGGCAAAGGGGTTTTGTATCAGGTTTTTCTCCAGAAACCCAACTATCGACCCGATGCATTCATGACACTTATAATCGTCTTTCTTGCAAGGTGGAACAAAAGGTCTCACGTGATCTCCCGGTTTGACTCTAGAGACCCAGAGAAGTTTAGATTCAGCAAGGTTGCCGCACCAATGTGCCTTCAGTTCAAACCATGACAAACTAAATGAAGCAAAACACTGTGGGCACAATTCAAGACAACGTTAACCACCTCAAATCTCAATGATCCCGGTAAGAATGATTCCAGTATGTACTTAACTCAGTCCATAGGAGCCAACTCCTAGGGGTTGTGGGGGCTTTGCCCCCCATAAAATATTTGAGGGGGCCGAACCCCCCCCCCCAGTTGAAGGGCATTGCCAATCAAACGGTGTGCATGCACCACATCATGTGATTATGTGGGGTGGGGCTTACCTGACCCACCTCACTTTTTAATTCAAGTCAGCACCCCTGACTCAGTTGGACTTTAAAGTGCTTAACTTTGGATTGTGCCTACTGTCATTTCTCATACAGCATCCCAGTTCTACTACAGACTCCTAATCTCACAGCAACTGGCATGAGTCAGAGAGAGAGAAGAATGAACTTCCAATGTGAAAATCTGAAAAAATGTCCTAGAAACGTGCAACGTATTCAGACTCTTCATACGAATACCAAGACAGCAGAGGGAAAAACACTTTCAAAAGTTTAAGAATTCCAGCATTTCTTGATAGATAGCAAAACATACAGCAAAAGACAGTCATCAGCAAGTAACCAGATGATCAAACTCTAGACATACATAGTAGCAGCAGCAGCAGCAGCAGCAAGTTAACACTGTAGATAAAATGCCCTTTAAATGACATGGCAACATGAACATTATAAAAAAGTGATCTGCAGAATAGTCCAAACAACCAGTTGTGATGGTGTTGAATGTTACCGATTCTAATAAGTGGGGGGCGGGGGGAGATTAAAATATTTATATGAGCTGTATCTTTGCTTATTCAAGAGGCACAAAAAACAGTGAGTATGAGACACCTTTAATATTTACCCTGAGTAGTTTTTCAATTTTACTAAGCAATGTAGGTATAAGATGAGACTGCAAATTTCCTAGTTCTGTGGTCCAGGCAGCATAGGCAGGTAAAAACACTTGATGAGTTGCACCAACTACTCGTTCTGAGGGATCACCCAACGCTGAAAGTAGTAGTTCAAAACCCTGGTAAGAAAGAAACAGACCATTTAGGAGAGTTATGTTTACTTTGCTTAAGCATTCCAGGCACCCTCAAGATAAGCAAGTGTCTATCTTGAATTTGATGAAAAGGCGCTTACAGTGGTTCAAGTTAATTCAAAAAGTTCCACAACTATTTGGAATAGATGCCGCAACACCATAGCAACGCCATTAGTGTCAGGGGGCTAAATTTGTTAAAGTTAAATGAGCATGCAGAAAAGTTAGGTGAACTATACAACTGGATAAGTCATTCAATACTTGCCTAAGCAGCCAAGGTACCCATAGGTATTACAACTAAAAAATCACAGATCTTTGAACACCAGTTCACAGTCAAAATAATGAAAATTCTTCAGTGATTTTACAGAATGTTCCCTCTCTCTTCTGCCAGCTTGCTCTTTTTTTTGCTAACACACGACAAGATATTTTCAGAGCCCAAAAGTTAGATCACATCTCAAAATGCTGATGATGTTAAAAATAGCCCAGGGTATTTTGGGGGGATTAGTTTGGTAAATACTTCCTGGTGATTTTTCAGACTTTGTTCATAATCACATGATCTAGCAACTGTCCTGTCATGTATTATTATCAGATACAATACCTGTTGGTATTTGTCCGGATCATCAATGTACCCCATGATGATACCAAGGCTTTTGATCACAGCTTCTCGCACCAAATCTGTCTTATCTTCCATCAACATCTGCTGTAACATGGAAAGTACCAACGAACTTCGAATCTCTTTCTGAAAGAGAAAATTAGTATTTGCTGGAATTACATTACATAAACCTGGAAACGTAAGACCAATAATATCATATACATCTATGCTATCTTTTACAGTTTATTATAAACAGAGTGATGGCAGCTAATCTTGATGGCAAAATAATCTGGTAGAATAAGCCATTTTAGGCCTAAACCTGCAAGAAATCCAATATATGCATTTAGAATGCATTGGGGGGGGGGCACATTGGTTGGGATTAGTTCTGCACATATTGTTTCCCAAAAGGCCACATTGCTTTGTTCTATGTGAACATTACCAATTGCTACAACTGAAGTAGTTGGCCAGGATCCAAAATGACTGGATGGATTCCTTTCCTTAGGTCTTTAGACTTCTTGTTCCAGAGTAGCAGTCTAGGATGCCCTACGGCTAAACAATTTTTGAATAGGAGCTTCAAAAGCAGTTGGTGGTATGACATGGTGTTCTGCTGCTCCAAAACAAAAACATGGTGGGCCAGTAAAAACCAGGAAGAGGGGGACTGTACTAAGTGGCTCTTCAGAATCTGGCCATTGTTTTAACCTCTTCAATGAGTCTTAAATTTAGATACATATTAACTGCAAACAGAACACTTACAGGAAGATAAGGTGCTAATGCTCCACAGGACTCTGCCACTAACAGCCGTCTTTCTGGATATTTGTGATTGATCTGTAGGAAGGAAAAGTCACTCCTTTCATTTTTTTGCTTATAATTCCGTCCTGTATTTCTCGGTTTCAAAAGCCAGCATGTAAAGGATATGAGGCTGCTGCTATTTACTATGCCACCACAGGCTTCCATTCACAAACCATAGTCAGGATGCACAGTATGCCTTGAACCTGGAATTCTTATGTTTCCAGAAAGGAAACATAGCTTTGCTGCTGAGGTCTGGTGAAGACATTAGACACTTTCATAACATCCCCATAAAGGGAAGAAGTCTAGGCCAGGCAGCAGATTTTATCAGCTCCTGAGAGGCGCATCAATGGTCTGGCCAAACTGTTGGGGTCAGTCTAACTCCACTTTCCCAGAGACTATTCAGCACCCTGCAGGTCCTGAGCTAAGACAGAAGGAAGCCCCGGGCTAGCAGCTTACGTCAGTACAGGCAAATCCCCATTTACACATGTTTGATATGTATGCAACTGTTTATATGCACATTGCGCCAAACCTGGAAGTGACACAGAAACGTCATAAAAGACGTCACTAAAAGAGGAGAGCGGGGGCATAGCAAAGCAGGGGTAGAATGGGGGCAGGTTTTTTCAATTATGTGCAATTTCACGGATGCACACAATGACCCATAACGCTACCCCTATGCAAACTGAGGGTTGCCTGTAGTCAGCATGGAAAGAACAGAATTGATCTATATTTTATACCATTTATTTGTTTAGGATTTTAATACTATAAACCATTTTGGCTTTACAACTGGCAGAAAGGTGCTATATGCATGCAAAAAATAAATAATAAACTCCTATTAATAAAGCTTTGTCACTTGACCACTGCTAACCCTTAGGAGAATTTCATGGGTTAGCACAATACATGACTTAAGAACAGTTTCTTCTTCTGTTTACTTGAACTGGCACCTTCAACCTCAGATCTTCCTAACCTATAGGTGAGATGCTCATGGATTGCCCACCCAGATTGCTCTTGGCTTTTGCTTTCCTTTACAATTACAATTCTTAGAAGTATATGCTATTTAATATATTGTAAACCACTGTTGACAAGACCACAGTTGCTGGTAAACTGCAGAAATTTTTTTTGGGCCCCGGTATCCCATGAAGTAAATAAAGATTATCTCCTATTACCTGCTCCCAACATTGTGGTAAAAGTTCTGCTTCTACACGTGTTGGTCCAACATGCCGAGCAAATGCTACACATCCAGTCAGAATCATTTGCCTATAAAATAAAAATCTTCAGCCTATTACATTGAAACATGCTTGTACAACAACCACACATATGCCTAAAAGGAGATATAACAGACTGAATGGTCTGCATAGAAAATGGCATCTGGCGTGCGCTGCGAGCAATTAGTTACTGACAATCACGTCACTGATGGTTCATTAAACACGACATTTTCCAAGTATGAAAATAATTTCCATGAAGCGAGAAGTGTTCACTTGCACTGCGTTTTGTACATGGTTGTGCTTAAACATCACTATCGGGCAGTCATTGGACACAAGCGCTTCCTGGTTAGAATTCTAGCAGCAATATTCACACAACACTTGGTAAGTGACCATGTAGAGGAGGAAAAATGTCTTGTAAGAAGTGGCCCTCAATTATAAAACTAGTCAACAAAGGTGAATGTAGATTATACAGATCAAGCAAACTAAGAGAAGCTAAATACAGTGGTACCTTGGGTTAAGTACTTAATTCGTTCCAGAGGTCCGTTCTTAACCTGAAACTGTACTTAACCTGAAGCACCACTTTAGCTAATGGGACCTCCTGCTGCCGCTGTGCCGCCGGAGCACAAATTCTGTTCTCATCCTGAAGCAAAGTTCTTAACCTGAAGCACTATTTCTGGGTTAGCGGAGTCTGTAACCTGAAGCGTATGCAACCTGAAGTGTATGTAACCCGAGGTACCACTGTATTGCTTTTGTAGAGAGGCAGAAGCCTTAAAAAGTACACAAACTGACTGTTATAAAATCTCTAGGGGGGAAAAAATCAGTCCTTGAGAAGCCTAAATGATTTAATGAACATGTTCAATATCTGGAATTGTTGCTACAAAGACAAAGAAACTTTCAATGCAGAGTATAGCTAATCTTCTGCTTCCTTCTAGCAGATACAGCTATACCTGCTACTTTCCTATAATTAAATTTAAAAAGAATCCACAAAATACAGAACCTAACTACCATCCCATTAATATTAGGCAGGTGTCTTCACTTTACTGTTTTCAGCAGCTGCTAAAAACCTGCGTTTCCCCAAGCCTACCTAGGTAGGTAATTTTATTACACATGATTGTTTTTAAATTGCTTATTTATATTTTGATAACAGTTTAACTTTTTTTAAAAAAAGAATTAATTATTAGGGAGCAATCCTATAGAGCAATCCATCAGGACTAGCGGAGTTTAGAATCTCTGGCTAAGCCACGAGGTTCCCGGTACAGTTGGGCTATGCCAGTGTAATTCCTCATCCTTGTCTTAGCAGGAGATAGGCTGGAGTATCTGCCCCATCCTGGTTCAGCCAGGAGCCTGGTGTATCTTAAACTGGTTTATGTCCTGAAAAAGGGCTGTTCTGGAGTGGGAAACAAGGGATGGGGACTTAGGCTGCATCCTAAATGCACTCAGCATGATCATATAACCTCAAAACCGGACGGAATTTATGCCAGTTAAATGGGGGTTGTAACTCAAACTCTTATTTAAAGGCTCAGCACAAAGGAGTATGGCTAAGGCTTATTTTATCCTTGCTTAACACCAGCTTCCAGTGCACAAGATTGCCCTGTCAGGCACAGGAGGATACTAGTCCTCTAATTTATTATTGTGTCATACTGCTTTAAAGATTAAGTTCTGACTGAAGAGTTTACAGATGGCTCTATACAGCAAAGCCAAGAAAACTGCTCAGAGTTTTCACTTTGACCATTCCTCAGTTAATTATTACAATCTCATGAGACCCAGCCTGCTGTTTCCAGACTTGAGTATGAAGTTCTTAATGCACTTCTGAACCCAGGCTCCAATTTCAACTTGCAGAGTTGTTTCCAAACTCTGTGCAAGTCAAAGGCCATTCACGCAATGGGGCTTTCCTGTTGTTCACAGTGCACCCCCCCTGAGGCCCTAAAAAGACACCCCTGGGGTCACAAGACCGTCAAATCTGTATATATGGACATGTACTGTCAGCTTGTTTTCAATAATCAGTTAGGAAGGAGCAGGCATGGGAGAGGTGAATGAGAATTTTGAATTGAGTTCACCTGATCCACACTTCCCAGACTGAAGTCCAGATTTGAACACGGGTCTTCCCTGGAACCTGGACTCCCCTAGATTCTACTCCTACTTATGAGGTGTCAGAGGGCTGGCTCTCTTCTTTGTACAGCACATTGTGGCATATACAGTATTCAGCTCCTCCTGTGAGAGGCAGGTACAGATTGACGTCCTGTCACTCTCAGGGAAATTGTATGAAAAAAACATGGGAGGCAGCTTTGTATGTCTCTTAAAAAGTATTTTAAAGTGCTTTTAAAACGACTTTTGCAAATTGAAAATCTGTGCAGGTTCTAAGTATTTTTTCCTTTAAAATCTTCACAGGAATGGATTTATCAAGGAGTCAGAACTGTACCAGGCCTGAACAGACTTGTATGCCACTAGGAGAGAGGGGGGAAAGAGCGAGAATCAGATGTCAGCCTGCAGGGTTCCTTCTGCCATCCCCGTCACAGCCTTAAATGGCAAGAGAATCAGGCTTAGTTCTTAACCAGGCCTGGTCTGTACCAATTCAGACTACAGTTGGGGGCTCACGTGGCTGAACAACCTCAAACCCTTTATTCAGTCTAAGACACTAAATCACTGAAGGGCAAAAATATTGAGGAGAGGAGGCACTTTTCTGAGCCTCAATGGTGACTGAAATCTTTGAAAATGAAAATGTTATCCTTGCCTGCGCTTCCCATCCTGCCTAAGGTTCTATTTTTTAACAGCCTGCATGCAAGCAACTTCTATCTGTTGGACTGTACAGATTTCACGAGGAATATTACCGTATTTTTCACTCGATAACACGCACCCGACCATAACACGCATGTAGTTTTTAGAGGAGGAAAACAAGAAAAAAAATATTCTACACGAAACAGTGGATGTATGATTTTTGTAGTTCATGCTGTGGCCACAGACATGTGATCTGATGGGGAGTTTGGGGTAGCCCAATGCAAAAATCCTGAGGATCCATATGGATCCATGTTTGTAAACCACGTTTTTGCACCACTGCGGCCCCAGGCAACAGTGGGTGCGTGATTTTTGTGTGTGCAAACTGTAGCCATGGACATGCTATGTGATCTGATGGTGAATTTGGGGTGACCCAGTGCAAAAATCCTGAGGATCCATGTGGATCTGTGCTTTGTAACCACGTTTTAAGTGGGGAGGGAAGGAAAAGCACTCAAGGGACAAGGAGCACGCGTGGAGCAAGCTCTGCTTCTCTCCCTCCCCCCCCCCCTTAGCGAGCTGAAAAACTTTGCTGGAGGGACAGAGAGCCTGCTTGCTTTTTACTCGTGTAAGCGGCTCCTGTCCGGTAGGCTCCTTTAAAGCAAGCAGGTTCTGCTTCTCTCCCTCCCCCCCCCCGCCCTTAGCGAGCTGAAAATCTTTCCTGCTATTTCCAGCAAAGCGGGAGAAGAGCCGCTGAGTGGGGACGAGAGAGATACAGAGAGCCTGGTTGCTTTAAAGGAGCCAACCAGACAGGAGCTGCTTACACTCGTGTAAGTGGCTCCTCTCCCCTCCCGCTTTGCTCCTTTAAAGAAGCAGGCACTCTGTCCCTCTCTCCTCCCCATTCAGCGGCTCTTCTCCCGCTGGAAACCACGGAGGAAGGAAGCATTCGCTCCGTAACACGCACAGACATTTCCCCTTACTTTCTAGGAGGAAAAAAATGCGTGTAATGAAGCGAAAACTACGGTACGTTGTCACTCTGGCCTAGAGGCAAAATCTCTATTCCACCCGTGGGAATTTCCCTAAGCCACGCTTTTGCTCTGAACCTTCCTCAAGTGTTTATGCCTGGCTAGAATGTGTACTTCGATGCTTTGCTGCACGTAAAGAGGTGTGTTCAGAAACCTGACTTTTGAAGGCTAGAAGGTAGCCTACCATACATCCATTGCTCCTCTAGTTTAGAAAGGCTCCCCACCTCTGTTGTAACAGAACAGGCAATGTATAAGTGAATGACTGCTGACTGCTAATAATAATAATACAGTGGTACCTCGGGTTACATATGCTTCAGGTTACAGACGCTTCAGGTGACAGACTCCGCTAACCCAGAAATAGTACCTCAGGTTAAGAACTTTGCTTCAGGATGAGAACAGAAATCGCGTGGCAGCGGGAGGCCCCATTAGCTAAAGTGGTGCTTCAGGTTAAGAACAGTTTCAGGTTAAGAACGGACCTCCAGAACGAATTAAGTTCTTAACCTGAGGTACCACTGTAATAAATAATAATAATAATAATAATAATAATAATAATAATAAATGGCAATCTTCACAGAACTTTAGCCTAATGGTTGCCATCAATTTGAGTTGAATTAATTTTAATGAAATGATTTTAGAATGTTGTATTATTTTATTGTTGTTAGCCGCCCTGAGCCCGGCTTCGGCTGGGGAGGGCGGGATATAAATAAAATTTAATAATAATAATAATAATAATAATAATAATAATAATAATTTATTTATACCTCGCCCATCTGGCTGGGTTTCCCCAACCATTCTGGGCGGCTGCCCAGAGATACTATGTTCCTATTTTACTAAAAGCCTGCAACAAGAAAAGTAGTTAATAGCCTTCAAATTTCAAAAAAGAAAAGTGTTTCCCACACATCAAAGACACACCTTTGCTCATCATCTGGCCTTTTGATCAAGTTGAACAATATGTGTAGGAGCTGATCTCTCTCTTTGGGTTCAGGATGGAGGCAAGCTGTACACAGTATGAGGGGTATCAGTTCCTAAAGGTGCGAGTGGGAGGGAAAGGTGAAAAGCTATCAAACAACGGCCTAGAAAACATTTAAAACCATAAAGTAAAATAAGATCTAGTTAATCTACGACCAGCATGAGCACAATTAGCTTGCATATTGATTTCTCATAGAATCACAAGTTGTAAAATAACACATGTTCTGTTTATAGGTTCTAATAGCACCAATAAGACTGTGCTACAAATGCTTATGTTTATTATCGATATGTTTCCTTACTGAAGTTGAAGAAAAGAAATTGGTTTAGTTTTTTGTTTAGTTTTTTTAAAAAACACAAACGAAAGATGAGGCTAAGCAAACACAGAAAAAAATATTTGGTGTTACGCACTGACTGCCAGAAAGTAACTTCAATCCAATTATTCCAGGCCTATCATGGAATACCGTGTGAACCTAGGCTGCTCCATGAATTAAGCTGATGTCCCCAGAGCAAATAGGATAGTCCCTACTAGTTCCCATAGAGAGTGAATGTACACACACACACTTTCTACCTACCTATCCCTATAAACACAAACGTTTTACATATTATACACACATACGCACACTATTTAAAGAAAGTTAGTGAGATGACATGACTCAAATGCTTTGAACTATCCACTGATAGCTGCCACACATTTTCCCTAACACAATTATGCCAGTTTAACAGGTTTAGTCTGCTCTACAACCTACTAAGACCAGGGACGTGGGTGGCGCTGTGGTGTAAACCACTGAGCCTTGGGCTTGCCAATCAGAAGGTTGGCGGTTAGAATCCCCTTGAGCTCCCATTGTTCGGCCCCAGCTCCTGCCAACCTAGCAGTTTGAAAGCACATCAAAGTGCAAGTAGATAAATAGGTACCGCTCTGGCGGAAAGGTAAACAGCGTTTCCGTGCGCTGCTCTGGTTTTGCCAGAAGCGGCTTAGTCATGCTGGCCACATGGCCCGGAAGAACTGTCTGCGGATGAACGTCGGCTCCCTCGGCCAGTAAAGCGAGATGAGCGCCGCAACCCCAGAGCTGTTTGCGACTGGACTTAGCGGTCAGGGGTCCTTTACCTTTACTTTTTACAACCTACTAAAACCAGAATTCTGAGGTTCCGGGCAATTCATATCTGTGCACATTCTGCCCACAAAAGCAACAAAGTAAGTGCAAAGATTACGCAGATTTTCCTAGTTCCTGATTGTTTTTCCTGCAATGTATCTAAACATTCGGCATCTGCAGCTGGAGGACTACAGTAGCTTTGCACTAGCTTTTACACTTAATTGAAACTGAACTGTGGCCTGGTCTTGAAATAAAATGTAAGCAGCTGTAACTTTTCTTTCCAGGCACACGTCCCAAATCTTTACAATGGAAGATTTTGTGAACCAATTTTAATTTCATGTCTTATTGGTAAAATGAAAAGAGAAAGAACCACCAACAATACTTCAGAAATACAAAAAGGTGACTCACACTAAACTTGGAAAATGTACAACAATTTATTATAATGTTTTATTTTCCTCGTCAGCAATTCTGGGTTGACACTCATCTATGGTTGTTGCTGTTTTTATGCCATGGCACCATTCATCCCAAACCAACTAATTACTTTTTTTTACTCTTTTTGATAGTTACCGCTATGCTAGGTATGACATACAAAGGCTAATCTTATCAGTAGGTTACCTTTTGCTTCAGTATTCTGACTGTTCCAAACTGTGTTATAAATGGGATTTTCACTAACAAAATGGGGAGGCACTGGCGTCTTAAGGGAAGCCCAATTATTGAGCAGGGGGGAAGGGAGAAAGAGAAAGAGAGAATCTGTCCTGCCTCAATAGCTGTATGTATACATTGGGTTAAGCCTAAAGAACCGGGTAATTTTTATAGAATTTTTCAAGGCAATCTGAGCCTTGATACAAAATGCTTGCCCGTGTTATTGCATTCTTCCTAAGATATCTGGGCTCTGAAGGACAAACCAAAAATGGAGCAGCTGCAAACAAGTGAAGTGAAGACAATCGAAGAATGGATAATATAGTTTAAGAGAGCTAAGAGAGCTTTAAAAATAAGCCAAAACGAACAAGGTCACCCTCCACCCTCTTAGGTTTGGCCAGATAAAACACACAATTATTTTACACATAGATTTGGAGAGCCAGGAAGAAGCTATGATGGATAATATAAGAACAGAGAATAGTGATGATGACTTTTGTACTAAAAAAACAGCAAGTAGATTTTTTGTGAACTATGAAGGCTTCATTGCATAAAAGAACATAAAATATGGATATTTTGGAACACATTTAAATATGAATGAGCGGCGTCAGGAAAGGCCTGCTATGCAAAGTGAGTTCTATCTAGATGTGAGAAAGGTGACAGGATGTACACAATATCAGTATTAGATACAAGGTTGATGAGTTTTGTACTTATGCTCAAGTTCTGACTGACATTCAAATTTAATTGATCCATACGGTTTTTTTAAATTGAAATTTTGAATGCCTGCTGATGTTGATAAAGGGAACATAGCAATACTTAAGTCACTGGCTTTAATGTATTTTAGCTTTGCCTGTTATTATCATTTTACATAGCTCAAATATTTAACTTCCTGTACAAGGGGTAAGGTAATGGGTGGCGAGGAGGGCACCAAGGAGAAGTAGCAAATTTTAAAATATAAATAAAAAGTTGATCAAGTGGGGAAATATTGATCAACCATATATTCCTGATAAATGATGAAAAAGACGAACACTGAAACTAAATTAATTGTAAAAACAAAGCAACTACATTATTTATTATTATTTGCCTCACATTATTGATTTTCTAGGTGACAGGCACATGAACATGCAGGAAAAAACACTGCAAGGGAGAAAACCATTCTAAGAAGCTGGCAATGATTTGCTATACCTCTATCATTTACCTTCTATCTTTTAAAATGTATCATTTAACCTTCTCTTTTATAGACCGAATGCGGTGGAACTTGCACCTGAGAAAACATGCACAACACTGCATACCATTTTACTGTACAATCAGGAGGATACGAGTATTTATTTCAATGCATTATTTTAAAGTGGTATGCCCAGGGCATACTTTATGAAATATTCTTTGGGTTGGGAGAATATCTGAAACTGAAGCTGCATGTTAAAATGCATATGGTAGCAGTGCCTAATAATAATACAGTGGTGCCTCGCAAGACGAAATTAATCCGTTCCGCGAGTCTCTTCGTCTTGCAGTTTTTTCGTCTTGCGAAGCACGGCTATTAGCGGCTTTGCGGCTATTAACGGCTTAGCGGCTTTAAGAAAAAGGAAACAAACTCGCAAGAAGTCTTGCGGCAAGCCATAGGGAAATTCGTCTTGCGGAACGACTCAAAAAACGCAAAACCCTTTCGTCTAGCGAGTTTTTCGTCTTGCGATGCATTCGTCTTGCGGGGCACCACTGTAATAATAATGTGAAGGTGGAGGTGTAAAGTCATTGAGAGTAGAACAGAAGTAAGTGCCAGTGAACCAGAAGCTATAATGCATTAAAAGGAAACTGGAGGTACTGGAGGTAGAAAAGATTTTGAATCTGTTAATTTCTGCAAGAATATCAGTCATTCTGAAGGTATCAACTTTTAACAATTGGTTATTTAAAGTTTGTCACACAATGGTATTAATAAAAATGATTTCTTGAATAAGATTTGAGGATAGCTCAGGTATATTCATTTATTTATGGAATGCATTTATATGCTACTGGAAGTTGCAACTTGTATACCAAACTTCTACTTAAGAACGCAAAAGCAACTGGTAATTCATCATGTATGAAGATGCCTGTTAAAAAACTAATAAATCCAGTTGTGGCATCAGATGCCCTTATCCGAGGCAGCTTTTGGATGCTAACGTGCATCATGCCAGGGCTTATTATAAACTAGCATTCAGTTTCTGGCAAGTCATTTGTAATTTATGTGTCAGCCAAGAGCTTCCTACAAGGATATTTAATGTTACTGTCCAATCATTTTGAATGGGCATTGAAAAGTGTGGGGGTTTTTTAAGCATGCTGAGTAAAAAACAAACGCTAAACAGTTTTACTGATGAATCCAACAAAAGAGTCTATTTTGATGGTTAATCACTGGCACATTGTTAAAATATTCAGCACAACAGAAGCTGCAAATGATTGCTCAAGTTTCACTACAGGATCTAAAGAGCTATTTTAGGCACATCCATTTTGAATTTTTTTCTTCGTGACCAGCAAATCTCCTTTCCACAAACTTCTTCTGAAAGTTTTCATTGCTTTCAAAAACTATTCATGTGACATGGGGGCTGCTGTTTAGTATACAAAAACAAATCCTATTTGAGTATGTGGAACTATGTATATGCATGTATATGCTGTAAAGGAATTTTTTTTTTTAATCAACACTTTAAAAAATTGAAAATCGGAAGCTTTTGAAAATGAGTTTGAGTCCCTCCTCACTCAAAAGTTTAAAGAGGATGACTGAATGAGAGCGGTCAATCTATACCTAGGTATCAGCTTACTATTCTTTGCAAGGTTGTTTCATTTGATCCAAATTGGTAGATATGGAGCGGATACAAGGCTATTGCTTTTACCTTGCAGAAAGCTGGAAATTGTATCAGATGGAATTAGCTGTGTGTCCACGTCCGTGGGTCATATTCTTTCATGTACACTATGGGATTGGAGGTTCTCTGCATCGCTGCATCTGTGCTTCTAAACTTCCTTCTATCAATGGGAGTGGAGAGACAATGAGAAATCTTCTTGAGCAGATATGTCCTACTGCATGTTCCATGTATTGTTAATGAAAGGGAGAGAAGAGGGAGGACAGTTGGAGGGGGACAAGGGTATTTCTCGAGTGCAGAAGGTATGGAGCAAGAGCGTAATACAGACTACCTACACTACATGAGGCGGGAGGCGGGTGGCATTGTGGGTTAAACCACAGAGCCTAGGACATGCCGATCAGAAGGTTGGTGGTTCGAACCCCCGTGACGGGGTGAGCTCCCATTGCTCGGTCCCTGCTCCTGCCAACCTAGCAGTTCAAAAGCACGTCAAAAGTGCAAGTAGCTAAATAGGTACCGCTCCAGTGGGAAGGTAAACGGCGTTTCCGTGCGCTGCTCTGGTTCGCCAGAAGCAGCTTAGTCATGCTGGCCACATGACCTGGAAGCTGTACGCCGGCTCCCTCGGCCAATAAAGCGAGATGAGCGCTGCAACCCCAGAGTCGGTCACGACTGGACCTAATGGTCAGGGGTCACTTTACCTTTACACTACATGTAGACTGAACAAAAGGCTTTAAGTAAATAATAATCCTCCCAAGAAAGAGATAGCATATAGCTGAACTAAGTGTGTTGCACTCCTAGGCAGCCTTACCTGGAAGCAGTTCTCAGCGGCTTGCTTAGGCTGGAAAATGCAAGACTGCCGATCTGCTAAGAAGGATACGGATGGAGTCCTTTGGGATTTTAGGTCTAAAGATCTGGCTGGAGGTTTATTCATGAAGCTGGAATGTCTGAAGTGCATGTGCATAATAAGTACTTTAACAGAATTTCTATTTAAAATATGTATGAAACTCCGATAGTAACGGGCGCATTCTGCGATAGGGAGTTTTACTATTGCAAGCATTTTCTGAGCTCTTGTTGCAGTACACTGCGCCTAAGATTTCAATTCAAATTGGCACTGCTGGAGCTGAGGGTGGCAGCGGCGGAACTGCTCCCTGCCAGCCCCACGTTAAAGAGATCGCTGAAGCTGAACTTCAAAGAGACCCGCGTCTCAGCTGGCTTCCTGCCTGCCTGGTCTGTAAGGGGAGGGTGGGTGAGGGCGAAGGGCGGCGAGGCTGCAGAAATCCCCCTGCCAGACCCTGTGCCGCTGTGGATGCTGCCGAGGCACTGCTTGGGGCTGTTGCCCGTAGCCCCATCGGTGCTGCAAATGCAGAGCTGCTTGTAGCTCCAAACAACCCTGCAGACCCAAACAACCCTCTCACTCCACAGGGCAGCAGCAGGAGTGATCTTGATGCCACCGCCTTCTCTTCCTCCTATTCTCCCTCCCTCTGTTAGGCGAAGCTTCCCCTCTCCCCATCCCTCTACATGGCTGGGTGGGGAAGCGAAACCTCACCTCAGTGAAGCTGCCCCTTTAGGGAAGGGGAAGAAAGGGAGGCTTTGCCCGACAGAGGGAGGGAGAATAGGAGGAGGAGAAGGTGGTGGCAGCGGGATCACTCCTGCCGCTGCCTCGGGAAGCGAGGGGGTCGCGGGTGGTTTTGCAGCCACACCGCCGCCGAAGTGCCGAAGTTGTTTAAGAAGTTGGAGCAGCACAACGAACAGCTCCGCATATGTGGCCCCGAGCCTCCCGCTGTCCCCTGCCACTGCCAGGAGCAGCCCGAGATGCGCCTCCTTTAGTGCCGCACGAGCCAGGAGATCTGTCGGGCAACGCGGCACAAATGCGACAAGGAATTGTGTTTCAGCGCCCCACAACCCAGGTTTCAGGCGCTATGTAGCACCTTGCTTTTCTTTCCCAGTTTCTTGGAAAAAAGAATGAAATAAATAACTCTGATAACATAAAAACTATAGGTTTCAAATGGTCAAGAAAAGAGGCTTTAATTTAAGTGTCACACTTGACTTTAAGGGACGCGGGTGGCGCTGTGGGTTAAACCACAGAGTCTAGGACTTGCCGATCAGAAGGTCGGTGGTTCGAATCCCCGCAATGGGGTGAGCTCCTGTTGCTTGGTCCCTGCTTCTGCCAACCTAGCAGTTTGAAAGCACGTTAAAAGTGCAAGTAGATAAATAGGTACTGCTCCGGCAGGAAGGTAAATGGTGTTTCCATGCGCTGCTCTGGTTCGCCAGAAGCGGCTTAGTCATGCTGGCCACATGACCCGGAAGCTGTATGCCGGCTCCCTTGGCCAATAAAGCGAGATGAGCGCCGCAACCCCAGAGTCGGCCACGACTTGTCTTAATGGTCAGGGGTCCCTTTACCTTTACTTGACTTTACTGGGAAAGAATACAATGTTTCCCAAAGGAATGAAGTGTGCTTCTTCTTTAAGCTTTACATTGTCTATTATGCGATGAAGTCTTCCTTGGCCATACCTACAATCTTCTCATTTGCCTCTGTTTCCTCAGGTTCTCTAACTACAACACACTGCAAAATTCCTCGCCAGAAGAACTAATAATTCCCCAATCCACTTTGCTCTAAAGGGGAAACATGAATAATCTAGGGGTGTTTTCTTTTCTTCCACAATGCTGCTCACGTGCCAGAAGATAATGGCCCAAACCACCAAAACAGGTTTTCTGATACAGTATCGACAAATACAAGATTGCACCTAGATGGACCATTCAATTTAGTAAAGCACCCGTCTGAACAACTTATTAAATAACTATTTACGCCAAGCTGTAACACTTTAACTATTCTTTGGTCTGGGTCACACATCATGAACCATGGCTTAGTGTGAATGTGAGGTTTCTTTCTGGGAAAGGAGATCACAGCTGCTTTGCTCCTTTCTGATTGTTTTGCTGCTGCGCTGAGCTAAGTCACAGTTCAGCTTAGTATGTCATCTGAACCTGGGCTCACAGTTTAGCTGTCCTGGAAAACCACAACCATACAGTATTGGACAAATCTTGGTTGAGGCTCATGGTTCGTCTGGAGAGAGCTAACCCCGGTTCAGACAACGTGGGAGTCCATGTCTTTGCCTTAAGCCATTGCCTTAAAGTCCTATTGAATTCACAGAACTAGTTCCATGCTACTTTTGCTCCCTGTGACCAGATCCCTGTAAATATATTGATCTATACCATTAATAATATAATTCTGCTTCTCATGAAATCAGAACAACCTAACATGTATTGTCATATTATTCATATTCTGTTGAACTTTGAAGTAGTACACCCATGTGGTATGTTTTGAAATGGGTACTATATTGCAATAAACTCAACATTGCTCTGACTTTCTCGGGCATGTAACTAATCCGGGAAAAGTAAACATTAAGAACCTAGTTATTCAATCGTTCACTCACATAATGTACACATGTTTATATACACAACAATTAGTATTGGAGTGTAATATAAAAACAGAAGGTGTATTATTTGTTGAAATTATGCCAAATGAGGGAAACTGAAATAAAAATATGGGCCTCATGTTTGTGCACAAGTAGGCTCCAACACAAACCATTAGTATTTCTTTTCTTCTAAATTCAGCATTTTGCCAAATATATTCTACTTTTTTAAAAAAAGGTTTACATGCAAGCACAAGGTTCTAACGTAAGACATTTCATATCTAAAACACAGATAGTAACTTGAACGAATGTTTATGTAGTTATTATTTCCACAAATTTTGCAAGGGAAAAGTAAGCAGGAGGTAGGCTGCAGAAATCTTACACTAACTCCAAGTGTAACTAGGAGCTGCAAAGAGAAGCTCAGGTAGCACCCCGCCAAGCCAAACGGCAAGAGTCAGAAATTAGTAACTGATCCTGGAACACATCTTATACAGTTGTTTTTCTATCACAACTTAAACAGAATCATTAGTTTAGTCCATAAGGTATACAGTTTATAGACTTAAATGCTGCATGCAATTGTAGAATTTCAATGTATCTAATGAAAAGTTTATAGACATATGGAGGTTGCTAAGTCATTGTAACGGAGGGATCAGTACACATTTCTTGACTTGGTTGCCTTTTCATACAGCCCCCAAGGGCTAAAATGCCAATCGCATTACTATTTCTCTAGATTAATAGGTAAAGCCAAGCTGGCTGGAAAAGCAATTCCTAACCAAAAACAAAACACACACAACCGCCTCATCTTCAGCTCATGTCATTCTTTATAATATGCATTAGAAAGTTCTGTCAATAAGGGCCAAATCCCAGACCACTAAAGTACCTACAAGAAGAATCATCCTTTTAGTATGATGTGACTCACATCACAGCAGGTACGGTGAACCTGCTCCCCACCAGGTGTCGGACTGTAACTTCCACCATCCCTGATCATAGGCCATGCTGGCTGGGGATGATGGGAACTGGAGTCCCATAACATCTGGAAGGCACCAGGTTTCCTATCCCTGCATTATAATCTACATTGTAAAAGTGACAGCATATCATCCCTTGAATCCCAAGCACTGGAAGTGCCTTGCCCAATGGAGGAAAGGCACAATGCCTAGCTTTCCAGAAGTGGCGTTGCTGCTGCTTACCAGGAGGGAAAAGGGTGAGGCAGCCTGCTTGTTGACAGTACACCAGACTGGCTCTGCTGTTGCGCTCAGATTGTACCAGCTTCTCTGATTCCTACCACTCAGTAAGCAGCAGTGTCTCCACGGCCGGGAAGTTTATGTCGCAGCTCTGTCCTGCTGGGTGAGTTGCTTCTGCCAAATGCTATTCAATTCTAAGGACATTCTTCTTGTAAAACTTGTATAGGCACAACAATATTTGTAGCTCTATTTGCTTTTTACCAGCATATATTCTGCTTTACAAGAAATAAAGCTATATAACTTACTTCCCTTACAAGGGACTCCTAATGTTTGGCTCTTTTCGCAATGAATTCTAGTGCAGAAGTATTCCCCCTTCCCCTTGAAATCTGCTGTGGTCCAGATGTTCAGTGCCAGATGAATCAAGCGACTGGGGAGCATCTTGTAATCTTTGCCTTCTTTCCACCCCCTGGACCTCTTATGCCTGTCGCTGGGAGCCAACAGTTGCAAGCCATGTCAATGGTAACTTGGATAAAGAATTCCTATCTAGTTAGGGACTAACGTCCTGATTGTTTTACTGTATTTTAAACATATTGTAAGCTGCCTTGAGAACCTCTGTTAATTATATATGTATTGTTTTAAATTATACATATATAATTCTCATCGATGTTAAGAGGCTAATTCACCCCAATTCAATATTATAACTCTGCTTTGACACACAGAAGCACTAGAAGTGGGTTTAGCTAACACAAGTAAGCAAACTGAAGGGCAAAACAGATGGACTCACAATAACAGCCCCGCAGAGTGCCATCAAGGATCTTAAGCAAAAGGACAAAGAGTAGGATATCATGCTGTTTTGCTAAACTCACCTGGCAGAGGTGCACAACCATTCTCTAGGAGCAGAGATGCATGCACAAAAGTAATAAGATGATTGCAAGTAATCGACTTCAACATAATAAACACTACTAACTTCTCAATAAACAGAAATTGTTGCATAAAATTGAAATAAAAATGTCTGGACTTCTCACCTCTCGCTTTGCAAGCAGGACATTAGGAACGATATGCGGCAAGCAACGTCCAAGCATCAGCATGACGCTTTTTTCACTATCAGCAATTCGGGACACCTGGAAGTGCAATTTTGATTTAAAAGAGAAAGAAAAAGAAATAATATGCTGCAATGGCATTTATGCAATTCTTAAGGTAAATTAAGAAATCAGTCATGTCTTGTTTTCCGTCCCAGAAATCAGCACACAACAGGATACTGGGTTGACATGCTCATTTTAAACGTCTTGAAACCAAAAGACACAAAAGTTATCTGTGTAGGCTAACACATGAGGAGCAGTATAACTCCATCTGAGTAATACAACTGGAGCCACCCCCATTTCAACAATGGCACTTGTTGAGGTTACTGGGTGTGTCTGCCAAAGCTAATAACCAGTCCAAAGATTCTAAAATCTCCTCTATGGAGCTACATAAGCAACGGGCCAGAAGTCTGCTGGAGTATTAAAAATTCAGCAATATGGTCTCCTCAGCCTGGATGTTACGACTCATCAAGATTTAACATTTTCCAAAAAGGACATATACCTCTGATCCCAAACGGCTCTCTGCTGACATTTGACAGAAAGACAGCAATGCTTGATGGAACGCATGTGACAGCTTCCTGCAGTAGTTGGGGCGTGGGGAGAAATAGAAGACAGTTGGATAACTGATATTAGTAGCATGCCTCTTTGACTCACAACTGACAGCTACAGAACACAGTGTGTGTGTGTGTGTGTGTGTGTGTGTGTGTGTGTGTGCATGCTGCTAGAATTCTAAACTGCTTTACAGATTAGCCAAAAACCTCTCAAATGCTACTCCTACACTATCATACAGATTATATTACTCGACTGAGAAAACTAGTTTCCACGAGAAACCAAAAGCTTGCCCACTGATGTGAACAGATTTTTAAAATACAAAACAGCAACAACATTTCAGTTTTATCTATTTCTTGATTATTTCATTTACATCCCAACTTTCCTCCAAGGAGCTCAAGGTGGCATACACGGCTCCTTTCCTTTCCCATTTTATCCTCACAACAACAACAACAACAACAACAACGAGAAGTACACTAAGCTTGGACAAGTTACCAAGAAGGAAAATGTAATTAACAACTGCTATCTTTTGAGTTACCTGTCTTGTTTATAAATTTCATATTGCGCTTTTCTTCTTACAGTGCAACCCAACCCAACTTACAAAGGCATTTTACCAGGGGAAGGGAGTGCTACACATGTCTGTTGAAAAGATGAAAGCTATGTTTCTCAATGCAACAGAACGTTCCAAAATGGAAACAAGAACCATTCGTAATTTATGTAAACTAGGATTAAGATTCAAATGGATTTTACTAAAATGCCACCCTAATTATGCTTGCATGTAATGTGCTGGGGAGGGGGGAAGAATCAAAATCAATATGGTCCATCAAAATCCTCAGATCTTACAATGTTGGATAGAAATGGTTATCTGCCTACTACAAACCAAATGGGGAAACTGACTTTGGTAATATTATGAGCCAATTATATTTCAGTCTTTTGATACAAATGTAGCAATTTTCAAATTTGGGTTTTTACAAAGAGCGTTCAGGAAGCAGTCCTGATTTCAAGGAGGTATCTCAAATTGCTTATGAGTAAATTATTCATTTCAAAAAGAAAGCTCATTATCAAGTCCCACTTAAAGTATATTCAACACTATTATTTTGAGGCTCAGGGTGAGAAACACATATTACGAAGTCTTTTAAAAATGCTATACATGAACATTACCAGTAAGGCATGAAAACCTGTAGTGTGACTGCACATTTTCTTGAGATAAAAGATGAGCACCAGTATCTATAAGCTCATGATGTTATATGGACTAGATCACTGGTCTAACTGGTGGGTCACGACCCACTAGCGGGTCATCGCCTGATCCCAAGGGGGTCACAACAGGAGCACCATCACCATGCAAATATATGGTAAAAGACTTAAGAACTGGATCCCCCAATGCATGTTTGGGTTAAACGTGGATCCTGGGTCTGAAAAGGTCTGAAGCTACCTGGCCAAGATGAAAGAACAAAAGGAACACGAGACAGCCTCATTGTGGCTGCATCCAAATGTCAAACAAACCACCTTTCATCTCAAAGCTAGGGCCTCAACATACTTGCAGCAGGCATAACCATCTGTTTTAATAGGGGTGCTGGCGGTGGCTGGGATTCAAATCTCTGACCTGTGATACAAAGAAGCAATATGTACATGCAGGAATGAAGTGTTTATGCAACTAGAGCCCCATCTTTGAATCCTGCAGCAGCAGTTTCCATGGCTGGAGAAGTGAACCATGAACCTTTTTATTTTATTTTAATGACCATCACAGTCAGTGTTTAAATGGTAGGAATGCAAGCAAGTTGGATACACAATGCAGGAGCATCAGTGATCAGGTCAGCACTGGGAAGGTAGGCAGGAGAGATACTGTTAGCTTCACGCATGGAAATTTCCCATGTCAGAAGGGGGAAAACCCAAATGCTTAGGGGGGGTGCACTAAAAATTCAGATCCCTCATACACTTGTTAAATCTGCCCTGCACAGCAAGTGAAACATTAAAAGAATCTTACAACATTGGTATTATTTTACTGGAAAAAGAATAAGCCACTAACCGATTGGGTTTATCGAAGTGTATGGCAGCTTTATTTGATGGAGGACAAGATGGAAGTTTTTCTCTTTCCTTCAAAGGAAGAGAAATTCTCATATCTTCTTTAGGAGGTCTTTTCTCTTCAGTGTCACCATGCTGACCATCATTAAGCGAACTCTGGATATCTAAATATCTCCCGTTATCGTCTGGGACTGTGAGAGGCACTTGAGCTAAAGATGACTGGACTGAATCGAATATCACTGGAACAGGAGTTTTTTCATTTCTTAAGTACTCTATCTCACTGAAAAGAGGGAGGCAGGACATAAAGGATTGGAATTAAGAAACAAGTTAGTAAGTAAACCACTTCCAGTAACCTAAAATATATATTAACAGGTTTTCCAAATGTGTTCCAGGTCATATACAAAACCTATTTCAGAAGCTTAGGAAATGAAACTGGAAGGTTTTCAAAAAATTATTTATTAAGCCTAGGAATAGGGAACTTGTGGCCCTCCAAATGTTGTGTTATAATTCCCAATCTGGGAATTGGAATCTAATCTTCGGAGGACCACAGACTCCGCAACCCTTCTGTAGCCATTAAAACCCTATCTTTCCATGATAAAAATCATACTGAAGGGAGCATGTAGCACCCTTGTTCATATGTAATGCTTAGCCAAGTCATGGCTTAACCCAAATGAGCAAATGTGAGGACTCCTAAATACAAGACCATGGCCACTTTCCTCCTCCCCAGTTATTTATCTGTATTGCTGAGCTAAGCCATGGCTTGGCTTAGTATGTGGTCTGAAACCAGGCTCATGGTTTAACTCTCCCAGATAAACCACAAGCTACAAGGCATAGGACAAACCTTAGTTACACTTCATAGGAATAAAACTTAGCAGTTTTCTACTGGAATAAATTTGCCGTAAGAGCTTATAAGTAAGGAACAGTGATCATTCCTTCTTGGGACCAGCTGCTGTGGGAAGGCTCCCTGGGACTTCGTGTTCTAGGATACAATGGTTGGTGGTATCGAAAGCTGTTAGTTTGAAAATAGCAACTAAACCACATTGGTAAGCAAAGTGGTTTCTTAAGCAGCATAATTCAATGTCTGGCCTATTCAATGCAATTTAGGGCACAAATGAAACAAAGTTAGGCACGCTTAACGGTACCATTAAGATCAACAAGACACAAGAAGTTACAAAGTCAAGTAAATATTGAATTGTTTACCATTTATGTTGTAACTGAGATGACTACTGAGCATTTAAGTGATTCATTTATTTATCTGTGCCATCCGCCTTTTCCGAGACTATAAAATGCCAAGTAACTTCCCATTTGCTAAAAAGCACATAGTCTACAATGCTGGAGGATATACCTTTCAAGCCTTCGTATTTGTTCCAGCAGAGACCACTTCTCGGTGCTTAACACATTAATTTGATCTTCCAATTTCTGCACCATTACACATTGCTAAAGGGGGAGAAAACATAAAGGGGGGGAGAGAGGAAATAATTTATCACACTGCATTTTGGTAGCAGGTTTTAAACTGACAAAAGTGAATGATGTTTGTCTACCTCTATAGATTCTGGTGTTCCAAATATAGGAATGTTCTCTAGAATAGGAGTGGTTGCATCAAATTCATCCTCTTCCGGGCCAACTGCTACATCTACAACATCTTTTGAAGTTACTTGGTGGTTCCCAAAGTCACGGTAGAGTTGTAGCAAGTCTGGAGGCTTTGGAATGTTCAGTCCTACGTCATCCCATAATTCAAAATCCTTTAGAAGTGTAAAAGCAGAAGATTAATTGTTAACTTCCCTTCTCATCCCGTCAAGTATTGTTATGAGTTGACCTTGGTTAGACATAAGCATGCGCATGCCTGTGTGTGTATGCGCAAGCTTGGTGTTTCTTTCAGAAGGCTGAAGACAGGAGCTATATGACTTCTGAGATGCAACAGACTGGAAAAATAAGACAGATGGGGGAGGGTTGAAGGAAACAGATGTCCAACATGGACCAGACAGCCAGATTCTTAAACTGAACCCCAAAATAAGCCATGCTGTGGAAATCCCCTTTATAAGCAAAAATCAGCATGGCAGACAGGATCCTGGCACCTTAGGGGGAAATCCCCAGTAAGAAGCAAGAGACCATGTCAACATTTGCCAAAAAAGGAGGGGGGAAATTGCTGAGTGGAAGACAGAGGGCGAGCTGAAAAACTTGACCAGATATGGCTCCAGAATTAGAGGGAGAAGTGGCCATCAGGCCCCATAAAAGGCCACCCGACAGTAAAGTTGGAGATTGACAAAGAAGCCCAAAGAAGTGTTATAACACCTGAACTCTGGCCTTGTATCAGCTAGCTATCCTGGGTATGGCTGTCCCAAGTCTATAGGGAGGTTTCAGGAATGAGAAAAGAAAAAAAGGACAATTTCACCTGCAAATCTCCCCCACTCCTCGGTTCTAAGGTTACAGAGATGGCTGCCACCAAGTTAAAAAAAACACAAAAATGTCTTCCTCCCACGCTAATCAGGGAAGGTGGCCTTTCTCATCTCTATTCTCCTTCTCTAGAACCCTCTCTCTGTGCTTTAAAGAAGTCCCAGGCTGGCAGCCAGATCCACACCTGAACGTTTCAGCACTTAACAGAATAGCAATGGAATATTTTAGGAGTGAGGGGGCGAACACCTGCTCCACCTGAAGACTTATCTCCTCTATGAGTCCTGAACAGTACTAGAAAGTTCATGTTCCAAGCTGGCTGCAGCCCTGAAGGGGGAGCACCACTGTCAGGAGCTGGTGATAGACAGATGTATTTTGTTGTGGGCCTCCATTTGTGGTTTACTATTTCCTGCTCTGACCAAAACAATAAGCCTGCACCAGTCTCTCCTACATATGAGTCACTATACAAATATTGTTTGGAAACTAGGCTCAAGAATTACCAAGTGCTTGGAAAGGTAAGTGGGGAAACGACAAGCTGTAACGGAATTATTATTCAAACTTACCTGATCATCACTTTCATCTGAAAAAGTTATTGAAGTAAGCTTGTAGCTGTTCTTTAATAAAAATTCATTGACTAAGAAGTTTAGAGCTCTTTTTTCAAGAGGTTTAATTGGTTCCTAGGAAAAAGAAGGAAGTTATGTAAGAGATGTAAATACTCTCATTAGAATATTTATTCTATCATTATCATATGTATTAAGATAGCAGCTCAGTCATGTCTAGATATCACAGAGTAGTTTACACGGTGTACTCAACAAGCTAATTGTGTAGTGTGTCTGTCTGTCTGTCTATGTATGTATGTATCTATTTATCTATCTATATCTATCTACAGGCAAACAGCCCCCACACCACCTACAAGTTTTACTGCAATCAAGGAGTATATAAATATTGCTTTTTTTATTATAAAAAAGGCTATTGGCTAACTGCTGGTAGACGATAACAGCAAATAATAGGGTGTGTCCCCCCTCCCCAGTCCAAACTACCCACCTGAATTTCAGGACTTGATTTGTAATTTCTCCGTTCCTGCAAAGGAACTTCATTTTCTGCAAACAGCAATATATAAAAAAATATTATTCTCCATTTTGTGAGGCATCACCTACTGCTATTTTGTCAAAATGAAAAAAAAAAAAAACGAAGGAAAAGGTTTATGTACACCACCTGCAGCCTGAGTCAGGTTGGCTCGGAGGGCCTGAATGGTCTCCTTTGCTTTCCGTAGTTCAAACTCCAGGACTGGACAAGGATTTGGATTAAACATACACAGGCATCCAACCAAGAATAGGGAAACAAAAATGAAATATAAAAAAGCAAGGATGGGTGTGAAAATAAAATACAATTTGTATTAAAGACAAAGCATGCAATCTTTATGGAACTCATGAACGCATGCAGCAGAGTTAGACTGAAGCAAACTGGTGAACATTTTCCATAATTAAAGTCTAACCTTAATGAATAACTTAAGCTGTCTGACAAGGAATGCTATAGGCTTTAAGCAGAATATTGTACCACTTTGGAAAGCTTGAAAGATTTTCCTTACAAGGCATTAATGACGACTAATACTTTAAAGTTGAAAAAGAGAAGTGTGAAGATGAGCGTGACTTGCTTTGAGGGACTGGGATGAATTTGAAATACAACTTTCATCAACAAAATGGAATTATCAGCAACTACACAGGTTATAATCTACATTTTTACAGCTACTGGAGGCAGCTCTATGTTTTTCTATGTGGCATGATGTTTTTTGGAGCAGCTTATCAGTGGGCTGGTTCTACTCCTTACGCCACTTTAAATTTTGCTAGAGACACATGTAATAATTTTCCAAACAAAACATTTGTTCCATCATTTAGACAAGATGAGATAATTTAACATTTATGAATTGCTTTCTGCCACAGCACTTTGAACAATATGTAAGTAGATCCAATTTATCAAATATCTCAGAACTGGAACTTACATTGATTGAGTTAAGGGGTTAGAATTCACTCTGGACATTTGTAATTAACATTTAACACTATCAACATATAATAATCTGGGGGAAATTATAGGTGGTATTCAACTAATTTGGAGCCACTGAAATTAATGAACATATTTAAGTTAGTTCCATTAACTTCAATGGGCCTACTCTGGGTAAAACCTAGTTGACTACAGTCCTGTATTTTTTAGGTAATTACTTAAAATCTTTATATTGGAATAACCTAGGTTGTGCCAAAAAAGCAGGTGCTGTTTTCTTGGAGCCTTTCACCCCTGGATAATGTATGGCGATAACTGTATTTTATGGATGAATTTGTGTAATATGTTGGTAGTAAGTGTGTATGGGAAAAAGATTCACTCAGTTTGCATTTTTCTTCTTTAAAAACAGAATGGGTAGTTAGAGTACATCACATCTACTACATGGAAAGAACTTGTTTGATGCACAGAACTTTACTGCAGAACTACGAAAGCACAACTGAGGATCTGATGAGAAAGTGAAAAAAATCTGTAGGAATCAGCAATGCTGATCTGCAAATATTTCTGTGCAACAAAGTCTGAAAACAATGTTGAGACTTTCTACTGATTAATAAATTAATTCTGTAGAAGCAGCCAGCATTAGCACAATTTGGTTAACCTTGGCTTTTTGAAAAGTTACTCAACTTGTAGATGAATTGAGTTTAAATTAAAAGGTTCTTCCTTTAAAAGATATAAAAATAGTTTGTTACAGAACAATTGCAGATCAGAAATGCCCTGCAACATGATGATAAAAATGTTCAAAAAAAGATAGCAAGAACACAAATTGTAGAGAAGCTCAGGAATTCCAGTAAGGAAACTAATGTTCAACAGCAAGACATATCACCAAGGGCACAGAAAGCCAGAAAAACCATATCACATAAACCCATGTCAGACGGCAAAGTCTTTCTATTATCTAATTAACAGCTCTGAAATACACTAAACAACCAGTGTAACTTAACATTGTGTACTTAATTTTACCATTAAAACAGTTTACTCTGCTGCATGGTTTCTCTTCAGACATTTAACATTTTAATCCAGCTAGTATATATATGTATTATAGATATTCAACAATATATCAAGCATGACTGGCTGAAATAAAAACAGATGGTTGGCTCCAGACTAACAGGACAATCCTATACATGTCTACTCAGAATCAAGCACTGAGTTCAATGAGACTTACTCCCAGGAAGGTGTTATAGGATTGCACCCTAAAGTTAGATTCCGATGGGGCAAGCAAAAGCACAACTAACTTTGTCTGGTTCCAACCCACATATTCTAGTAAAAAAAAAAGTCATTGTTTTTATTACAATTTAATGAGCTATTTTCATTCTTTTCAGGTAAAAATATGACAGTGACTAGACTTCCCCCCCATTGATAATAATGACTTCATAACTGCAGCCCTGACTTTAGCAGAATCAAAAACAATAGAGTTTTGTTCCAGCTTTGACTAATATGTTTATTTCTCCATTAGCTTCTGAAAATTCAACTGATCAAGTTGGATGTAACCCAAAAACACTCTTGCTGCAATAAATATGTTAGGCTGGGATCCAGATGGTCTCTTGTGTGAGCAGAAAGTGCATCTGCTGCTAGCACAAGCTTCCAGTCTGCACCCATTCCCTGCTCCTTCCTCTAATATTCATGCTGCTTCAGAGGGCTCCTCTATCCTCTGGACTTCCCCATGTGCTTCTCTGGTTCCCGTCACATGCCTTTAAAGGTGCCCACAGGAGACTGTTAATTCTGTTGCAGCTAAAATAACACAGCTACCTCCCTGGAATTTGTAGCATGTCAAGTCTTCACAATAAGCATAACCACCTTAGGGGGAAAGGTGTAATCTCTGCCAACAGCAGATAAGGAACATGTGGTGAGGTGAACCATACTGGCATCATTGCAGCTTACCATCTCAACATTGGCATCATTGCTGCTTACCAGGCTGGGTTAGGGCTGGCCAGGAGCAGCATATTGCAACCCTGACTATGCCCTGCCCCCAACCCCATCCAGGTAAGCAGATGTTATGCCAGTACCCTGAGAGCAATTCTGACCCACCACAGGTTTTTAAATTGTTTCGTTGCAAACCAACCATAGCCAGCAAAGCAGTAGCCACCGTTTCCAAACCCTTTCTGACAACTGTGCCAGAGATGGAAGGGTGGGAGGAGCTGGAGGCTTCCTGTAGCTCATTCTCCATGGCCCAGTGGAGAATCCACTAGCCTAGTTTGGATGTCAACCTAAATCATAGTTCAGTGTGATAGCTAAACCAGGGCAGCGATTTCTCCATGGAGCTGTGAAGAAATTAAAGCCCCCTCACTTTTCTTTTTCTAAAGTATGTGAGGTAACAAAACTATTGCAGAAGACAGGCAACCAGTTGTTACACAACCACTAAGATCTTTTTATCAAGACAAAACCCATTCTTCTGTGGCTCTTAATGTTTGGCAAGTTCAAGATAAAACAGCATGACACTGCAACATTCAACCCAAGAAGTATACCATATTTTTCCATGTATAAGATGACCCCATGTATAAGATGACTGATGACCCCCCCCTTTTTTTGAACCTAAAATTAAGAAATCAATAATTTAAGCATCAAACAGAACAACTTTGAGCTTTTGGGAGTGGGAGGTCGCCCTCCAACAAAAAGTTGTTGAACTTTTTCGCGAAGGTTGCCCAAAGTTAGGGTTACCATATTTTAAGAGCCTGAGCCCAGGCCGCCCATACCAGTGCCTGGGGCCGAACTCCTGTGCATTCACAATCCATGTATAAGATGACCCCCAATTTTTGCCTAAATTTTTAAAGCAAAAAACATGGTTTATACATGGAAAAATATGATAATTCTGGAATGTTGACAATCTTTTTAAATGCAATATTCAGCCCTGAAAGTATTACGCTAGAATGTTGATCATATAAGGCTTTTGTCTTCACTATCAGTTTTAAAGAAATCAACTTTAAACATTTTTCATATTTGAATATTATCACAACTTCTAACCTATTTCATTTAGAATTGTACAACACAGTACACTGCTAGTCAGCCTGTTCACGCAAGTCTTTCTGGACCAATAAGGAAACCATTTAGCAGAAACATAAACAGCCATTAAAAGGTTTCATATTTAAAAGGACTTGTCTCTCAACAGCATTTTGTTCCTTACAAAACTAGATGCAGTAGTTGTCTTCAGCTTGACTTCAAATGCTATTGCTTTGTGACAATTATTACAGTGACAGAAAAAGACATAAAGCATAAAATGTATCAATGGAACTTTTTTAAAGAACAGGTTTTTTGTATTAAAAATAAAATAAATAAATCAACTAGCCAAAGAAGTACTGTTACAAATTTAATAAACCATTCAAAAATATTCCATGTTACTAGAAACTTTACAAAACATTAAACTTAAAAGGTAACTTTAAAAAATAAATGTGACACACCTAAAGACTATTTCCAAATAAAAATTCACTGAGCAACATCCACACAATAGTTTATTTTATATGAAATTTTGCTCACCAGCCAGCCGTTCATCTGTCTCCCTGTTGCCATCATCTGAATATCTTGCAAAGTCCAGTGAGTCAAGAGTGCTAATGCTTCCAGCTCGATCTAAAAATATTTAAGCAAACATTTGAGCTTTGTTTGTTCTCCCCATCCTGTACAAGGGTTCCCCAACTGAAGTTAGAGGCTGCACATGGCAAAGGACTTAAAAAAAGCTTTGGGTGGTATTCAACAAAGTTCTATTCAGAGTAGACCTACTTAAAATTAATGTATCCAAATTAGTCATGTTTATTCACTTCAATAGGCCTACTCCAAGTAAAATCTAGTTAAACGCTACCCTGGATGATCTTCCCATAACACAGTGCCAGATTTAAGTTATACCTGTTTTCCTCTCATTACCACAAAACATTTCACTGCCTGTTTGCCTCAACTCTCTCTCACAAAAATGTGTTCTCTTTGAGCATGATCTTCTATTTAGACAGGGAAAAGAATGAAAAGAAGTCAGTTTAGAGACAGGATTTACAGTATTGTAAGCATAGTAACAATTCCACAGAAAACAAGAGTTTATGCCGAATACCTATATATGACAGCTGTAAAGGGCTGGATATAAATCTAACAATAATAAGAGGAGTTTCCCCGATGATCAGGAAGAGGAAGAGGAAGACAGCAAGAAAAAAATATGGGGACAGGAATGTCTCAAATAGCAGCATGTTGCCTTTTAGGCTGCTTATACTACACCCATGTTTGAAACATACACAAATTCAGTGGTTAAAGAAAACACGCTAAGTGTAGAATTGCAACACAAGTTTGAAACCTATTTAAATGCAAAAAAGAAGAAAAGTCAATTCTGCACAGGAATTGTAACTCTAAACCAAGCCACGAAACAGGAGAAGGAACTGAGCTGTGAGTAACACCTGCATAAAACTAGTTAGAAACAGTTTAACAGAACTGTAAAGAAATTAAAAAGGGTAGGGAAATAAATCTCTTTGCAGTACCGTATTGGCCCAAAGATAAGCCAAACCTGCTAATAAGCCGCACCTTTAAAATTCAAGGGAGGGAAAAAAAAGACAATACCCAAATATAAGCCGCTACCTTAAAATTCTGCAGGCACTCACACCCATAAATGGCAAACGTAGAAGAAAATCCTATGGGTACCATTCTCTTGCGCTCCTGGGCTGCTTCCTGTGGGGTAGCCACGCTGCTTTGCTGGCGGCCTTCCCCCTGCTTTATTGCTGCACCCCCACTGGCCCTCGTGGTGGCATCCTGGGAGGCGGGGGGTGCTCTCCATTCCAGCCTTGGAAGGCAAGGCAGGAAGGCGGACCTAGGGCAGCTGTTTCAGCAGCGATATCGTAAGGTTGGGAATATAAACTGCACTATAACTTCACGGTCGGAATTTGGAAAAAAAGTGTGGCTTATATTCTGGCCAATACGGTAAGTGTGTTTTATACTGTAATATCTGAAACATTGTTTTATACTATGCAGTTAGCATGTTACACTCTAAGGTTTGTCTAGCTCAGTGTTTCTCAAACTTGGGTCCCCAGCTGTTGTTGGACTACAACTCCCATCATCTCTGACCACTGGTCTTGCTAGCTAGGGATGATGGGAGTTGTAGTCCAACAACCGCTGGTGACCCAAGTTTGAGGAACACTGGACTCTAGCTAAACAAGAAACTTAAAATTAAATGATTACATGGCTGGCTTCAAGGAGATCCGCTTCTTTTACTTCACTGGGCACAGAGTAGATGCAAAATATCAACTTCCTTTCTTAATAATATTTTACTAAGAACTATTTATGCATTACTCTGGGGGTGGGAGAACTGGAATACTTTATCAGGAAACTGGAAAAGAATCATAAACTGAGGGACAGACAAAACACATTATAGTAATAGAGTCGTACCTTGGATTCAGACGCCTTGCAAGTTGAACGTTTTGGCTCCTGAACGCTGCAAAACCGGAAGCAAGTGTTTCGGTCTGTGAACGTTCTTTGGAACCCAAACGTCCGACAGGGCTTCCGTGGCTTCCAATTGGCTACCGGAGCTTCCTGCAGCCAATCAGAAGCCGTGCTTTGGTTTCCGAACGTTTTAGAAGTCAAACGGACTTCCGGAACAGATTCCATTAGACTTCCAAGGTACGACTGTACTATTTCTGGGAGTGGTGGAGTATTATAGCTGTAATCGTATACACTTACTTAGGAGTAAATGGCACTGAAGTTAATGGGATGTGCCCATTGTAAATGCAAGAGCTGTATAGTCTTATAATTGTTAAGTAATCATACAGGTCTTAATACAGAACTAAATAATTTTTTAAAAAGATTTTTAAAAAGATACCATTATTCTGGTGCTATCAACAGGATGCACTGAAATCACAAAACTGCTCTCCATCTAAATTGCCAGTTTACTCTTCTGCTCCATCTATCCTATTTCCTATAATAATCTGTACTGAGTTGTTCTTTCTGTACCTTGGCCTGGATGTAGCTTGTTTCTTAAGTCAGCCTCTTGAACAGTTTCTGCCAAGCACAGAAACTCTCCAAACTTCCATATTCCTGGTCAACAGGTAGAACAAGTTTTTTTGAAATTACCATACTTCACAAAACTCCACACCTTTACTCTACACTGACTTGCTGCTATTATTAATGCCAGAGGTGACCGCTTCAAATCCGAGAAAAATAACGTGTTGATCAGTTGAGGAAAATTATGTGAAGTAAAAGGCACTAAGGAGATTTGGTAATTTTAATTAAATGAGAATAAGCAACTTTTCAAGAGTTTCCAAGAATGCAAACAAAACTGGCAGTAGAATTTATTTTCACAACACTTTGTCTTCCTGAAAACTTACAAGCTATCTTTATCACGTAGGGACTCCATTTAATGTTGATACAGTTGAAACAGATGTTAACATGCATTCAGTTTGCAAGATCTTTGATTACTGCGGTAGACACAAGTCTTCTGTCAGCACACAGGTGCGAAGTGCTTTTATTTTAAGACTATGGTGGGGTACCTTTTTGTGCTGGGTCTGTATTCCTTTGGGAGTGGGAAATCTCACAGGGACCACATACAAGAGGCAGATTGAGTCAGAGCTAGCAGTGGGCTATCCATCTTCTTTCAGTCACCTCGTCTTTCCCTACCACTGAAGATCTGTCATGCAGTAAAATGTCCCATTCTTTCAAATGGTTTATGTTCTCTATGTTTCATTGTGGCACACAGGAGATTTTTGAGGTCATGGGTCTGGCAGTGCATGGAGAAGGCAAACATCTCCCAAACTGCCTATTCAAAATCACTCTTACATATGCAGCAATATAGTTTAGGGGGGAAAGGTACTATCAGCATGAACAGGAACTTTCTTGGCTGCTGCTGCTGCTGCTAATGCTAATTTCTGCATGAGCATGACTAAGGACAAGAGGCTGTTGGTCAGCAGTTCTCCACCCTTGATTTAACAATTTGCAACTAAGGGAATATAAATAGCAGACATCTTTAAAAATATTCTGCAATTTATAGTCTTGTACAAGTCTGTCTGTGAATGCTCTCTTCCGCTTATCAGGAGGGAGTGACCATGAAACAAGCAGCTGTGGAGAAACATCAGGGGAGTGCAAAAGACTACCGTGACTGCTGCCAATCTGTGTGTATCTTCTAGTAGCTGTACACATTTATGAAGAGCATGTGTGTAGGGGCTGAATTTGATGTGTACTGCCAGCCTATGTACGTTCACACACACACCATCAGGAGGCAGCATTCAAAGTGAAGCGCTGCATTTTGCTTAGATAAAAATAGTGCAACACTATCATGGTTGCCAACCTTGGCCTACAACCATTGTGAGCAAGGAGGCAACAGGTTAAGCAGGCCCAAGCATTTGCCTTTTTATTCTTTTCTTCTTTTTTATTGATTTATCATAAACATATTGACCAAGCATTTGCCACTCAGCCTATTACTACTACCCACTGCAAGCAATTGCTAGGACAACTGCTACTTACCCCAGACAAATAGGCTGCTTTAGCTGTGGCTTCACTTGGCAGAAAAATCAATAATACCAGTGTTAAGATTGGGTTGCAAGAAAAAAAGTCTTTCCTAGTTATTAAATTGGTAAGCATGCGTTGAGACTCGAGTCCTAAATCTTTTCCCCCTCCAGTCCTTCTGTAATTCTGCATAATATGCCATTATGGGTTTGTGGACCAACTACTGAACTTTAGTGAAGAGATACTGAATTCAAATTATTCAGCACCCAATTTTATTAAAAATTATCAATCAAATATTTGATTCTCCATCAGACAATGCCTGATGGAGGCTTTTCAGTCTTTTCAGAAGAAACCTAAGCTTCTTGGAATGTTTTATACTGGACTTGGTGCACTGAATCAGTTTGGGAAGCTTTTTTTTTGGTGGGGGGACGGATCCAGAAAGTTTTATTTGACTAGAACTTTGATTACAATAAACCAAAATTAGTCTATCATAGAGTTACGACTTTTTTGATGCTGCAATGAAAATGAAAATGGAATGCAAAATGATTAACTGGCTGCATAATATGATGAACAAGAAGTAATAATTAAAACATTCAATCCTATTTAGGTGTGGTAGCTATGTAATAATCTAATGTCCTTCTTGAAGTACTAAGCTGGAATGATTTTAAATGAAGCCTTGTTTCTCAAGCTGAAAACATAATTCTACAGTAACAGCAGATAATCATGTGCTTTCCAGTGCAAACTTTTTAAAGTGGTTAATTATTCAACAACAGACTTGATTTCCCTTGCTAGAGTAATACTTGCACTTCTCTGGTTCTGTTTTAAGCTACTGTGCATATGAGGAGTAATTATATTTTCTTATTTCATGCTGGGAGTTGTTATCTGAGGCATCTCTGAGGAATATGAAACAGTTAAGCCCATCATTTCCCAAAATGTTCTGAAGTCCTTGAAGAAATGCAAGCCCTAGAATTTCTACAGTGCCTTTAACTCTGTTAAGCCTGGAATATGACTTTGGAGCCCTTCAGCTGTAATAACCATAATAGTGAACCATAGTCAGGATTAGAACAAGGGGAGTGGGGCAGAAAAGTGTCCCCGCATGCCCGCCTTGTGGGTTTAATAAATGAGGCTGGATTGCTGTGAACAAGAAATGGGGAGGGATAAAGAGACAACTCCTCACTTTTGCAAACACTTGTATTTCAGAAGCCCAAAGGAAGCAAGTGCTTAGTTTACTTTTCATGTTAGAATTAGAATGAGCGCAATTTTGATTAGTAATATCTGAAAGGTTATGCCCTAATCAAAATATGGAATACAAGAAGTTTCTTCCACATACATTCTTCTTAGATAGTCATTAGCTCTGGTCAAGTACACCTGAATTACAGACCAACACGGTAAATGCTGTAGAAGCATTTCCATTAGTACATCATTCTGCTGCTAGCTGTCCTGGGACAGAGTCAAAGCAGACAGTAACATACTAGAAGAAAATTGTCTAAAAGAAACAGAAAAGGGAACATACGCTACTCATTAAATGACACAAACACAATACATCTGAAATCTTACAAATATTTACTAACCATTACAACCCAACTTTAAAGGTAAAGGTAAAGGGACCCCTGACCATTAGGTCCAGTCGTGACCGACTCTGGGGTTGTGGCACTCATCTCGCTTTATTGGCCGAGGGAGCCGGCGTACAGCTTCCGGGTCATGTGGCCAGCATGACTGAGCCACTTCTGGCGAACCAGAGCAGCGCACGGAAACGCCATTTACCTTCCCACTGGAGCTATACCTATTTATCTACTTGCACTTGACGTGCTTTTCAAACTGCTAGGTTGGCAGGAGCTGGGACCGAGCAACGGGAGCTCACCCTGTCGCGGGGATTCGAACCGCCGACCTTCTGATCGGCAAGTCCTAGGCTCTGTGGTTTAACCCACAAACCCAACTTTACAGCATTTTAAACTACTACATACTGTTCATGCCTGCAGAGTATGAGTTACAGAAATGTGACAAATGCTGGCCTTAATGAGAATGGAATTTTAATAATTCTAAGCTAGAATCACCTACAAAAACACAGTAGCCGCTCAACAAAAATAGCACTTTTTCTGAATATAGTCTTGTTTTCCACTATTAGCACCTCGTTTCCATTCCTCGTTTCCATGATTAGTGCATAACTTCCAGATCTCCAGATAGAACAATGCTCAACCATATATTCTCCAAGTAAGCAATTGTAGGGGCAGAGAGGGCTGAATTGAGAGATCCTGAAATCCAGGTTTCCTCCATGTCAAAAACCAATGTCTAGAGAAAGAGGCAGTAGAACTGTGCTGCTGGCTTTGCTTGCTCTGTTCAATGTCTTGCGTGTCCACGCTGCCTGGACAGCCATGTGTTTCCATGAATTTACATATAACAAAATCTTAAACAAAAGCAGCTACTACCTCACTCCTTCAACACAATTGGGACCTGGAATCACCTATAATCATAGAATTGTAAAGTTGGAAGGGATTCCAAGGGTCATCTAGTCCAACCCCCTGCAATGCAGGGATCGCAACTAAGGCATCCATGACAAATGGCCATCCAACCTCTGCTTAAAAACCTCCAAGGAAGGAGAGTCAACAACCTCTTGAAGGACCTGTTCCACTCTTGAACAGTTATTACTGTCAGAAAGTTATTCCTGATGTTTAGTCAGAATCTCCTTCCTTGTAACCTGAAGCCATTGGTTTGGGTCCTACCCTCCAGAGAAAACCAGCTTGCTCCATCTTCCATGTGACAGCCCTTGAGATATCAGAAGATGGCTATCAGATCTCTGAGTCTCCTCTTTTTCAAGGCTAAACATACCCAGCTCCCTCAAACATTCCTCATAAGGCTTGGTTTTCAGATCCTTAATCATCTTGGTTGCCCATCTCTCTACTTGTTCCAGCTTGTCAATACCACATAGGGGTTCTGGCCTTTGTTAGGCTTTTGCTATGCCAGGGGTGAGGAACCTGTGGGCCAAATGCAATCCTGCAGGCCTCTCAATCTGACCTTCAGGACTCTTTCCAGGTCATACCCTTCACCAGCCCTGCACCAAGCTCTCCTTGAATGCTTTTACCTTGCTTGGAATATGTCCTTGAACTGTGATAATGCCTCTTGCTTGCCTGGATGGAAAGATATGTGCCTGAGTGTGAGTGTAGAAACTTCTGGCTTTTGAGTGACTGGAATGTAGCCAACTGTAAAGAGCCACATCCCTCATTCCATCCACGACTGACACGAGGCCCCCAGAAAGTTGCCCATGAGGCAATGTGGCCCTTGGGCTGAAAAAAGTATTCAATCCCTGTGCTAGACATAAATCCATGTCAACGCTGAGAAACCCAGAGGTGTGCTCAGGGCTATGGAAAACATCAGGGGCACAATCCTGTTGTCCCTTCTCCATGCACAGAATCTACACATGGAAAACCACAAGGCATTCTTAGCTGTGACAAAAAAGAGCATTTTTCCTCCTTCCTTCCTCCTGATTGCATGTGCAATGAAAATGTAAAACTTCCAGGCTCAGTCCAGAACAAACTGCAGTTCCCATGTTCCGATTTAACAGGAAACTGAGATTTCTTCAGAACTGGGAAGTGTTACTTCTTACCCTCACATGTGGAGGGAAGGGAGAGAGTGGTGTGATTCCACCTTCTGAAGTTAGTGCCAAAGCAATAAATGAAAAATTCACCCCTACTGGCATTCTTCCTATTTCAAAAGGAGCTTATAGTATAATTGAACATTTTTATAGGGTAAAATACCAAACAACATTTCTCCTTGGCTAAACCAAGAATGCCACCATAAATTCAAAAAGCTCCTGCTGCAAACACTGAATAAAACAACATCTCAGAAAATGTGACAGAGGTACCATATCTATTCTTCATTAATATGGTCTCAACCAAAACAATAATTTATGTTAATAAAGCTATCAAACGATGAGAATAACTGTACTTTCAGATCAGTATCACACCTGTATTTATGCCAACATGGTGCTAAAGACTGAAAGCAAAATAGCATTCAGTATAATTAGATATGAGGCTAGCTGCATTTGTAGCTCCTTGAGCAGTTTCCTAACCCCAAAATGTATCAAATAATAGACTCTGTCATTTGTGTCATACCACACTAATACTAGTGCAAAAATATATTGGTACTGCTACTAAGCATGGTTAACACCTCTAAATACTGGGGGGGAAACAGGAGTTATGTAACATAAGTAGCTTCAAGGACCATATGTTTCCATACTTGCTTTAGGAACAGGTATTTTAAGACAGAGTTTGGGTCCATTCCACCTATATAATTCTAAAAATTGATTCTTATAATTTGCTAGTAAACACATGTGTTAAGATCTGTTCATGGGAGTAAGTCTAACTTCTGAGAAGCATAATATGGAAGGAGAGAACAGACACGCAATTATAGCTTAACTTTTGTGACCCAGAAGATTTCAAGTTGCAATTTTCCAGTTTACAGATGGAAGCAATGCTCCCACCTGAGTTAGTTGATCATGAGAATGGAATAGTCACATGAACAGTGTTTCTGCAGATATCTGACCCCAGCATTTCATCAGAACTGACTAGGAGTTGTTCCCTCTTACGTCTAAGAATATAGATTAAGAGTCATAGCTGGAAAGAACAAAAATTGTTTCATATATTAATACTTCCCCTATGTACACTTGTCTTCCAAGCATCTGATAATGCTTGTTGAAATGCCAATGTGGATAGTTCTGTAACTCAGGAAGTTCTGAGACGTACTTGGGAAGTTCTCTCACTCTAACGTGTCTTATGATTAACCCAAGTTATTTTCATTTTATCCAGAACACAACATATTCCTACTGACCCTATAGATAAAACTAATACAATGGCACATGCAACAGCTTCTGTATGAGTATCTGTTTTATCTATATCCTGGCAATGGTAGAAACATTTCAATCAAATTTGAGTTTCTGCAGATACTTGTGCATACCCGAATGCTCACTGTATCTTTCCAACAAAATACACGGAAACCTGCTAATATTCACTTCCACAGGAATACCAATTTCCCAATTCAATGCCTCAGCGTCAGCCATGCCTCCATCATTAAACAAGACACCAACACTTATGGCAAATTATGTCAATAGCCACTTCTAGTACTTAAGGTACTGTTACATGGGTGCAATGAAACAACATCATGCCAGTTATTTGAAGGAACTAAACACAAAGCAAGTAATATGAACATAGTGTTTTCTATTTGGCCAACTACTATTGTGATATAAAGAGCAACATCCAATGATGACTGCCCACTTGCTCAATGGAAATCCACTTCACAAGGAGACTTCTAGTTTAGCCTTCTTCCCTGCTCCAGCACCTTGAATGCTCCCAACGTCTGCTCTGGAATGTTCCTCAGCCCTCCAAAGCAAATTCTGGAAGCACATGAAGGTTGTAGGAGGAAGAGGAGGAAGAAGAGGCCCCATTGCAAGAGCAGGAGCCTGGATCTAACCCAATGTTAGCTGGTTATGATTCCTTGGGTTTTCCTGATAACCCTGGCTTGGTGATTCAGCACCAAACTGCAAGTGACAGGGGAGTCAGTTTTCACTTTTATAAGATAGAAAGTGATTCAGAAGAACCCGACCCAACCCAACATCTAGCCTTGCAAAAAGAAAGCAAAACCCACACAGATCAGGAATAGTCATGGCTATTCTTGTCACCTCTGCAGATGTGTGAATAATCAGCACAGCCTGAGCTCATGATGATATGCTACTTGCAAGAATGAAAAAGATCAACATGTACATCCAATTCTATACTGTTAAAAACAGATGCTATAAGAAGATGGCAATGACTACAAGAATCTAGCATCATTAATGTTTAGAAGCAATAGCCTCTGACCTAGCAACCCTGTCAAAGTAATATACCTGCATGAGGGGTGATGACCTGCAACCCAACCTATACATATTTACTCAGAAGTAATTTCCATTGAGTTAAATGGGACTTATACCCAGGTAAGAATGCATAGGGTTCCAGTCTTAATAGTACTATCACACAATCCATCTTCCCATCTCAGCCAGGGAGTATCATCTAGTATCATCTCTCTCATCCCAGGAGAGCTGGGACCTAGGTGGCTGAGCAGATTTCAGAGGCTCTTAAATTGGGGCAAGCCCTGACAAACCAGCGTGGCAGAGGCAGGACCACAGAGGATGGGTCCTCAGCTCAGTCGTGTGACTTGGCAACCTGGCATTAAGTTAAGGCATCAAAAAGGGTGGTGCATCTCAAGCACTACTTTAAAAGTTTGTTTTCTCTCTACCAGGCTTAGGTGGGCTCCGCTAGCAATAGCCCCACTGCTGAACTGAGTAGCTTTGCGCCGGCTCATTCATACCAGCTCCTTGTTTACAGGACTGCTCCCTAAGTGTGGCAAACAACACCATGTTGACCAGGATTTTTTAAAAAGTATTTTTAGCAGGAACACGGAGAAACTGAGTTCCCTTACCTTTAAAAAATTTAATTATTTTTTTTTAGTGGGGGGGGGGCTGGAATGGATATATACCAATGCCTGAGCCAAATATCCACCTATATCTGTAATCCTGAAAGACATACACTGGCTCCCAGTACGTTTCCGAGCACAATTCACGGTGTTGGTGCTGACCTTTAAAGCACTAAACGGCCTCGGTCCAGTATACCCGAAGGAGCGTCTCCACCTCCATCGTTCTGCCCGGACACTGAAGTCTAGGGCAGAGGGCCTTCTAGCGGTTCCCTCGCTGCGAGAAGCCAAGTTACAGGGAACCAGGCAGAGGGCCTTCTCGGTAGTGGCACCCACCCTGTGGAACGCCCTCCCACCAGGTGTCAAAGAGAAAAATAACTACCAAACTTTTAGAAGACATCTGAAGGAAGCCCTGTTTAGGGAAGCTTTTAATGTTTAACAGGTTGTTGTATTTTAGTGTTCTGTAGGAAGCCGCCCAGAGTGGCTGGGGAAACCCAGCCAGATGGGCGGGGTATAAATAATAAATTATTATTATTATTAATCAACGAAGTTGCAGCCAATTCTAATCCAGGTCATTGTCTGCTTGAGTTGGGTGCAAATGGCCCTGCAATAAACTTGATGGTGAGTTCCCCACCCTGCTTTTCCCTAGGAAAAAAAGCACTGATGTTGAACTATATGATGGTACTAACTTACTGACCTAACTTAAGCAGGGCATTGGGGGTGGGGTGCAGCGGAGTGAGCCCAACCCGGGCATTACCTTACACGTGCCAAACCCACCGCTTGCTTTCAAAAACAAACCCTGCCAGCCTCACCTCCCTTCCTGCCACAGCTGACAGGTGCTCCTCCGAGGCAAAAAAGGAGGAGTGCATCGAAACCAAAACAACTCGCCAAGGTCAACCAAGGACCGAGTCGGCGGTACTGAGCTATCCTTTTATTTTATTTTATTATTTTATTTGTTTCCCTCCACAAACCAACTTACGGAGCTGTCCTGCTGCGCCGGGCTCCTTCCCCACTCCGGCCCCCGCCAGTAGCCCCGGGGCCGCTGAGGCCGGCGGGGTGGGCGCCGTCGTCGTCCCCCCTGAGCCGCCGCCGCCTCCTCCTCCCTGGCGCTCGAAGTTGCCCGGGTTGGAGAAGTAATCCCTCAGGCGGGGGAGCTCCCGGCCGCTCTCCAGCAGCTCCGTGTGCAGCTCCAGCGCCGTCAGCACGAACTGGTCGCGCAGCAGCTGAGCCGCCAGGGCGTCCACGGGGACCCGAGGCGGCTCCTCGGCCTGCAGGGAGGAGGGAGGCGGCAAGGGCAGATGCTGCTGCTGCTGCTGTAGGGGCGGCGGCGGCGAAGAGCAGGCCGACGAAGGCAGCGGGAGCGGAGCGGCCGTTCCGCCGCCGGGGTCGCTGCTGCTGCTGCCTCCGCCACCGCCGGGCCGGGCCTCGTCGGGGTCCGACTCCTCGGAGTCGCTGAGGAAAGGGTTCACCCCAGCAGCCCCCGCCGCCGCCATCTTGGGAGCAGGGGAGGCGCCCCAAGCAGCGCTCCCCCCTCCCCCGACAGAGCCCCGTTACCACAGCAGCCGACGGCGCCCACCAACCGCCCGCCTCCTCCTCCTCCCTCCTCAGAGCTCACAGCTTCTTCCTGGTCTCGCCTCTCGCGAGAGTTGCCGCCCGGATGCTTCCGGTCTCCGGCGTCCTCGCGGAGCGGTATAGACTTTCGAAAGTAGCAGAGGGGGCGGCTCGTCTTGTTTTCTGGGCATACGAGAGGTTTCGTTTGGTCGGCGTGGTCGCTGTTCCCCTTTCCTTCCTCGTGGGGAGAAATCGGCAGCTGCTTGAAAACAACCACGAGCCCACGGAGGGAAAAAAAGCAAGGCTTTAGGGTTGCTCAGAAAAAGAAGAGGAAAAAAGGTAGAAGAAAATACATATTCATATCATATCTGTTTTAACACGCTTGCCTATGAAGAAGGCCCGCTGAGCTACCTGACATGAGATTGCATCCTGCGTCTTATTTCAGGCGGTAGATACCCTTTTTTTCTCAAAACAATGCAAAAACAACAACAACAACAAAAAACCGAGGATGCAGAGACAATATTTGTTCCCCTTGTGTTGCATCGGTGTGACGGTGGTGGCCGGGATGCATTGTAGTCCATTATTATTATTATTCCTACATTGTAGGTCGGGCAGGTGAATGCTGCTTTTTTTTTTTGACAGCCCTGAAGTGTCAGGACTGTGCTGAAGCGGAGATTGAGAGGGGTAAAAAAACAAAAACTCCAGCGTGTTTGTATTTAAATAAACGCAAGCTTTGGCTTGAGGTTTGAATCTTGGAAGGAATTTAATATTCAGCGGGGGGAAAGGGAATGTGGCGGTTTAATTAGAATTACTTTTGCAGCCATCACCACAAGCGCCGGTGTGTTTTATCCCTTCCTGGCCGAAATCCAGTGCAGAAATTGACCAGGTGCATATGAAGCCTTTTGGTTTCCGATCTGACAGTTGCACGAAACCGGGTTGTGGTCAACTTCAAACCCACCCCATAGTTATGGGAGCAAACAATAGTTTGGTTGCAAACCCCTCTTTCTCCCAAAGAGCAAAACGGCTATTTCAAAAAACCGAGCACGAGGTTTGCGGGAGTCGACGTGCGTTATACTCTTCACGTTTCTCTCTCTGGAGGCACGGGCGGTGAGCAGGAGGGTGCACACCTGTCCCATTGGGGTGCATCATGGACATGCAAGATACATGATTGACGGGGGAGGACACTTTTTCCCTCTTCCTCCTCCTCGCTCCCTTTCTCCTGGGATCTCGCGATGCCTTTCCCGGGGCCCTTTGACGCGCGCCGGGGTGCCTGGTAAGGGTGCAGAAGCGCCTGCTTCCGAACGTGTGAGTAGCGGAGGAGGACGCGTGTCTGCGCGCGAGCCCCCGCACCCCACCCCACTCGCAGGCGACCACGCTTTGGCTGGGGGTCGGATGTAAATAGGGCTTCTTCTCCTCGCTTCCGCATCTCCCCCCCCCCCAGGAAACCCACTGATTCTTCAGACTCCTCCCTGACATCTCATGAAAGGCTGTTTGCCAGATGTTGCTGATGGGGGATGGCGCCTCTTGCTAAACGAAGAATGGGCAAGGGTCCTCTCTCCATCACTGCCTGCTGTTGGGGGCTGGGGGATTGGGATCCTTTTTTCCCCTCTGAGAAAAATTGCTTCTCATCTGTAGCCTTCCTGGTATGTGTTTGGTGGTTCCCCACTCACCCACCCTCTCCCACCTTCGCCTCTGTCTTCTTGGAGCCCATGAGTGCTTTATCTCCTTTCTCTGGACCCTTAGTATGTTCTCCCCTCAGTTCTTTGCCCTCCATTTTTCTCCCTTTTTTTTGCTTCTTCTGCTTGCGCCCCAGTGCTTGACATCCCCACCATTGCTAGTCACTGGTTGGGGGAGGGAAGAGTGTTTAGACAGTAGCAGACCTTGGGGTCTCAAATGTCAGTGGTGCCCTGTGGGGCCCCAAAATTCAGTATGCCGCTTACCTCTCACTTTCCATTTTGCATCATGGTTGTGGCGTCCCTGAGGCTCTGGGCCAAGTGCTACTGAACTGATTAGGTCCAGTCACGGACAACTCTGGGGTTGCGGCACTCATCTTGCTTTATTGGCTGAGGGAGCCGGCATACCGCTTCTGGGTCATGTGGCCAGCATGACTAAGCCGCTTCTGGCAAACCAGAGCAGCGCACGGAAAGATTGCGTTCCCCTAAATCCAACTCTGGTTTAGATCTGCTGCATGAGGGGGGTCTGAAGTATATATAAGACTACTCTGGAGGGCCCAGAGCTTGGCACACGCACCCCGCAGCTTTGAATACGTCAGGGCTGCCATTTTGTGTCCTGGCAGAATAAATAATAATAATAATAAAATAATAATAATAATAATTTACTTATATGCCGCCCATCTCACTGGGTTGCCCCAGCCTCTCTGGGGCAAAATATAAAAACTCTAGCAAAATATAAAAACACAATAAGACATTAAGCACTCCTGTTAACAGAAGCTTCGTTCAAAGAACAGGGTTTTTTAGCTGCAGTGGCTGCCAGCGGACTTTAAGGATCAAAACCTCAGATTGTTCTGTGAACTGCCCTTTTTTCTGTGAACCGCCCCGAGACCTCTGGGTATAGGGCAGTATATAAATCCAATAAATAATAATAATAAAAACCTTAGAGTAGTCTTATATATACTTTACAGCAAAATAAGCAAATAAATAAGGCTTTTAAAGGGAACAGAACTCACTGATCATGGAACACAGAATCACAGAATTGTAGAGTTGGGACCCTGAGGATCTCTGGTCCAACCCCCTGCAATGCAGGGATCGAAGACCTCTTTGCCCATGACCTTGGCATCATTAGCACCATGCTCTAACCAACTGAGCTAACACAGGAAGCAGCTTTATACTAACTGATACCATTGATCCATCTGGCCTAGCATTGTCCGCACAGACTGGCAGCAGCTATCCAGGCTTTCAGGCGGGAAACATTCCCAGCCAGAGCTGCAGATGCCACTGTTGGATTGAACTTGGGAACTTCTACATTCAAGACAGTTGCTCTACCACTGAACTATGGCCCTTCCCCAACTACACTATAGGGTAGAGTCTAAGGTTTTATACAATTAATAGAAAGCTTGAAATTGTAATGTTTGGACTACCTAAATGTTAGATGCTAATTTTTTAGAAAGCAGTTTCTTAGCAACTGCATCCCCTAGTGGTCTTCAGTGCACACGGCAGTGTTTTCTGCACTGTTTGTATTCTATGAAGTAGATTGTTGGTAGAAATACAAAATACAAGTTCAGGTAGGTCAAGGCATCTGGAAGTCATTTAAATTGGAAATAGATTTATTTTTCACTCACCTGCCCAAACACCCCCTTTCCTCCTCCACCACCACCATATTAGGTGAGCTCCCCCACAAGGAAAAACATGGAGAGCTCCACCCCAAGCTCATTTTTTCCCCTTGTATGATCTGGACTAGGGCAGATGGAAGAAAACAAGCAATGACTGTGGGCTGAGTTTCAACGCAACTCTCTTCATTGGTCTGGTGAGTATATTATCTTAACTATACGATTATTGTCCTCAGCAGTTAAATCTCCCATCGTAGAGTTATGGGAAGGCAAGTGTACAAGTGGTTACTTGAGATCCTTCATCTAGCAGCAATTCCACTTGGGTGTCTCCCTCTTAAAAAAAAGACCAGCTTCACCAAGGTCTTGTTGTTCATCCCAAAGCCACCTGTCTCTACCTAGCCACACACCTCACCAAGCTTGGCACCTCACCTACTGTGATCAGCACCCTAGGAAAGCCTCAACCATCAGAATCTCCAAGACCATGTAGAAACCATTAGAAGGCCAGAGTCAAGGATCCTTGTATCCTACAACAGGGCCTTGGCCAAGGACTTAGGCCTAACACCCTTAAGAGGCAAGCAGTGGCAGTCTTCAGTGTTGCAACACTAAGGATTCTTGAACTCACACTCTCATGCAGAACAGAGGGGACAGCAAGGTTCAGTACAGTGGTACCTCGGGTTAAGTACTTAATTCATTCTGGAGGTCCATTCTTAACCTGAAACTGTTCTTAACGTGAAGCACCACTTTAGCTAATGGTGCCTTCCGCTTCTGCGCCGCCGGAGCGCAATTTCTGTTCTCATCCTGAAGCAAAGTTCTTAACCCGAGGTACTATTTCTGGGTTAGCAGGGTCTGTAACCTGAAGCGTATGTAACCTGAAACGTATGTAACCTGAGGTACCACTGTACTCCCATAAGTACAAATATTCACAATTTCCACAAGGATGGGGTGGTGTTTTTATGCTAACAGTTCCTTCATCCGGAAAGTAAATTCTCCATTTCTTAGGGCTCAGTAACAGGACCTTCAGTCTTTTTTTGCCCCAGATCTCTGCATTCATGGGACAACTCTGGCACAGCCTAGTCATACACAGGGCTCTGAGAGACTATCCTGTCAGAACAGAGGCTCTTGGCCTCTTTGACTCCATCCTTGTGTCTTCTTTTCCTACATCTCTAGGAAAGGCAGCCTCTTCCTCTGTCAGCTGGTGGATTAAGGCATGCATTGCCCAGGCCTAGGAGGTAGAGCACCCTCCCCCTCCAACAGCACATCACAGCCCACCTTACCCTGTCCGCCAACACATATATTGCAGATGTTTGCAAGGCCACTTGGTCCTCAACCCTCCACACTACCAATTAGATCTTATGTTCCTTAGCTGATGGTTCCATTGGGAGATAAGCTCCACACAACATTCTCGCCTTAGAGGAACACAGTCACCCAGTTTCATCTGGTTTTCATGCTTGGCCATGGATGCAACGGAAAGCAAAACTAGAGGAAAAGAATAGAAAATCTGTCAAATTTCATGGCTCTGCCTTTGGCGCGTCCCAGCCATACAACCTGCAACATCCCTGTCCTAACCTACAAGGTCCATTCATGGTTAGTGTTCAATATTCCTTTTTAATCTGCGGCTGTACAGAGCTTTTCAGCCAAATATTGTTTCAGTCTTAGCTGAATTCAGAGTTGTGCTAATGAGAATAACTTCCAGGCCTTGCTATGCCCTTTTATCAGGGGTGCCTCAGAGGCGGAGTTGAATATCCCATCCTGCCATCTAAGAAGTGTAGCAGGAAGTTAAAAAGAGTCTTAAGACGCTTTGTGACCTACAAGCCAGGACAGCAGATAATCATATTTATCCCTTCAAGATTTTGCATAGGGATTGCTGGTGCAGAGAGTTAACTTGACAATAAAACGTTCAATTCTCGGGGGAAGCTTTTTGCCTTAGGTTTGCTTCTGCATTGCTGAGCCACATTTACATCTTAAAGCAAATGACATTTGTTATTGTAATGTACAAAATGCTCATTGAAAATCTTGACTGTATGGTAATTTTAAACAGATGAACAAGTTACCAAAACACATTTAAATGTGAAAGCCTATGGAAATTATGTCTTATAAACTGCATTATACGACAGATTATTTGGATCATGCAAATTTGTTCATGCTCGTTTACCTAATCAAAGGCGGGGGGGGGGGAGTAGAACACATGATTATGCCTAGAACATTGTGGGGAGTGGGGGAAGTAGCAGTGGTACAGAATTTTAATGTTGTTGAAATGATCTGTATATGATGATGAAAGAAAGTAAATCTGAAAGTATTATTCTAGCTCAAAACTTGGTTAACATACAGGGGCGTCCTTAGTGCTGAACAATATGGTTGTGTCAACTTAATAGTTTTCCATAAAACTATTCCTGTTTTCAATTTATTTATGGATGAATTGTTTTCATATCTCTCTGACAGTCTAAATTAAATACTATGGAATACATTTTTGATTAAAAATAATCCTGTCAGCTGAAAGAATAGCTTCTAATCATACCCTTTTGTAATACGCGTGCCATGGCACATGCTTACTGAAAATGCATTTTCATTAGATTCTCTTAAATTATATACAACAGGCATATAATGCTCACTGGAGCACACTCCTTATGAAAGAAATGACTAAAGTATTTTTACTGTCATTGCTTGACGCTTTTAAATATGCTTGTACACCAGCATAACATAGTCAGCTGAATAACACTTTGTATATGTTTCTCCGTATATTGAAAGCATAAATAAGAATAGGAAACAAATGGTTGCATATTTCATAAATATTTATATTTAATTATTTTCTCTATCTTTTAAAAATAAAAGGCAATCTCAGCATCCCAAGTGTTGTGAGTTTTAAATGTTCAAAGAGCGGCAATGTTGGATATGGTGGCTTTGGGGGGCGGATAGGTCTGCATTTTGCCTCATTATGTTGACATTTCCATTAATCTTGGAGGACCTGATTCAGCAGAAGGCTACAGGTTCTATAGCAGGCACAAATCTTCTCAGGCAATAGACTGGCCTATAATCAGTGGTGTCCAAACTTTTTTCAAAGAGGGCCAGATTTGATGAAATGAAGGGCCGTGGGGGCCAACCAAAGGGCCAAGTAAAATTGTTGACCTATTTTTAGGATTGAAGTTCTTGAGCTTTTTTAATGATTTTACCCCAAAGTTGTTGAGCGTTGTTTTTTTTTAGGATTTAAGTTGTTGAGCTTTTTTTAGGATTTGGGGGCATTTTACCTATAAACTGCCACAGGGGCTGGAATTAAACCAACCAGCAGGCCAGAATAGGCCCCTGAAACGGACTTTGGGCATGCCTGGTCTAATTAAATGAAAGAAATAGAAGAAAGAAGTACTCCTGTCAGGGAGTAATAGAATTGCCCTGGGAGAAGTGTCTTCTTCATACAACTTTCTTTGCTCTGTTGCTTCTCTCTCTCTCTCTCTCTCTCTCTCTCTCTCTCTCTTTCTCTCACTCTTAAGTTAAATATTTTGCAAGGAATGGTGGTATGTACAATGGGGATTCAAGTCCACTGGCTGCATTCAAACATCCCACTGACGTTCACATGTGAATGAGCCTTCCCCTTTCCTATGCTTACACATTCTATCTTTCTGCCTTCTCATGCAGCTGGGAGGAATTCAGAAACTTCTCGCTGTGCTTCTGTTTAACTGTGTCCTGCCATGTTGTCCGAACCCAGCAAACTATGGCTAATGTTAACTAGGGTTAGCTTAAACAAGCCACCTGCAGAAGTCGCAACGTTAAGTTTGGTTAGTTTCCAACACGCTAACTTAGCATTGCGATTTCTGAAGCTGGGCTTGTTTCGATTAACCATAGTTATTGCGAACCACAGTTCTGTATTCGGATGACATAGCAAGCTGTTGTTAACCAAAAGAGAAAGTGAAAGCTTCCCAATCCCTGCTTCCAGCCATGCAGGAGGTAGTGGGGCCGGGGGAGTGTATGAGCTCATTCATATCTTGCAGAAAATGCAGCCGATGGATCTTGGACTGGTGACCTGAGAGAGATTAACTGGGTATATTCAGCTTGTGTGCCTCCACCCAGCTCTGACCCAAGGTTGATGTGGCTGATTTGCTTGCAGATAGGGTTCAGTTCCACACCAGCCTTACTGAATACATTTCTCGCATGACAGCGTAGTGGCTATGACTCTCTCTAGAACATAAAGAGAGGTAAAAAAAGTAAAGGACCCCTGGACGGTTAAGTCCAGTCAAATGCGAATATTGGGTTGCGGCGCTCATCTCGCTTTCAGGCCAAGGGAGCTGGCATTTGTCTACAGACAACTTTCTGGGTCATGTGGCCAGCATGACTAAACCGCTTCTGGCGCAACAGAACACCGAGACAGAAACCAGAGCGCATGGAAACACCATTTACCTTCGTGCCACAGCAGTACCTATTTATCTACTTGCACTGGCGTGCTTTCGAACTGCTAGGTCAGCAGGCTATGGCATTTCCTCTGCTAGTGCATCACAAAGGAATTGCATTCTTCTCTCAACTTTGCATCACCCCAAAACTGGACCATTGAGAAACAAGCCAAAGATAAAGATAACAGATCTGAGTTATGAAGCTTTGGCAGGCTTGATGTCACCACCTGTCACAGTGGGGCACATGCCAGACTTCAGAGCCTTCTGTAACTAATGCCAGGCAGCAGGAAAACAGATGCAACCCTCATCATCTTCATATTCCCAGAAAATCTCTGCAGCCAGCGATGTCAGGATCCAGAGACATTCTGGGCAAATGAAGATAGAGGCTGCAGCCCCTTTGCCCACCACTTCACTTTATAGCTCTGGACTGAGTGTTTGTCCCCTCCGCTGTCTATCCTGCCAACCCCTGGTAAACTCATTTTGGGAGGGCCAACGGGGGAGTACGAGTGAGAGCACCTTTTCCTGGCATCACCCCAGCCCTGAGAAGAGTGGGGTGCAAAGATCAATTAAACAATCAATTGATTTTTTTGAAAAAGAAATCTATCTATGAAACTGAAGAATGCACAAAACGTATAATCAGATGCAGACTTCGAATGCAGCAAACGATCGCTTGCCTCACCTGTAATTGTTTTGCTCTTTTAGTGCTGGACAACCCATCACCATGAATATGCAGATCTTTGTAGCGACTGGTCTCCTGGTACACTGTGTGTTCCTGATCTCTATTTTTGACATTTACTTCACCTCTCCTCTGGTCCACGGCATGACTCCCCATCAGACTCCCTTGCCACCACCTGCACAGCGCTTAGTGCTTTTCGTTGCCGATGGTCTGCGTGCAGATTCGCTTTATGAAGTGGATGACCGTGGCATTTCTAATGCTCCTTACCTTAGGTATGTTCCTCTTGTTAAGATACTCCCCTAATCCTTTGAACCCCTGAGATTATTATTATTTTTTAAAAAATCTCATTAGCTATGGGACAGGGATTTTGCACTGCTGCACCCGAATTTTGCAACTAGAAAAGATTATTTCTGCCATTTAAAAATGTGACTTGACCAATAAGACACTTCATATACTTGGTTATCCAGTTTGATCAGTAGTCGTTCTTATTTTAAATATTTTAAATAGCGCCAGTTACTTCCTTGTAAGATTTATCCCCACCCCTATTTTATCTTAATCCCAACTTTTTAAGGGATCAGTGAAGGATGTGATAACCTCCTCACTTCCCCCCAGGCACATTGTAATTTGTATTGGGAAACTGTAAAATCCATGTAACATTTAATTAGAGTTTTTCTCTAGGAAAAGCCATAGAATATTATAGTTTAGAAATGGTGATTGTTGAATGTGTGGAAATGCTTCCTTAAACTAAGCAGTGGGGCCACTGTTTGTTCTTTTCCCTTTTGAGCCTTACAGGCATGGATTTGGCTTTTAAAAACTGCATGCATTACCACTGTGTCTTATTTCCAGGAATATCATGTTAACCAAAGGCAGCTGGGGAGTATCTCATACTCACGTTCCAACAGAGTCAAGACCTGGGCATGTAGCTCTCATAGCTGGATTTTACGAAGACGTCAGTGCTGTTGCAAGAGGTATGCTGATTATCCATAAAATATTTTGTTTGCATGAACAGGCTGAGCTTTAGAATATTTGGCCACTAACTATAAAATTATTATAACTTGTATCCTAAGGTAAATTAACTTGTACCAAAAAGTATCAGTGGAGGATTGGTAGTGTCTCCTGACCAATGTGTGTTGTAGGTTATGGGGTCAGAGGTCCTCCCAATTTGGGCCAATTCTTTCAGCAGACCCCTTGCTATATCCCATAGTGTGTAAGATGTCCTCTGACCCTTTGGAAATGATTTTCGGTGGGTGGGTGTGCCATTCTATCATTCTATGGACTTTCCTGAGTTATCTTATTTTTGGATCCATGCCTATACCTCCAAGCTCTGTAAATTTGAAAGTCTAAAATGTGAGAGTGAGCTTTATACTTTGCTACCAGGTCTCTGATTAGCGTTGTGGTCACTCAAACTTTGTTTTGGCATAGTAGACAGTTGACATATATCTGTTATTCTTCCATTTTCTCCATGGTGCTAGAAAGTTATGGAAGGTTTTGCATGCACTATTTGCCTAGGCTGAACTATAATTAGTATCATTTTGAAGGCTAGTTTTCAAGGTTCATTCGCCACCTGAGACAATGAACAGTGACAACATTCATGCCTGTCTACTGAGAAGGTAATCCCATTGGGGACTTATCCCTTGTGTATAGGATTGCAACGTTTAACCGTTATCAGTTTTGCATAGGTATTTGGGAATGAGTGGAGTTTATTCTTCAGGGTCTGAGAAAAGGCAAACAAAATTTGGTTTGCCGTTTAAAATATTTCAGTGGGAAGCAAGATGCAAAATACTTGGCACATTGGACCTTCTGTGAGATTTACAATGGTATTAAAGTGGGTAACAGTGGTACTCTAGTTATTTGCGGAATATGTTGACATAAACCGCTTTGGACATATCCTGTGCTCTTAGGAACTGCTTCATACATGAAAATCTACTGATGCAACTTCTGTTTTGGGCAGGCTGCATGTATACTGTAAAATGTAATATCTGTATGTTTGTGTATTTTTCTGACTGTGTTATGTGTTGGAATGCTGAAGCCAATTGTGGTTTCCCATTATGTGCTCACCTGGTGAAACAGATGTGCTCATCAAAAGTGCCGTTGTTCATTCAGAATGTGCATGCTACCTTTATTTCCCTTCAACAGTGTATCCAAACTTGCGTTATCGCCCTTAGAAAACACTACAGTAACAATTGTCTCCCTAACAGGATGGAAAGAAAACCCAGTGGAGTTTGATTCCGTTTTCAATGAAAGTAAATACACGTGGAGCTGGGGAAGTCCAGATATTCTGCCCATGTTCGCTAAAGGTAAGCATGTTTTAGTCTTAGCGATGCATCATTTACAAAGTATCAAAAGTTTTACTACAAAGTGCAATATCCAAAGGAAGTGCTTTGCAACTCTTTGTGGGGTGTGCAGATTTGGAAATCACGCTTTGGTTGGTGGCAACACCGCACAGGGTCACAAACATGTTCAAATGAAGAGCTTCTGTTCTTCAAAATGTACTGTGGTTTCAGTTAATCAGGCATCCCCAACCTTCGGCCCTCCAGATGTTTTGGACTACAATTCCCATCATCCCTGACCACTGGTCCTGTTAGCTGAGGATCATGGGAGTTGTAGGCCAAAACATCTGGCAGGCTGCAGATTGGGGATGCCTGCAATAAATCTACATATGTTGTCTGCATATGTTTGTGTATCTGTTTAAAAATAGGTAGATGTAATGCTATCTAGACCAGGGTGACAGGGTGCTGTTGTTTTTTTAAATGCACCTTAATATACAAAGATCAAGAGATCTTGTTTGAGCAGATGACACTGCCACTTGAGCAAAGGGTTGACCGTTTACGCAGCCTGCTTCTCTACAGCTCTGAAATTATGGCTTCACAAGGTTGGTGGACGTTCCAGACCAGTTTTCGGGTGGAAGGGATGGAAATTTCTGCTTATTCATAGGAGGGCACCATTGCCTTCTGCTTGTATTGTGGAATCTTGGATCCAAGTCAAATGGTTTTTGCAATCCTTGCTCTTTGGCCTCATGAACAAAAGAAATATGGCTGCAGTAACTGGATTTAGTGTTTTCAGAAGGAGCGTAGCCATTAATTCTTCGTCCATGGTGCACTTTGTGATCTTATGTACTGGACACAATCTGACCTAGTTAGTCTGCAAAGAGCTTTCTAAATTACCATCTTATGGCTATAACATATTGCAGTCTGAACTTCTAACAGCTATGTCTCTTCCACTGTTCCCCCTGGTTCTTGTTGAACATCGAGCCTGGGAAATAATTCTCCTTGCGTTTTGATGAACCCTTGCTCTCAATATTTGTGTTTCTCTTGGGGCTTAGAAACAGAGTGTATCTGTTTCCTTGAAATGTTCCGTTTTGCAAAACAGTGCATGTCAGCTAATTAAAGAAGCATCTGAATGGGAATGTCATCACTCTGGCTTCCAGAAGGGCAGTCTCTGTGCCGTGGAGACCTAAGAGTAGGAATAGTAAGTAACTGGTAGGAGATGGGAGTGACAAATGGCAAATCCTTGAGCTGTGTAAATGATGCAGAAGAACCCTGGGGAGAAGAAAATATGTGCTGCTCTGCCTACATCTGAAATCCATGAACCAGAATAATGTGATAAACCTCAGTGCGTCTTCCCCGATACCATTTTAGAACTGACAGAAGGGATTTAAAATATGGCATTAGTTCGAGTTTTACTAAATCTTGTCATTTTCAGCAATTGAAACTTCCCCCTTCTCTTCATATCCTCTGTTACGTATCTTGTATTTTGTGTGCTCAGCTCATTCTCCTTGAAGTATATATTTTGTTTCAGCAGGAAATTGGGAAGGATATGACAAGGGATTGCAGGCTTCCTGTTCAGTTGTTTTGCTCTAGCCATGGTTTTCACATTTTCTAGAGTCACATTTCTTTAGTTCTACACTGCACATAGTTGCCGTTGGCTTGGGTGGGTTAATTGGCTTATTGGTGTGGAAAATCAGGGTATGGTATATCACAGGGATGTCCAACCAGTAGATCGTGATCTACCGGTAGATCCCTGGCTGATCCTGGTAGATCACGGGATCCTTATCGTGTAGCTCAACAACTCTGGGCAATCCACCCACCCCAAGCACACTCCTCCTCCCTCCAATGACAATGGGTAGATCACTGCCAGTTTTTTTTATTCTGGGAGTAGATCACAGTCTCTTGGGAGTAATTCCATCCTAAAGCAATCAGCCAAAGTGGTCACCATATCGCTCAACCCACAGTCCAGCTCCTTGGAAAGGGACCATGTGTGTGTGGTTGCTCTTTTCTGCCTGGATAGGGGTTTTTGCAAGCATTGACATATGCTAGACATTGAGAGTCCGCACAGGGTCACCTTCCACACATGAAGATCTGAACCAATGGCTAGCCATTTCTCCATCATCTATGCCAAATTGCTTCTTGTTTCTATCTTTTTTTTTTTAAAAAAGGGGTGGCTGTAGTTGTGTTAGAACACCAGAATGTTATCAGACTCTTCGCCACTTAAAATAAGACGCAGGTTAAACCATAGAGCCTAGGACTTGCCGATCAGAAGGTCAGCAGTTAGAATCCTCACGACGGGGTGAGCTCCTGTTTCTTGGTCCCTGCTCCTGCCAACCTAGCAGTTCGAAAGCACTTCAGAGTGCAAGTAGATAAATAGGTACCACTCTGGCAGAAAGGTAAACGGTGTTTTCGTGCGCTGCTCTGGTTCGCCAGAAGCGGCTTAGTCATGCTGGCCACATGACCCAGAAGCTGTAAGCCGGCTCCCTCAGCTAGTAAAGCGAGATGAGCGCCGCAACCCCAGAGTCGCCCATGACTGGACCTAATGGTCAGGGGTCCCTTTATCTTTATCTTTATCATTCTATGAATGCCAAGGAAAGTAACATTTAAAATATTCTTTTATTTAAGTACTTGCCTGGTAGTCAAGAGGTGATGAGGAATTTTATGCAAGTGAGAAGAAAAAAATAATAATGTCAGAATATGTTGTTAAAATTTTAACTACCCAAATCAGGACTGGCTGAACGTTTTAAGGATTTACAATCTCTTTAATGACATCACTGTCGCTTTAAAGGAGGTGTTGTTCAGCCCAGACACTGAGGTCCAGCTCCGGGGGCCTTCTGGCGGTTCCCTCACTGCGAAAAGTGAGGTTACAGGGAACCAGGCAGAGGGCCTTCTCGGTAGTGGCGCCCGCCCTGTAGAACGCCCTCCCACCAGATGTCAAGGAAATAAACAACTACTTGACTTTTAGAAGACATCTGAAGGCAACGCTGTTTAGGGGAGTTTTTTAATGTTTGATGTTTGATATTTTGTTGGGAGCTACCCTAAGTGGCTGGGGAAACCCAGCCAGATGGGCAGGGTATAAATAAATTATTATTATTATTATTAAATATAATTGTTCTCTGCCCCACCCCTGTACCAAACCATTACTCAAGTTATCCTTGTGCTTGTATTGTGGAATCTTGGATCCAAGCCAAATGGTTTTTGCTCCACTGTTTCACGGTCTGCACCTGAAGTCCTCTCTCTATGCAGGTTCTCTTCCATACAGTTATGCTAACAAGCGTTATTAAGACTTTTTTTCTTGCATAGAGACTGTTTCTTCAGGTTAACTGCCAGCTATTGGCTTTAACTGTCCTGCAGGACTACTGCTGAAGTCTCCCTGTCCCCTTGCAGACCTTCTGAGCTTCTGCCTTCAGAAATTTTAGCCTTGGGGTGTTTGCTTCTTCCTCTTCACCATCTCTCTGCTCCCACAAAGACCCCTGTCTGCGACTGCTCTTGGCTGCAGACATTCTCTCCAGGCTTGTTTCTTGCCTCTTCTTTAGTTCCTTGATTAATCTCTCCACACCACTCTCCCAAAGACTGTCCAACAGACTCTTAAACAGTACAGAGCTTGCCCTTTTGTTTCCTCCAGTCAGAACCTTCTAACCACTCGCCAGATTCCGATTGGAATTCTGAAACTTCATTGACCCGTAACTCAGGACCAATAAGTTTGGATGGAATGTCCGCTGAAAAACAACAACACCCTATTGCATTCTGACCTTTTGGATTCCACCAATTCTTATATAAGAGCTGAGTTCTGCCGCCAACTATCAGTAACGGAAGCCTTACAAGTATACATACCTCCTCAGCAGAATTGTGTATTTGTCTGCTTCTCGGCAGACTGCCGTCTGAACCCCAATCCCGTGTGCATCTCTGGCTTCCTTAAGAGTAAAATACCACCCGCACGCTTCATATGGTTAACTGTTTTATGTTTACAAAAAAACCCAACAACTTTCCTACATTTAAGTTGAGCGGTCCTTTACTTTTCCCCCCCTTGAAGGTGCTACAGGGGATCATGTTTACACTCATTGCTATGAAGCTGAGAAGGAGGACTTTGGAACAGAAGATGCCAGCTTGCTAGACACGTGGGTTTTTGACCATGTTAAGGTGAATGAACATCTTTGTTTTGCTTAACTAGTTTAGGGTTACCAGGTGTCCCCGGTTCCTGGGGACAGTCCCCGGATTTGCAAATCTGTTCCCGGACAAATTGCGTCCTCGGAATGTCCCCAGATTTGCAAATCTGTCCCTGGGAAATGTGGCAGCAGCAGCCTCAGCAGCCTGGAGCCAGCCTGTTAGCGCTGCCCACTGCCGTGGCACCTGCTATTTTTCCTGCGCCATGGCAGCGAGCATCTCCTGAAGCCAGCCAGAGTCAACTGCACTACAATGGTACCTCTGGATACGAACGGAATCCGTTCTGGATCTCCAGTCGCAACCTGAAACAAACGTAACCTGCGCATGCACGGGTCGTGATTTGCTGCTTCCGCGCATGCGTGTGACGTTATTTTGAGCGTCTAGGCATGCGCGAATGGCGAAACCCGGAAGTAACGTGTCGCCGGGTCGCCGTGGAGCGCAACCCAAAAGCACTTCAACCTGAAGCATATTTAACCTGAGGTATGACTGTACCCTCTGGCCAACCTAGCAGTTCGAAAGCATGTCAAAATGCAAGTAGATAAATAGGTACCGCTCTGGCAGGAAGGTAAAGGGCGTTTCCGTGCGCTGCTCTGTTTCGCCAGAAGCGGCTTAGTCATGCTGGCCACATGACCTGGAAGCTGTATGCCGGATCCCTCGGCCAATAAAGCGAGATGAGCGCCGCAACCCCAGAGTCGACCACGACTGGACCTAATGGTCAGGGGTCCCTTTACCCTTTACCTATGACTGTACTAGGCTGGCCCCTCCTGGGCAACGGCTGCCCGCCCATGACTCCTGAGCCGCCCCCGATCTGTCAAAACAAAGGGGGAAGGAAATCGGGGAAGGCTGGGAGTCATGGGTGCGCGGCGTGCCATTGCCTAGTTTTTTTAAAAAAAACTTTGCACATTTATGTTTCACAGGGTGCAACAGAAGGGCTTTGCACCTTTATACAATATGCATGTGTGCTTGGGCCCAGGGTCTTTTGCCTCACCATCCCCACTACTGACTCCCTGTTGCTACTCAGCTTCAAAAAAATAAAATAAGTGTCCCCGGATTCATTGAAAAAAATCTGGTAACCATACCCTAGTTGGCACAGTCAGCCTGGCAAAAGGTTTACAGCCTCTCCTTACCCCCACCCTGTGAGTAATACAGGGTGAGGTAAGCAATGCATTTTAAATGTGCTTTTCGGTGCTCTTAAGCCATCGATTAATTCAGCTTCAGTTTCCTGGTGCTGGGTTTTACTGGTTATGCTGGGCTTTGTTCCTTTTCTTCTGTTGAGTATTTGCACATACTGGGTGGTTATGGCATCGTGTATGTATGTGATTGAGAGATGGACAATCCCTCCCTCTCCTTTCACCATAGAAGTGAATGGGAAATGCTCTGAGGACTCCAACTGGGAAACTGTTATGCCTGGATGGGATTCTCACACTTCCTTGACATTGAGGTCACAAGCGTCTTGAGCAGGATCCATGCTTCAGTTACGTAGCTGATATAATAACCCCTTCAGTTTTTCCCATAGAAGTGGATGGGGGATACTTGTTACCGGGAGAATTTAAGCGAATAGAGAGATCAATCCTAAGGGCTGGCTGGGAGCACCGGGGCTGAATATTAACCAGGGTGGATTTGATTTAAATCAAATTGATTTAAATCATGATTTAAATCACGGTAAGACTTCATTTGGGGACGCAGGTGGTGCTGTGGGTTAAACCACAGAGCCTAGGACTTGCCGATCAGAAGGTCGGCGGTTCGAATCCCTGCGACGGGGTGAGCTTCCGTTGCTCCGTCCCAGCTCCTGCCAACCTAGCAGTTCGAAAGCACGTCAAAGTGCAAGTAGATAAATAGCTCCAGTGGGAAGGTAAACGACGTTTCCGTGTGCTGCTCTGGTTCGCCAGAAGCAGCTTAGTCAAGCTGGCCACATGATCCGGAAGCTGTACACCGGCTCCCTCGGCCAATAAAGCGAGATGAGCGCCGCAACCCCAGAGTCGGTCACAACTGGACCTAATGGTCAGGGGTCCCTTTACCTTTAAGACTTCATTTAAATCATTTTTTTGCAGAAAGACTCATTCTTGCTGGTATAATCTTAATAATTACAACCAGATGAAAGTTGTGTTTTTGGAATAATAAATTTTCAGAGTAATTTTTACAGTTATATCCAAAATTACTGATTTGGCTATACTATTAGAAATACATAGACAGATAATTATGAAATCATTGTAAGGTTTAATAAGTTAACTGTTTATATTTGGACAACTTTTTGCTGTACTTTATTGGAAGGAGAAAAATAATGATTTCCTTAATAACAATTTAAACAATTTATTTAACTAAAACAATAACATTATAGCGTATGTATCCATTTTTGTTAACTGATGTGGTTAAACAATTAAAAAAACCAACAGCTTAGACTGAGCTTTAGTACACATGAAAAACTTAATGAACAGCCTTTGGACTATAATGTACCTTAAATAGAAAACTATCTTTAGAAAGATTTTTCTTCCAAAAGCATTTTATTTTAAAAATCCGATTTAAATTTTTAAAAAATCCAATTTAAAATAAAAAAAATCCAATTTACATTTTTAAAAATCCATTTTTTAAAATTAAAAAAAATCATTGATTTTTATTCACCCTGATTTTAACCGCTGTATCCAAAGCCTTGCCAACGCACACCAGCCAGGGTGGTGCAGCTGAGGAGCCCGGATTGGGCCCCTTTCTGGAAAATGAATTGGCTTGGGATCTAGTGGATCCCTGGCCAGCCTTGCTCTACCCTTGAGCCATGTAAACACTCTTTGCATTAACATTCAGTCCACTGCACTTTCCATGGCTGCAGCCATGGTCTCTCTGTCTGACTCTCTGTCTTTGCTATCCGACATCTCCACCTTGCTCTGACTCTTTCCAACAGCAAGGATCCGGGGGACTAGGACTGCTGCAGAATTCGATTTCCTGCATACATGCTGGTGGCATCAAACAAAAATGTGAAATTTTAGAAGTTTGGATATCTGCTTGCTCTCAGGATAATTTATAACTGTCTTTTCTTATCTAGGGTTTCTTCCGCTCTGCCAGAAACAACGAAACATTGCTTTCTAAACTGCACGAGCGGAAAGTTGTTTTTTTCCTGCACTTATTGGGGATAGACACAAATGGGCATGTTCATCGGCCTCATTCGAGGTACAGTGCATTAATGTCTGTATTTTAAAATATAGCAGATCCCATCAAAGTTAAGCAGCTTTAAGTGCAATTGATAGCAACGGGAGGGAGTTAAGCCAGTACTTTAGAGATGCATAATTAGAACGGGGGGTCATGCCCTTTGTGAAATTTAAAATGTCACTTTAATATTTCCGTATCATCCATGTAAATCCCTCCTGTGATATATGCATTTAAATCTGAAATGACGACTCTGGAAAAGTAGGCAAACATACTCATTTATGCTAATACAGCGTTTCAAGCATTTAGTTAACATATTTCATCGTGGCCTTTCTAATCGAAACGGCAGCAAACTATTAAATGATTCCGAAAGCAGAAAGTTAGGATTCAGACCTGTGGTTAAGGGAGAAGATTGGTGAGGTTTTCATGTGTCAGAGCACAGAAGAGAGTGGGGCAGAGACTGCTGTTTGAGAAAGGGGGTGAAGAAAAAAGCTGCACTTTACAACTTGCAGCCCCTTCCACATTTTTCAGGGGTAGCAGCCACATTTTGATGTGACTGTTGTAGGGACTCCAGTGGGCCTAGTTTAACCCTTAATTGCATTCCTAACAAAAGTCTTACGGCAATCTGTAGAACTTTAACATCAAGCAATAACAACTGCTGAAAACCCAGCACATAATATTTTTTTACATTTGTTTTTAAAGCGAGCTGTCAGGTACTGTTGCGGCTGCTCGTGAGTAACCAGGCAAGACTCCGACCTTTCTTTTACAGGCTTTATTTTGGTGCAAACAATTTACAGTGAAGAGCGTCATAAGTTCATGTCTGGCTCAATCGCTAGCAGAATCCGGGAGTGGTCTGTTTTTGTACCTCTCCCAACATAAAAGTCTCATCACCCCCAGCCTTTTCTGCCCCTCCCTGCGCCTCAAACTACTGCGCAAGAAGGGCAATGGCAAGGGCGTGCTCCCCGCCTCTCTGGCTTGCTCAGGCTCGGTGTTAAGGCTCTCCCTAGCATCCTCTGGTCCTTGCACCTCTTCTCCACTGGAGGTGGGGCTTCCCTCCTCGCCGGAAGAGGAACTGCTTCGCAAGATTTTCGGAGGCTCCCTGTAACACAACTGCCCTTCTGTCTCTTGCCTCTGAGCCGATGGCAGTTCCCTGACATGAGCCATGTTACCGTTGCAGGAGATCCGCCATAACAAAAATGCCTGAAGCTGGACAGTGTCTTTTTTTCTGCAGAAGGTGCTACATAATTGTGGCACCACTGTTAAGAAGGCTATATCCCAGACGATGCAATATCTCACTTCCCCACCTTGACATCTACCCTGGAGCTGTAAAATGTAGTTTGATAAATTCCTTTAGAGCAGGCATAGGCAAACTTGGCCCTCCGGATGTTTTGAGACTCCAGTTCCCATCATCCCTGACCACTGGTCCTGTTAGCTAGGGATGATGGGAGTTGTAGTCCCAAAACATCTGTAGGGCCGAGTTTGCCTATGCCTGCTTTAGAGTCCCGAGTCCCCTCTTAGAACTGTGATTCCCAGGGCTCCTTGGGTTTATAGACAAAGAGTTATTTTGCAATTTTACATTAGTGTTGGGAAAAGGAGAGAGTGCTAAAGAATCCCGTCAGCTAAACTTTCAAATGCATCTCCAGTTATATCATGGCTGCCTGTAGCACAGGATATAACTTTTTAAAAAGCTAATTGGATAGAGTGTCTTGGATCCAGATTTCTAGTGTAATTTACCAAGGGGATATTATTGATATGGAAACTAAATAGAAAACTTTAATCTTTGTTCTTGCATTTCTTTTCTTTTCCGCTTTGGTTGATCACCTTGTAACTCAAGCCTCTTGCCTTAATGAATGTCTGGATTCATTTTCTATTATAATCATGTCAAAACATTCAGCTCCTTTCTCTCCTCTCCAGAGAATACAAGAACAATATTAGGAAAGTCGATGAAGGTGTAAAAGAAATTGTTTCGGTGGTTGAGGATTTTTATGGAAATGATGGCAGCACAGCTTTCATCTTGACTTCAGACCATGGAATGACAGACTGGGGTGAGGATTTTGCAAACATGACCTTTTTCTTCATGCGCCTTCGCTACTAAAATGTTGGCGAACACCAAGGCTGCCTTTACCCCCCCCCCCAATTAATCTTTCTCATGGTGATTCTCCTCAGAAGTATTAATATAACTTCAGAATGTACCCATCCACTCAAGTAGGCTTCTTAATGCAAAAAAACCCAGATTGCTTCCCCGGTTTTAGTTAATTTATTGAAAACTCTTTCTCCTTTGCTTAATATATGGAAATGCCACAGATTTCCTTTTTTTCTTGGACACATTCTGTGATGTGATAGAAAGAGAGGTCAGAGGAGAGAGGTCAAGCAGCAAAGTCTGCTTTGGTGACCCAAGCAGTAAGAAGCATTTGATAAAGAAAGTGTCCCGCCACTCAAAATGTGTTAGGAACAGAAATACTTGTGCATCTTTCTCATGTAAGGATATTGTTTGCATTTGGTTAGAATTCCTATGGTTTATTACATTTGTAATCCACAGCTCAACCCAGGGCAGTATACAATAACCTATTAAAAAGGCACACATCAACACAACCCCCTCCCAACTCCTATAAAACATAAATACGAAGCAAATCAGAAAATCCAGCACCAACCTGAGACTGTGTGGTGCAGTGGTTAAAGTGCTGGACAAGGCCCTGGGAGACTGGGGTTAAAATTTCCACTCCGCCATGAAGCTCACTGGGTGACCTTTGACCAGTCACTGTCCTTCAGTCTGACCTACCTCATAGGGTTGTTGTGCAGTTAAAATGCGAAGCAGAAGAAACTTGTACATCACTTTGACCTCCTTTCAGGAAAGGTGGGCTCTAAATGTAATTTCCATAAATCTGATTGAACAAATGTTGGTTACTCTATGACACCTAGAAGCAGCTAGCATAGGAGACAACGGTATTTTTGTGCCGAGGAAATACTGCAGCCAGGGTGCCCACAATAGAAAAGATACTGCTTTACATAGGTCCACCTTTGCAGATACTGTAGTAAAGTGTGTGTGTGTGGGTGTGGGTGTGGGTGTGGGTGTGGATAAGACAGAAGCAAACCTTCAAATACCTTGATCTCAAGCCATATGGAGTTTTGCAGACTAACATTGGCAGCTTCTAGACTGTCTTCAATGGAAGCCCCAAACGGAACACATTGTAGCAGTCTAGTCAAGAGCTTCCCATAAGCCACATGGGTACAGATGAATCAGCCAAGTTTCCATACAGAAAAGCAGCATTTGACACATCCGTTTCACATTAGACGTCCTTTGAGGTTCCTGAGTGGGTAACACTAGAGAAGTTCAAATGTTTTAAAAGGTACAATCTTAACGGTTTGTTGTTCTGTGTTGAAGTCCATTTTAGGGGCAGCAATTCATTATGAAGTAATTCTAACACTGTTTTCTTTTAGGGGTTCATGGGGCTGGTCATCTGTCAGAAACATTAACACCACTCATTGCTTGGGGAGCAGGAATCAACTCTCCACAAAAAGTCGCCTCGCAACAGTATGAAGACACATTTTTAAAAGGTAGATGTGTGGGCAGGGCTTTTCAGATGCAACTCGCCGGAACTCAGTTCTGGCACCTCTCAGGTGGCAATAAGGGAACAAGGGAGGGGTTCATAGTGAATTCCAGTACCTATTTTTCTAGAAAAAATAGCACTGTATGCGGGTCATATTTTTTCTGTATGCTTTTAAAATACAAGGGGTGTAATAACCTTTTCTCTTGGGGTAGTCTGCCTGGCACCATTAAGATGTTTGTTGGACCTCAATGCCTGTCAGCCCCAGCCAGGAAGGGCCATGGTTGGAAATGGTGGGAGTTGTAGTCCGGAGGGCACCATGTCCCTCATTTTATCTTCTTAGCTGCCACAGGTAAATTGGTATATTTATCAGAAAACGGAAGTCGCTTCATGGCGCCCCAGGGATATGAATGCAGGCATCTGATCCAAGCCCACTGGACTTCACTGTGTACAGTGCTACCTCAGAACTCGAACAGCTCTGTTGCCAAATGTTTTGGCTCCCGAATGCTGAAAACCCGGAAGTAAGTGCTCCAGTTTTCGAATGTTCCTTGGAACACAAACATCCGACATGGCTTCCGCTGTGCAAAAACCTAGCTGTCGGCCAATTGGAAGCTACGCCTCAGAACTTGAACGTTTTGGAATTCGAACGGTCTTCTGGAATGGATTATGTTCGAGTTCCAAGGTACCACTGTATTACCAAATGCCGTTAGTAAATCATAAGATAAATTAAATTCCACATTTACTTACCAGGGACTTTTTTTTAATGAGGAAACACATTTGGAGCATCCTATATAGTAGGACAATGCAGATGAGGGATAATTAATAAAAACAACAATAATAATTTATGATAAATATGATAAAATGAAAAGGCAAACAGTATAACCAAGGGGCTGCGGTGTTTTATTTTAAGAGCTCAAACTGCTTCACATACATTCTTATAAAACTATCCAGAAAGTAGGGTGGGTAATTTGAACTCATGTTACTGATGGAGGAGGCCTGAGGCTGAAGAAATGTGGCCTGAGGTCAAGATATGGACAGACCCAATTGTCCACACAATCTTTTCTCCCCCCAAAACCCAGAAAATTTAGTTGTAGCTTTGCTTTGTTTTTATTTCAGCTTGGAAACTGTGGTTCAAACCATGGCTTGATCCAAAGCATTTAAATTGGCTTCATAGCATGGCATCTACCTAGCCTGTTAACCATACTTTCCCAGTTGAAATAAAAATGGGAAACTAATTATTGGAAGACTTCCTGCTTGTGTGCTGCGTGCACAGCCAAAGGTTTCAGTGGTATCTGCTTAGAGTGGCTAGGGAAACCCAGCCAGATCTGCGGGGTAGAAATAATTTATTATTATTATTATTATTATTATTATTATTGTTATTATTGTTATTATTGTTATTATTGTTATTATTGTTATTATTGTTATTATTAAGCCCAAGATATTATGTGACTCTTGGGTTGGGGTTTTCGGGTTTTTGTTGTTGTGTTGCTGTTATTGATATTAAGCTTTTATATCTTTATTTCTAGTTCTTATAATGATTTACATGGAAATCGTTCGATTACAGTTGTATACCTTTTGATGTGTTTCATTTATGTGTTTATGTGTTTCATTTATGTGTTTCATTTGCTGTGTTTTTAATTATGTACAACAACAACAACAACAACAAATCTTTATTACAATCGTAGACCAGCATAAGGAGGGAGGGGTACAATCATTTAAAATCTAAAAACGTTTGTTTGTTTGTTTTTAAACTAAACTAAAAGGAGTTAAAACAGAAAGTATATATAAAAGTCTATAAGAATACAAAAGAAGCTAAGGGGGTCTAAAAGAAGGGCTAGGAACATTAGACAAGAGTGAAAGAGCGTAAAAGGTTAGTATATATATAAGACTACAGCTATCAATCTAAAGAGCACTCTTAAGATGAGTGCTCATTATATCTAGTTTATGGCACAGATTTAATTATGTAAAATCTTTTGCGTATGGTTTGACGTATGGAAAAGTGGCATACAAATTAAAACTTGTGGATAGGAGCAGGGTAGGATCTTAAAGTGGCTTGAAGTTTTATGCCTCTGACTTCATTTTCAAAACTTGATACATCGGTAAGTAGTTAAAATTTGTCTTTCTGTGGCTTTAAAAAGGTGAAATAGTTTAAGTAAATTTCTTAGATTTTTGTTCTGAGGCAAAGCATGACTCTCGTTTCAGCAGAAAAAAAGTGTGTTATGGAGCAGAAGAGACCGACAACTCATTAAGCCTCAAAGGGCTTATTTCCCCCTCAGATCTGTTCGTGTCGGTTAGGCCTGTGTCGCAAATGGTCTTTAATTCTCTCTTTATCCTTTTGTAGATTGGAAACTGGAGACCTTAAAGCGGCAAGATGTCAACCAGGTACCTTACAGCTGGTTAACATTTGTCTTTAATTTAAGCTACCACAAGACATGCAGGTGGGAGAATGATTTATGGAGATTTTTTAAAAAATAGCCAGGTAATTTGATTTTATTTGTTCTGATCAATATGGAACTGGGCAGGCATGACAAGATTTTCAATATGCTAACCGGAGAGTAGAGATTGAAAGCATGCCAAACACTTCCTTTCCCTTTTGTGGGCAAAACTCCGCCTCAGTTCCATCACACCTATGGCATAATGTTACTGTCGGCCAGCACTAACGCTATAATCAGGATCACCCTTAACACTCAGAGTTTGTAACTGGGTTTGCAAACCCTTTTAACGGGGCAACTCATGGAACATTTATTTAATGTTTTGTTGTGTTTCCTATATATGTATTGTCAGGGAACTGACATCGGAGCCAGAGGCGGAGGCAAGGCTCCCAAGTGATGCTGGAGAAGGGCCCAGCAGGGAGAGAGGCAGCTCATCAGCTGGGGAAGGAAATCAGCGTAACACCAGGGATAAAGGGGGGCAGATGAGGGAATCGGCGAGGGGGCTCCAGGACTCCTCGCCGGAGACCAGCGGGGAGAGCACGGGTCCTCCGCTACCCACACCCTCCCTGCGCAGAAGACTTCCGCGCAGGGAGAGTAGGAGGAGACTTGGCGTCAAACAGCTTTTATGCTGGAAAAGGTTTAAGAGACGCCCACTGACGAATTCTGCTAGCGACTGAAACAGCCACGAAGTGAAGGGCTGTCCAGACAGGAAAGGTTTAACCAGGCAACCTAGCCAGGAGTGGCGGCAACTTACGCACGAGCAACCCCTATTATTATTATTACATGTATGTTGGCAGCTTCCCCGAGTGGCTGAGGCAGCCCAGTCAGATGGGCAGGGTACAAATTAATTATTATTATTATAAGATGGGTACATCATTCCAGTCAGAATTCTCGTTTTCCATAGTGTTTCCCCCTAACATAATGTCACAATGTATGGTTGCATAGAATTTGTTTAAACAAGCAAAAGCTCTGGAGAACTCAAGATTTGAACAAAGCTTGACTCATTGCCTAGGTTGGGCATGTTCAAAGTCCATTTTGGGGACCTCATCCAGCCCCTGTGGCAGTTTAAGCTCAACAACTTTGGTCGGTCCTCACGCATGTTCACTTCATCAAATCTGGCCCTCTTTGAAAAAAGTTTGGGCAACCCTAGCCTAGGTCATCTTATTTTATCTCTTGCTTTCTTCTTACTCTTGCAAAAACACACACAAACATCCACTGCAATCTTTCCCTTTAATGGACTAAGCTTTTGTTCTTTATATATGACATTGATTGTCTGCTGCTGCTGTACACCTGTATTGAACCTACTGCATGGAACTGTACTAAAAGCTGGTAAAAGGTAAAGGTAAAGGGACTCCTGACCATTAGGTCCAGTCGTGACCGACTCTGGGGTTGCGGTGCTCATCTCGCTCTATAGGCCGAGGGAGCCGGCATACAGCTTCCGGGTCATGTGGCCAGCATGACTAAGCCGCTTCTGGCGAACCAGAGCAGTGCACGGAAATGCCGTTTACCTTCCCGCCTGAGCAGTACCTATTTATCTACTTGCACTTTGATGTGCTTTTGAACTGCTAGGTTGGCAGGAGCTGATAGTCTTTCAATTAATAAAATTGTAAAAACGAAAAGAGAAAGATGGCTACCTCAGTGGCTCAGATCAGAAGCAGCATGCTGCTGAATGCCAGCTGCTGAGGAACGACTGTGGGCGAGAGCTATTGCCTTCACATCCTGCTTATCGTTTTTGCAGAGGCTTACTGTGGGATGCTGAATGCTGGACTGGAGAGCAGAGCCCTTGCTACTTTTCCCATTGCACAGCCACAGTTAGAAGATTGAGAACATTATGTCTGCAAAGGTCCTAGGCAGCATTCAGTCCTAGTGCGTCCTTGATCGCCTTGTGCCTGCCTCCCCCCGCCAAAAGCACAGAGCCCCTCTTGTTCCAGGCATTACATGACGTTTGTGTCCCTTCTGTACTGACCTACATTTCAATTTTCCTAAAAACAGTAAAACGTGGACAGTATTATTTCGAAGACCTAAAGTCTGCAGCAAGTTTTAAAGGACCTCACACTTTGTTTACATCAAAACGGATTTTTTGACTTTGTAATTTTACAGTCGGGACGCAGGTGGCACTGTGGGTTAAACCACAGAGCCTAGGGCTTGCCGATCAGAAGGTCGGCGGTTCGAATCCCCGCGACAGGGTGAGCTCCCGTTGCTCGGTCCTTGCTCCTGCCAACCTAGCAGTTCGAAAGCACGTCAAAGTGCAAGTAGATAAATAGGTACCGCTCCAGCGGGAAGGTAAATGGTGTTTCCGTGCACTGCTCTGTTTCGCCAGAAGCGGCTTAGTCATGCTGGCCACATGACCCGGAAGCTGTACGCTGGCTCCCTCAGCCAGTAAAGCGAGATAAGCTCCGCAACCCCAGAGTCGGGCACGACTGGACCTAATGGTCAGGGGTCCCTTCACCTTTACTAATTTTACAGCACTTCGCTTCACAGCCTTAAACTGAGTGTATTTTTCTCCTCAGGCTGATATAGCACCGCTGATGGCTTCTCTTATTGGAGTCCCTTTCCCCCTGAACTCTGTGGTAAGATGCATGCTAGTTGTTGGTTTTTTTCTTCTTCTCCTGGTTATGCAATTAGAATCCTTGATTGAGGGAAGCCTCCAGTGGGGAAGGGATGCAGGAGTCGGAGGATGCTAGAGAGAGCTGCAACACCGAGCCTGAGCCAAGCGGGGAGGAGGCAGGTCCCCCTTTGCCCACGCCCTATCTGCGCAGTCGGTTTACGCGCAGAGAGGGGAGGTGTAGGATGGGGGCCAAAAGACTGCTCTGCTGGGGAAAGTTTAAAGACGGTCCACTCCCAGATTCTGCTAGTGACTGAGCAGACTTGGAATTGAGACGTTCTGCGCTGTGAATGTTTTGCACAGATAATAAAGCCTTGAAAAGACCAGTGGGGGTCTTGCCTGTTCGCTCTCGAGCAACCACGCCGGCACACATAAAACAACCCTTGCAAGGAAAAATGGGGGCATAAATATTTTTAATAATTAAACTTACCATATCACCAGTGGCGGAGCCAGTGTGGGGTAGTGTTTTGGTGGTGTAGGGTTCATGTCTCCGCTCCTCCACCTGCAGCTGCTGGGTGACCTTGGGCTAGTCACACTTCTCTGAAGTCTCTCAGCCTCACTCACCTCACAGAGTGTTTGTTGTGGGGGAGGAAGGGAAAGGAGAATGTTAGCTGCTTTGAGACTCCTTTGGGTAGTGATAAAGCGGGATATCAAATCCAAACTCTTCTTCTTCTTCTTCTTCACCCAGGGGGTGGAGAGCAGGCGGGGGCATGGCTGGCATGCGTCCTGGGGGCATGGTGCACGTCAGTTAAGCATGTTGCTCTCTCTTTTTGTGATGGGTCAGCGCGATGCCAGTGGTGTGGGGTCATGGCCATGGGGCAGGGGAGAGACTGGTAGGTGAGATCCTGCTGCCCTTCGGTATATAATGACTTGGTACTGTAGAGTAGCAATTTCTGTTTCCCCGCGGAAACTGCTTTCATGTTTTTCTAGTCTTGGCTTCATCGGATCTTCGAATTGTAGAGGATCATCTAGTCCAACTTTTTGCAATGCAGGAATATGGAGCTGTCCCTTACGGGGATCAAACCTGCAATCTTGGTGTTATCAGCACCACACTCTTAACCAACTGAGCTATCCACAATGTGTCCATAAAACATGGGTTATTGGTGCCTTTTTCAGGGGAGTCTACCTCTGGAGTATCTGAACAACACGGCTCATTTTAAAGCAGAGAGTATGTTTACGAATGCTGCTCAGATTCTTGAACAATTTAAGGTAAATGAAATATTGCTCAAATGCAAACGTTACACGTCTTTCTAAATACATGCCGTGGAAAAATAACTTATAAAAGCTATTAGAGTGGAGAGAGCGAGAGCGCGCATTTAAATACCTAAGGCTGCAATTTAAAACGATAAAAGAATTTTTCTAAGATGTTGAATTTATAAATAAGAAGCAGCAGCATCAAGTAATTTTAGTTTAAATCCCTGCATCTGTTTTTTACTGTAACAGCTTGATACTTTTCATTGACTTAAGGAGAAATGTAAATATTTCACGATACTTGTGGTATTGTGTATAATACTGTATAATACTGTATTAGAATGAGGAGTTTAAGGGACAAACTCTGGCTAGCCAGTGTGAATTGTTGCCACTGAAAGCAATGCATTCTACCAGCGGGGTCAGATGGGTCCTGGAATTGAATTCCAATCTTGCTAATGACTATTGCTGGCAATCCTCAAAGTGTTCTGCTGGCACGGGTCCTATTCAAGCAACTGGGACTTGAATCGCCAGCATTTGCAGAGTTGGGGTTTGCATTTCCTCTTCAGCCGGGTTTGGAACATTCCCGTTACAATCTGTGCATATGGCTTCTGGTACATGCCAAAGAAAGCAGAAAAACCAAATGTTCCCAAACTCAAGCCATTCATCTGTTTCAGACCAAGAGACCAGCTCCCATAGGTGCCAGTCTGCTCTTTAAGGTCATTAAAAGAGGACCTCTTACGTGTCTGAAGTATGTTTCATTGCAACAAAGGAGGGGGCCTTCTTACAAAATGTGCCTAGATTTTGAAACTCCTCCTGAACCCGCTAACATTGTGCACCCTTCTTGTTTGCTTGTTGGACTTCAACTTCTATCACCCTTGGCTGTTGGCCATGCTGTCTAGGGCTGATGGGAGTTGCGAGTCTACCAGCATCTGTATCTAGTTTGTGGTGTGAATTTTAGCCTCTCTGAATGTTTAGGAAGCCCAGGATATAGATAGATAGATAGATAGATAGATAGATATACAGTCGTACCTTGGAAGTCAAACGGAATCCGTTCTGGAAGTCCATTCGACTTCCAAAGCATTTGGAAACCAAAGCACAGCTTCTGATTGGCTGCAGGAAGCTCCTACAGCCAATCGGAAGCTGCGGAAGCCCTGTCAGATGTTCGGCTTCCTAAAGAACGTTCGAAAACCAGAACACTCACTTCCGGGTTTCGATCGCAAGGCACAACTCTCTCTCTCTCTCTCTCTCTCTCTGTGTATCTATCTGGATGAGAGTGGCTCACACAAAAATGGTCTGCTCCCGGACAGCTATACTGAGGGGAAGGCATAAGTTGCTGCTCCTGGTTCTTATGCCTCTCTTTGGGTAAAATTTTGGACTATATTGCTCCTAGATGTCTTCACTCGAGGAGTCAGAACCAGGTATAACGTGGAGTTTCTAGGACACCACCAGAGCAAATTAAATTTGGGTGTATCCATTATGGGAAAGAAAGCTGGTGTAGGTGTAATCTTAGTCGATCTCTAAAGAGACTTGTAGTGATCCACTCAAAGGACCCTGAGGTAATGCTCACCATGCCTCTCCTCGCTCCTTCCTTCTCAAACCATATATCTGAATCCTTCTCCCCCACTGGCTGTGTTTAGGGCTGCACACTTACTTGGGAGTAAGCCTCACCAAACACTGAGGCTTGCATCTGAGGAAACATGCTCAGGCTGCATTTAAAAAAATAAAAAAATAAAAATCCTTTGTATGATAGATGCAGAAGGTTGGCATGCATCTCCATATTTTTCTCAATTCATTTCCCTAACAGTATACAGTACACTGCTTTTTGTTTAAACCTGTCGTTCTTTCTCAGATTAAGATGGCACAGAAGAAGAAAAGCACACTCTCATTCCTGTTTTCACCATTCAAGTAAGGATGTCCTCAATGTTACTGTGTTTCCTTAATGACATTTTTAAAAAAATCTCTTTGCTTTTCTGTCAGATACTGATGATAAAGGAATAACCGGACTGATAGGGATATTTACTGAGCTGCGTGGGATCAGTGCTTGGATTGAGAACATGTAAACACTTAAAAGCAGAGCTAGGTGGGCCCAATATGATGTAAATAATTATGACGTGGTGGGGTGTTGTGAGGATAAATATTTAGAGGAGGTCATGAATATCAGTGCCAGCTGCAGGCTTACCCCAGTTTACTCCTGATTTTCTTATCAATTGCCATGGAGAGTAGGAGAAGATAGACCCAAGTTGTTGGCTCAGGATGATGGCTTGAGGAAGTGGACTGTGATACAGTGGTACCTCAGGTTAAGTACTTAATTCGTTCCGGAGGTCCGTTCTTAACATGAAACTGTTCTTAACCTGAAGCACCACTTCAGCTAATGAGACCTCCTGCTGCCGCCGCACCGCCAGAGCACAATTTCTGTTCTCATCCTGAAGCAAAGTTCTTAACCTGAGGTACTATTTCTGGGTTAGCGGAGTCTGTAACCTGAAGCGTATGTAACCTGAAGTGTATGTAACCTGAAGTGTATGTAACCCGAGGTACCACTGTACTCAGAAAGGGAAAAACTGAGCAAGCATAGTGCTCACTGCTCCTGTCTCTATCCCCCTCTAGAGATGGGAGATAAATTACGAGGGGACTGTGTAGCTGACATCTGCTTCCTATTTACAGCAAACAATTTAATCCTGCTTTTTCCAAGTATTTTGCGACACCAGCCAATAAGACCATAAGAGCGTAGTACAGACGTCGTCAATTAAAACCACTCTAAATTAAAAGAACCACAGAAATGACTGAGTGCTACCAGGTCCCTGCTGGAAGAAGAGGGGTTTTGTGAACCTCTCTGAACATTTAATGATCCGCTGTTCAGAAAGAAGGAAAGCTGTGGCAGCAAATGACTCTTTGCTGTTTACTGTTCTAATATGCTGCAAAGACATAACAGGCAGCAGTGTCTGTTGGCCAGACCTCAGTTGCTGAGTGGGCTTCTTAGAACGTATGGCCATATCTATAGTAAAGCATATTCTAAAGAAGAATGACCGGAATTACAACTCGGAATGAGTGCTCAGAATTCTCATAACAGTTCCTTTAACTCCCTCTGAGAACTATGGTCTGCAGGACTTTTTGTGGAGAAGAAACACCGTATTTTTTGCACCATAACACTCACTTTTTTCCTCCTAGAAAGTGAGGGGAAATGTCTGTGCGTGTTATGGAGCAAATGCCTACGGATGGCGGGGGGATCCGCTGCAGTCGTGAGCAGAGGATCCATGGTTCCCCTTCCTTCCCTCCTCCGTGACTTGCTTTGAAACAGCAAAGCGGGAGAAGAGCCGCTGAGTGGGGAGGAGAGGGACAGAGAGCCTGCTTGCTTTAAAGGAGCAAAGCAGGAGAGGAGAGGAGCCTTCTCCTCTTATACCCCTCTTCTGCATTATTAACAGCATCCTTCTCCACCCACCCCACGTGTGTTCCTTGTCCCTTGAGTGCTTTTCCTTCCCTCCCCACTTAAAACGTGGTTACAAAGCACGGATCTACATGGATCCTCAGGATTTTTGCACTGGGTCACCCCAAATTCACCATCAGATCACATAGCATGTCCATGGCTATAGCTTGCACCAAAAAAATCACACACCCACTGTTGCCTGGGGCCGCAGTGGTGCAAAAACATGGTTACAAAGCATGGATCCTCAGGATTTTTGCATTGGGCTACCCCAAACTCACCGTCAGATCACATGTCTGTGGCCACAGCATGAACCACAAAAATCATACATCCGCTGTTTCGTTTAGAATATTTTTTTTCTTGTTTTCCTCCTCTAAAAACTACATGCGTGTTATGGTCGGGTGCGTGTTATAGAGCGAAAAATACGGTAATTTATAAAGCAGTTTTCCTTTGTAGTGAACATATTCCCTACAGTCAGCACTTTGAGTATCTCTCTGAATTTTAATAAAGGAGGGGGGTGGGACAAACTAAAATGTACAAAATAGCCCCATCCACATACATTCCTGATCAAGGAAGTGAAGCTGTCATAGAATTCACATTCATAGAATCCTAGAGTTAGAAGAGACCCTGAGGATCATCTAGTCTAGGATCTTTATTTATTTAATGTGTTATCTGCTGGATCCTCTCCCCCAAAGTCCCTCTGGTTCCAAAGAGATGAACAAGTAGCCTGCAGACCACTGTTAGAATAAAAACAGTGACCAATATATTTTTCTTAGCGTTATTGCATGCAGTGCTTATATCACAAGAGTGCTATGCATGCATTAGGTCAGTCAGCCTTACAATAACCTTGTAAGGTAGATCAATATTTTTATCCCCATGTTTCAGTGGAGCTAGGCTGAAAGTTTGTAGTGAATGGCTTGCCTCAGGCCATCATCATCATCTAGTGAGCTCTTCTTGTCCAAGATAGGGATTGAATTTGGGAGCGTCCCTTGTTCAACTCCCTGTCTCTTAACCACTGCATTCCTCTAGGCCATGGGTAGGCAAACTAAGGCCCGGGGGCCGGATCTGGCCCAATCGTCTTCTAAATCCGGCCCATGGATGGTCTGGGAATCAGCATGTTTTTACATGAGTAGAATGTGTCCTTTTATTTAAAATGCATCTCTGGGTTATTTGTGGGGCATAGGAATTCATTCATCCCCCCCCCCCAAATATAATCTGGCCCCCCACAAGATCTGAGGGACAGTGGACTGGCCCCCTGCTGAAAAAGTTTGCTGACCCCTGCTCTAGGCTATGTTCTTACTAAATATGCCAAAAGCCTTAACTTTCTATCTATCCTTGATCTTTGCATAAAGGGCTAAAGCCTTAAACAGCTTGTTTTTTTTCATTTATTTTATTTCACGAAATGTATACACCATTCAATTTTTAAAACAACAACAACCCCCAAAGTGGTTTTCAAAAAAACAAAAACCAATAGTATTATTGGTAAGAACAATTAAGATAGCTATTTAAGACATTCAAAAGATTAAAACCAGCAACAAACTAAAAACAACACCACTGTACGCATGTGTACCTGTTTTTCACCGGAACAGCTTTTTTATTTTTATGCATGCTTGGCCTTTGCAACATGGAGAGTTTACTTTAAATTATTATTTGTGGCAATCTTCTCCTGCTTCCCTCATTAAGCCCCGTTCACTCGAAAGTGTCTTGCATCACGTCTTTCAGGCCTTGAGGCTAAAGTTGCTATTTCTAGTCCCTGCTGAATTCTTCTGACTCTGCTGCAGTGTTGGCCAGAGGAGTTGCTGTAGATCACATATTTTCCTCCCTCTGGCCTTTAATTGACCCTGACTCTTTAATTTATTTACATGCAAAATACATAAGTGTGCAAATTCTCAGCCTTTTAAAAAATAATCTGCTTTGTTGTCATGAGCGGCTTAGATATTTCATCTCACCAATTTATGCCCATTGAGAAACTTACTTTTTTAAAACTTCTTTTAATGTGTGTGTTTTAAGTAACGGGGGGTAGAAACAGACTCATGTGTATGGTAGTATGTGCTAAGCACAGATTTCCCACTTTAAAATTGTTGGGTTTGTTTGCTTTTACTTGTTTTATAAGGTTTAGTGACATCCCACCCCACAGGAAGAAAGCCATATCTGCAGAGATGGCCTCATTCAAAAGAGCTCAATAGCCAGACTGAACTCTTGTTATGGTTCTTCATTTTCATCACAGACTTGGTGTTTGAACTGTCAATTTCTCTTTTCTTTACTGGGAGACATGAATGATGTGGTGGAAATATTAATTTTGTCATGTATATTCCCAGTGAGAGCTACTAACATCCCCTAAGGGACAATTTACAAGCCTTTGCACAATTAGTGCTGATGTTTAGTTACATAATTAATTGTTCTTACACAGGAACGATGTTGTTTATATTCTTGTAACAAAGCAGATTCCCCTCCACCCTCCCACTGTTGACGATAAGCCTCTACAGTTTTCAAGGCTATAATCTCAAGCCTCTTGGGCTTGCTCAGTATTACATCGGTGCAGTGATCTGTAAGATGCAGTGAGCATCCATTCAAACCTCCCAGATTTTCACTGCCTACACATACAGTGGTACCTCTACTTACGTTCACTTCCGGTTACGTATCCTTTGGGATACGTACGTGGCAAACCCAGAAGTATTTTTCCAGGTTTCACCCAGCACATGTGCAGAAGCGCTTAACCGCACCACGCGCATGTGCAGAAGTGGTCCCTCTGGTTGCGGAAACCTCAGGATCCGACCAGAGCTCCGGAACAGATCCTGTCTGCAACCGGTGCTACCACTGTTGCAGATGAGTATTGTGGATTCAGAAGCTTGGCAATTAAGATTTCCTCCCCCAGCCAACCGGATTAAAAAGAAGATGAAGCTGCTCTTCTCTAACACCCTGTCTAATATATCCTTTACATTGCATAACTTGCTGCTCTCTTTAGCGGATCCCCTCAGGTTCCATGGTTTTCTTCAGACGAAATAAATCTCCTTGCGTTCTGTGGCGCTTCGTAACCTAAAAACTCTCCAGGGAAAATACAGCATTTTTTTCTAAAAAAAAGTTTGCACTGGTCCCTTGTAGACACGCTTTTAAGCAAGATGGCAATCTATAGATGAGGGCATTGTGTGTGTATTATTTTTCTTTTAAAGTAACAATCACAGCTTTTATAGAGCAAAACAGATAGAACACTGTATTGCAAGAAGTTTGCCCACTCTTATTCTTCCATCCTCAAAAGAGAAATATAACTGAGACTAAAATAAAATAAAATTCCTCTATCTTGTGCATAGATCTCTCTCTGAATCGAAACAGATTGACATCCTTAGAAAAGCAAGGACTTCTATTCATCATGGGAAATACGAGGAAGCGGTAAGTGAACAGAAACAGTCCCTTCCATCTTCCCTTAGTCTTCTGTGTGGTATTTTAGCGAACTGTTAAAGAGATGGGGAAATAATTTTCAAACTGAGGGCTGCATTTCCCTCTGAGTAAACTTCCGAGGGGGACGCGGGTGGCACTGTGGGTTAAACCACAGAGCTTGGACTTGCTGATCAGAAGGTCGGCAGTTCGAATCCCCGCGATGGGGTGAGCTCCCGTTGCTCGGTCCCTGCTCCTGCCAACCTAGCAGTTCGAAAGCATGTCAAAGTGCAAGTAGATAAATAGATACCGATCCGGCGGGAAGGTAAACGGCATTTCCGTGTGCTGCTCTGGTTCACCAGAAGTGGCTTAGTCATGCTGGCCACATGACAAAGAAGCTGTATGCTGGCTACCTCGGCCAATAAAGCGAGATGCAACCCCAGAGTCGGTCACGACTGGACCTAATGGTCAGTTCCATCCTAAGAACTTTTTGATTTGGGCTTTCTGTGAACTAATCCACTTGTCGACAGCTGGTTGAAATTTTGCTTTGTCTGCCTTGCATTGCAAAACCTGGCAAACAGTTTGCAGTAGTTTAAACTGAAACCGCAACCCCAGAGTCGGTCACGACTGGACCTAATGGTCAGGGGTCCCTTTACCTTTAAACTTCTGAGGTCAACTTGCTGGTGGCGAGGCAGCGACAGATGCAAGAGTGGCCCCTTTTTAAAAACCATTTTTTAATACAATAGGCCAGTTTCTTCGCATGTCCCGCTATATTTTCCATCCATACAAGCAAGACGTGTCATCGGAGTCCAAGGACACGTTCCAGCCAGGCAAAAACAGTCAAGTGGGGTCCAAAGCAGGGCTGGTGAGGGGAAAAGGGGTGTGGCTAGGGAGAAGTTGTGCGCTTTGGAGAGTCCTAAGGGCCAGATAGAGATGTCTAGACTAGAGGGTCAAATTTGACCCATGGGGCCTGAGGCTCCCCTCCCCACCTTATCTGGGCCTTCCTTCCTTCCCCTATTGCTATCTAGTGGTAGAACGTTTACATTTGATGTAACAGGGACACGGGTGGCGCTGTGGTCTAAACCACCGAGCCTCTTGGGCTTGCCGATCAGAAGGTCAGTGGTTCGAATCCCCGCAACGGGGTGAGCTCCCATTACTCTGTCCCAGCTCCTGCCAACCTAGCAGTTCAAAAGCACGTCAAAGTGCAAGTAGATAAATAGGTACTGCTGCGACGGGAAGGTAAACGCCATTTCCGTGCGCTCTGGTTTCCGTCATGGTGCTCTGTTGCGCCAGAAGTGGTTTAGTCATGCTGGCCACATGACCCGGAAAACTGTCTGTGGACAAACGCCAGCTCCCTTGGCCTGAAATGAGATGAGCACTGCAACCCCATAGTCTCCTTTGACTGAACTTAACTGTCCAGGGGTCCTTTACCTTTTACATTTTATTTTTCAATTCATTTCAAAGTTTCATCACTGGTAGTTGGGTTTGTCTATGAAAGTTGGGTTTGAACCCAGTTGTGAGTCAGTCTTGAGAGCAATAGGGTTATATTGGTTGTTTCCTTCCTATAGGTTTCTCTTTGCAGCAAGCTGATTCGCCTTGCTCTGGAAGGACTCTCATATTATCATACGTACGACAGGTTTTTCCTGGGCTTCAGTGTCACCATGGGTTTTGTGGGCTGGACACTTTATGTCATTTTGATTATTACAAAGATGCATACTGATCTGACGAGGAGTATCACAAATAAAGAGGTAAGTTCAGCTCTGCCACTTCTGGGGTCTGCCTGCTTAATAATAATAATAATAATAATAATAATAATAATAATAATAATTTATTACTTATACTCCACCCATCCGGCTGTGCCTTTCCAGCCACTCTGGGCAGCTTCCAACAGGATACTAAAAACACAATAACACATCAAACATTAAAAACTTCCCTAAACAGGGCTGCTTTCAGATGTCTTCTAAAAGTCAGATAGTTGTTTTATTTTCTTGATGTCTGATGGGAGGGCGTTCCACCACTACCAAGAAGGCCCTCTGCCTGGCTCCCTGCTTCTTGCAGTGAGGAAATCGCCAGAAGGCCCTCAGAGCTGGACCTCAGTGTCTGGGCTGAACAATGGGCTTGGAGACACCCCTTCAGGTATACTGGGCTGAGGCTGTTTATGGCGTTTTCTGTAGCAAGTTAGCTCAGTGTCTGGCTTGGCAGGCCTACACAGGTATTGTTATTTATTACATTTATATCTTGTACTTTCACCTGAGTAGAGCTGAGAGTGGCAAAAAACACACACAAAAACAACACACAAGTGCCAAGGGGGAAAAAGGTCTTAAAAACAGTGCTGGATCAACCAGTGTTTTTCCAGCATTTATTCATCTGCAAGAAATGTTAAACCAAGGTTAAGGAGAAGGGGGCTACCTCTTTCTCATACATCTGACACAAAAATAATCCTATGACATGTTTCCTGGTATCTCATGCGTCTATTTAAATAGGGAGGAAAAAAGGTTTTCTCTGACAAGTGCTCAAACACATATGCACAGTTGAAAAGATGAACTGAGAGCAAAGACGTTATGCTGTGGAAAAATTAAACCTCTGAAAACCTTTCATTGTGAAAGGATTTGCTTTGTTTGGTGACACAAATGAAGATCGCTGTTTTCCTAGCATTTCCCAATAAATTCATGTGAGCAGAGCCTTGGCCTTTTGCAAAGTACAGTGTAAGATGAGATAAGCTGGGCTGATTAATTATTCTAAATAATTCAAAGAATACTTAGAGACAAAACGTTTCATACCTTGTGTTTAGTCTCAAATATCCTCTCCCTGTACGATTCTGAAGAATATTTAAAGATGTAATTTTAGAGCTGAATTTCTGGAGGTGTTTGAGAGTATTACATATTACATCTCTAAATATTTTTAAGCATCTGAGAGTAAATTATTTAAAATGTTCACATTGCTTTTTAAACAATGGGGCTCGTATCCCTTGGAGCTCACAAGAGCAAATTGGATTTTTTAAAAAAGGTGCCATACCACTTCTCACTACTTGTAATTATATCTGACCTTTCTTTCAAAGAACTCGAGGTAGAATATGTGGCTTCCCTGTTTTTATCCTCACAACAGCCCTGTTAGGTAGGTTAGGCTAAGATGTGGTCATTGGCCAAAGATCACCTTGTGCATTTTATGGAATGAATGGGAGATTCGAACTGTGGTCTCCACAGTCTTGGTCTGACACTCTAACCACCAAGCTACACTGATTCCTTAGAACATGTGTATGCCTTCATTTCCCCACAGATGAATCCTGGTAGGGTTTATATTCCTGGATGTATATGGGTGCAATTTCACAAACAAGTATCTATCTTTTTTAATCTGCGTTGTTCGGCAGAGGGTATAATATGTGCGTATATAGGAAATTGCCTAGGCCAGGCATAGGCAAACTCAGCCCTCCAGATGTTTTGGGACTACAACTTCCATCATCCCTGACCACTGGTCCTGTTAGCTAGGGATGATGGGAGTTGTAGTCCGAAAACATCTGGAGGGCCGAGTTTGCCTATGCCTGCCTAGGATAACATTAGAGATAAGTAAAAGGTAGATGTTGGATTTTTCTGTGCTCTTTCCTCATATATATTGTGCCTGTTTGTATCTGCCTAGCATTGTTTTTCAAATCCGCATAAGAAATCCTCATATTATTGGTATATACAGTCATACCTGGGTTGACAAACGCCCTGGAACTTGGACGTTTTGGCTCCCGAATGCCGCAAACCCGGAAGTGATTGTTCCGGTTTGTGAACGTTCTTTTGGAACCCAAACGTCTGACGGGGCTTCCGTGGCTTCTGATTGGCTGTAGGAGCTTCCTGCAGAAACCGCGATTTTGTTTTCAAACATTTTGGAAGTCGAATGGACATCCAGAACGGATTCCATTCAACTTCCAAGGTATGACTGTATTCTCATTTAGGCAGATTTGAATCTTCAGTGATATAAATCCTTGCTGGAAGAAATGTTTTTTTAGAAACTTGAGTTTCCTTAAAGTTATTTACACAGATGCTGGTTTTTGTGATTTGTGGAATGTTTTGATTTACAAGTGCACTGCCAGAATAACAACTAAAAATTAATTTGTTCAAAGAGAAGGAATTCATTCTCTCCCCCCCCCAACTCCCTCTCTCTGATCATGATCCCGCAAAGCTGTATACAGTGGTACCTCTGGTTAAGAACTTAATTCGTTCCGAAGGTCCGTTCTTAACCTGAAACTGTTCTTAACCTGAAGCACCACTTTAGCTAATGGGGGCCTCCCGCTGCCGCTGCGCTGCCGCCGTGCGATTACTGTTCTCATCCTGAAGCAAAGTTCTTAACCCGAGGTACTATTTCTGGGTTAGCAGAGTCTGTAACCTGAAGCGTCTGTAACCCGAGGTATCACTGTATTTGGTCTGTCCCATAAATTTTGTTGAGAAAGTGTATATGTCAGATAGATGCATGCTTCTTCTACAGAAATGATCGGGGTAGGCCTTTCAGAGAGCAGAGCTCCATGTACACAACACACGAAGATGGAACTTGCAAGACAAGAACACTTCTGAAAATGGCAACCTTATATAGAGTTCGCCTCCGCCGTAGGGTATATAAGTGAAACTTGGCAGTGTCCCTTTGTTATCACAGTGGCACTGTTGGATTGTAACACTGATTGGAAAGCCTAGCTAGGCAGATTAGCCTGTGAGCAAGCTGTGTGCTGATGCATGCAGCTCAAGTTCTCCTCGCTTGGCTCCTGCCTTCCTTGAGCAGCAAAACAAAACCACGAGTTGCGGCCTGCTTAGCAATTACATCTGAACCAAAACCTGTGGTCTGCTTCTTCTCAACAAACCTTGAGCAGGAAGCCGAGGTTTGTTTTTAGGCTCTAGGAAGGCCAGGAGCAAAGCACAGGGTGCTTGAGCTGTGTACACGAGTGTACAGTGTATTCACAGAATAATTTCCCTCACTGTGCTTTGAGGCAAGAGTTTACAACTGAACGTGGCAGCTGTTTCCCCCTGATTCTGTTCTGTATTGTCGGTGGTTGCTGATGATGCGGGAGAGAGGGAAGACAGGGAAATGAGTGGCTTGGAGATGTCAGGACACAATGGCATTTCATTGTGTGTTACAGAGTTGGCTAATTCAACATGACCCCTTATGATAGTATCTAGTTCCATTCTGGGACGTGGGTGGTGCTGTGGGTTAAACCACAGAGCCTAGGACTTGCCAATCAGAAGGTCGGCGGTTCGAATCCCCACGACGGGGTGAGCTCCCGTTGCTCGGTCCCTGCTCCTGCCAACCTAGCAGTTGGAAAGAACGTCAAAGTGCAAGTAGATAAATAGGTACCGCTCCAGCGAGAAGGTAAACGGCATTTCCGTGCGCTGCTCTGGTTCGCCAGAAGCAGCTTAGTCATGCTGGCCACATGACCCGGAAGCTGTACGCTGGCTCCCTCGGCCAATAAAGCGAGATGAGCACCGCAACCCCAGAGTCGGTCACGACTAGACCTAATGGTCAGGGGCCCCTTTACCTTTTTAGTTCCATCCTAAGAACTTTTTGATTTGGGCTTTCTGTGAACTAATCCGCTTGTCAACAGCTTGTTGAAATTTTGCTTTGTCTGCCTTGCATTGCAAAAGCTGGCAAACATTTTGCAGTAGTTTAATCTGAAACATTAAAATAAAATATTTGCAATGTTAAAGTAATATTTTACAAGTATCTGTTTTATTTTCAGGGAGCCGGTTGTCTTTTCCAGTATACGTTTCTCGCTGTCGGGGTGTTAATCGCCATTTTCCTGCTCATTCAAAGCTTGCCTTGGACTTATTACATATATTGTCTGTTACCAGTCCCGATATGGTATGCAGTTTTGAAAGAGTAAGTTTTCAAAAAGGAGGGGTGGGAGGTAGGGAATCTGTATGGCTTCATTTGAAGTTGATCAAGAGGGAGCAAAAAAGCAAAGAAAGCTTTGGAACAGATGAGTAATACCTTCTAAAGTGGCCTGATATCTATTATTTATTTATTTCAAGTGTAATTCTGCTTCTAAGAAATATTGCAAAATGGTTTACCAAGGAAATCAAACAACAAGATTAAATCATATGGCATATAAAGCAAAGGGGGGGGGGGAAACAGATGAAACATCAGAAGTTGTGTGATACAACTTTCAGTCATACAGTATCCGCCCAAATTCTACGTTCACTAACTCTTTCAATCACTTCAAGTTAATGCACACTAGCAAGTTCCTATTCCCTCACCCTCAGCTTGAAAACCTGCGCAGGAAAAGTTAAAATCTTGCAATATTCATGCGCCATCCACACAAAAATAAAAGCGTGATTACGCTGCTGATGCGCAAGTGCTTTTAATATGGCAGAAAGGTAGTTGAATAACACAATCCCCTACTTTCTGAGCAGCAAATTACCTGATGTGTGCTTTTTTATTTTTGATTGGGTAAATTGTTCTGTAGACTCTATGCAATAAAATTTGATCGGCATTGTTATTTATGGTTGTTTTTTGTGTGTGGCTCCTGCTGTGCAGTGAACCACATTCTGTAGGCTAGTACAATATGTATTGATTGCGGACAGAGTAGCAGTTCATTGTCAGAAGTGCCAACATTTCGTTTCATTTGGTATTCCACCTTCGTGGAATGGTTGAGGGAAAGGGCAAACTGGGCATTTGAACTATGTGTAGCGGGAGATGATGAAGGAAGTGTTGTGTCTGGACTCTGAGTGAGAGATAGGAAAGTCTGCAGAATTTAATTCTGCTCTCTAGCTACTGAAGGCACCCCTCTGATCCAGGCTACATATGATGTCTTTCGTCTTTCTAAGTTCACTGTCTTGTACACTGATGTATACGAAGCAGAAACCTGTGCCACGCAAAATTTGAACTGGCCCAAAGTAGATAATTCAAGTCATGTCGGTAAATAGTTATTCTCTCGTTTCATGCTGCACTGGAAACTGCTGTTTCCAGTTCATAGGCATTGAGGTTCAGGTGACAATCTATGTACTTTCTGATGTGATAAAAAATAATAATTGCCTAATGTAATCTTTTCATACAGATACCCAGTTATTCAGAGACTAGTCGCATCTTTCGTGAACTTTCAGCCAGCTCAGCTTGCTGGATTTTTACTCGTTTGCATCCTGGGAATTGAAATATTAGTAAGTGATACACCTAATTATTGATTTTCATTAATTAGCTTCCACTACTTCATTGGAAACCTTTTAAAAAAAAATAAATCGTACATTTAAACTATAATGAAAAGGATGAATACAGAAAATGTTTTGAGAAATTAAAACTGGGCTATGAAGATATTATTTGGGATATTATTTGTTTGAGGAGAATGTCAGTCTTGCTAACATGTCTGTATTTCTCTCCTCTACCTCCATTGCTAAATCTAGGTTTTCTCATTTTTCTATCGCTCCTCCCTCAGTTTTGGCCTGATTATCTTTTCCATGTGGCCATTGGTTACTCAGCAGTGGAACCAAGCAAAGGTATTTAATGTGCAGAGAGATTCTGATTCTTTTACTTATTTAAGATATTTTCACCCCATTCTTCAGCCGAAAAGGATCCCAGGGTGGCTTATAGATCCAAAAAACATGAGACGGTCCTTTCCCTCAGACTTGCAATCGAAAAGCCATGATCCAAAAGTGGGGGGGGGGGGGAGAATGAGGATGGAGAAAAACAAGCAAATTCAGGCACCAATTCTTAAAAGTTGCACAATTCTCGTAGCAGCCAGCTGGTCATTACACAAATCCATGTGGCTCCTAAGTCCCTTTCTGCTTTAATGTCACAGAGCTTTAAATACGTTCTTGAGAATGGGGTTGAAAGGCTTCTCTAATTTTATGACTGTGTGGCAGGTCAATGGGAAAGTCACTTCACCCCACAATTGTGCATCTGAAGAGTGATTAGTTTTGCCTTTTATCGCACTTCTTAACCGTACGATTTAAGGATGAACTGCAGCTTTATTCACATTTTGACCACACACTACGCTTTGGTAATCCTTAAATATAGAAACCTAGGGTACTGAATTACCGTATTTTTCGCTCCATAAGACACACTTTTTTCCTCCTAAAAAGTAAGGAAAAATGTCTGTGCGTCTTATGGAGTGAATGTGTGGTCCCTGGAGCCGAATTGCCCAGGGGCAAAAAGCAGATCATGCCTTTTTTTTTAGAAAGAGGGAAGGGGGTGTTGAAGCAAAACCGCTGAGCAGCTGATCGGCAAGCGATTGGGAGGGATAAGGGACTCTAGAGATAAAGGAGGCTGCCTAGGAGCGGGGAGGTAAAAGCACTTGGATCCTCACGATTTTTGCACTGGGTCACCCCAAATTCACCATCAGATCACATAGCATGTCCATGGCTATAGCCTGCATCAAAAAAATAATGCATCCACTGTTTTGTGCGGCCGCAATGGCACAGATCCACATGGATTCTCAGGATTTTTGCATTGGACTACCCCAAACTCACTGTCAAATCACATATCATGTCTGTGGCCACAGCATGAACCACAAAAATCATACATCCACTGTTTCATTCAGAATTTTTTTTTCTTGTTTTCCTCCTCTAAAAACTATGTACGTCTTATAGTCAGGTGTGTCTTATGGAGCGAAAAATACGGTACCTTGTAGTTTATGTGGTGCTGGCCCGGGACATCTTTCCACTAGAGAAAGCAGAAAAGGCTGCCACCCCCCCTCACTGCCTTTACCCTCTTCTTCTGCTGCGTGCCCACCCACTGCAGCCAACAAAGGTCACCAACAAACACAGGAGGTTGTTTTATTGGGCTCCCCGATCAGGCAGAAGGTCCTATTTGGATTTTAGCAAACCTGAGTAGAAGCCCACTCCAGATCTTTCCCTGCTCAGCCCAGGAAGGCCAGGAACTAAGCGGGCGGGACCATCATGCACTGGGACACTGGGGGAAGATTTGCATGCAGTCCCTAGCCGCCGTCCCTGCTTTCAACTACTGCTTTCAGCCCAATGCCTGAACATGCCTTGAGTGCGAAACGTAGCCTTTCGCCCAAAGCTTGCGATGGATAACTCTTAAATGACGTGTGAGACAGAAGGTTGCATTTGGTGCAGGCATATTTTTATTGAGGATTCGGAGACCTCCAAATGGCAATTTTGACATGACCTCACCTGAACCCTGCTGTTTCCACTTTGTCTTTCAGTTCCCATAATTAGTTTTATTCGCACACGTGACTCATTTATTTGGTGTTTCTTTTCATTGCTGTAGACCATCGTGCTAAGCTGGATTCTTTCGTGTTTGCTTCTGGCAGTCTTCCCCTTGATGCCTGTTGTAGGAAGAAAGCCAAGTTTCTCTCTAGTGTAAGAGCACAAATAAAATTATTCCGAGCCTCCTTTGGCATGCACAGATTTTGTTTTCATTGGGCGGGGATTATGTTATTGAAAGCGTATCGCCACTATTGTTGAATTCCAGAATTTAAACAAGGTAATTGTGGAGGAAATGCATGGTTTTTGTTTTTTTTTATGAGGTTTGTTATTGAAAACTTCATTTTTGGAGCACTGCTCTCCTTTTTGCTGGAGAAAGGCATCCTAGAGTGGTTTCTCTCTATAAATGTCTCCCTCCTTGGGGGAAATCCTATCCTTGTTTCAGTCTTCTTTCAGAATAGAGTTAAGATATTTCTAAAAGCTCCTACTAGTTGTAGAGCTATGAGCTCTATGGAGACCTTTCCTCCTTTCTTTACTTACCTGCCATGAAGAGGGAAAGCCACTGAAACAGCATTGTTGGGGATTGCCTTCTGGGTCCAGGGAGCAGAGGGGAAGAACAGAAGTTAGAGGCCTGCAATCACAGCATTGGTGACATGGTTTGCAGGCTCTTCTCTGCAAACAGAGGGACAGAAGGATCCGCAAGTGGACTTGGGACCTGGTGGAGTTAGGAGATGCAGCCATTCACTGAGAAAGGAATCAATGTTTATACAACTTCCTTGCTTAGTTACTGGAAGGTAATTCTTCCTCTGTAAATTGCCAAGTTAGTGGCTTTTTAAATTTTTGGCACAATACAGGAAATTGTGAAGTTATGGTGAAACAGAGTCTTGTGAAAGGGAAGGAGGACATCGTCAAAACTTCTTGACTCTGTCTTCCTCCTAGTTCCCAAAAGCTTAGATTAATGTTTTATGCGTGTTGTATAGTTGCCCTTCAGTAACATGATTTCAACTTTATGAAAATTATTCCTAAAACTATATATTCTTTAAAAAAATCACACAGCCTCACAAATATCTTCTGTTTTACAGAACCACAGCAGGGTTGCTGATTCTGTTGCTGGCTTCATCTTACCTGGTGACATGCCTCTGGAAACAGAAAAAGAAACACATGCCTTGTAAAGAACTCACAATATACCTCTTTCAGGTCAGTGACTTCTGTAAACATGAATTATTGAGAAGTGTAGCTTTCATTTATGCAGTCACTATTAAAAAAAATATCAGTTCTGCGTATTCTTCTGGGCCAGCTTACTTTTTACCACGAGTTTCCCCACTGATTTGATATTTCTTAAGGCACTTGTAATGATTGGCCGCAACATAGCACCTCCAAGGAGCAAGCAGAACTCCAAATGTGTTTCTCTAATCTGTTGTGAATGCTAGAACGCTCCACGTTTACAAAGGAGGATCTCTGTGTAACCGATTCATTTTGAGAACTTGCTGTTGAGTGAAGGGAGCCTGTGTCATGATAAACCATGAATTCGCATTTTTGGTCCATTTCTCTGCTACACCCAAACCATGATCTCCTAGTCTGCATTTAACACTAGGTCAGTAGTTGTAGTTTGTTCCCTCTGTGTGCTATTAATAGGTGGAATAGTCCACACCTATAGGAACCAAGCCATGCATGGGTCTGACAGTATCTTGCACCTGCTTTTGTGATAGTCTGAGGGCTGACTGCCATCCCTCTTTTTGGGGTTTTGTAAAAACGTTTCAGAAGTGTGTGGAGCAGCTGTTCAGCTCATTGTGACCGTGTGGGTAAAACTGGCTTTTTAAAATAATAATTAAAAAGCTCCAGGGAGCGTCTTTAGATTATTATGTGCAGCCCTTTCCTGGGCAATTGTACAGTGGTACCTCAGGTTAAGTACTTAATTCGTTCTGGAGGTCCGTTCTTAACCTGAAACTGTTCTTAACCTGAAGCACCACTTTAGCTAATGGGGCCTCCTGCCGCCGCCGCGCCGCTGGAACACGATTTCTGTTCTCATCCTGAAGCAAAGTTCTTAACCTGAGGTACTATTTCTGGGTTGGCGGAGTCTGTAACCTGAAGCGTATGTAACCCAAGGTACCACTGTACAGAGAAGCAAAAGAGTTCTGGTGCCGCTGCAGAAGGAAGCCAGCGATCTTAACTGGGAAACATAGTTTTCCTGGTGCTTTTCTTCCCTTTCCCCCAATTTCTGTAGCAGGAGATGCAGCAGCAGTTGGAAAGCGTTCATGAAGGTGGAGTTAGGCATTTGTATTGGGGAGGTATCTTGAAGCTCACCGGGGGTGGTGTTGGTGTTGGAGGAACAGTCAGACCTTGCCGTGCCCTAACTCGAATTAGCTCAGAATAAGCCTAATGGTTCCATGATTTTGGGGTATGGGTAAATTGGTTTCCGTTACTATTACTTACCCGGGATATATTTCAAAGCTGCATTGAAAATGCTTGTCGGAGGAACGCGCAAACAAAACTTTTCAAAGTTACTCGCACAGATCATAAATAAAACCAATGCAGTCCTCTTTTCTTTCTCCAATTTTTCTCGTGTCTGTTCGTTTTGTGAAAAACTTAAAATATTTCCTCTTTGTCCTTCGTGCCAAGAATTCAGGACAAAGATGGTTGTGCAGGGCTGGCACTGGGGGTGTTGGCGGGGGGGGGGGGGAGAGATAAAGAACATCCTTGGCTTATGGCCCCAAACCACTTTGTCAAAATAGGTTAAGCTTCATCATTATATAGAGAGTATATTTTCTGAGTATCTGTTGTGTGTTATGAAACCAGGTCATTTCAGAATGTAAACCTACTGTTTTTGCTTAGGCATGAGATGCCATTGAAACTTCCTCCATGAGAATATACACATACCCACTTTCTCTTAAAGTTCTTTTTTTCCTTTTCTTAGTAGACTCAAAGAACTCCCCTCTTATGTCTTAAGTATGCGCGACCTCTAAAACGTAAAAGAAGATACCCATAAAATTGTGCAAGCATGCTGGGGAACAGAGGAGAAATTGTCCCACTGATAGATCAGGCCCTATCCACTGTAGATCTGTGAGTTGTGTACAACCCATTGTTACACACTGGGACACTCTTTTTCTCGTCATGCCATTAGGCTCAGCTCACTTTGCAGTGATATGAGAGAGGGCCTTTTCTGCTGTGGTGCCTCGACTGTGAAATTCCCTCTCCCTGAAGGTGTAGATGGGATAAATTAGTTGATACTGTCGTCTCAGGGGGTTTCCCCCTGCCCCCTGTGCTGCTGTAATTTTTTAATGGTTGGTTTTCTGTTGTATTTTATTACTTTATACTGAATGTAGTATGTTGGAAACTGGCCTGAGTTCACTGTGTGAAGAAGGATGCTCTAGAAAACTGATAAATAAATAGCAAAACACCAAAATTCTCAGCATCAGCATGCCTGCACTTACCTGGAATTAAGTGCCATTGAAGTCGACGGTGCTTGTTTCTGACTGCACAGGCTCAATTTGTATACTGAGCTTTAGCAAAAGTTCAGCCAGACGAGATGCAAACTTTGGTGCTTAATTAAAAATGCAAACCATCTTGCAAAGAAAAATTAATATTTAAACTGCTAGCTTGAAGTAGAAACCCCATCAAAGAAAAGGAAGAGAGCACCCAGCCTCTACTTGTTTATTTTCTCCTTTTTTTTTTTTTTTAACTTCTGCTAATCTGTCACATGCAGATATAAAAGCATTGTTATTTCCTGATTCACTTGCTGGAGTAAAGCGAGTCCTTCAGTTACCTTGATGTACTGGCAGAAAGCGTCATCCCTTCTGCTCTGGAAAAAACCCCCAGAGCTATACTTCCCTTTATCACACCTATCTATAATATGAAAATAAGAAGACTGGCTTATACCTTAACACTGATGCTGTAAGATTACTGCGACAGTGTGTGTGAAGCACTTAAGCACTTAGGAAAAGTGCTCTGTTAGAAATATTTAATTATTTCCAGTTGGAGATTATGTATAAATCGGAGCTACTGTTAACATATTTCTCATGAATTCTGTTAGAAAATTTTGAAGTGTGGCTCATCACAGGGTTGAAAATGTTCGAGTTCCAGTGGATTGCATATTAATTATTGCTACCCAGTGTATATGTAAAAAGAAAATCTGCTGTAGGCTGGCTCTAATAGGTACTAAATATAATTTTTCAAAACATAGTAGTTCTCGGCAAGAGTTTAATTTCTCCCCAAAGCATGTTCTTCGTTGCCACTAGATGTCACTGCAAATGTGGTATTGATGGAAGAATTAAGGAGCTAAACTGATTAAGATAAAAAGCAAAATAGATTGCAACCATGTAATTTGCCACAACCTTGTAATGAAAGTCACCTTTTTACTTTCTTTGAAATACTTCGCTTTATCCTTGTTTTCCCCGCCGGTTTTCCCTCTCCTCGTGACCTGAGTTGGCTCAGACTGATTTGGCATGCTGGCCTTGCCACAAAACAAACCTCTAGGAATGAAAACAGTTCAAATGACGCCCACAAAGAATCCAAATGGGTTTCCAACCGAGCCATCTCCGGGGGAATTTTATTTGGCTACAGTAAATAAGGACCGTAAATTAGGAGTCAATAACTTCCTGTAAGAGAATTGTGATTAAGTTGTATTATCTTTTAAAGGAAAGCAGTCCTGCCCTCAGGATTAGTGTCTGCAAATCCATCTTCAGTTTAGCTAATATAATAAACTGTGTTTAGCCTTATCTTTTCGCTGTTTGATGCATGCCTTGGCTAAATGCTAAACTGAGTCCATTGTAGTGTAAAAGGTAAAGGTAAAGGGACCCCTGACCATTAGGTCCAGTCGCGGACGACTCTGGGGTTGCGGCGCTCATCTCGCTTTGCTGGCCGAGGGAGCTGGCGTACAGCTTCTGGGTCATGTAGCCAGCATGACTAAGCCGCTTCTGGCGAACCAGAGCAGCGCACGGAAACGCCGTTTACCTTCCCGCCAGAGCAGTACCTATTTATCTACAGTGGTACCTCAGGTTAAGAACTTAATTCGTTCTGGAGGTCCGTTCTTAACCTGAAACTGTTCTTAACCTGAGGTACCACTTTAGCTAATGGGGCCTCTCGCTGCCACCGTAATCTGGGGAACCGGGTTCGCATCTCCGCTCCTCCACATGCAGCTGCTGGGTGACCTTGGGCCAGTCACACTTCTCTGAAGTCTCTCAGCCCCACTCACCTCACAGAGTGTTTGTTGTGGGGGAAGAAGGGAAAGGAGAATGTTAGCCGCTTTGAGACTCCTGAAGGGGAGTGAAAGGCGGGATATCAAATCCAAACTCTTCTTCTTCTTCTTCACCGTGCGATTTCTGTTCTCATCCTGAAGCAAAGTTCTTAACCCGAGGTACTATTTCTGGGTTAGCGGAGTCTGTAACCTGAAGTGTCTGTAACCTAAAGCGTCTGTAACCCGAGGTACCACCGTACTTGCACTTTGATGGGCTTTTGAACTGCTAGGTTGGCAGGAGCAGGGACCGAGCAATGGGAGCTCACCCCATCGCTGGGATTCGAACCGCCGACCTTCTGATCGGCAAGCCCTAGGCTCTGTGGTTTAGACCACAGCACCACCCACGTCCCCTTATTGTAGTGTAAAGCCACAGTCAAATTGGGGTCTGGCTTTGGCTAAATTGTCTGGAAGCTCTCAGGTGGGAAGGCTCTCCTTATCCTGTTTGTTGCTTTAAGAACAGCTCCCTCAGCTGACAGTATGGTGCATGATGTTAACACTCCCAAGGAATGAAGGAATATGATGAGCTGGACAGCCACGACAGCTGTACAATGGCAGGTTTTAGTTGTGAATGAGAAGGGAAGCTGCCTCTGTTTATCTCCACGTCAAGGCCATTTCACACACTGCACAGTAGTAGCAAGCTATCAGGACTTTTTCACATTATCGCTGCCAAACAAAATCAAGAGCTGCTTGAGGGGCACATGTACTTGTGTGGCAGATACACTTGTAAACGTTTATTCACTGTTTAAATGAACATTCAAAACATCTTGGGGCATAGGTGCCAACTCCTCCCTGGGTGCCTGAGCACCCACAAAATTCCCCATGTGAGGGCCGGGCACCCACAGATTTTCGTGCCAGGGTTATGCACCCTGCATGGCATCCATGGCCCCAGGAACCCACTGTCGCGGGGCCAAGTTGGCAGTCCTTTTTGGAATATTCTAGAAACACTCCTGTCTTGGTATATACCTAGTATGTCATGTGCAAACTGGTCCTACGCTTGCTGAAAGAAGCAAAAGCATTTGTGAGCTGTTGACTTCCCTCTCCACAACCCCAAGGCGATTTAGTTAGCGTTGGTATTTGGAAACTGAAAAATTCAAATTCTGCAGAGATAATTACGTCTAACTTAAACATTAATCCTATGCCATTTTCCTGGGTTCTTGAATGAGCTTGAAACACGACTACCAAGCCATTTCTGTGAAGCCAAATAAATAGACATTTATTTTATTGTTTGCATTAATCAGGCTGCACAAAATCATACTACTTCATATTCTACGTTTTGTTTCATTTTTTCACTCACAACACCTATCTCTCTTGAATGGCTCTGCAGAGCTTCTCAAGTATATTCCTTAAGAAAGAGAGAGAGAGAGAGAGAGAGAGAGAGAGAGAGCCCAATAAAATGGCAAACTTCTGTGAGTTTTTTTTGTTGGTACCAACATAGAACACAAATACTGTTGTAAGAACAGCCTTGATCAGCCTAAAACAGGACTGTTTTGGCTTCCACACAGCATTCCCACCCCACCCTCAGTGTGTACAGTACATTTTCATAATGGAAAAGATAAATTTAATGTTGCTCTTTATGTTTGCAGAGCAAACAGATCCACCCCAGCTTCCATCTTTTTGTGGTGTTGCTGAATAAACATGTTTGGGAACAACTGAGTACAGATGCCTTCCAGGTTGGAATTACCTGGGTACATTTTTTGTGTTACATAATTAAATGTATCTAGCCTAGTAAACTCTTCGTATTGACTTCTTCCTCTCCTTATCGGCTGTTATGGGTGAGGTCTGCCATGTAAGAAAAAGGCCTAGTGAAGCCTTCATTTTGTTACTGGATTCTTCCAGCCTCCCCTCCACGGTGCTTTTAAATATTTGCCTGTTCCCAAATATTAGCTGCTATTTTCTAAAACTAGATTTAACTGATTTCCTTCTGCTGTACTTGAGGGCATTTATTGGGAATCCCTTATAATGAACAGCTCTGTTGCTGTGAAGATGGAACAAAAGAAAGCAATCATGGCGGCTGCTGTTGTGTGCAATTTTTATAGAAATGAGCGAAATAGAAAATTGATTCAAAATATTTGGGAAGGGGTTTGTTGGCTGATGCTTGGTGACAACACAGACCCACCATCTGGAATTCCCTCCCTTGGGTAATTTGTGAGGAAGAGATCGTAATGGCCTTTAAATGCCTCTTGAAGACTTATACATTTACCCGAGCTTTTCTGGACTCTGACTCTTAATTCTCTGTTGTGTACACTGCTCTGTTTTATTTGTAATCTATAGTTTATATTTACAGTGGTACCTCCGGTTGCGGACGGGATCCGTTCCGGAGCTCCGGTCGGATCCCGAGGTTTCTGCAACTGGAGGAACCACTTCTGTGCTAGCTCATGGCACGGTAGAGAGCTTCTGCGCATGTGCGCGCGGCAAAACCCGGAAAAATACTTCCGGGTTTGCCGCGTACGTATCCCGAAGGATATGCAACCGGAAGTGAACGTAAGTAGAGGTACCACTGTATTTTGCAAATTTTCTTTACTGCTTAACTGTAAACAAAATCTCTATGTGGATCTTCTCCCCCGCAAATAAAGTTAAATTTTTGGTAAAAAACAATGGGGAAAAAAGTTTAAAAACTGAGCCAGGTGGGCGGGGTATAAATAATAAATTTATTATTATATAATAATAATAATTATTATTATTTAAAAAGCAAAATGAATAAAATCATTTAACAGTGTACAATAGAAACTAAAGTTACAACTTCATTAGAGATAGGTTTTGTTCTGTTTGGTCCTATTTTTTTAGGATTATTGAATGACATTGTTGTACTTCTGTTGTTTTAATGACAACTGCTTAGAAATATTTGTTTTATTAAGTGGTATAAAAGACGACTTTCTTTTTTTAAAAAAGAATTATTTATGATTTTCAGTTATATACATTTAGATAGTTTTACAATCCTAACATTTCAAAACTTGACTTCCTTCCTCCTCTTTCTGTGGTTCCTTATAACATTTCCTGCATATGCTAAATTAACTTATTCATCAACTTTAAATATACACTGTTGTGAAACTGCAGGTTATTACAATAATCCTGCTAAAAGACGACGCTTTCGTTGCGGAGCGAATTCCATAGGGAGCAGAAAGTGCTTTCTTTTTTCTCCTGTCTTGAATCTTCCAGCATCCCATTACTACAAATTTCATCTGATGTCCCTGAGTATTATGAGACAGGAAGAAATACTTCACTCTATCCTCTTCATAGGGACGCGGGTGGCGCTGTGGGTTAAACCACAGAGCTTAGGACTTGCAGATCAGAAGGTCGGCGGTTCGAATCCCCGCGATGGGGTGAGCTCCCATTGCTCGGTCCCTGCTCCTGCCAACCTAGCAGTTCGAAAGCACGTCAAAGCGCAAGTAGATGAATAGGTACCGCTCCAGCGGGAAGGTAAATTGCATTTCCGTGCGCTGCTCTGGCTCGCCAGAAGCGGCTTAGTCATGCTGGCCACATGACCTGGAAGGTGTACGCCGGCTCCCTCGGCCAATAAAGCGAGATGAGCTCCGCAACCCCAGAGTCGGTCACGACTGGACCTAATGGTCAGGGGTCCCTTTACCTTTATCCACTTCATATATTAGATACACCTTTATCATGTCCCTTCTTACTTGTTTCCTCTCTGTACTTAAAAGCCCTGATTTGTGCAAGGGCATTACAATACAGGCAGTTTTATCTCACGCGTGTTTGTATAGAATTAAATTTGCTGTTTTACTGCCCACACACCCAATTTGGAGAGGCCCTTTTGGCATGCCTTGCCTTATCCACTCCAAACAGTTCGGTATCACCAGTTTCAGTTCCCTGTAGACTCCAGTGAACAGGTAAATGTGGGGCGTAGGCTTGCTGCTCTACCCTTTACAGCCATCCAGCTGCAAAGTAAGGACGAAGCTGGAAATAACTTCAGTTCCTCTGTAATAAAACTTGATTGATAGACAAACATAAAGTGGAACGGCAGGATGACTCTGGCTAGTGCCTTTACTGGCTGTTGTGGGGAAAAGGTTTGCATTAAATTAATTTTCAAGTCCGAAGTCTAAGCTGTTGTTGTGTAGGGCAGGAAAGAGAGAAAGAGAGAGCCCAGAATATATTACTTAATGCCCTCTCTGTGGATTGTCACATGATGGCACGCCAGGCAAAGTTTTATTGAACCAGCATAAAAACCGGTGCCAGATATCTGCTGCTTTGTGATCTACTCTAATTACCTCTCTAATCTGTAACTCTGTAAGCTTGGAAATGGACTCCTATTGACAGGTCTACCTCTTAAATAAACTTTGTTGAAAGCCTTCCTCCAAAAGTTTGTTTCGTTTCCCTATTTATTCTGCCTAGGTGAAATCAAGCGTGAAATGCAGTTATGCAAGTATGAATCAACAGTTTGCTCTGGGAGTTGCTGAATACTTTACGGTGGCATCCAAAACATAATGGGGTTATACAATATTTAAAGCCTCCAAGTAAACATGATCAATTGAAATATGTTAAGCAGTATGTGGTTCCTAGAGATTCTGCATTTTTAGATTTTTTTATGTAGTTCTTAACTTTTCTTGCTGTGCCCAGGCTACTTGGCAAGCTTTTTCCATAATCCTGAACAGTATTACTGAACATTTTTGCAAAAGAGCACTCTTCCTACATGGCATTGAAACTACTGTATATATTTTTTCCAAGCAAAGAAAACCAGTCTGACAAAGTGAAAGGATAGATTCTGAATTGTATGTTAAGAACCAAGAACCTTTGGGGAGAGGGAGACATCCTACAAGCCAATTCTGCAGAAAGCTAAACTGAGATTGTGCTGAGGGTTTTCCGGTATCATGTAAAACCACAGTAACTGCATAAGCAGTTCAGAACAAATAACCTGACTGCCTCCATATGAGCTACTGAGCTCGTATAGAGATGGAGTTGGGGGAACTGATGCCAGCAAGAGGATGCAAATAGCCTGGCTCCCAACTCCAGCATCACTGTGGGCAAAGCAACAGTTACCTGCGACACTGTGGTCCGATCTGCACCATTTCCCCAATGTTGCCGCTTAGGGTGCTGAATTATTCCAGATCATGGAGCCCAGTGCAGTTTGCACTGAGTGGTAGGAACCCTTGAAGGTCTCTAGTCTTTGCCATCACCTGCTACCTAATCTTTTTTTTTAGCTGCAGGTGTTGGGGATGGGACCTTTTGCATGCAAACCATTGCTCTACCATGGGGCTATTGATGTTAGAATTCCTGCTCCATGACTGCAGTCATGGGATTTTTGTCTCTTACATGACGGTGTATGCTTTGACTCCACAGAGTGGGAAGTGATGGAGACAGGATGTTTGTGTTACTGTGTTCCGTGAAGTGGGACTATTGTCCTTTGTTCTTTTTCTCTTTGCTGTCTGATGCTAGAGAGAGAGGGAGCCATGTTGTAGTGCTCCGTGTGTGTTTATATGGAAATAAAGTAGATTAGCCAAAATGCTGAGTTGCTGAGGTCTGATACGCAAGCTGCGAAGACTCTGCGGATCCCTAGGTGTGCCGATGTCTGTTGGCATCGGTCGCTGTGATGTTCGGGCTGAAGGAAGCTTTTGAAGCTCCCGAACGATCGACCAGGAGGGAGAGAACATGCCAGTCGGGCATGTGTCTCTGCCAGGGTCCTACTCGAGTGTAGGATGAGCTCCTGACAATTATCCCGTCCCCTGAGGAAGCAGGAGATGCAGAAAATGTGTCCTTGTAGGAGCCAGCATGCTGCAAAGCTTATAGAAAAGCTGTTGTGACGGCGAACACGTGTCCCACTGCTCTTTCATACTGGGAGAGGCTATTTTTTTCCTGCTGGTTAAATGGCATAGCCAGTCGTATGTGCCCTACTCAGATCAAGAACTTAAGTCATGTAGGGCAAGTGCAGATTCACACATCACATCTTGAATCCTACTGTGCATTTCAATGACAAATATCTCTGTGAAGCTGTCAGTTGTACATGCTCATTTACAGGACCAGAGTTCCCCATAATATATACGCATGGCAGGGCATGATGGGTTACGTACTATTTCGTTCTTCATGGGGGCATTGGGAACCCCAGCCATTTAAACACATGTGCTCAGTGGGAGGGCTGTACAAGTGTCTTGCCCTTTAAACATGGGTGCTTTTTCTAGCTAAAAGTGTCAAATCTGCTTCCGTTTCCTTTCTTTTTGTTGGTTTTGGTTTATACGCTTAAGCTTTGGTGCCTTTGCAGAATAGTGGAACCACCCAGATTAATTGCTCCCTTTCCTTTCCTTTATTAGTTTCTCAGTCTGGCACTGTCAACTTACATCGTGAACAGTACTCGCAGTAGTCTTCACAACAAACAAGGCTTGCCTACAACAAATCAGATTATTAGCTGGACAACATTAGGTAAGCACTACTTTCCTTAACTGGGATTATCCTGGTCCGGCATGTAAAGACATGTATATAGACACACATTTCCTGCTATTTAAGAGTTTAACCTGAAGGGACATGTCCTTGACTGGCAGCAGCTGGTTACAGAAAGGTAATGTTCTGTGATTATACATAAATAGAAGCATCCATAAGCATCATCCTGCAAAAAAAGAAAAGGAGAACATCAGCACCCTCTTCAAGTTCACATGAGCGATATTGATTTAGAAGTGGACCGGCTTTTGGAGATTAATAGCTCAGCCTGGCATTAATGAGATGCATCATTAACTATTGTGGAGTTCAGATGCATAGCGTTGATGCTGCAAAAACTGGAACTGGAGGAATGCTTTTTGTTCTCTTCTTCCAGTTGATATTTTGCTCAGTGCCTCTTACGATAAGGCAGGCTTCTTCCACCCTCTAGGTCAGAGCTTTCCAAACTGTGTGTCACGAAATGTAAGTGTGTTGGCTGCAGTGTATAGGTATGTCGTGCGAATGCACTCCTCCTGGGGCTGGAAAGGGGTTAGTTTAACCTCCGGTTTGCTAGTAAAACCGAATTGCTGTGTCGCGAAATGATGCATGTCTAAAAAGTGCGTCACCAGTATGAAAAATTTGGAAGGCTCTGTTCTAGGTCGTTCCAAGCTGTTTCTCCCTACAACCTAGCAGTTTGAAAGCACGCCAGTGCAAGTAGATAAATAGGTACCACTGTGGTGGGAAGGTAAACAGCATTTCCATGCGCTCTGGTTTCTGTCACGGTGTTCCGTTGCACCAGAAGCGATTTAGTCATGCTGGCCACATGACCCGGAAAGCTGTCTGTGGACAAACACTGGCTCCCTCGGCCTGAAAGCGAGATGAGTGCCGCAACCCCATAGTTGCCTTTGACTGGACTTAACTGTCCAGGGGTCCTTTACCTTTTACCTTTCAAGCTGTTTCCCCCTACATTCCGGCTTGGTCCCCGTTCATATATACATAGTCATTCCAGCACCAAAGTACTCCTTCAAGAGAGACAACTCAGGCATGCTTACTTCAATTGTCCAAATAAGCACGATTGAGCCTGGTAATTGATGCTTTTGAATTATGGTGCTGGAGGAGACTCTTGAGAGTCCCATGGACTGCGAGAAGATCAAATCTATCCATTCTGAAGGAAATCAGCCCTGAGTGCTCACTGGAAGGACAGCGTGAAGCTGAGGCTCCAATACTTTGGCCACCTCATGAGAAGAGAAGACTCCCTGGAAAAGACCCTGGTGTTGGGAAAGATGGAGGGCACAAGGAGAAGGGGACGACAGAGGATGAGATGGTTGGACGGTGTTCTCGAAGCTACAAACATGAGTCTGACCAAACTGCGGGAGGCAGTGGAAGACAGGAGTGCCTGGCGTGCTCTGGTCCATGGGGTCACGAAGAGTCGGACCCGACTAAACGACTAAACAACAAACAACCAATATAAGGCTGTTGGTTGAGTGGCGCAGAATCCCATGAAAAAAGTTGTATCCAAACTTGGCCACCTCTTTTCATGGGGTAAACTCGGAATCGTTGTAGCAGATAGTCTTTTTGTTTTGTTTTTGCTGTGTGGTGGATATTCCACTGCATTCAATTCAAAGAGTGAGGAAAGAAACCATTTTCCTGCACCCTAGCTTCTAGGAATGTGAATGCAAACTACGCAAGTCATACATTGCTCCCAAGCTTTGAGAGTCATTGAGGGGGGTATTCAAATATGTTGGTGTTGACAGATGATATTGTGTTTATTGCAGGTTCGTCCTTGGTAGTGCCACTGCTAAGCCCCACATTTCTCTTCTCAAGGTTGCTGAGCATATTTCTTTCCCTGATGTCAACATACCTTCTGCTTAGTACAGGGTAATTCTCTCTCTACTTTGTAAATGAAATTCCAGCATATATATATTTTTTGTGTTTCTCTTGACTAAGCAATTTTAAAGTCATGTATTTTCATTTTGCCAGATTCTTGTCATTCTTCCATTGCATTTAACCAGTAAGACGCAAAGTTCCAGATGCTGCGTGTGTTTAAATCTCATTGCCGACGTCGTGGAGTAAACATTTAGCCAGTGATTTGTATGACACTCTGAAACATTTTTTCTGTAGCTCCTTTGATTGCATTGATTCATGAGGACACATATGGTAGCTAACACACACACACACACACACACACACACACACACACACACACTATGATTTCAAATACAATAGAAACCAGAAAGTAAAAAAGAGGAAGGAGTAATGAGCACAGGGGGATCAAATAAAAACAAGTGTTTGAATCATTCAGTTTTCACTTCTTATGATCTCCAACAGCATTTGGAGATAAACAACAATTCAATCCAAAATTTGTGAATTTGACACAGAAATTTGAAGAGATGAAATCCCTGCCCCCATTGATTACTTTTAAACCTATGCTTTTAAATAAAGCATCTTGGGGGTTGGTTGAAATATTATTACTAAAAGAAAAGGGCGGTGAATCCAAATGTAAAAAAAGAAGAAGTTTCCCCTAGAATTTCAAATGTAATAATAGAGTTGCATGGAATGTCACACTGAGGTTTATATTTTTAGCAAGCTGCAATCAAAGCCCCTTCTTTTGTCATAGTATTTTAATACAGTAGCTCTGAAAAAGGGCTGCTGGAGGAACAATCGGTTCACTCTGTAATAGTGTTTGTGTGTTCGTGTGTGTGTGTGTGTTTTCTGAATGCATTCATCTTTTGACCACTATGAAATTGGCTCCCTGTAGTGGAAAAGAAGGCAGTCACCTTTGATGGCAGTAGCCATTTTGAATTTTTCAAGCATCCTGGCTTTCTGAGAACAACAAAATGTGGCCATCTCGGTTCACTTCTCCCTAAAAATAATTTTGCCACATCCACAAAACGTAGCTCAAACAAAACAGCCAATTTCTAAGGTGACGATAAATTTCTGAGGCTGATAAATAGTACTTGCCAGTTAACTAGAACCCGACTTGAAGGTAACAATTTCAAATGAGGAGAGAATTGCCAAGTAAGGGCAATATTTCTTCCAACTGTTTGGCATTTTCTGTATTAATCGGAACAATATGCAAGTGAATATGGAGAGCTCAGCTTGACTGTGGCCAACACAGTTGTTGAACAAGTTGCCAAACCACTGCCCTGCCACACACAAACACCCAACCTAGTAGCATTTGTTATGGAAGGGTAGTGGAAGAAAAATAAATTTGATGCCTGGGTTGCTTTTTTTTAATTTCAAATGTATTTTGACGTAGATATGAAGCACTTTTCCCCCTGGCGTTGGCTTTGTTGATGTTTGTGTGGATAAATATGGAACAAGAAGCAGTACAACGTTACGGCATTTCACCAAAGCCAAAGGTAACCCTTATTTTCACCGTAGGTAAATACCACGTAGACATTTAGTTACTGGGCACTAACTTTGATTAGACTTCATTGCTTCTGGTGTGTGTTGTCTAGGCATTATTTGGCTAGGCATTATTATTCTCAAATAAAAGAAAAAAGGATTCTCTTTTCCCTCAACTAGGGTGGCCCAAAAGGGTCATAGACCAGGGAGTGTTGATGCAAAATCCCAAGTACCAGCAGCCATTTCCACTAGGCAGATGCAAACTGATACCCATAAATCCTCAAATCTTACCATATGTTTAAAATAGATGGGTGGAAGTGATTTTAAACCCACATTTTAGGCAAGGCATAGGCAAACACGGCCCTCCAGATGTTTTGGGACTACAACTCCCATCATCCCTAGCTAACAGGACCAGTGGTCAGGGATGATGGGAGTTGTAGTCCCAAAACATCTGGAGGGCTGAGTTTGCCTATGCCTGTTTTAGGCCGTGGTCATGTAGCATTCAGGTTGGCTGCAGGGGTGAAGACAGCACAGGCAGATCTCATAAAATTCAAAGTAGCCCACTGGCGCAAAGTCCCTAGCAGCTACACTGAGAAACTAGAGCAGGTGTGGAGAGCCTTTGGTCCTCCTGATGCTGCTGGAATACAACTCCCATCAGCCCCAGCAAGCACGATGGGAGTTGTGGTTCAGCAATATTTGTTCTTCTTCAATAAAAGGCAGGGGGAAAGGGAGACCAGAACAGGGTCTTTTAATGCCAGCTCCATCACAGAGGTGTCTGTGGAGGGAATACAGCTATATTGATTGAAAATGTATTTTGTTGTCACTTTTGAATAAATGTTTTTTGAATTTTTTTTAAAAGCAATTTCTGGAGGGCCAAAGGTTCCCCACACCTGAACTAGCTTCTTGGAGAATGAAAGAAACCGAACCATGCTTACTCTCTCTGGAGCTAGCTCAGTTTGCTCTGCAGTAACCTGGCTGAGTGCTATTATCCAGTTGAGTGCTCTAATGTGGGAGCAATGGAAATAAGAAGTTATTAGGTGCTATGCTGTCAATCCACGTAAATCAACACTGCACCAGAGGGAAGGAATTAACAGGCAGTCGCGAATACGGCACCTCCGTTGCTTCCCGCTGTAGCTCACTAGAGGAGAATGCTTCAGCTGCAAAAATCACCTTTTTTCTGAATTATGAAAATATGTCTCCTTCCAGGACGTTTGGGGAAAAGCAGGAAGAAATAAGAGAGCAAATGGAAAGTTCGGGGAGTTATTTCCTTACCTAAGGCAGCAGAAGCATTTATACTTGATCATCCTGCTTGAGCGATAACTTTATTGAGAGTCATTAAAGTATAATAAAACTGTTGGGGAAGATGCTATCGTAGCAACAGACATGGGCTTCTCTGAAGGAATAACTCTTTAAATTCTCATTTGCTCCCCGGAAAATATACCTTTAATATCAACAGGATACCAGCTGACATTGTGGCATTGATTTCTCTTCTCTCTTTTACAGCTTGCTGCTCTCAGCTTTTCATACACTAATGATCTAACACAGTTCCGACAACTTCATTTGGATGACGTCCGGCGATCTTTTTTCTTCGTATCCTTTTTCTTCCCTGGGTGAAGGCCTGGTTGCAATGCGATGGGTTGGTTTTTCATTTTCATTCCCTTCCCCTCTAAAAAAGCAAAATCTTGGTTTCTTAGGATGGGCCTGGCTTGGAATGGTGGATAATTTTACAAGCAAAGTGCTTGTCAATGGGACAGGAAGCATACATGCGGCCTAGGACCCACGTACCTACTGGACCGCCTCGCCTGGTATGCCCCGCAGATGACCTTAAGGTCCACAAATGACAACATTTTGGAGGTCGCAAGTCACAAGGTGGTTAGATTGGTCTCAACTAGGGCCAGGGCCTTTTCAGTACTGGCCCTGACTTGGTGGAACGCTCTGTCACAAGATACTAGGGCCCTGTGGGACTTGACATCTTGCCGCAGGGCCTGCAAGATAGAGCTGTTCTGCCTGGCCTTTGGTTTGGACTCAGTCTGACCCTTATGTTTCCCTCCTCTTATGGTTTTGATCTATGGGCTACTTTTAAAATGAGGCTGCATTTTAAATTGCATTTTAACCTGTATTTTAAATTGCCCCCCCCCATTATGTTTTTACTGTAATTTTACTGGTGTTAGCTGCCCTGAGCCCAGCTCTGGCCAGGGAGGGTGGGGTATAAATAAAATTTGTTATTTATTATTATTATTATTATGAGGAATGAAAGTTTACATAACAATGCTGTTGTTGCTGCATTGAGCCTATGTACTGCGCCAAGTTTTTAAAATTAAAATTTTAAAACGATATCCAGAAAAGTTTAGTAATGAAGCTTCCCAGTTAGGACTTGTGTGCTGGCCTTTGGTTAACCTGATTTTCCATGAGTTGATTCATACTGCATATATTTAGCATACTGGCACTTTTGTGGTTTTGTGCTTTTCGTCTTCCTCTTGTCTTACACAGAAATTGTAGGTATGAATCTCAGAAGAAGAGTCTTGCTCACTATATCGTTGGGCCATTAAACACTTCTGAGAAGTACATGCTTTGGATTTCTTTATTTGCAGTTATGCAGGGGTCAGCAAACTTTTTCAGCGGGGGTCCACTCAGACCTTGGGGGGGGGGGGGCGGACGGACTATATTTTGAAAAGAAAAAAAAATGAACGAATTCCTATGCCCCACAAATAACCCAGAGATGCATTTTAAATAAAAAGACACATTCTACTCATATAAAAACACCAGGCAGGCCCCACAAATAACCCAGAGATGCATTTTAAATAAAAGGACAAATTCTAATGTAAAAACACGCTGATTCCTGGACCGTCCGCAGGCTGGATTTAGAAGGCGATTGGGCCGGATCCAGCCCCCGGGCCTTAGTTTGCCTACCCATGTAGTTATGCTTTCCTAACAGTGAGAAAGCTACATTAATATATAGAGTGGGGGGACAATTTCAAAGCTTTGCAGGGATGTATATACTTGACGTCTTTATATATGCATCTAAAAACTGAGGCTTGGGATTTAGGAGAAGGCAGTAAAGATCTTTCTGACTCCTGTTTCCCTTAATTTGCTTTAGTACACATCACCTACAGATAGAGTTTTCGGTTGTTACCTGAATGCTGAATCTAACGAGGTCTTGTTGAACAAACAAATGGGACCTGCTTTCACCCTGTTAAAATCTGAGTAGTCCTACCCCTTTTCCTACTTTTCCTATTGAAAAATGGAAACTGATCGATCAGAACAGGTATGCTTTAAGAATGGTTTGGTTACCCAGCTACTGTTCACCTGACATGTTAAAAACCATGTGACTCTAACACAATGTAAGATGGGGGGAAAAGGAATGAGCAGATGTTGCTATATAAAATTGGCTATTACATACACGGGCTTTGTCTTCCTGAAAGATGGGCTGCCAATAATATTTAATCTACCCATTAATTGTGATTGAGACAAAGGCATCTATTTGGATGTCTAATCAAAAAATGTTCTAAAGCCTTTGCAAGCATTATTCCTCTCTTCTCACCTCCCATGCACAGCTTGGTGTGTTCTGGATATTTTTACCATTATCTTATACCTGTGGTGCAAAGTTGTCACTGGGAATGCTTATACCGCTAGCATGTGAAAGAAGTGTGACCGTTTGCTCAATAAGGAGCATGTTGTGTTTTCCTTAGCCCTACCCAGGTTTTCTTCCAAGTGACAGCCTTTTTCGGTACTGGAAACATAGCTTCTGTGAACAGGTAACTATTGTGAACTACGTCTAGAGAGGTTGGAAGTGGAATTCCATAAGTGGGGTGCCACAACAGAGAAGGCCCTGCCCTATGTCACTACATAATGGATTTCTCTTGGCAGTCAAGCAGCGCCATCCTGTCACATCTTAACACATGAGTAGCCTGATACAGAGCGTCTGGAGGCGGTTGGAGGATGGATGGCGGCTAACAGATTGAGGTTGAATCCTGACAAGACAGAAGTACTGTTTTGGGGAGACAGGAGGCGGGCAGGTGTGGAGGATTCCCTGGTCCTGAATGGGGTAACTGTGCCCCTGAAGGACCAGGTGCGCAGCCTGGGAGTCATTTTGGACTCACAGCTGTCCATGGAGGCACAGGTCAAATCTGTGTCCAGGGCAGCTGTTTACCAGCTCCATCTGGTACACAAGCTGAGACCCTATCTGCCTGCGGACTGCCTCGCCAGAGTGGTGCATGCTCTGGTTATCTCCTGCTTGGACTACTGCAATGCACTCTACGTGGGGCTACCTTTGAAGGTGACCCAGAAACTACAACTAATCCAGAACGCGGCAGCTAGACTGGTGACTGGGAACGGCCACCGAGACTTGAAAGACCTACACTGGCTCCCAGTACGTTTCCGAGCACAATTCAAAGTGTTGGTGCTGACCTTTAAAGCCCTAAACAGCCTCAGTCCTGTATACCTGAAGGAGCGTCTCCACTCCCATCGTTCTACCCGGACACTGAGGTCCAGCACCGAGGGCCTTCTGGCGGTTCCCTCACTGCGAGAAGTCAAGTTACAAGGAACCAGGCAGAGGGCCTTCTCAGTAGTGGCACCCGTCCTGTGGAACGCCCTCCCACCAGATGTCAAAGAGAACAACAACTACCAGACTTTTAGAAGACATCTGAAGGCAGCCCTGTATAGGGAAGCTTTTAATGTTTGATGTATTACAGTATTTTAATATTTTTTTGGAAGCCGCCCAGAGTGGCTGGGGAAGCCCAGCCAGATGGGCGGGGTATAAATAATAAATTATTATTATTATTATTATTATACAGAGGGAAACTCTACTTCAGATATCTAGTTCTCAAGTTGCAAAGGACTCCACAAGTGCCTTGAATTTGGTACAGCAACATATTGGTAGCTAGTGCATCTCCTTAAGATCCAGCGCCTCGTAAGTCTAGCATGTTGAACCACTTATCCCCAGCACCTGGCTGAAGCTTCTGGATCATCTTCAAGGGCAGTCTGACATGCAGGTGCATTGCAGCAATCCAGCAGAAAGGTCACCAGAACAAGGGTATCTCATGAGATATTCTTCATGAAGCAACAGCAGAAAGTTGCTATTCAAGTACCAACAGAGCAGTAGGGTATTTTTTGACTCTTGGCAGCCTGTTTAAAAGAACTCTTTGTCTGTCCAAGTACTGACCTGTTGTGAAAGCAAACGGAGGGTGGGAAACATTTTGTAAAACAAAAGGTGCTGCAGAAATAAAACTTTATAGCAATAAGTAGCATCCAAGAACTGTTTGCTTGTTATGTAAAAAACTAGAGGCAGCCTATAAAACTAGAAGCCGTGTGACTTGAAAGGTCGTTGCATGATGATTCAAATGTTGATTGTAGGGGGGTGGGAAAACTCCTGTTTCTTAGTAGAACATATTACTTGCAGAAAATACATAATGTTTGTTTTGGTTTCATTCTTGGTCTCTAGTTTTGATCCAACTTCAGTCCATTGCTTCTTGACTGTGTTCAGCCCTTTCCTGATGGGAGCCTTGCTGTTGTGGAAGGTTAGTAATTGCACCCTTAGGGAATGATGGGATCACAATTTTTCAATTCTAACTTAACTGTTCCTGCACAAATAGCCTATCTGCTCTTGTAAGACTTCTTAAATGCAAAATGCTACACACACACACAGTGGAACCTCGGTTTTTGAATGTAGTCCGTTCCAGAAGACCATTTGGCTTCCCAAACATTGGAAAACCGAGGATCAATGGGCTGGCTGCAAAGTAAATGGGAGAAAAATGAAAAACGCGTTTCGGAAGCCTTTCAACTTCCGAGGAACGTTAAAAAATATATATTCATGAGCTGTAAGTCAAGCTAAATAAAGTAAGTCATAGACTCATAGAATCGTAGAATCGAAGAGTTGGAAGGGACCCTAAGGATCATCTAAGTCCAACCCCCTGCAATGCATGCAGGGACCAAACCTGCAACCTTGGTATTATAATCATCAATCTTTATTATGGTCCAGAGACCCAACATATCGTTACAAAGCAATACACAATTCATACAGCCTACCTCCAGGTTAAACAAGCATTTTGTTCAGAATATAGGGATCATTGGTTCTTGCAACCACCGATAAGAACTTTGCCACTGCTCATGTTCTAGCATTTGTCCGGTCTTCCAACAGGAACCTGACATAGTGAGCCTCTGATTTTCCTGGGAAAGGTACCAGCAAGGGTAGTATCAGTTCAGCCCTGGCTTGCTCATATTTTGCACAGTGCAACAAAATATGTTTTATGGAATCAATGTCTTGAGCACACGAGCAAAATCTGTCCTGGTAGGGAACTCCTCTCAACTTGCCATCCAACACTGCAGAAGGAAAGACGTTTAGTCTGGCTTTGGTGAAAAGCCTTCGATAGTTTGGTACTGTCAGGTTTTTAATGTAAGAGGTATTATCAACACCATGCTCTATCCAGCTAAGCTATCCAGGATGGCGGATGGTACTACTGAAATAAGCAGAATTCCATATGAAACCTTGTTTGTTGCTGCTGCTTGTTGAAATAGATCATGATTGCCCAGGGGTGGCCATCTTTTTCTCCCACCACCCGCTACGGAAATCCCTGGGAGGAGGGTTGTTATCCATTGCAGGGACTTCTATGATCACATTTGAACGTATGCATGGCTGTTGTGGCAGCAGTCAAGCTTTCTAGCAGCCGTGGAGCACTTGTTACTTGTGAAAAGATCCTATATTCTGAAGGCAGTCCTTGGACCACTGTGTAAACCTGTAACTAAAGGGTTGCAAATTTTATTGTTAATTTTTTATTATTTATTGAATTTATATACTGCCCTATACCTGGAGGTCTCAGGGCTGTTCACAGCACAAAATCAAAATACACTGGTACCTTGGGTTACAAACATTTTGGGTTACAAACTCCGCTAACCTGGAAGTAGTACCTCGGGTTACAAACTTTGCCCCAGGATGAGAACAGAAATTGTGCGCCGGCAGCAGCAGGAGGCCCCATTAGCGAAAGCGCGCCTCAGGTTAAGAATGGTTTTGGGTTAAGAACGGACCTCCTGAACGAATTAAGTTCATAACCTGAGGTACCACTGTATAAAACCACAATACACACACACACACACACACACACACACACACACACATAATCAAAATAGAAACAACAACCTAATCACACACCCAAGAAGAAAAACAAACCACATTTTAAAAGGGCATAGAATGTCAATCAAATCAACCAAAGGCCTGTTTTTGCCTGGTGCCTAAAGGTGTAGAATGAAGGTGCCTGGCGAACTTCCCTAGGGAGAGCATTCCACAAGCGGGGAGCCACTGCAGAGAAGGCCCCATTCTCGTGTTTTAGTGCAGTTTAAAAGAAAGCCGCAAGAAGCGAAAGGGACTGAGAATGAGATAAATTGGGAACTGACTGATCCATCCATTCCTGTTCAGGAATACAGCATGTTAAACTGTGTTGCAGAAGGGGAAGCATTGTGGAACAAGTAATGGATTACCCACTATCATCATGCGTGTCGCAAGTCACACCTCCGGGCCCAATGAGATAATATCTCAGACCTCAGAGGATTGTGTTACATCAGCCTTTGCCAACCTGGTGCCCTCCAGCATGTTCTTTCAGCGGCAGATGGGAGTTGTAGCCGAAAACCCTCTGGAGGGCACCAGGCTGGCGAAGATTGCGCACTGGAAATGCCAAACATCACTGCAAACCAGCATTTACATTTGGAGAAAAACAGAGATTCAGCAAATTGGGAGAAAGACTGTCTGGATTCTGAGGAACGAACAAATGAGTGAATTGTACCAGTCCTAGAGAAAATGACTCAGAAAGTGGAAACACCTAGTGGTTTTCTAACTACAGTGGTACCTCGGGTTAAGTACTTAATTCGTTCTGGAGGTCCGTTCTTAACCTGAAACTGTTCTTAACCTGAAGCACCACTTTAGCTAATGGGGCCTCCTGCTGCCGCCGCGCCGCCAGAGCACGATTTCTGTTCTCATCCTGAAGCAAAGTTCTTAACCTGAGGTAATATTTCTGGGTTAGCAGAGTCTGTAACCTGAAGCGTATGTAACCTGAAGCGTATGTAACCCCAGGTACCACTGTATTGCAGGGGATGGCGACATTGGAAGCTGCCAAAGTTTCCTCGCTGTGAAGAGCAGTAAAGGCAGACAAAATACTGGCAATCTTTCTCGGCAATATGAAGTCGAGAACGTGCCCCAGAAGTTCCTCAGCAGGCAAATTTGTATGGGAAGTGTTCCGTGAAGGTAGAATAATTTGAAGAGCCCTGGCATAACACAGTAGTTTATTTCTAAAATATATACCGCTGTATTAGAATTGTAACAAGGACTATTAATATTCTGATTGCAATGCACAGAACCTACAGGGCCATGACTGAAAGCAACAGGTCTGTTAACTAGATAAAATGTTTGCATTCAAAACGATGAATTTTGTAAAGCCAACCTCAAGATGTGCTTGACTGTCTCTTTGAATACTAGCTATGTTAATTTGTGGCTGTTGGTTGTTTTTTGTTTTCTGCGGTATTTCAATTAGCTTAATGTAATTCCGTGTCCCCGACAGATTGTAATCCCTTTTGTTCTTGTGTCATGTGCCTTTGAAGCTGTTCAAGTCACAACACAGCTATCATCAAAAAGGTACAGTAAACACTTTTACCGAAGCAGCAGTTGCTTGGGGGTTCATTGGGATGCATGGAGTAAACTGTCTGCAGCTATTTCTTTGTAAATCCCTGCATCGAGTACAATTATTCTTCATTCACTGGGTTCAAGCTTTATCAAATCTCTGACTATTAAAAAACACTTTTTAAAAAGCTGGTAGTGACTTGAGTTCCTGTTTGCATCTATTTCACATACAGGGCTGGCTGGCCCTGCCATTTGACAGAGTGAAGCAACAGCAGATTTTCAGTTTAATTAATAATAATAGTAATAATAATAATAATAATAATAATAATAATAATAATAATAATGTAATATTACTACAAGGGAAGAGAAGATATATTTGGGGGGCATTTGCTTCAGTACCCCAGGCTGGAAAATGTCTTGTTCCACGGATGTGTATTTTAGATATTACGTTAAGACCTGCTCTGAGCTATAGATCTGATACTTGCAGTCCACTACCATAATTGGTACTTCCTTTACAACATTTTGCTCTTTGTCTTCTATATACTACAGCTAAGCACACCTCTTAAGTTAGGCAAAGCATAGTTCCATGTTTATTGAAGGTTCTTGCTGCTGTCACTGCTATTGATCATGTGAACCCATAAACGATGAAGGTTCTATGGTTGACTTCCAACCGTCCTATTGTTGTGGTTTTTACTGTGGCGATCACACAGGGTCCCCGGACGTTTCACCGTCTATTGATCCCTGTGCCACCACTTGATTTCTCGCTGCCACCACCCAGGCCCTACCTGGTACAATACTGAGTCCAGTCAGGTTTAAATTGGAACATAAACTTTTGTTTATTTATTGCAGTTTAACAAGTGTGTGGTTTCATAAAAGGTATTGGTCCATTACAATCATGGGGTGCCTATCCAGACCTATAACTTCCACTACCTGACTCACTCACTCACTCACTCACTCAACCACCTCTCAGATATTTACTTGTCTGCCTAGCTCCTAACTGTTCCTGACTCAACTTATTTCGCTACACTAACTCAACCTATCCACAGACTCTATCCCAATTCACTCCCACTCCAACCAACCTCCCAACGACCTCTCCTTTCGCCCCTCCCAGAGCTGGTTTTATAGTCCCTCTGACTCCACCCCCCTGGGTTCTGATTGGGTAACTTGTTTAACTAATTCACCTCCAGCACTCTCATATGTAAACATCACAGGAATCTGTCTGTCTCTAGAGACGATGGAGTGTGCCTCTGGGGGTGAAGTCAAACTGCTGCATTTGCAGCATCGAAGTGACTTCCCTGGGGCACAAGAACCTGCGCAGTGTGTATGCAGGTATTGTTCTGCTCTCCTTTGGACCACATCAATGGGGCCAAGGGGGTGAGTGGGTTTTGTCATCTGGGCAGCCCAATACATTTGGCAGGAGTTGCCGAAGTAGGCTACACAGCTCCATCCAACCACCTTAGGGACTCCACTCCAGACTGCCCTATTAGTTGATGGGTATATGTATTTGCCTCTATGTAAAGTAAAGGTAAAGGGACCCCGACCATTAGGTCCAGTCGTGACCGACTCTGGGGTTGCGGCGCTCATCTCGCTTTATTGGTCGAGGGAGCCGGCATACAGCTTCTGGGTCATGTGGCCAGCATGACTAAGCCGCTTCTGGCGAACCAGAGCAGTGCACGGAAACGCAGTTTACCTTCCCGCCGGAGCGGTACCTATTTATCTACTTGCACTTTGACGTGCTTTCAAACTGCTAGGTGGGCAGGAGCTGGGACCGAGCAACAGGAGCTCACCCCATCGCGGGGATTCGAACCGCCAACCTTCTGATCTGCAAGTCCTAGGCTCTGTGGTTTAACCCACAGCACCACCCGCACCCCATACCTCTATGGGGTCGCTGTTAAAAGTTTTGCCAGTAATTTTAATGACATGGTGATATCCAGCTGTGCATCTGCTTTGCAAAGCCAACTAAGCTTGTAAGCTAATCTGCAGGAACTGGATTTGTCAAATTTATAATGATCTTGTAAGGTATAATTAATTTACCAAGCTGACGCTTGGATCACGTGGCCAGATTCTGCTTTTTTCTCGGAGGGGGATCATTTGTTAGAAGCCACCGTAATAGTCTTGCTCTGTGCTATGGAATAGCACATTTTAATGAAATTTCACACTGTAACTGATAGCGCACTTCTAATTATAATTCTTTACAATTAAATTATTATTACAGTTAATGGCCCAACTCCCTGCTACTAGGTCAGCTGTTTGCAGCGTTGTTTCAGTGCAAGTCGCTGGCAGAGCCAGTCATTAGCAATTTAGAGCGGCGCTTAAGTGGCCTAATATTTCAATCACTTAATGAAAAATAAAGATAATGAAAAAGTCTTTAGCTGTATTTCACTTTGCTTGTTCATAGTCCATTTCATTCCCTGAAATGTGCTTTCCCAAACACAAATGATCTTGTATACCAAAGAGTTGGATAACTAGTTTCTTGCGCCTTGAGGCTAAGTGGAACTCAACCCTCAGCCATTCGTGAACTTGGTGGAGGGTTTCTCTATCAGTTATTGGGGCGCAAAAGAGAGTGGCTGCCTTATCAACCTGGAACAAATGAAAATGAAAAGGTTCAGGGAGGCCATTAAGAACTGCCTTGGTTCTCTTGGGGAGTATTAGAGTTGTGAACAAGAACTTGTCTCTCTGAGTGGTAGGGAGGCTGCAGCCAAGAATCCTTTCTGAGAGGATTCGCAAGGGCTCCGACTCAGTTGCTTATAGGTTGAACCACTAAAGCCTTTTTCAGTTGCAAATGAGAGACCTGAAAGTCAATAATAATAATAATTATATACACACACACACACACACACACACACACACACATATTTACTTGTACCCTACCCTTCTGACTAGGTTGCCCCAGCCACTCTGGGCAGCTTCCAACATATATAAAAACATAACAAAACATTAAAAAGCATCCCTATGCAGGGCTGCCTTCAGATCATCATCATCACCACCACCATAATTTTATTATTTATACCCTGCCCATCTGGCTGGGTTTCCCCAGCCTCTCTGGACGCCTTAGGTAAAGGTAAAGGGACCCCTGACCATTAGGTCCAGTCATGGCTGACTCTGGGGTTGTGGTGCTTATCTTGCTTTATTGGCCGAAGGAGCCGGCATACAGCTTCCGGGTCATGTGGCCAGCATGACTAAGCGGCTTCTGGCGAACTAGAGCAGCGCATGGAAACGCCGTTTACCTTCCCGCCGGAGCAGTACCTATTTATCTACTTGCACTTTGAGGTGCTTTCGAACTGCTAGGTTGGCAGGAGCAGGGACCGAGCAACGGGAGCTCACCCCGTCACACGAATTCGAACCGCTGACCTTCTGATCGGCAAGGCCTAGGCTCTGTGGTTTGGACCACAGCGCCATCCACGTCAGCATATCTAAAAACATAGTGTCTTCTAAAGGTTATATAGTTACTCATCTCCTTGACATCTGATGGGAGGGCATTGCCACAGGGTGGGTGCCACTACCGAGAAGGCCCTCTGCCTAGTTCCCTGCTGCTTCACTTCCTGCAGCGAGGGAACCGCCAGAAGAATCTCAGAGCTGGACCTCAGTATCTGGGCTGACTTCAGGTACACAGGGCCTGAAGTCAGGCAAAATAATGCATAGCGTTGCTCTAAAGCATTTCTAATATTAACTTTTTGCCATCACATTTGTATCTTCCAAGGAACTCTGAGCAGTATAGATAGGACTCTCCCTGCTTCTCTAAATACATTAGACTACATTAGGCTGGATTTCTGTGTTCATTTCCTAACTTAATACAGCCCTTATTACACGCACTTACCTACCTGGAATTATAAGCATCGACTTCCAGCTAAGCTCAACCACGTTTTTAAAGATATAAACCTAAAGGTGCAGCAATGAAATAAAATGTCTTGGGTTTGTTTGGTATAGTACATCATGTAGGCCAGGATGGGGTTTTGTTTTGCCCAAAGTAACTGATTTGGTAATGGCCACAGAACTAAGCTTTGTAAGAGGAGCTTTGCTTTCAACATACAGGTTTCTAATCCCTAAAGCTGTGGAAATCACCTTCATAGCAGGTGTGGCGAGTGGTTAGAGCCACCTTCACCAGCCAGGCTCCTTTTAGACCTTTCGGACTACAATTCCTATCATCCACAGCCACCACAGCTGGAAGGCACCTGGCTAGCAAAGGCTGGATTTGAATGTTGGACAAGGATTAGGAATACCCCGTTTCTTACCTCACAGCAGGGCTTTTGCGAGCATAAAATGTGGCAGGTAGTGAGGGAGAAAACGATTCACACAGCCTTGAGCTCCTTGGAGGAAATGTAAGATATTACTAGGGGGGCAGGAATAAACCTTGAAAAACTTGTGAGCAGTGCTTTGTGACATGTTGGAAATACAGAGAAGCTTAGCAGGGCCACCAGCTAAGCTCTCAGTGCTCTTCTGTTCCTCGTGAGCAGTAGATACAGAACGAAAAATTCAATAATTATCATGGTTTCTTTTTTCTTTTAAACTCACTATGCCCTCAGCGTTGTATTACATTTCTAGAAGCTGCCTTGAGAAGGCTCTGTCCTGAAAGGTGACTTATCAATCCTGTCGTTAAATAGAATAACAAAGGCATCCACATAATTCGCTCTGTGAGCAACTGTAGGGAAATGGCCTTCCTTTTAAGCTTTCCTTAATACAGAATTTTGATCCCTCCTCCTTAGTTAGCCCAGGATATATATATCCCTGGTAACCTAAGACACATAATTCCAAGAAAACAGATGAAAGGAGAACTGAACTGTACCTCTGTAACACTTTTTGTCATATTATTGGGATTCTACGAAGCTTTGTTGTAGCACAGTTGAACTATGAATTATGGTCTTCCTCTGACACACTGTCTCTCTCTCTTTTCCCCCCTCCAGGCTTTTTCTCATTGTTCTTGTGATTTCAGACATCATGGCTTTGGTAAGCTACTGTCGGACATTCTGTACAAATAAGATCAAAACCCAGAGAGCTCTGCTAATTCAATCAAGAGAAATCTGAATTAGTTTCAGACTTCAAAGTTTCTGGAACTAGGGCAGGGAACTGAATTGAAACCCCACATAAATTGCAGATGGAAATCCCTCCCCCACAAACCCCCTTTTCACAATCCTTTGTACATCATCTAATGAATGCATCAGAAGAGACAACATCTTTATTACTTCGGTTCTTCCACAGAGCTATTTTTAAGTTAGCGGTGCTTGGTTTTCACGTATTTCATACTGAATGTTCAAGCCTGTGAGTGAAAAGGGAATGCTAGATGCACCTGGCTGCCCAGTTTAATTTTTCTTTCTTTTCCTCCCTGCCTTCAGAACAAAAGAAAAATATGTCATGGTCTGCCTTAATTTTTCAAGAGAGATGCCTGAAATACCAGACAGGAAGGGACACAAACACACACACACACACACACACACACACACACACGAGTTAAGCATGGGGGAAGAGCATATTTCAGTATTCATCCTATAATTTCAGAACCACAGTTTATTAAAATCGAAACTGCTCTCTTTTTTTTAATAGAGAAAGGGGGGAAATGTCATGCAACTCTTCCCCGAAAGCCATTTTTGTTTGCTGTAACGCAATTTACACTTTATGACATGGCTCGAAGGGATGTGTCTTTAAAGCAGTAAGGGGAAAGGCCTGCTATTCTTCTGAGATTTTGCTTCCCACATCTCTTACCCTTCCCTGAGGACTTACTTGAAGTGACACCACCTTCTGCTTTTGTTATGTCACAACACCTCCTGCTTTTGTTGTGTCACTTACTTCATGGAGCTGCTGCCATCGGAGAAATGTGTCTAAGTGCTAGACATCCAAGGCAGTCATAATTTTAATTATAGAGTAGTTAACAAATGTGATTGGGGAGAGGGGAGTGTTAAAGAAAAAAATAAATCTGCATTTCCAGTCTGGGTCCCATTCCGATATGTTTGCTCTCTCCGTCATAATAAATTGCCAGAATTGCATGGGGAAATTGCCTGACCTGAATCAGTTCAGGTAATTCCATGTGTTTTCCAAGGCCCAAACTACACACTGCTAAAACCAAGGCAATTACTCCTTCATATATTGCCAATTCAGAATGGGATATTTATTGTGTTGTTGTTTTGTGGGAGGAATTGTGGAAATGACCATTTGGCAGTTAGAAAACGACTCTGCAGCCCAGAGGCCCGGCTGAGAGTTGAGAAATGGTTTCGTGTCACAGTTAACAATGTTTTCCTCTCGGAATTTGCCGCGTGTAAAGTGTAATTAATTGTAAGAGATGTAAATAGTTTTATCGTTTTGTTCTCATGGTGTCTTTTTAGTGCTCTACTATATTTTTACGTTGTAAATTGCCTTGAACGGTGTTCTCCAAATGGACAGATATTATTGCAAGATATTTGCAGCTGTTGATGGGAGTCTCCCTCTACAGCCTTGCAAACAGAGCAGTCTTTGCTTCTTCCCCTAGTGCTGCTGCAGGAGATGAGGCAGATCACACTGTATGCATGACTTTGGGTAGCTCCTTAATTGTGCATAAAGGTAAAGGGACCCCTCACCATTAGGTCCAGTCATGGCTGACTCTGGGGTTGCGGCGCTCATCTCGCTTTATTGGCCGAGGGAGCCGGCGTACAGCTTCCGGGTCATGTGGCCAGCATGACTAAGCCACTTCTGGCGAACCAGAGCAACACACGGAAATGCCGTTTACCTTGCCGCCGGAGCGGTACCTACTTATCTACTTGCACTTGAGGTGCTTTCGAACTGCTAGGTTGGCAGGAGCTGGGACTGAGCAATGGGAGCTCACCCCGTTGCAGGGATTCGAACCGCCAACCTTCTGATCGGCAAGTCCTAGGCTCTGTGGTTTAACCCACAGTGCCACCCGTGTCCCTAAGTGTGCATAGGGTTTTACATTATTGGTGTAACCAGTAACCATTTAGAACACGATGCATGACACATTCCCACCTCTGCAAGCTGTAACCAACAAATTGTGTTGGAGAACCTAGGTGTGATCACATTGTGGGCTTTCCCCCCTTTCTTTCTAGACATTGCTAGGGAGGTACAGGGAAGAGACCACAAGGTTGCTGCTCTCAGCAATAGCCATACACACCTTGTAACAACAACAGTGGTACCTCTTGTTATGAATGCTTCTGGTTATGCACGCATTGGGTTACGAGCTCTGCTAACCCCGGAAGTATTTGCTCCTGGTTGTGACCTTTGCCCCAGGATGCAAGTGGAAATCGCCCGCCGGAGGCACACGTGCAGCAGGAGGCGCCATTAGCGAAAGCACGTCTCAGGTTGAGAACGGTTTCTGGTTACGAACGGACCTCCGGAACGGATTAAGTTCATAACCAGAGGTACCACTGTACCTTGGTTCAGAGAGTTCATAGCACAGCAGGAATTTGAACCTAGCCCTCTCCTCTTCAAGTCCACTTCCTTAATTGCTTGTATCCTGACATGTTTGTTGTTTGGTTAAACATTCTCTGATGAAGCCAGGTCACCTTTTACTTCAAGAATTAAATGCCCCCAAATGAACGCCTGAAACATGCGTTTGAGTCTTGTGATTCTCATTGTGCAACGTTTATTTACCAAACAACATGGTGTTCTTTGTTTTTCTCTCTCACCTTAGCACTTCTTCTTTCTGGTTAAAGATTATGGAAGCTGGCTGGATATTGGAACAAGGTACAAAGCATTTGCTTTCCCCATCCCCCATCCCCCCTCCTGCCCTGCTTTTTCTTCCTCTTTAGCTGTAACACTGCCTCTAAAATAAACCCAACAATTAAGCTGTGTATTACTTAGTTCAATCCCTATAGTTAAATGCTGTCTACAGATCAATCAAGGCAAGTGCTTCCATTCTGTTTCTACCATCTCCCTTCCTTGCCTATAAATGTTGATGGTGATATATTTTATTTATTAGTGTCCGTTTCTTGCCTTGTTAAGTTGTTTAGTGTTTAACTGCTGTGAAACACTTTGCCTGATGTCCCTTCTCAGCCCAGGTCATCTTGAGAATTTTTATTTCCCATTATTCCCCTTCAGTCATTGTCTTAAAGTAAATACCATTTTTAACAGAATCGCCCCTCCTCCCCAGCTTAAGAGCTTCCAGTTTGGTTTTTTTAAGTTCACAGAGAGGAGTTTGCTGAATGTTCACAAGGCTTCTGGTTCTGGGAATTGATCCCCACCCCCACCCACGATAAATAAAAACAGAAAAGATTAGTTGGATGCGGAGTGTGTTGCTCACAATCAAGTATGGTAAAATAAGTGGTAAATAGGAAATTTCGTTTCCGAAAATTGTGCAGTTCCCTTTCCTGCTTCCATCAGTACCTTCTTCAATCTTGTTCACTTTCTCCCAGAGGTGTTTTGCCCTGAGGGAGATGCACACAGCCCCAACATCAGTGGTCATTTAGTTGGGTCCAGGACATGGAGGACAGTATATAGAAGTTATTTCTAGTCAGGCCATCTATATCACCTGCTCCACGCCTTTTGAGTTATTTATCAGTTGGCAGCGACTTTGGCGCACATCCTGCAACTACGAAACACTTTGGACCATTCTCCTCAAAACAGTTTTCTTAAGGTGCCATATAATTATTTTATTCAGTGAAGCCATTTCAGGAAACTGGTCAAAGCCCAGAAAACAACAGATACTCTTTCAGAAATATTCTTTCCTGCCATAATTTTATTTGGCGGTTGGAAAAAGGTCAGTGTTTGTTAAAAAGGGGGTGGGGGTGGGGAATCCAGTGATTATGTGTGGGGTGAATTTTCCAGAACAGCTAATGATCTCACTACTTCCTTATTATATTTTATACAGTGTATTATTGCGGCATTTATGATCTGCAATATATTTCTCTTATTACTTAACAAACCTGCCATTTTTTCTGCTTCTCACAGTTCATAGATGGGGATGTTAAGTGATACCATACCTTGCTACCAGTCTTAGTGGTACAGCTGAGTACAACAGCCAAGCCAATGCAACCCCCCCCCCAACCATAAATTCTCAACTGCCTCTTCAGATATAAGGACAGAAGTACATATCCCAATAAATATGGGGCTGTCTCATAGCGATTTCTCCTCTGTACTATGTAGTAAAACTGATATACTGCCTGTTTTCACCATGTTGTATGTTTCCCCAAACTTGCCAGCATCAGCCAGTGATAATGAACATGATGCCTTTATGACATAGGCAAAGGTTTGAGGGTGGGGTGGAGGGTTTTTTTTTGCACATAATGGAAGGCAAAAAAGAATGCATCCATCCAGTGTCTTCCTATCCCATAGTCATATCTTCCCAGCAAGTTCAATCCCACTGAATTATATACATTATTAGTGACCTTCAGCCAAGGAAGAAGTTGTATATTCGACGTTATTGTAATTGTGAACCCCGTCAGATGTACAACATAAAAGGAAATCAAACCTTGCCAAGCTGTTATAACTAGATACTGCCTTTTTGTTCAGCAAACGTGGCTTTTTGTTTCCCTTTAAAATTACAGTGCTACTCCTGCATGAAAACTAATTTTCCAAGCAAAGCTGCCTGCAGGCATTGCAGTACTGGTTGCTGATAGCCTCAGATATATTGGCAGGCTGCCATTATGTGATAACAAATGGAGTAGGAATTGCTTTTAATTGCATTCTATTTGTAGCATGATTTCTTTCCTTCAGCAGCGTTTTTGCTGAACATTTGTGTGTGTGTGTGTGTAACTAAATCTAGAGCAGCATATAAGGGAGGAACGAGTGCCACACAGTACTTATGACTCCCTCACACCAGTCCTTTCCAGATGCATTGGTACTGGTTCACACTGTTCATCCACTGATGGCTGCAGCGTTGAGTCGGGTGTGTGAGTGAGCCGTTGCAGATTAAACGCTGCCGACAGAATGATCACATCTCATAGAAATCATAGAATTGTAGAGTTGGAAGGGACCACGAGGGTCACCTAGTGCAATGCAGGAATCTTTTTGCCCAGCGAGGGCTCAAACCCACAAACCTGAGATTAAGAGAGCCAGTGTGGTGTAGTGGTTAAGAGCGGTAGACTCGTAATCTGGTGAACCGGGTTCGCGTCTCCGCTCCTCCACATGCAGCTGCTGGGTGACCTTGGGCCAATCACACTTCTTTGAAGTCTCTCAGCCCCACTCACCTCACAGAGTGTTTGTTATGGGGGAGGAAGGGAAAGAAGAATGTTAGCCGCTTTGAGACTCCTTCGGGTACTGATAAAGCGGGATATCAAATCCAAACTCCTCCTCTTCTTCTTCTTCTTCTTCTTCTTCTTCTTCTTCTTCTTCTTCTTCCTGCTCTACCAACTGAGCTATCCCAGGGACAGATTTAGTTTCAGCCAGCTGGTGCCAACCCAGCACTCACCTGTACTCCACTCAGCTGCCTCCTACGCCCCCCCCCCCAAATAGGTCTGACTTCTCACTTAGAGAAAGCCTGACTAGCACCATCAGTAACACATACGTATCATGTGGCAGAGAATAGGGAGAGCAAACCATATCAAGGTTTTCATCATCCAAGGTGTTATAAGGCAGTGGGAGTTCTGCCACTCACCTTTGAATGATCACAAGTCATAAGAAATCGTAGAATTGCAGGAAGGGACCATGAAGGTCATCCAGTTCAATGCAGGAATCTCTTTGCCCAATGTGGGGCTTGAACCCACAACTTTGAGATTCAGACTCTCATGCTCTACAAGCTGAGTTCTCCTGCAGGCATCTCTACAAATGCAGCATTTTCCACTAGAACCAATTCATGCTTTTAGCCGTAGATCGTCATCAGATGATATGTGCAACAGCTCTTACAGGAGTTTTGTTTGATGGAAGTTTTGAAGGTGGGACTTTGGAGAAAGCAAAGTGAGGTTTGTTGTTTACTGGTCATTTCTTATTTGGAGTCATTGATTGTGTGGTTTGTTGCCCCATTTCCTTCACCAGTTACCTACTTTTCCCATTCAGTGTGCAGTGTTTTTAGTAGTCACTCCTCCCTCCGTAATGTTTACTCCAAAAACTTCTAACACTTATCCATCCATCCTGCCTTTCATCAAAATGACCTTGCTGCAGGTGACAATTCAGGATACAATAAAAGCCAGAGAAGATGCATTCAATTAAAAAAGTAAAACAATACATATATCTCCCCATCTGTTCCAGCACAAGCCCTATAAAAAACATCCTTGAAGTGCCTATCGTAATATAAACATCTGCAGCTAGCACCAAAAGACAGATAATATGGGTGCCAGCCAAGACTTTAAAGTTGACGTTCTAGTGCCAAGAAGACCCTCTGGTAGGTCACAACTCTTCTGATCTCATGGAGTGGGGTGTTGTAAACAACAGGATTATGGTTCTAAGCAACTCAGGGGTTAAGACTTCAAAACCTACACCTTGCATTGATCTTGGTGGTGATCAGGCAGCCAGTGCAGATCTTTAGGGACAAATGTAACATGGTCCTGGGTAGAAAGCTTGATCAGCAGCAGTTTTGCAGTCTCTGAACTATCTTCAAGAGTAGCCCTACATTGTTGTTGTTTAGTCGTTTAGTCGTGTCCGACTCTTCGTGACCCCATGGACCAGAGCACGCTAGGCACTCCTGTCTTCCACTGCCTCCCACAGTTTGGTCAAACTCATGCTGGTAGCTTTGAGAACACTATCCAACCATCTCGTCCTCTGTCTTCCCCTTCTCCTTGTGTCCTCCATCTTTCCCAACATCAGTGTCTTTTCCAGGGAGTCTTCTCTTCTCATGAGGTGGCCAAAGTATTCCAATACTCCAATACTTTAGCCCTACATAAACGTTCTTAAATGTACAAGGCAAACACACACATAAGTATATAAACCATGTGCCTGAAATAGTACGGGAGAGCAATCCTGAAGCCATTTTGACTCTCCCAAACCATTCTGACCTCAAATATTTATCTGCAAAGAGGGAGCAAATTGGAAAGCCTCTCCATTCTCTTTTGCTTACCTGTCTTAAGGGCATATTTGTGTATGAATAGGGTGAGCCTGTGACCTGGATTCAGGAACCAGACAGAGGGCCTTCTCAGTAGTGGCACCCGCCCTGTAGAACGCCCTCCCATCAGATGTCAAGGAAATAAGCAGCTATCCTATTTTTAAAAGACATCTGAAGGCAGCCCTGTTTAGGGAAATTTTTAATATTTAACATTCGATGGGGGAAATCAGCAAGGTGGGTGAGGTATAAATAATAGTAGTAGTAGTAGTAGTAGTAGTAGTAGTAGTAGTAGTATTTACCATCACAAAAGAATGGCCAGGCTGCCCAGGTAAAGCAATCAGTGACCATTAACAGATATCCTGGCAGACTGCCTCCTTCTGTGATGTATGTATGATGTTTTTGGGGGTGGTCTTGGCTGCAGGGCGGGCAATTTCAAAGGTCTATATAAGGGCTTGTGCACCGTTGTTCTGGGCTCCTCTTCCCTCCTGCATGTGGTGGAGTGAGGACCCTGTTGCAACAGTTTAATAAAGATCAGGCTTACTAACTGCTTTGCTTCTCAGTATTCTCTGGTTGGCCTGTTATTTTCTCCTTCCAATGGGGAACCCACTGAAGGACTCTATACTGGCTCTGGGATACCCCATAAGGAAAAAGGAGCAGGTTTTTTCTGTAACAAGTCCAAGTGTCCCATCACTTGAGCATGGCTAACAATAACCAGGCTATTCCTGCCCAATAACAGCCAGAGCTGGAAAAGGGCACTTCACATCACTGAAACCACTTGGGCTTCAAGTGACTGTCTGAAATCCAGAGCCAGCACCCCTAGATTACAGACCTGATCGTTTAAGGGGGCGTACCTCCATCCAGAACAGGCTTCCTTCATTTTTCCTGGATGTGGGAGCCATCAAGCCAGAGCACCTTCATGTTGTCAGGATTCATTTTTGGTTCATTGGCCCTAATCCGACTTGTTGCCATTGCAACAGAGGGCACATCGACTCTTCCACTCCTGGCTTTTTAAAAATTATTTTTGTGTTAGGGCTGATTTACTTCCCTCTTCTCTGCAGCCGCTTTATATAGCAGTAGTTATGTCAACATTCTGGCCCACTGAGAAGGCTGAAATCCAATGAGTATTACACAGGCTTTCTCACTTCTCCTTTGATCATACTTTCTTAAACCACATAAACGGCTTTTTAGGTGGCTCAGCTGTTTTTGATCTCTTATTTCATTTCAAAGCAGTTACTTACAAGTGCCACGCTCCTCTTTGCAACATGCACGATTTGTAAAGTTCCCCATTCTATGTGTGTCCACAACTTTTTTTGCATAGACATTTAATCTTGGCCTTATTTTCTTTTTCTTCCTCTCTCTTCTCTTGCGTTCCTTTTGCCAGATAGTAAATACTTTTTGTTGTTTATCAAAATTAAAACCTGTTGCGCGAATGATGGGTTGGATCTAGACAGCTGAGTCTAGGTCTAATCCTAGGTCTAGGTCTAATCCTAGGTCTAATGATCCTAGGTCTAATCTAAACACGACAGAGTCTGGCTCCAGCCTCTATCTGGCACCTAGCAGTAGTGTTGTATTTCCAGAGCATCTTCTGTAGGCGTCCAGAAACAGCTTTTTAATGTCCATCCTTTTTTGTAATGAGAAGATAACAAAAAGTGTGAAAGCCACCTCTTGGGGGTTCCCCACCACCACTAACGTGTCCTTAAAATGTTACACTAGTGCTATGGGGTGTGCTTGAAACTCTGGATGAACCCACATAGGGGGTGACAAGTTTTATGGGTCTTTCCTATCAGTGCCGGATTTACGTATAAGCTAAACAAGTGATAGCTTAGGGCCTCACTCTCTTGCCCCCCCCCCCCAATTTCACTATTAATATACTTCTTCTTAATTGTATTTCAGTTCAACAATTACTTTTATAAAATGCATATTTTGTTATGTGCAAATAGCTTTAGATGCCTATTAGGTCCATAAATTACCATTATAGCATATATTCAACAGAAGAAACAGCAACAATTTGTTGTTGACAAAGGACAGCAGGACATATAAAGGGACCCATTACCATCAGTAGCTTAGGGCCTCATCAAACCTAAATCCGGCCCGGTTTCATATAGAAGTGGCCACACATATGTGGTTGCTAGCTTTTAAATGCTAGTTTGGGCCTGTAGGATAAACCTATGGGGAAGTACCTTCCATGTCACCAGTGTGACATGTAAAATGTCCCAATTTGTGTGCTCTGTAGTACACAAGTAGTGCAGTGCCATCTCCAACAGCGTCTTACTTTCCCAACTTTGTGAGCCGGGTGTCCATTTTGTCTTTGGTGGGATGAAGGTGGCCATCTTGCATTGAACCCAAGTGAAATTCTCACTCCAGAAAGAGAGTCAGTGCTGAACTGACTGCATAATTCAAGCTTCTGGTTTCATGTGAACTAACAACCCTGAAGACTTAATATCTAAAAGTCTAAAATGGTGTTTCATTTGTATCTTTTGAATGAGGAATCCCGCAATGGGAATCGGAAGGTGTTTAAACTTCTAAGAAAGGTGGTTTCGTGATGCAGTAACCAGCCTTCTCGAATCCCACTGATGCTCATCCTGCAGTCCTGACAATGTGAGCAACCTCAAAATCACACTGGGTCCTTTGTCCTGGTTAGCAGCTCCATTTGCAAGCTTTAATTAGCATGAGGGTAATGTATGAGGGTTAAACCACAGAGCCTAGGACTTGCCGATCAGAAGGTCGGCGGTTCGAATCCCTGCGACGGGGTGAGCTCCCGTTACTTGGTCCCTGCTCCTGCCAACCTAGCAGTTCGAAAGCACATCAAAGTGCAAGTAGATAAGTAGGTACCGCTCCGGCGGGAAGGTAAACAGCGTTTCCGTGCGCTGCTCTGGTTCGCCAGAAGCGCCATAGTCATGCTGGCCACATGACCCAGAAGCTGTACGTCGGCTCCCTCGGCTAATAAAGCGAGATGAGGACTGCAACCCCAGAGTCGGTTACGACTGGACCTAATGGTCAGGGGCCCCTTTACCTTTTAATGTATTGTCCAGGCTCTGTTAAGCAGCTATAGCTCAGCCGTAGAACGAACGCTTTGTATATATGCAGCCCAGATTCAATCCCTATTCTCGAATACAACTATTTGCCATTCCAAATAGTTCTCTTCCTCTTTTAAGGTTCAGAATTGTTGCTCTCGGTAAAAGGTGGATACTGGCAATAGATTTTCACAAATTTAAAATTACCATTAACAGAAGAAACCTATTCTCTCAATTCATTTGGGAGGCCCAAGATTCTTACACTTTGGATCAGCATAAAGTCTACAGGCATCTTACTTTCACTGTTAACACCATCTCTCTTTGTCAAGACAGTTGGATAAATTGAACACTTGAATCTATAGCGCACCACAATTTCTCACAACTAGCGTGGCAGGTTTAACAAATTTTAATAGATGTTTGCTTCAGCTTGTGGTCCATCTCTGACATCCGTTGTCTTTGTAGCATTTCCTCCTACAGTTTTCAATTTTGTGTTCCGTTTTGGCAAATTTAGCCATTAAGTACGATTGACTTGCATCCAGCGCTTGCAAAAAAAGGAAAGCAGGTTTCACAACCAGTCTTTCCCTTTCCCTCTGCCCCCATGCAGCCGCTTGTAATTCACAGAAAGCCTCTCCAGATGTGTCTATATGTCCTGATTAGCATGGGCTGTGTTTCACAGAACTGCAGTGCTAGGTGGAATCGCTTTAAATCAGATGGAGAGGTCTTTTCTGCAGTTCTGGAATAGAGTTACTGTTACGGTAAAATCTGGGTGCGGGGCTACTCTGCCACCCAGCTCGTCGGACTAAGTCCGTGGGTCCCTGCGGAAGAAAAATGAGCTCAGCCGGAGACAGGAGCAAACTGCAGAAGATCCAAGTTTATTGCACAACAGGTTCAAGGCGAGATTGAACAGCGAGAAAGGGGTGACATGAATTTTTGAAATTTCCCTCCATGTCCCAGAATACAGTGCAGAATACATCCCAGTTACATCATGAATACATTAAGAAGAGGTTGGGTTACACAGATTACATCATGAATACATTAAGAAGAGGTTGGGTCACACAGGATTAACATATGGAGGAGGGAGGGGGGAATATGCAGAGCTGGAGATATGCGCAGATAAGCACATCCTGAGTACCGGTGATGGGAAGACAATGGTCCATGTATGCATAGTCTGCCACCTGGCATTGCCCGGAGGAAAGGCTTGGCAGAGCGATTTGACAGGATTAGGGTCTTGACACCTTGCTTGAGGGATTATGGAGGACAGGGGAGGTGTCATGGAGTCCTAGAGAAATTGAGCAAATTGGCACGTTGATTTTCTATGAATTTTATAGATTTTAGTCCCTTTTGACATTGACAATTGGAAATAAATGGATATATTGTAGCGAAGAAGGAGGTGAAGAAGACATGCCCCCCCCCTCCGTATCAGTTCTAGACATAAGATGGAATGAACGAGAAAGGGTGGAGTTGTTTAATTTATGATTTAAAGTAATAAACCTCAATTACTACTTTCTGGGTCCATTTCAATGCTAAACGCCGAATAATCAACACAGTCAATTATGAGTAGAATAGCTATTTGTTATTGGACTTGGGAGTCTCAGTGGTGTGCCTGGCATTTAACTGAATTCTCCTGAAGACAACAGATATTTTCCATTGACTGAGTAGATTCTCTAGAGCTGTGTAGTCTGAACTTCTGGCTCCATATGAGCGAACAAACTATGAAGTCATGAACTCCTTTTAATTATTCAAAGTAATTAAAATTTCATCCAAGTTCTCAAAGGATAAAAACACTAATTAGAATATTCATCAAAGGATCTGCATTTTTTAAAACAAACAAACACACATACACACACACCAAAAAAACAACACCCTTGATTTGTAAATGTAAAGAGTTGTGCTTTTCCCCTGGTTGGCAGCTTGTGCTTTGGGGAGGTGATGAAGGCTAAGATGCAATTCTGAGGATAAAACTCCGTAGAAAGCTTTAAACAAAAATCCAGCAACAATTCTCCTTTAAGCCATGGCGGAAAAAAAGAATTCAACCTAACCAGCTGGGTTGCAAGATTAGCTTTTTCTCCCAAGACAGGCTCACGTTATCAGTTCATTGTAAGCATTCCTGTGAACTGCAAAGTCCAAAGGGTGCTGACCAGGCTGTTCAAGCAATGCCTTCTGCACTTTGACAAACCAGGTTGAATATTATCAGCCTCTGAACTTGCACCTTCTCTGTGGAATTGGAGTGGTGGCAGCAGCAGGTAGTGGCAGCAGCTAGCAGTTCTATGGGCTGTTTCTTTTTAGCTGTAACTGAGGGGAGGGAGGGAGCTCCATAGTTTTCTTAAAGAACAATGCGGCTCATCGGCTAAAAGTTCAGCTAAAGAGTTCTTCTCCTGCTTGATTAGTTTGCCAGCGATTCAGATCAACTCTCATGAGGCCACCAAGTGTCCTAACTAATAATATTGGAGCTAATGTTCTTGTTTCGTTCTGGTCAGTATTTCAACTTCTCCCATTAATGACTATCTGCTTCAAGGAACTGTGTTTATTCCACATCTTAACCATTAGATAATCCGTCTTTGCTTTAGGAGGACAAAGAACTGCTTAGAAGCATATATTGGCATTAATGTCCAAAACTGGTGTTGGCTTACTTTAGGGACTTGCCATTAATATATATAGGATCTAAACCTTTAGGCAGAAACCCATAGAATTGTGGCGTTGGAAGGAGAGTCATGTATTCCCACCCCCTGCGATTCAGGCATCTCAACTAAGTAACACATGACAGACGGCCATCCAACCTCTGCTTAAAAACCACCAAGATCATGAAACTCTCATGTGTTAATGGAGTGCACTTCCTTCCTGCCCAGAAAATAAGCTGTTGATACTTTTGTCTGTTGAATCAGAGTTGGAAAGTGTTATGTACTGAAGTTCTCACCCTGGGCCAGCAGGGGGATACTGTAGATAGTTTTCACTCAGGTCCACATATGCAAATAAGGGATTGAAAGTGACGTTCAGTGATTGGATAGTTACAGGAAATAGTTACAGTTGCGTTGTAGTGGAGCTCTATATAAGCAGGCTGGCTGAACCCTTCAGTTCAGTTCTGTTCTGGCCTGTGAATAAACAAGAGCTGTTTGAAGAATCACTGTGTCGTCTGATATGTTCACCCACAACTTAACAGAAAGGACCCTGAGGACCATCTTACTCCAACCCCCTGTAATGCAGGAATATGCAGCTGTCCCGTACGGGGATTGAACCTGCACCCTTGGTGTTATCAGCACCATGCTCTAGCCAACTGAGCTATCCAGGCAAAGTCTGTATTGCTATGGCCAGTGATGAACACAGCTAATAAACAGATGCTCATTATTGAACATCCTGTTTAGGAGAGCGATCAATATTGTGTCCCTCTAATGTTGTCGGTAAACTTTGTTTCCTCTTGTTGATTTAAAATCTGTTGCTGTCTCACCCATGATTTTCTCTCTGTTGCAGCATTAGCCACTACGTCGTTGCAATGTCGTTCACCATCTTCCTGCTGCTTTTGAGTGGAGTGGCTCAGCTGCTCACTACGAAGAGACTAGCACTTTGGAAAGAAGCTAAGCACCATTCCTTGTGACGAATGGGGTAGAGAGGTCCGTATCGTTGGAAACTGCAACCTCCCTGAGTGACAAGTGGAGTTATGAGACTGGCTGCCAGAAACACCGAAAGAACTCGATGCTACAGGCAACAACACCTTGACCAGCTCCTTTCTCTTTGGAATTGTCCCTTGTCTCCCTCCCCTCCCCCCCGAAGAGAGAGACACAGCCACGAGTTTTTTTTGCCAAAAACTGAATATATGGTCCGCTTCAATGTTGGAAGATGAGTGCTATGTATGGTTTTTCCAGAGAGATTCAAATGGGTGACAAGGAAATAAACTGGCTCTGTAACTAGGCCCAAAAGGCACAGGAGAGCAATCCCAAGGCCGACAGAATATTGCCCTTTGTCCACAGTCTGCTTCTGGACCAAATCTTGGACTGGTCAGCTTGCTTTGAATTTCGTTTGGTGCCTATTTCTCACTTCTGATGTGTTAAGATCAAATTTAGAGGCTTGTGTATAATGGGAGGAGACTAAAACTTGAATTTTGCTACCTTTTAAAAAAAACAACAACACCCAAAAACATATGGGTTGTATGTGCGAGTGAGAGATGAATTAATTCCTGTTTTAAAAGAAGATGCTGTAGATTATTTTTTCTATGATTAATTTTATAGGATGCACTTGAAAAGATCTCTCTCTGCTCAAACTGAAGCTTAAATAAAAGGAGGAGGAACCACAACGACAAAAGAGAGATTTCATTTGTCATAATCTCAGCAACAGTCCTGCGAGCCAAGTTAGGCTGAAGGACAGTGACTTGCCTAAGGCCAATTTAAGGAGCTGCAGATCTGAGCAGAGATTGAAACCCAGCCTCCCCCCCCCCCCCATTCAAGCTCTGTTCATTACACTGAGACAACATGTGCCCTCTTAAGTAGAACTGGCAAGCTGTTAAAGCTCCGGACAATGAAAAGCTTTTGCATTTGGAATCCCACTTCACTTGGTAACCAAACCTAGGAAGCATACTGGAATTCACAATGCAAGCAGGCTGAGAAATGGTATATATTTTGCACCTAATGCTTTCATGGGTAGCTGCTCAGATAAACACTTTGCTATCAGCTCGTACACAATGCACCCTTTGGACAATAGGAGCCTTTTTGTGCCTCAGCTCAACTTGCTCTTATTTCAGTGCAGGTTGGCATGATGCTATACCTGAATATTCAGAAGTAAGCCCTCATTGAGTTCAATGGGACCTGCTTGCAGACAAGTGGGTGTTGCAGTAGGAGGCTTAGAACGCATCTGTACAGTAGTACCTCGGATTAAGTACTTAATTCGTTCCGGAGGTCCGTTCTTAACCTCAAACTGTTCTTAACCTGAAGCACCACTTTAGCTAATGGGGCCTCCTGCTGCCGCCGTGCCACCAGAACACAATTTCTGTTCTCATCCTGAAGCAAAGTTCTTAACCTGAAGCACTATTTCTGGGTTAGCGGAGTGTGTAACCTGAAGCGTATGTAACCTGAAGTGTTTGTAACCCTAGGTACCACTGTATTAGGTTATCTTGCTTTCTGTATCTAGACCTGTTTGCTTTTGCTGTGGTGAACGAGTTGTGGGTATTGTTATTTAATTTCTGTGCTGCTTAAAGCCAAAATAGCCATTTACCAAGCACAGTGGTACCTCTAGATACGCACACATCTGGTTGCGTATCTTTCAGGATGTGAACTCGGCAAACCCAGAAGTATTTTTCTGGGTTTCGCGCCACGCACATACGCAGAAGCAGCAGCTCTGGTTGCAAATTCCTTGGGATGTAGCCAGAGCTCTAGAATGGATCCTGTTCACAACTGGAGGTACCACTGTATAAAAATCTGTTACGCAGACGTTAAAATATCCCGAATCAAAATGCACAATAAAACAATCCGATTTAAGACACAGCTATTAAAATGAACAGGTGGCCCTAGTTCAAGTGATCAAAGGAATGCCTCTATTGTATGATTTCAATCTGTCTTGGACATACAATATATGAAAATATTGTTTGTATATAAGTGGACGTTCGCCTAACCAATCACAACAGATGGCAGAGTCATCTGTAGGAATAGAGACTGTAGGAATAGTAGCCTGCCATAGCTCTGAGAAAGAAAGTACATATAAAATCCATGAAACATGCATGCCAGTATTGGAGCATGCCAGGAAGGGATTCATCCTGTACCCTTTAGCCCCTTGGCTCTGTGGCATTAAAGCCATGTCACTACTGCTGTGGTACCCAGTCATCCCAGTAGAAATGTGAGCACTGCAAAACTGGATGCAGACATCCATCTGCTTGTCAGTTACCATCAATCACTTTATCATGGGAGAGCGATCATTGCCATGTTATTTAAGCCGCTGAACAGCAACGAAGCAATTGGAACAAAGTCTTCTAAAATGGTGGCTGCTAACTCATCTCTCCAGTTAACACTTGATACCAAGCTGCAGAATACCTTAAGCTATTCAAAATTATAATAAAGCAATTGACGTGTTTCAATACCTGCATTATGAGTGTCCTTGGGCGGATCGACACTCGTCATTTGTAACATTAAAAATACGTTATTAAAATGTGACACCAGAGGGTGCTGCAGAGCAGCAAGCCGCCGGCAATGGAAAACTGCCATTAAACGTTCTAAACGTTATTCAATATAATGTTCTATAAGATCAGTATAGATCCAGCCCTGAATAGTAGAACCCTGAATAGATAGGACCCAGAAGAAGATCCTATTTCCTACCTAATATATATATATATTTCTGTAATTGTGTGTGTTTGTCCTAACCATTTGGATTCCTGGCAAAGTTGTATGGAGGAAACTAATGTATGGGGAAAATATCCAAAATAGGGGAAGGGCTTTTTTTTAGACAGAACACACCAAAACTCAGTTCTGGCACCTCTCAGGTGGGCGCCATTGCTGTTACAAGAAAACATGGCAAGTTCCAGCACCTCTTTTTCTAGAAAAATAATACTGGCTACATAAGAGGTTTGACATGAAAAATGACACTGATGCATCTCTTCCTATTGGCTTTAACCATGCATTGGGAAAGATGGTTTTGGTTTCCACCCTGTTTCACCTCCACTCCTGTGATATGCCCTGATAAGATTAATTTTCTGATTCCATTGGCTTTGTTCTTAGTTGGGCTGCAAGACCAGTGACCTTAGCTGACTCCCTCTTGACCGCTTTATTAACTCCGTTACTAGCAAACACCCTCTCCAGAGCTATTTTACATGTCCCCTATGGAAAGTCTGACTGGCTATGCTATTCCTGGATTTCCTCGGGGTGGGAGCAGGCAGAAATCTTTGGGCTGCCTGTTTGAATTTTCTCCAGCGCTGGAAGCTGGCAGAATTCTGCCAGTTAAGCAGTCTTATTTGATTGTGTTGTGGGATTATGTGCCTCTTTGTTCTGCACATAAACAAGCTCCAAACACAATATTCTTTAATCCAAGGCCAAGGCAATTATTGGAGAAAGTTGGAAAGCACAGGGAAGCCAGGTCCCTCATTCTCCATCTTTCACAGGGAGTGGATAAGCATCCTATCAAGTTGGGCCGCCTTAATTGTAGTTGTGAAGCTCAGAAAAGCTGTTTGCAGGGACATATGCATGAAAACCTCTCAAAACCAAATCTTGCAGAAAGCTAATCTCATTAGCATCCATCACTTTGTAAATCCATCATTCAAGAGTTGCAGGCTATCCATTGGTAGTCTGATCAACAGAACATTTCTGTTGCCATTTGGGAAGGGAAGAGGGGCTATTGGTTTGGTCTGGGTCTTGTTCTTGTTCTTGTTGATTTTTCAGCTGTTCTTCCTTCAGTGATCCTGTTCCATGCAGAGGGTCCATGGTGGGTGCCACAGCCGAGAAGGCCCTCTGCCTGGTTCCCTGTAACTTCACTTTTTGCAGTCAGGTGTCCCGAATCCCTGGCCTACCTGGCAGCAAGTCAGTATGCCAAGTCTGAAGTCCAGCAGTCAGGATACAGTTCAGGGGTCAAACCCAAAACACAGTCTGTAGAGGTCTAGTAGCATCCAAATCAAGATCTGTCAACTTGGGCAGGTGAGCAAACCCAGCACCTCAGCTCTGCTGACCTTTTGCACTTTGCCTGCTGATTGCAGCACCTGAGCTTGATGAGGCAGGTGACCTTCACCTGTTCCAGCTGAGGAATCACAACCTTCTTCCAGAGCTAGCGAGCCTCACCTGGCCAGCTAGTGAGCTAGTCTGTGGGCCCTTGCCTGCCTCAGCTTACTAGAGCGCCTTTCCTGCAGCTCCCTCTGCCCCAGAGACTGCTGTGTCCATGGGGACAGGGGCCATCTGGTGATGGGGCCTGCTGCTCTTGTTCCTGTGCGCTGACCTCTGTCTCTTCACCATTCTCTGTCAGTGAGTACTTCCTTCCCTATCCCCTGCTTGCCCCGGTGCATCCCAGCTACACCCCTCACCAGGATCATCTTCCTCCTCCCGACCGTCCTGCCAGTTCATGACATGAGGGAATTGCCAGAAGGTCCTCAGAGCTGGACCTCAGGGTTTGGGCTGATGGGGGTGGAGACACTACTTCAGGTATACAGGGCCAAAGCCATTTAGGGCTTCAAAAGTCAACACCAACACTTTGAATTGTGCCCTGAAATGTACTGGGAGCTAGTGTAGATCCTTCAGGTGTTATGTGCTAGCAAAGTTCCATAGTAAGTAGGAGGACTTAAGTTATGACTAATTTTGCCCTTTCTTTTGAGGGAAACTTGGTGGCAAGTAATTTCAGGCAGGGCAGATCCTTTAAGTCAGGGATGACCAAACTTTGCCCTCCTGATGTTTGGGGACTACAACTCCCAACATCCCTGACCCCTGGTCCTGTTAGCTAGGGATGATGGGCATTGTAGTCCCAAAACAGCTGAAGGGTCAAGTTTGGCTAACACTGCTTTAAGTTGTTGAACTGGGCCCTCTTTTTAAAATCACCAAAACAAGCCCAGCCCTGTAATAGGCGAGCCAAACTTGGCAGGCTGAATTCTAAGTAAATAAAGTAGGAGGAATACTTGGATCTATTAAGCAGGTCTTT